TCCACATTGGTCCATAGAATCAACAACCTTCATTTGCCTTTACAGAGGACAGAAAGTTGGATAAAAACTGTGATGCTGTCTGAGGAAGCAAGAAGGGAAAAAGAAAGAGCTACAGAGAATGACGAATGTGGAGAGAAGTGATGAGGAGATATAAAGTTGTTCTGGTCATAAAGTCTAACGAGACATTTATGAGTGAGTCTATAAACTCTTGTGTTAACTGGATTCAGTTAATAGTGCAAACAGAAAGAAGAAAAAAAAGAACAAATATTGAAGCTTTTTCAAACTTTTGAATGCCCACCAAGGTTAAACGACTACGAATTGAACACTACATCTGAACTTGCAAGGAGTGACACTCAACATCCCATATGGTGATATTTTGCTGTTATTTAACATTTACTCGGGTGTACTATTACAGTAATACTGCACTGACTGACAACTTGAATGTTATCTAAAGGTGGGGAAGTGCAGAGTACCTTAGACTGATGCAAAGGCCAACAAGTAAAAAGAAGAAAAACATTGGCGAGTGCGCCAGGAGAACCTAACCAAGCCAGATCTCCATTAAAACAATGTAATATTATCACAGAGGGATGACACATCTACTGTTGCTGGCTCTGTCAAACTGTAAGACCCTTTAATGAGGGCTAGTGTCAAAGGACACCCACAGTGGTGCTAACACTGATTGTTCAAGCAGTCCATGTGGTTAGGAACAAACGAACTGGCACCAATTGTGGCCAGCAGGCTGTCATTAAATGCACTTTTTTTCTTATGTCCTCCAGTGTTTGGACCAGACAAAGGCGTTTGTGTCGGTTTTTGCAGCTAGCAACAATAAAGTCAATGTGTCTGGCTTTAACCTTTGACATCTGGGAAGATCATAAGTTAACATTTATAAGGACGTTATGTAGGTATTTTGATTATGTTGGACCATGAAAGCCAGAGGAAAATCCTCTCCAACAACCAAGCATGATTGTTATCTCAGGCACAGAAATGTTCAGCAGAAAAGAGAGATTTTCAAAACACTGCAATGCGATAGCAGAAAAATGTGTTCCAGACCACCTCTGAATGAGGTCTAATGAATGGGAACTCAATACATACTGTGTATGTTAACATACGTTCTTGTTGCTGCCCTCTTGTTCAAATGGTTTAAGGTGCTTTTCAGTCTCGCGTAAACAAGCTTTCTCTTTCCTCCTGTTTCCTTTTTTTTTTTTTTGCCATTTTCCAAACACAAAAGTCTGACACCGCGCTGTGAGGTCTGAAAGGTAAGCAAAATGTAACAAGCTGGTCATTTTCTCAAAAACCTACTGTGTGGAGAACATCCCACTGGGAGTGCTCACACATACACATACAGAAATAACACCTAAAAAACCTCTCCTGAGACTGCACCATTCAGCAAAACAAAAAAAATTGGAATAAGCATCTTTTCTGTTGCTGTCAGACATGAAGGGGAGCAGAAAAGGCAGGAAAACATGGAAAACAGAAGTAGCTCTCCCTCGAGACCATTGGTGCTGTTGGGCAGAATTTGGTTTGATTTGTGCATTTAAATCAGTGATAATGCAGCAGCTTTTAAACTGCTGGAAACGTACTGTGAGAACCATGAAAAGATAGGAAACAATGGGACAACCATATTTTGCACATGACCAACTAACACTGCCCGATTATTCAAATTCGATTATTCAATTCCACTTGAGTTTCCCACCTCTCGTTGAAACTGCGCCCTAATTAGACACACCTGTATCTCGTTACCATCTGATTATTTGTGCATTCAGTCCCTGTGTCCTCCTCCTCCTCCAGTTCCTCCTGTGTACCCTAGTATTGCGCCACTCTGGCATTTATTACTCATGAGTTTCCTTGCGTTATGACTCTTCTCTGTACTTTTGACCCTGTCTTTTTACCTGCTCCCTTTAGACTCAACATTAAAGTATTCCTTTTTTTTTTCTTTCCATATGCCCTTTTGTGAGTCTCCGTCAGTCTGTTTCAAATGGTTGCGTCAAGTCCCTGATCCCATACCGTGATCCTTAACGGTTATTGGCCATCCCTGATTCAGTGGCAAAACTTGTGTTCCAGGTAAACTTACCAGGCTGTGTATCAACAGGATGCAGCACAACTTTTTTTTACACTTTTATTGGTATTTCAGACTAAACCCCAATTTCCACCTCATTCGGAACAGCTACGAAAAGGACGTAGCGGCGATCGCAGCTGATTGTAACCATTGAAGTCAATGGGTTAATATCCACTTGCTTCTTTCCGTTCCGCTGCAGATCGCCGGACTCCGTTCTATTTTTTCGGACACTGGGGCATATTGGATAAATTCAGCACAGATAGACCCATGCTGGACAGGAAGTCAGTGCAGACACAAAATAAAACATCCGGCTTCTTTTCAAAATAAAACACTCCATGTTTCAGGTGGATCATATTTCACACCATGCAAACGGGCGGGGACGAACAAGTGAAAGGTTTACAGACAACATTTCACCCCTATGTCACCATGGATGAGGAGATGCTGATTTTAGAAGTCTAGAAGTAGATTTCCTCCCTTGGAAAGACACAATCTACTGCTTTTATGGTTAGCCTCTGTGGCTGTCTTCATAGAGACAACTCATTATTGCGTGATTGCTTGTGAATCTGTGGGTTCTTGTGAGTTCTCATGATTACCGCTGTCTGTAATCTGCAACAAAATTCGCCTAACCAACAGATCCGGTAGGAACTAGCGGACGGCGAAAATCGCTGCCATTCCGGATGTGGTAAAAACTGGGGGTAAGACTTACGGCGATGCATTGTAATCTTGTGACCTTGATGCTCTTGGTAATAGGATTCAGGGCCTAAATTAACGCATTTCTTTTGTAAAATACAGACTGTGGTGGTGAAGCTACTGCAGCAACTCTTTATCCAACAGTATATCCTTCACACACAAACTTATGTGATGTTATTATTTCTTTTGAACTTTAACACTTCTTATCATTTATCTTAACTTCCCAACATCTTAATCTCCCATATGCTCTCAACAGACTCTGAAGTCAGGCCTGTAGTTAATAATTAAGGGCAGAAAATTCTGAGTGATTTAAAAAAAAAAAAAAAGACAATAAAGCATGAGTCAATATTTTAATTAACAACATGGGAGGGGGACGAGTGGGCAATCTGAGAAAGAGGCAATGAATTTATATAGAGGAGGTCTAAAAATAAAAAATAAAAGTCTGAATTTGTTTTTCGGTCACCAGAGAAACACAACAAAGAGGTGGGGGTGTGAAAAGATTAAAGCAAGACAAACTATCAGCTGGAGGGTTACTGCAAATAGTCCTTTAGAGGAATGGTGGTGGAGAGTCACTTCATTCATTAAACCGATTGATTTATTGTCAGAGTTTCTGTTGATCAGTTTAGTCAACATAGAGACTGGGCACACGAGAGAGAGAGAGAGAAAGAGAGAGAGAGAGAGAGAGAGAGAGAGACAGAGAGAGAGAGATGGATCAATGGTGTTTTAGGAAAGAATTAAGTGGATAGAGAGAACAAGTCAAGGCAGAGTGTATGCATGTGTGCGAGCACCCATGGAGAATATTAATTTAGACATAACAAATGAATCTGTAACAACTCTACAGCCCATATACACTCCAAAATAATTTATATTTCTTTTATCTAATATGCTTTTCCCTCAACCACAAAACCCCACTTGTTGAATATATATAAAAATATTGATATTAATATTACCTTATCTAAGCAGGTAGAGAGTAAAGACTATGATAAATATGATATAATGTATTTTAGATGCCCTAACTTACTTTGTCTCACAGACACACAAATGCACGAACACTTGCACACTCAAACAAGTCTAGAAGAAACTACCAGAGAAGCACCAGAAATCCACACTGTCAGCAGAAGCACACAAGCATCACTGACAATAAAATGCAAACAGTCGCATCTCCTCCTCAGTATATACTGTATATTGCATTTCACAGGTCTCAAACACATCTTCCCCATGACAGTATCATTTTAGGAGGAGAAAAACATTTTCTCTTCCCTCAGGCATGCTGAGTTCACCTCTTTTAGCACCGCCTGGGCCTCAACCACTCATCCTCATCTTGTGCATCGCCCAAGTGGCTAACTTGGCCTCCGAACAGAGAACTCAATTGAAGCTAATTGGTCTTTTTCACATAAAGAACACAGTATGCCTGATGACGCCTACCCAGTGTTATCACACAGGGCACTGAGCCAGCTGAAACACATGTTGCCCGCGGGCTATGAAGCTAGCTGTGAAACTACAGAAAAAGTTTGAGGTCATTTTCTAAAATTACAGCCATCTGCAGGTTTCATGACCTCGGTGCTCTTATGCCTGTGGTGGTCCCAGCAAGCTGCTCCAGAAGTTCAATGAATCAAAAAAAAAATCTGTTTTAAGAGGAAAATTTGGTATTCAAATTGCGTAAGATATTTTCATTATTAGGTTTCTCAGTCGAAATGTTGCCGGGGTTGTAGATGGACAACTAGAAAACAGAAGACCTTCTCTGTGGAGACAAAGGAGATCAAAATCCAAAGAAACAACAAGGATGATTAAAAAAGGTGGAGCAACAAAAACAAATCCAGATAGAGAGAGAGAGTTTAGGGACTTTGACCAAATGATTTCGCACGGGGTCGTGGGGTAATCAGACGAACATTTGACAACCACAAAGGCAGGAAAGTGCAAAAACTGTGAGTGCATCAACACAAAAGGAGAAATGACTAAATGAGGAATATTGCATAACAAGTTTGAGCTCATTAAAGTCGATCCATTCATATGTGTGAAGTGCACTGGGTGTACATTGTGATATTACTGTGTGACTATAAAGCCCTGAATGCATGACTTTTAAAATAACCCATGCATAAGCCCCAAGCTTGCCTTTCTTCCCCTCTGCCAAACCCCAGTTTCAGCTCACACCATCGGGATCTCAGAAATCTGCTCTCCTGCGGCTTCATCGGGCACCATCTGCATACCATGGCGGCTGGCATGGCCCCCAGCTACTCCCCCCACAAACCCCCCTCCAGCAGTTTCTAGCAGGTCAGTCCAGTTCTTCTTTTCTCCACCCCTGGGTGACAGACTTCATGATACACAGATTTCTTCTTCTTTTTTTTTTTTTTACACTCAGGTTGTAGCACGCACAAGTGGAGTCATCATTTTTGGACGACAGGCCTCTACAAAACCCCATCCATAAACTCTGAACCTTATATTACACCATCCACTAATGTATACCTCAGCATGTGCCAAGCCCTCAGGCCAGATGTGTAGAATCAGTGGCACGAATGATTAATAACCCACAGTGCTCATTTTTGGCCTCATGTCGGAAGGGAAAAAAATAGAGTGAACTGCCAGTACTCGTCTGGAACAGCACATCCGCCGGCCTCCTCAACAGATATGAGTTTATAGCTGCTGGAATGGTGCCACCCAACGCTCAAGGTCGGTCTTTATCCCTGCTTCTGGACAGACGGGTGAGGGACACTAGCCCTTAGGCAGACCAAAGAAAAATCCACCCCCTTTCCCTGTGGATATATGACAGGAGTTCTCAGGGGGGATTAAGTACAGCAAGAAGATGCCACAGGGAAGAAGCTGCCAAGTTGATGATAATCACCACCCTGCCCATGTGTGGGAGTTAAAAGAGCAGCCACCTCCACTTTTCCTCTGTGGGTCCAGTTCCCTGTTATATGTTCTCCTTAATCTAACTGACCTATTCCTGAGAGCTGAGGTATACCTTGAGTAATTTAGGCCCATTTATTACCACTGATAGTCATTTAGCAGCGTTATGAGAGGAGAGCTATGGTGGCTTACAGTGGCAAAACACTGCAAAAACATTTCCATGAAGCTCAAGCCTCAAAATTTACCTACAAAAAATGACATTAAATACAGCAGCAAAGACATGCAGCCATGCCGCTAACAGGGCTTCACACTTACTTTTTCACAAGGAGCACATGTGCTACTAAGCTGAAAAAGTAAGGAGCACACAGAAAACTTTAGGGGCACAATTAAAATTGATCAAATAATGTTTGTCTTATTGGTCGACATAGGAACTATTATTTGAAATCGATTTAAGGTCAATTGGTCACGTGACATGGAAGCTATTGGAAAAAAAGATTCAAAATTTGCCTTTAAATTAAACACAAAAAATTTTAGATGACAAATTAGGGAAATAAAGAGGTGTGTCTTATTGTCTGATCTTAGTACTATTATTTGAAATCAATTTCAAGTTAATTGGTCTCATGACATGGAAGCTATTGAAGGAAAACAACCTTTTTGAGAACATCAACTAGTAATTTATTGATGGTCCCTTATTCAACACCCGATGTTGACAGCGACGGTGCCAAGTAGATTTACCCATGCTGCTGTTGCTATTCCCAGTTATAGAGAGTGAGAAGACACCTGTTGATCCACAGTCAATGTCCGCTTGAATAGCCAACCTGAAACTAACTTCACCACGGTATTTACGTGAAAAAGTATTTGTTGCCTTGGCTGACCTTTTTGTATGTGTCCCTTAATACATTTTACAGTTTGCACGCATTTATTTTCAGTCTGCAGCAGTTGGCTTGTATCTTTGAGGCTGTGGCCAGGTTCAAAAGTCTGTAGGTAGCTTTATAATTGAATGTGTACTATACAAGTTTGCAATGTACATGTAATTGCAGCATGTTGCACTGTTGCTCCCATTAGCCACTATACAAAACCCACACGTATTAACATATTGCATCAGGCTGACGTCGGTGGTATGAGTCACATCTTCAAAAACAGCTAAAAAATGCTGTCCATGTTTTGTTTATTCCCATTCAAAATAGGCTATTATCAATGGTAGAAAAAAAAAAAGGCCTACTTAGCCCTGATTCAGCCGCACATAACCCCCGCAAGTTGACCTCAAACCAAACAGGGCTGTAATATCCCCTGAATAACCTGATGTGGCTTGTTTTAGCTGCTCTCCACTTATATTAAACATAAGGAATTCATCAGAGGTGAAATAAAATGCTGTGTGAATACAAAACCAAAGAGCATGATGGAAAAGAGCAGACGGGCACAATGAGCTAAAATAAAGCTGAAAGCAAAAAAAAGGGGGAGACAAAAGGGGAGCGGGAAGCGGAAAAAGGCGAGACAGATAAAAAGGACTAAAGTGAAAGCGCATTACTGGAGGAATAAAAAAACAAGTGAAAGTGAAATGACAGAAAGGAGTTAAGGTAATGATAGGGAGTATTAAAGGTAGAGAGAGTACATATGAGGGAGAGAGAGGCTCAAATTTGCATTTCAGTTGGTGTGTCCTCCTTTTCTTGTTTTATTATCTGTCACAATAACAGGTGTATTCTGCCAGGGGTGAGCGGGGTAATAATGTGACCCATGTTTCCACTGATAGCAGGTATTAAATTGAACCCAAGACAAACACAGTCACTTCACCAAGATACGACCTTGAAGAGAAAAATGAAATAAAAATGTCCACTGTTACAGCTCTTCCTCTGTGCTCTTCTCTGAGCAGGGGGTAATTTAAGATGACTGATTACAGACTTAACAGCTAGAGTAGATGTTTGTAACTCAACGTCTTCTCCTCATACAGGTTTGAATCTGGCATCAGCTCTCTTGGTTCTGATGTGCCAAATAAGGGAGGTAATTAGCTGCAAAAAAAAGATGGCCAAAACCTTGAGACTAACCATAATGGTCTGCAAAGAGATAATTAAAAAGCAATTGGCAAGAGGCGTTTGAAACACTTCTTTTATTACCCTGCACAGTAGAAGGATAGGCACAAATGAATCCTTGGCACAGGTACGCTTCTTGAGGACGGTGTTTCTTCAGTGGTTTAACCATCTGCCAGCTGTGAAGATTTTCATGCTGTGCTTAAAGTGTGGTTTGGTTGTTATTGTGTTTTGATTAAAAGACATTTCAAAATAAATATGTCATTTGAAGGAGTCGTGAAAATATTCAAAAAATGCTGAAAGCTTTGGATTAACTATTCCTCCTTACTAGTGGTATTTTGCTTTGGCAGTCTTTAATTTTTCTCATGCAGTGTTAAACCCCCTTTAAAAAACAACATCTTTTGAAAACACCCTTGTTTTATTTCTTTGCACATTTATTTGCTGAGATAGTTTTCCCCTCTATTACGCACTTTAAAACTTGGAGTTACAGAGAGACGATGGTTTGCTTAGTTAAGTGGTGGCAGGGAGGAGCCTTGCATGGCCTTGTTGAAAGATTAAAATAAACAAACTGATGGAGATTAATGAAGTATCATATACCAAGGATTGAGTAAGTTGCACTGGAAGATGTAGTGGATTTGTTGGGGTGTCCAAGAGGGAAAAGGGGTTTTAAGCGATCTTTCTACAAGAAGATTTTAGCTGTTTTAGTCAAAGTCTACAATGTGCAGATTCTGTGCAACCGAATCTTATCATTATCTTGCTAGCATTGTTACTAGAATGAGCTCTTTTATGCACAATTTTGTGGTTAAAGTGGGATTATTTTTTCCTGTATTGAGCAGGTTTTTGATTATATTATACACTATATGATAATATGTGATAAGTATTTAAAAGGATAATCCGGCATAGAATTAATTTGGGGTCAAACACACCGTAACACAGAACTAGACACCCCTCGAGATATGAATGTTGCCGACTGCTTGCTTCTCTAGTAAGAACAACTTTCGTAACGACCGCATGATAGCAATACACAGCAGTCTGAGGAGCCATAAACAAACCTCAACCAAAACGCCACTCTATAGCCACAAATAATGCTCAGAACAGCACCTAACTTCATCAACAGTACGTATAGGGTCCTAGCCACAGCACTAGCCACCAAACATCTTTTAAACTTTGCCTGATTTCTTTAGCAAAGAGACTAAACACAACTTACCTACTTTCTTCCAGCAGCCGCTTGTTTGTAGCAAGACTTCAGGCCAGTCCATTATGGACTACAGCGGGGTGACACAGCTCAAGGAAGAACATTTATGATCATTTCTTTATCATTTCCTTGAAGTAATAATCACCATATTAATCATTTTGCACTGCAGACGCGGTAGTTCTTCTGCCTTAGCGTCTTGGTCTGATTGCATTTCCATGAAGAAATGGGGTGTCTAACTCAGTGTTGCGGTGTGTTTGACCCTAAATTAATTTTACACTGAAATACCCCTTTAAGTAAAACAACATCCAGTGTACACAATCTTTTTGTATTGAGAGTGTCTTCTTCAAGCTAATACTGGGCATAGCAGGCAAGAAATTTTGCCGGAACAGGAAGTTACTTAGAACTTTAATTGGTTTGCTAGCAGACAGCTAAACCAGATATTATTACGTCATACAAAGTCACATTCATACATTTACCTGTGTTCTTTACTTGTGCGGATAAAATATAGCCCATGTGTTCTGCATAATGATGGATATGATACAACCTCAAGAGGTGGAGTACTTATGATATATTTTTCTGTTCAGAATTAGCATTACAATTTTAACTGATAGCAGGATGTTATACAATAGCATTGGTATTTTTGTCACTGTGGGTTAATTTGGGTGGTGGAACGGGAGACAGTAGGAAAGAATAGTTATCTGTAGGCTAGTTGTGTTATGCTAGTTGTTGTCAGGCACCAAAGATGCATGAAAGTAAATAAAAATAATTCTTCATAAAAAAAAAAAAAAAATGTTTATGTTTAGTTGTGTGTGAAGAATGCTCTCGAGGTTAGTGAGAATTTTAGCCATGGGACAGGCTAACGAGTCTTCCTACAGTGCCTCCTGACTCTGGTTGAAAAGTTTAGCACAGTGAGATAGAAACAGCAAGCGAGGCATAGCTGGTTTTGAGAAAATAAAATAAAAAACAGAATCATTTCAATAAATCAAAAAGTTCTACTGCATGTTTAACACTATGAAATAATAAATACTGTGTTAAAGATATTGTTAACCTTGTGAAAGATAGCAAACCCTCTTATCGTGCAAATATCTGCAACTACACGTATTAGCTAAATATTTATAACTACTTTTAATAGTTTTACAAATGTCTAAAGAAAAAAAGAGTAATATTTTAAATGGTGCTGGGATTTTTAAGAGAATTTTAGATAAATATTGGTTGGTCTTATTAATGTTTGGCTTCACAGATGGCTGCACAGACTTTGTAATAACTGCCCCCCTAGTCAATATCCCACATGCTCATCAATCACATATTAAATATGAGGCCAAGTAATAAACCCTCTTCCAGCCAGTGGAATGGTGCTGCGCTGCATTCCTCACATACTCCCCCTTTCTCTACCAGCGCTGACCCACTTTTTCACGCTCACCTCTGACCTCTCCCTGAATAATTAAGCAAAAAAGTATTTCAGAAACCCAAACACGAGAAGTGAGTGCAGGAAAGCTGTACACAAACATAACGGAGGAGAAAGCGAGAGAGACAATGCATCCTATTTTTAAAAAAAAGGGCAAGAAGTGCAGAGAGAGTGGAGAAATGAAAAGGGTAAATATTAGAAAGATTGATGGACATGTAGAGGTGAGCTAGTTAGAAGGAGGCAGAGAGAGGAGACAGATCTGATCAAACATTCAGCTGGTGTGGCCTTGTAAAAGGAAAAAAAAACAGCCAATGAAGAATGCATTCAGCTGGGAATTTATTCATAGATGTATTTATAATGCATGCCCACAGAAGGAATGACTTCCCATGCATCTTCTCATAGCATGTGTGTACTTGTGCGCGCGTGCATGCCGGAGCAGAGCTGTGTGCTGTAAGTGTGAGAGTGTGATTTCCCACCATGTGCAGCCTGTCTGGGAGACAGGACTGGTGCTGATTGATGAGAGGACGTTTGTTTTAACGAGCCTCCGGAGTGGATTCACCTTGAGAGAGATTTGGATTCTCACTTTACACGGCTTCTCCTGCTGTCTGAAGATATCTCAAACACACACCATCAGTCTGCTGCTTCTGTGCGTGTGTGTGCGTGTGCTCATCATGTTTGTTTATTGCTGTGGCTTTTTCTCCTATGTATGTTTGTGCTGTATGTGGGATACCTCTGATAGGCCTGCATTTTTTGTACAGCTGTGAGCAAACTGGCGCTTGTCTATGTGATGTTTGTTTGGGTAAAGCAAGTATGAGGCTGTGTTTATGTGCCTCATAAATTATTGACTGTGAAACATTAGAGAAGCCATAAAACAATAGCTCTGTCATAAGTTATTTTTATGAGACTGCCAGTTTTCACCTGAAATATGAAGAAAAAAAACTTTGAATGTCCTTGAAGTAATCAAGTAATTATGTTTAAAAATAGTGGAATCAACCTTAACAATATCTACCATGGGAATCTCTAAGCCTCAGCGCTCCCACAACCCACACAGTCCTGGAGTAAAGTACAAAAGGACAAGATCTAGTTCCCTGTACCTGCAGCTCTTCTTTGTAGGCTCTCCAAGCCAAACGAGAGATATTCAAATTTCTTTATTCCTGAAAAACAGCCAAATCAGACAATGTTTACAAATAGCCTGACAGTTTATCTTGGAGTCTCTAATCCCTTGACTATTATTTTTAGCATGATGGGAGATCCTGGTGTCCCTGTCTTGCTTTACATTCTTACAGCAAGGCATTACAACAAGGTACTGTAGACCCCCACAGTGAGGTCTGCATCAGGGAGGGGTCAATGAAGCATTTAATTGGCTGAGTCTTAATGCTCCATTAAATTTCATTAGAATTGAATACAAAAATAGCCTTCACTAAAAGTCTCATTGGTCTGCAGTGTTTGCAGATCTCTATGGAGGCTTCTTGACATTTTCAATATTGAAGGGTTATGTATACCTTTGTATACCCATTAAGCCTCTCTTTATGAGCTCAATTATACACTTGGTTTGGAAAAGTTTTGTTAAGTTTTGTTTATCTGATGCAACACTGAATAATTCTTTTGTTAGTGTTTGTATGTCTGTAACTTTGTTGAAACTTGTGAAAAAGAGATTTTCAATCTCAATCAGGCTTAAATAAATTAGATAAATAAATAAATTAACTCTTTAGTTCGGATAAACATAGCTATGTTACCAGACATGCGACGAGAGGAAAATTTACACTACCCAAAACAAAAACAAACTTAATAAAGCAGATGGTTATGTACAGAGCTGTGCAAGTATGGAACAAATTACCAGAAAACATTACACAAGAAGATAGTAAAATCATTTTTAAGAACTTAGTCAAGAAACACATTTTCACAACAGAAATATAAAATTGAATATTTAGATGGCAAGTAATGTGTATGAGTGTGTATGTATGGATGTAAATATGTGTGCATATATGTATATATATATATATATATATTATATATATATATATAGGGTGAAAGAAAAGTAAGGCTTAATGTGTGCCCGATATACATAATATATGTAGATCTGTGGTAATATTATATTATGAAATGTAAATACTATAAATTACTGCTGACTTAGGAGCTATCTGTTATTATCTATGTATTGTTGTATTGTGTATTTGTATGTATTCTGTTAGTTTATTTGTTTGTGTTTGTTTTATGTATTATTATTATTATTACTTATTTATTCATTTATCTATATATCTATTTATTTTTTTACATGGAGCATATTATATGTGAGATATTTGCATTGATATATTGTAATCAAATCAAATCTATATTGGATTTGAGATGCAGCATAAAATTGAATCAATTATTCTAATTGTACTTTCAATTAAAACTGAGAGTAGAAATAAAAATATTTTTAAAATGTTAAATAGTGCAGCTGTCTCTTACAGAAAAGCATTTGTGAATCCCCGTTTCAAAACGATGTCCAAAGAAAAGCGCTATACTAATATTGACCTCTACGTGTCGCCGTAACAAGCCCTCACTCTGCTGCTCAGCACTCGGTGAGCTCTCTGTGCTCTCTTTGTCTGTTTACAGTCTCAATGGCGGAAGTCACTTCATTTCGTAAGTTTTTGTTAATTATTTACACAAACAAACAATGAAAATTTAAATTAGTTCAGTCATTATAATAGTCTTGTAACGCGGTGTCCACGGGTGTGTCATTTTTGCCAGGATAGCGTGTTTTTTACCTGTAAGCGGTACATGCGCGTGCAGCTGTGTGCATCACTCCCCCTGTCAGAACTGCAGAGGAGATTTAAGAGCTGAGAGAGTGAGGGGAAAAACTGATGATCGGAATGATCGAGTCCGAGTTTTAAAGGAGTTCGTGCCACGGAAAACTCATTAGAGTCGGGTAATGTTAAAGCAGCGTTTGATTCCCATATTTGGTTATGTTTCCGGCTATAATTAGAGTGATACAACATCAGCTGCTGATCTTAAACGCACAAAAATTCGACCATATGTCCAAATAATCAACATGTGGTCGATTATTTCTGCAGATGAATAGACAAAATGTTTATTTGTGGTCGACTTTTGACAGTGCTAGGGATGCACTTGCAGCTAATTAAAAAAAACATACAAAAAGTAATTGTAGTCCCAATTTTTAAGGATACTAACCGCTGTAATAACCCGATAATACACTATAATAATGCCTCAAATAAATACTTTTTTTTTTTTTTTTGTTATGTCTTGTTCTTGAACAGAAATGCATTAAGTTTATTTCCTTTTTTGGGGAACAGTTTTTGAGAACAAAAGCTTACACTATTCCATCAATGCGCCTCAAATTAAATAATTTGCCTATAAAATATCATCAAGTATTACTAAACTACTTTGACTGACATATTACTGACTGAAATCCAAATGTGGTAGGGTCAATAGAGTGGAAAATGTGGTTAAACATTCTTCAGGGAAGGAATTCTGTTAAAGGTTAGATAAGAGTGAGTTATTTTTGTGGCAGCTGCAGGCAGGATACGCTCATGTCTTTCTTTTTCTTGTTAGATCGTTGTATTGTTAAGCTTTAAAGTGAACAGGAAGAATATTAGACAAGGATTTTGTGGTTATATGCTTTTGATGATTATGTTAGTTTCATTCTGGTAGAGGTAGAGGCAGAAAACTTAACTTTATAAGGACTTAATAAAGCTCACTTCTAAAAGTCAAACTGACATTTTGTTTTTCAGTGTTTTTTTTTTTAATTAAACAGTTGTTTACAGATTATTCCAGATTTCTTATTATGCACACTTGTTGAAAAAAGTTACAACTCCCTTGCTTTTCAGGGAGTTGTAACCACATTAATGCATGCTCACTTGGTCCCTCTGCTTAACTAACACACACCAAGTCCTCCTGCTCCCTTTCCTGACAGTTCTGCATCGCAGGTCCCCTCTGAATACAATTAACAGTAACTTTTCGTACTCCCAAATTTTGTATCACACTGATCCCAGCATGGTGATACATGTGGCCAGTAGTTGTTTAATCTTGATTAATGATCAATGGAGGCCGGTAATTTTGTAAAGTTTGTAAATAGCTTGATTTCTACCTGTTGCAATTCCTTGTTTATCCTTATTAATTTAGATTTCTATTCTACTTCTACTTCTATCTGTATTTTTAAGAGCAATATTCAATGTTGTGTGGACCAGGACTGGGGAAATGTTGTTCTTCTTTGCTTTATAGTCACATCCATATAATGTTAGCAAACAACATGAGTGATTTAAACAAAATCTTGAATTATCACTTAAAACAGTCCTGCTTTAGTAACAATGTCATGTCTCGGGTTTCAGTGTTATCCTGCTCTTGCCTGGTGTGTGTTGGTGTTGATATTTAGTCTGCGTGTTTCAGGCGAGATAATTAGCCTCGAGGATTGCTGGGTCTAAACTGATAAGGGTGAATTTAATCGACTTCTTTAAGATGAAAAGAGGAAGAAGACAAAAGACGAAAAAGATAAACATGAGAAGAATAGCAACAGTGTGTGTCCTTCTCTCCTCATTTCCAGGTGAGTGGGCTGATTGAAAAGAGGTCTCCTGTGGATTTTGGCCATGGATGAAGAGATGACGCCTTTGGACTGTCTGCTGCCCTCAGGTACTGTCTTTCAAATGCACAGCCTCCTGAAGCGAGCGCTCTTGAATTCAATCAATCAAATTCACACGTCTATACTGAGGCCTGACTGATAAAGGAGAAGGGACAGCGAGCTGACTCGAGCTTTATTACAGCAGCATATGTGTTTTTCTGATATTCACCTTTGCCTTAACTTCTTTTCAATACCGCACAATGCAGATATGATGTGCATTCATGTCTCCATTCATTTTTGTGCCTTATCACTGTTGTGTTGAGTATTCCACTTTCCTGTGAATACAAGCTTTTTGCCAGTATAGTAGGGTTTAGTATTTATAAATATGCCGTACTTTGTTGAACTTTTACCAACAGACAAAGTTAACAGCTACAACTCCTGCTGTGAATCACAGATTGTTACGTTGATATGTTAATCATTAATGACCATCTGTTATGCAGCACACATGGTCAAATTGCTAGGCCGCCCTATCCTAGCAGTAATGTGTGGCTAATGTTGGCAGAATTACACCGCCAGCCTTCAGTCGGCCTTGCAGATCAATGTCCAAATGTCCGACCTGTTGACACATATCTCAGGTTAAATGCTGGTTCAGCCTCACACACTCAAAATATAACTTAACCACAAAACTGCTACAAAAATGGCATCTGTCATCGCGCTTGCTTACATCCAGGTAGTCAAGCATTACCGCTAGGACTGGGCGATTATATGATCGTGATGTATTTCAGTTAGATCACAGTGATCAGCTGTGAGCATATTTACTCGATTAAACATAGGAAATGTGCGTGACAACAGCCAATCAGAGTCAAGCCTTTCCTGTGCACTTCTGTAAGTTGCCAGAGAAGTAAACAGAGGAAGTAAACAGAACGACCAAACGTGGAGGTGCCATTGTTGAGAGGAAAAGTTATTCAACATCAGTTGTGTGGCGGTGCTGTGGTTCGGGTATCTCCAAAGAGACGTTGAGCGATTAAGCCGATGTGTAAGGTATGTCGGCGGTTGGTGCCCTCAAAAAAAGGCAACACAGCAAATCTGTTTATACTTCGAAGAAGTACTTCCCGAGTGAATATGCGGAAAGCATGAAAATGCCAGCGGAGTCTCTACAGCCTGTCACTACTGACGGCACGAGTAGAATTAGCAGTTTAGCCACAACTAGCAGTGCAGCCACCAGAGCAAAGCAGCAACCAATCGTATCATCTACGTTTCCATCATCTAGTGTTAACATTTTAAGGTGTCTGTATTATCCCTGAGGGAGCAATTTGTTTATTGTGGGTCTTGCAGACCTGCAAAAACACTGAGGACCATAAACTAGTTCACTGTATTATTTAGTATTTATCCACATTTGTTGTACTGTTAAGTTAAAATGGTTTTTTTTTTTTTTTTTCTATGTTTATCTTATTCAGTTAACTTTGTTATTTACTTTGTATGTTAATTAAATGTTACACTAATCCCTAGTTTTTAGTACAGATACATTAAAACTGGTAGTTAAAAAAAAAAATACAAAAAAAATCGTGATGATAATCGAGATCGGACAATATGACAAAATATATCCTGATCTTTCTTTTTTGCCAAATCGCCCAGGCCTGATTACTTCACAGTGGCATTAGACACGAACTGGACCTACAGCCCCTCCTAGTAGTAGGTTGTTTGGTGACAACTAAGGCTGACATAATGACTGACATTTCAGTTTAACAATAGTAAAAAAAAAGTGAACAGCAGGTGTAAATGCCTGATAAGTTCTAGCGACGACCGCCAAGGGTGACAATGTTCAATTGTTTAGTCATTTTCACATGCACGTTGCAGGTTCCCACAGTAACAAACAACTCTCATCATCTTGCATCAGAAATCGAATCAAACTGCAAAATACAAGAGTGAACTAGCTCATCCTCCTGCCTCTCAGCTCTGGAAGATCTTGTGTTTGTTTAGTTTCTCCCACACTGCCTTGTAGTCCATATTTGCTGACTTATGGTTGGCAAATACAACATAGCAAAGCCCTGCATGCCAATCTCAGTGCTTCAGAAACCGCATGCTGACGTCACTGTGGCTGTGTCCGTTACCTCTACAGTCTATGATTAACACAGGCCACAGCTTGAGTGTAGGACACCCACACACAAACAAGGACTCAGACACAGACAATCTGTATGTGTCTGATCAAAACACGCACTCGCACGCACACATCACTGTCACACTTGTGTTGTTGTTTTTTTCTGCTTCTTCCCCCTCACTCTGACACACAAACCATCTTAGGGGAATTCAAACTCAAAAACAAATCACTCGCACTTTCATGACAACAGTGTGCGTTTGTATGAGATGCACTTCTCTGGATCCTTTTTTTGTTCCGCTGTGTTCATAATGAATCTTTACAGAAACAGGGCTTGATGTGTCGGCTTGTTATGTTAGCTGTTTGAGGAAAACAGACTTCGAAGAGGCATTTTGATCATTGAAGTGATTCTAAAAATAAATAATCCTGCTCCTGAATAAAACCCTGTCATCTAATGAATTCGCTTTGTTCAGAAACGGCACAGGAAAACAAAGCTCGAAATGACACAAATAAACCCTATTTAGTGCATTTTCTCTGTTTGTGTGGCATGTAAACACATCATGGTAGAAACATATCTGTCGATCCCCTAAAATCAATCCTCCAGATGGTCAGCGCTGACTGCCTGTCAAATCTGAGGAGAAACTGATTTTGGCTGCCCTTAGCTTGAATTCTCAGGTCAGTGTTGATGTAAGCTCCCTTGTGGTTTGTTTGTGAGGTTGGAAAACTCATACGGGCCTAAGGGCTGGTTTTACTCAGAGATGTAAAGGTCAAGGCAACGGTACAACACCTTGGCCTGTACAGAAGACATCAGGAGCATGTAGTTCTCTCCATCTATATCTACTTTTTATTGCAGCCACGGTTGAGAAAGTTTTTTTTTTTTTTTTTTTCCTGGATGAATTTTTCGAAGAGCATTTTGCTTTGACTTGCACGAGAATATTTTTTGTAATGCATTATGTAACAGGTAAAGCTTAGAGTTTTAAGGACTTAATACATAAAAAAAAAACCAATAATTGAGTCTTAGAGGCATGAGTCACATCTCTGTTTTCATTGATCAATGTGGAAAGACTCTGGTCTAAACAGTTTTTCAAGTGTCCACTAGGGGCGGGCTTTAGAGTGCCATTTAGATCCCCAAAAGTAAACAGTAAACATGTTTACAACATGGAATAAAATGGTTTTAGTCTGAAGCAGAGACTGTTAATGTTTTTAAGAGTTTTTAAGAAGAGGCTCAAGACTCACCTAACCAGGCTTTTCACTAATTGCCTTTTTATATTTCTCTTATTGCAAATGTTCATTTTAATCAAAGTTCTTCATGTTTATTTAATGTTATCTTGTTAATTATCTCTGTTCTTAGTCTTTTTCTTAATTCCCGTCTTAGAGGTTTTTACTTCTTTTACCCCTTTTTTCATGGTAAAGAGTTCTTACTTATCTGTTCATTTCAGATTATTTTCTTGTTTTAGTCCATCAGGTTTTAGTCTTTCTTTTTACCATTTTATCTTTTATTTGTTATCTTTATCTCCAGTATTTCCCAAAGGTAGCTCTTCCCTCACGTAATGTCTCAGTGTCAGGCCATGTCTCTTTAACAATATATCTTAAATTCTCACACTGTGTGCACGCACGTGTGTGTGGGTCCATGGGTGGGTGTAGTGCTGGGCGATTGGACGATATATATCGTTGGCACGATAGAAAATGTCTATCGTGCCATTTTTATTCTTATCGTTTCGGGCGATAGGTTGTATTTAATCCATAGAGCTTGTGCCATCAGATGATTCATAGTAACAACAACAATAATTGCACATTCAGTAAGTGTATTTGGTGTCGAACGGGAAAGAAAACAATATTTTCTTACAAAGAAAAGGATGCGTTGACATGTAGGCTTGCATTTCTCTTTCGATTTTGCGACATGACGCCGCTTTACGTGCCCTCTTTATGTCCAGCGCCTCCCGCCGTTGCGGGTTACCTGGGTTACACACGTGAGGGGATCATTGTAAGCAGTGCTTAATTTGTGCCGGAGCAAGTTGGAGCGCGATCCGGGACCTCTTTTGATCGGATCTGGGACCTATTTCAGCCGCTCCGGCACCTGTTTCATCTGCTCCGGGACCTTCCCTGTGGAGGATGACTTTTTTCGGGAATTCCCGTGGGTCACGTGATTCCCGCGGGATGGGAGTCATTTTTTTTATTAATCTCTTGATCGGGACGGGACGGGGAAAAAAGCAACGGGAGTGGGCAGGAGCGGGAACAACATGAAAAGATGATCTTTTTCAGCCGTGTTTAACAATCAGATGAACAGGTGCGTCCATTTTTGTAGTCATCTCTCAGTGAGAGTAAACACTCTTGACCGCGCTAGCAACACAAAAGAACTACAACAGCGGTTTGACTTCCTGTCAGCTGGGAGCGCGGCTGCGCATTTGTACCCTTCAAGCCAGCAGCGAGGAAACGTAATTTTGTGACATTCTGTAGTTTTTCAATCATTTCTGGAGTCGTGGCGAATCCAATCACCTTACCTGTCTGCCCCTGATAGGCGAATAAAGCGCTCGGATTCATGCTCGGGTCTTGCTACGTGCTTCAAGAGTAAAGTAAACAATGATGGAGGCAGAGAGCAGCTTTGGAGGAGAAACATCCAGCAGTGTTAACAACCTCTTCAAAAGAGCCCTAAAGACCTACCTTTTTAATAAAGCCTTTGGTTAGTTTTCCTCTATGCTTTATGCTTTTACTACCTTGCCTCTTACATTGCAACTCTATATATTTTATTTTTTTTAAATTCTTTTTTATGCTAATCTGTGACTGTCATTCTATTGCTTTTTTTTATTGTTGCTGCTCTTTTTTTACTGTGTACTGTAGCACTTTGAGATTTTTTTGTAAATGTAAAGTGCATTACAAATTAAATTTATTATTATTATTATTATTATTATGGAGTGCTTCGGCTCACACTATCAGCGTTTTCTGTAAGTGTTACATAACTTTGGGTGAGCACAGACATGAACGCACTTCAGCCACGAATTTGTTTATTCATTTTTCTAGTTTTAAGTGCTGGTCTTGTACTGGTACTGTACTAGTGCAGCTGTATACACTTAAATTTTTCATAGAACTGAAAGCATACCATAGCTATATCGTGATATATATCGTTATCGTGATATAAAATGATCCATATCGTGATATACATTTTTTTCCATATCGCCCAGCACTAGGTGGGTGTGTGGGTAGGAGGGTCAAGTTTTATTGTTGTTAATTATTGTTTTGAGCCTCTGTGAGGCACTTTGAACTGCATTTTTATCTGAAAAGTGCCTTAAAAATAAAGTTGAATTTTAATAGCTCTTTTTTTTTCATTAATACAACTTACAAAGGGAATGGACCTTTTGTTTCTCCAAGTTGACCAAGAGTTATTAGTATTATTATTTTTTTAAGAAGGAATGAGTAACATCCTTAAAACTGTATCAACTTTCTATATTGTTTATGAGACAGAGAGTCTGCTGCAGCGTTTGTTCAAAGATATTTGCAGCTAAATTATGGCACACAAGTTTATTTAATACCTCAAGTTGGGCATGCAGCTGAGTGGAAGAAATACGCTGTGAACAAACACATTAAATTCTACTGTGAAATTGAGCATTTTAATATAAGCTCGTAATGATAAAATAATTAAAAAACTTTGCAGGTTATACAATTTGAGTTATCTGTATTATTCATCTGAATTCTTGGTATTGAGAGTTTCTCAGTCTGTTTGCATTATGAAGGCTGGAGGGACAGACTTTATACTAAACTACACGCCATTGAAAGCTAACAGTTGCATTATTGCGCTGATGTCTTTCCCTGCTTCTCATCTCTGATTGTTTCCAGTCTCTGTAATCCGCTTGTTAAACTACAAAGACCAGCGTAATTGTTCCTCCGCTTGTGCACATATGTTTGTTTATACTTGACATTCTCGCTCGCGTGCGCCTGATTCGTGACGAGCGAAACGCGGCGGCAGTGTTGATTTTCTATGCTTGCACAGCTGGAAAATCAATAACACGCAAAGGCCAACGTCAGTCAAGAGACACTCACTCCTGATAGGATGCTATCAGCGGCTCTTGAGCAGCCATTGAAACAAATGTTGACTCAAACGCATTAGCTTTGCATTACTGGCTGCTTTCTTGAGTTTGCTCACTGTAAAAATCCTAGATTTATTCGGAAGATTTCGCCAGGTGTGCAAATAATCCCTCAACACTGGAAGAACAAAGCACACACACACACACTCTCTCTCTCCTGATGGTTTTATTCTACTGATAAAGCCCTCCCTTGACATTAAAGGCAAAATATGTGCTTAAGACTCGTGTTATACACTTTTAATATGATTTCCCCACCTGAACATTACAGAAAACACTTCCAACCTCCCATTAGATAAGTTTAGTGGATATTTCTGTCTCGTCTTCAGTTAAATCTCTAGCCGAAAATGCTAATCTAGACTCTCATTGGAGAGTTGGGGGAAAAAAAACAGCCGCTGGATGTCTGTATTTTTAAAATCCCTTTCGTACATGAGTTGCCTTTTAAATTTCACCATTTAATTATAAATGTCTATTCCTGGAGTATCTCTGTGCAAGGTTGTATGCTTGATTAGTGTGTGTGTGTGTGTGTTATTTTGTGGTATTTATGCTGTCTAGCACTTTTTAAAGAACCCCAAGGTGACATATCTTTGAACGGAGTGCATAAGAGGCCACGCACCTCCTCATGCGTGTGTGTACGGGGAGGTGAGTGTTTGTGCGTCGGGGGGTTATCTGAAAAGTCACGCCTGGTTGGGCTTGTCTTTTGTTCCCTGTACACCCCGAGCCAATTAAGAGACAAGACTGACAAATCTACCCCTCCTCACCTACCCCTCCTTTTGCCCTCCTCTTTCTCCTCCTCCTCTGCATCTCTCCTTCATCCCTCCTTCCTTTTTCCTTTTTCCATTTTACCATACTCTGCTGGGGTTGACTTTCCGATTGGAAATGACCTTCCAGTGATGTGAACTTTTTAACAACATCAAGCCTGCTGCAGCTACAAAGTCACAAACCCAAAGGACTTTTTTTTTTTTTTTTCTTCACACCTTCTCAGCTGAGCCAGAATGCTCTTTACACTTGAGGGAATATATTTTAAGTTTTTTTTTCTTAAGGACACAAGGTGGTGCACATTCCTGAGAAGAAATATCACGACATCTAAACTCTGTTCTTTCACATTTAGCCTCAGACTGTATATACAACGCATGAGAAAAAGTGAAATGAAATCTGAAATATTTCAAGACTTTTTTTGCTTAAATCTTGATGGTTACAGCTTACAGATCCTGATTGTGGTTCCATGTACTAAACCAGAGTGAGAAAATAGAGTTCATTAGTTGATAAAAGCTCTTCTCAGGGCTGAAAGAATTGACAAGAAGCTGGATTTTTCCAAAATATGATTTTTGGTGTTTGTGAGCTGTAATCATCAAGTTGGAGCAGAAAAAAAAGGCTAAAAAAATTTCACTTTGAATGCAATGAATGTAGAAAATATGGAAATCTCACTTTTTGGACGAAACGGGCCATGGATTTTTCTTTTTTTATGCTCTGTTCAGGGTTTCCCCTAAATGCAATTAATTGTGGCGCACCGCCATGGCTAAATAAAAGCCACAACACCAACTTTTATCTCACATAGTTCTACCTCAGACTCATATGTATTAGCAGTGTTTCCCCACAACGTTATTTCCAACTTGATGTGAGTCATCAACGAGCGCATCAAATCCTGTCAGACCTTCCTCTATCAACGTGAAAGGTAACGTTCAAGCTTATACACGGTCTACATAGTGTGTAGCATTAATAGCATTAGTAGCATTATTATCAATGCGGCACTAATGATTTCGACTTGCACTGTGTGAGCACAACAACACAACATTATTTTCAACTTGTTTTGAGTCGTCAATGAGCGCATCAAATCCTGTCGGACCCTCTTCCACTAATGTCAAGGGTAACGTTTGAACTTATACACAGTCTGTATAGCGAGTAGCCAGGGTAATGTAACATGAATGTAACAGCGTAGCTCCTGGAGCGACAAGAGAGTGGGGTAACAACACGTGTGTAGCATGAGGTCAGTGTTTTCATCGAAGACCTAGCTTGATGTTGACGATGGTGGCTGTGGCGTTTCAGAAATATTCCACTCTGAGGGGCATTTTTAAAAGTTAACGTTTTAGGTCGGCTAAAACACTATTTCCGTTATCATGAGAAATTGATCTTTATGTCGTGACAAGGGAAAAAAAATGTTATCATGAGATAGTGATCTTATGTTATGTAGAGATAATGACAGTGAGTTGTTATCATGAGATACTAATGCATAAAAAAAGAAAAAATCCACGGCTGTCCTCGTCTTCCATTGACCAAGATGAATTGAGATGCACAATGGTTCAGATGGTTATTCTGAAGCGCCGCTCTTTTAAAATACTTTCTCTATCATGGTCATGTTCCAGTGACAGCTGGTGTGCCGCCAGGGTCAGGGTATTGAAATAACCTTTCATTCAAACTGAGCTGTATCATTATCTGTCATACCAAGAACAAAAATCCTCTGATTAATTTGTGATTCTGCTTCAAGTTTGAATAACACATGACCTTGTTGTGAAAAGAGAGGACTTTTCGGCTTCCTGTTGGGCCATCTAAAATTATCATAAAAGAGAAAAATACTTAGCAAATTTAGAAATGACAGAGTTTATATGAAACACCAGTAGGGATGTCAGTGAGGATGGGAACAATGTGAACAGGCTGAATCTGTGTAGAGTTCACGTCGTACTAGGTAAGGACACCTCTGTAAAGTTACGAATATGACTTTAACATAACTAATCATGCTTCCATAATTTGACGGTTACGCCCTATCATCCGTCTCTGTCAGAGTGTGTCTGATCCACACCTCTCCCTCTGTCATTCCTGCAGGCACGCAGAGGATCTGTCTGATCATCCTGAACCAGCCTCTTGATAAGGACTACCTACACATCCTCTGGAGTAAAGGTACATCTCACTCCTCTCTGGTACAGATCAAACATCTGCTCTTTGTACCACACGGGTCTGGTCTGCACTGAACTGGCACTGAGCATGTGTTCACGTGTCGATATTCGCTGGTCTGTGCTCTGTAGAACTGTGCAACCTTCATTGTGCAGAGTCTTAATTGCTGCTATGTTGCCGAAATATGAAATTGCCCCCTCGCTGCCCTCTGTGCACTTTCCCCTTGAGATATTATTATTAAAATTGAAGATGGTGTTATTTTTTTTTTTTCACAAAATAATTTGCCTTTCTGCAAGGCTGATTTTTATTCGATTCTCCTGCGGCTGCATGACCTGAAAATGATTATAGTCCAAATATGAGCCAATGATTCACCTTAAATGCATTCGCAGCTTAAAAAGGGAATGTTTTTTGGGCCACGGAGACCTTGAATCTTGTGCATCCTGATTAAATTGCACCATGATGCAGTTAATAAATCAGACAGGACATGAACATCACAATTTAAAATCTGTGACTAGCAGAAAGAGGGTCATTTAACATACTGGACAAACTGGTTCTTAAGATCTACGATAAACAATCTGAACGCCTTCCTTCGGTCATCTGCTCTATACTGCTTCACTGTACGATTTGTTTTCCTAACAGGTGCTCAGTCCTGTTGAAAGCAAGCTTTTAGCAATTGTTAAGGTCTCAAGGTAAAATGGTTGCACATCCATTCAGACTCATTCAAGTGTGTCTATATACACCACAGATAATTGGTTGGTAAATAATGCGAACACGCAGTAAGCGTCCATTCCACTCAGCAGGAGAGACACGGGGTCGATATAAACAAACCCACTAGACCTTAGACTCCTGTATTCAGACTGTGGCTTTTCAGTCACAACACATCAAGCCGTGGTGCTGACTCTGTGCTGTTGTTTACGACTGTGAGGCCTCTCGCAGGCGTCAATAAGGGGGAACTGTCTGCTTAGATGCGGGATATAGATAGACAGGAAATACTTAGGCAGGCACATTTCAGTCTCACTTACTGACGACGACACGTTTGCACAAAGGCAAGAAGCCTTTTTGGGGGCAGAAAAATTCCAACAAGACGCTCAAGCACTTATTCTGAGTCGGAAACAGAGGTTTATATTAAAACTGATTTGATTTCCCATGCTGTTAGAGTACCAGACATCTTCTTGGAGAAAAGACAGAAAGAAATGCAGAAAGCTCTTAATCATACACAAAGGTGTGGTACTGAGAAAGAAAAAAAAAAGGTTTTGAAAGAAGTAAGAGCCTTGGACTCCCTGAGGTGTCTCTTATGAGATAAGTTGACACCACTTGGCTGTGATGAATTAAAATGCAAAGCTGACTTTGAGCCTTTAAAACCAGACTATGTTTTTTTTTTTTTTTTTCAATCTGGGGTCTACGACTTTGTTTTTCTTTTAAACCTGGTGAACTGAAAGCAACAGTCTCACTGAACAGAACAAGGAGGCTAAAAAACTTGAGTTCAATGCGTTTCTATGCAGTTTGTCGTGACTGTCAAGACCATAAAACAACACCAAGAAAACTAGTGCTGGCACATTCATTCCTGATGAAGAGGATTCTCACTCAGACGCAGTCAAGAAAGAAAGAAATCAAAGAGAACAATCGTAAGAATCGGCCCCATTCACCCACTTCTTCGTAAGATTTTTCTTTAATGTTTTTCTCACCTGGGAAAGTCTGATGCTTAAACTGCTCAGCTGTTAGAGTGAAATAGGCTCAAGTAAAATCTGAAGTTATTGTCTTAATTTAAAGGGGAATCAATAAAATTTGGACCTCAGTTTGTTCTAGAATATGCAGCTTTAAAACTATTAAGACACGTGACAGATTTGTCATTTAAATACCTGAATGTAAAGCCAAGTGAGTGAGTTTCTCTCACAGTGTTTAAATAATTATCTCAAACATCTGTGTGTATTACGAATTTATCTTTGCGATTCTGACTTAAGATTACATGATTTAATGAAAGATCATTTTATTAGATAATATAAATGCATTTGTTATTAAAGCTCCTGTGAGAAACTTTCAGTTTGTGTCAGCTTTGGCACCCCCCTGTGGCTCGTCTTGTCCTATACATGCTTAGGTCGTGTCTTTCTCCAAAAATCTCATCCTGCTAACTTTTGACAGACAGATTTACTATCAATTGTTTATAAAGTTTATGTTGAAACTAGGGATGCACTGATCTGATATTTGGATCGGATATCGGCTCCGATATTGACAAATTAACCGGATCGGATATCTGATAAATGACTCTGATCCAGTCTTTTTTTTTTTTAAATTAATATCAAACACAGCAACACAGCGATTCTGTTCGCTCTATATTCTGTGTCTGTCTATCCTTTTGCACTAAATGTTTACATGGAGGTCTTGCTTCTTTTTGCTGTGTGCTAATGTGCAATTTGTTATTTGTCAATAAATTATATTAAGTAAACTTATATCTGCGTTGATTTGTTACCTTTTTCTAACAAGGCTAATGTCAGGCCTGATGCCTTCACTCACAGGGCAAGGTAAACAGTTCATTCATTCATTCAACAGAAGTATTGATTCGGTATCAAATATCGGCCGATATGCTCAGCCCAGGATCGGAAAAAAATGGATCGGTGCATCTCTAGTTGAAACTGTAAAGTAGAGCAGTTTCTTCAGTTGCTGGACTGACACCATCCCCTCACACTGATTCAAGGCATCAAAAAGAAGGGTTTAAAAATCATCTCTCTTGTCACTGATGGTCCTGTTTGCTTTCAGATATCATGAATAGGCATCAACCGTTCATTCTGGTGCTAGCTAGTGAGAGTGACAAGGTGTTTAGACGACTGAATTCAGACCCTTATCAGTGCTCAGATGTGAGTTAGTGATGGTGCACTTTGCTCTCAGCTGAAAACCCAAACTCTGGTGAATTTCTCCTTGAAAACGGAGGATGAATGAGGTCCAATGTGAGTAAACACAACATGTTTGAAGACAAACTTGCAGTTAAAACCACATCAGATAGAGTTTTAATGAGCACTGCTTTGATATTCTTATCCACTTAGCCAAAACCCAAGAGGCGTCTGAGTTCAATCTGTTGCACAGCAATCACACAGCAAGACAGACACTTAAGATTTAATACCTTTATATTTGAAGACCTCTAGAAACTGTTAAATACATTAGACAAAGCAATTTCCTCGTCTGATCTCACAGCCAAGGTTCCCACTTGCCTAAAGAAAAAACACTCGGATCGTGAAAAGATTAGAAAAGACAAAAGTACATTCATTCAGTGATCATTCATTATGAAGAGAGAAGGGGATTAATTGCTGCTGAATTCTGTGAAAGTCTTGAATTGTTCATTCAAAGTAGAGGAAGGCAGTTTTCTGAAGGATTGCACAATGCTGCCTTTTACCAAATAGCTTGTTTTTTGGAGAACTGCATCTTTAATAACATTTGAAATGCATTTGGAAACCCATTTGTGTTATTTTCATTGCGAGCAAACTCTAAATTGAGGACAGTTTTTCAATATTCGGCCCAGATTGTCTGTTTGCAACCAGCCTGGGCAGATATTAAACTTGTAAGAGATTCTGTATCACCCTGTTGATTTTCACTGACCCTCAACAGTGTTTGGAGATTGATATTTCTGGTTTAATATCCGATTCCTAACTGTGACCGGATCAGCGGAGTGTAAGTGACGCGGTTATACTCCAGGGATTCAATTTTACGTAAATGCATTGTCAGGCTGTTGAATATCCTGTAGCTGATTGTTTCTCTCATATTTTCTTATCCAATTTAATACTTTTGCCCACAGCCCGAGGAGGAATCTCGGGGTAAACACTGCATCAAATTACCCAAACACCTACCTGGAAACTACCTGGAGATAGTATCAGATGTACTTTGAGGATATGATTAAGCGTGGTTTTGTCGTCTGATATTTGCTCCCTGTTAGATAAGAAGTCTACTTGTGAAAAAGTTTTTTGGTGGCTTCTAAAGTGCCCAGAGCTATGCCGTGGTGTGGATGTCAGAAATCAGAAGGCTTTCTTGATCACTTTGGCTCCTGGCAGCGGTGCACATGGGATTTAAAGAAGTTTTGACAGGATGATGACGGCGCATGAATGGCATATCTCAGATCTCAGGCAGTGTGCTGGTAAACATGCTGGTAGCAAGTTTACCCTCCCTCACTTGATCCGTCATGTATTTTTAATGCTGTTTATGAGATGACAGATGTTAGTGTTCGCGTGACCGTGTCACTCTCCAGATGGCTTCGTACCTATAGCCTGGTCCCCCATCTGTACACCCAAATGACACAGACATCCACCAAGCTTCTCGCTGGTCCTCTGATGTGCTGCCTCTGGGCTGCCCCCCCCTCCCCCGCCATCACCTCTGGGAAAAGTCGAGCAGCGGGGGAAAGCGAAGGAGCGATGGAAGCCAGAAGAGCGCAACGCTGATCAAAGAGAAACTCATTTACAGGTGCCGAGTGTGATGTGCAGAAGGGGGATCAGGCTGCTTATCTCGCTCACGCACCCTCTCACTCATCTGGCCCATCAGTCACCCACTCGCTCATCCAGTCAGTCACAGACTCACCCATTCACTGAATCAGCCACTCATTTACTGACTTACAAATCCTTCACTTACTCACTTGTGTAACAACACAAACAAGCGAATCAATAAAGCAATCAGTGGAGGCGACTCTCTTCCCGGCTCTACAAGACAAAAAACAAGGCTGAATCATTTGTCGATGAGGCGCAGCTCGCAGGAGAAGAGGAAGCGTGTGAGCATCGCTCATCAGCTGGTCCTGTAATACCTTTGCCACACTTCCTGAACTCCTGCATTCAAGCACACGCTTCAGATAAAGCAAATAGGTATGCGGAGAATTCACTTTGGAGCTATTAGCAAGGATTGATTGATTGAGAAAAGCATTTTCCTGATGGGAATGAGAAAAATGCGCTACAGAGAACAACAGTGTGAATAAAAAAGCGTCAGAGAAAGAAAACAGGATGTTTTCTGCAGGAAATCAATCAAATTCGAAGCGAGGTGCAGGGAGCAGGGTGGATCAGGAGACAGAGTGACAGATGGAGGGGTAGAGGTGGACTGATAGATGAAGGGAGGGCGTCTTGGCATCATAATAAGGATAATAATCTTTTCACCGCTTTCTGTGACCGTTTGCCCTCTCCTGTACTGCGCCAAAGCCCCAACCTGACAGGCATTAATCCTCCCTACTAACCTCATCAATACTGGAGCACTGAAGAATAGAAGAGAATATCCCCCACAGCAATGTGAGTGTGTGTGTGAGTGTGTGAGTGTTTCTGCGGGGAGCATGAGTGTGCATCCTTTCTGCATGAGGCCTAACACAGACGATAAAAAAGCAAAGAAATGACAGGTTTAGTGCCGTGTGTGCAGGAAAGCATTATCTCCCGCCCAGTGTATGTATCTATCACACAGCAGAGTGAGTGACAAGAGGAGTTGGTCGTGAAGCCCGCGGGGAGGGATTATCAGGCTAGTTAACTTACAAGGTCATCTCCTCTGACTGCTTCTGTCCCTGCACAGCTCCCGTCACCGCCAGGATTCATGTCACATCTGTTTCTCTGTGTGTGATTTTCTCTTTTGCTTGTTTTTTCGGTGCTTCTCGGAGAAAAGGTTACACAGAGCCGGTAAGGGTGTTGCATTTAGAATCCAGGTGTACTTCAAACAGCCAGCCATATATTGTTTTCAAAGGGTGAATGACAGTAATTGTGTCTTCAGCGTTGATGTGGATGGAGTGCAGATGAAGAGATAATCTCTCTCAAGTTCAGCTCAGTTTACCCACTTTTCCTTTTTAACCGTGAAGGAGACAAATTGAATGTTGAGAGATCTACAAAGACAGGGCTCCCAGAGGAATTCAATAAAAGTTTCTCTCCGAATAAAAGACAAACTTTTGAACAAGCTTTGATTGTTTTATCTGAATTGGGAATCTCAGCATTGTGTCAAGAACAGCAGCCTTAAAAAAAACCCACAGATGAAACACTCGACTGTTTGAAATGCAGACGAGCATGATTATGAAAGCTTACACACATAAGAACATAAACCTTTACACAGGAAGCAATGTGTTTTACTGTGACAGCTGAACCAAGAGGGGAGTGAAAGTCACTCACAGGCAACTCAAAATCAGAGGAACATTTCTCACACTGTGCAGATGAGGCTCATGCTGTTTCACTAAATAAGAGCTGGTTCTGTTGAAATAACCCACAAAGAAGAGGAGACACAGCAAGTGAAGATAAAGACTGCTAACAGGTATAGAGTCACGAAAATATTTCATACCTTGGTTTAGGACTGGGTGCCAACATCGATATCGATATAAAACATAGTCAATTTGCTTTTCCATAGCCGGAATTCTGCCGTATTTTGGTAGACTAAAAGAATAGCCGATGAAAAGAGTCGCTCCGAGTCCGCACTGCAAATTATGTCGAGTACATGTTCCCGAAAAGTCGGGGAATACCTTAAATCTTTATCACCACCTAAAGCAGTGCCATGCAATAGAACACGCTCAATGCAAACGTTTACAAACCCTGAGCTGACCGAGTGCAAAGCAGCCTACGGCACCTGTGCTGTCAAAACAGTCGATTTCTCTAGCGCAACGCCTTACGACAAAACGTCAAAGAGACAACATTTTAGTTTTCAAATTACTATTTTTAAAATTTATTTGGAGTTGTGAATCTGTTTGAAACTTTTTTGTTACATTGATTTAAGATAAACAGGGAACATTTAAGATTGACAAGTGTTTTTTTAAATATCGTGAAATATATCGATATCGACTGATATGAAAAAAAAATATCATTATAAACTTTTTTCCATATCGCCCAGCCCTACCTTGGTTTTAGAAATTAAACTATCGACTCCTTTGGAAAAAATGTTTTAAGTGGTGAAAATCGGCAGTAAAATTATTTAAAGCCAGTTAGATAATGCGGTCGGGGATTGAATTTTCTTTTCCGTGTGTACAGCTAACGTGGACCATCTCTGGTGTAAATGTTCTGCACATGCTAAAGAGTTTGCACCCTGACTTTCAGCCCAGATGCTGAAAAGTGTGAATGCATTTCTAGAAAGCCAGGTGGTGAACTTGCTGACGCCTTTTGTTAATCGATTTTGTCGCTAAGTTCATTTTTTGACGAAAGTGATGAGCGGTCTATCATTTTAAATGTTTAACACAAAACTCACAATAAATCTTTGTCATTGAAAATAAAGTTTTATAGAAAACAAGGTGTTGATAAATGCTCTTTATACTTCTGATATCTGCCTCCGGATGGAAAAATATGCTCATAAATTGCGCATAATGGTGTAAGATTTAAATACACATTGACAGTTTGAAAGATTATGATGTTAGTAGCCTACTTACGAGCCTCGCTTTGTATCTCATCAGTTCTCTCTATTTCACTGGAGTTCTGCCTGTTTGTGTTTTAATGGCACCAGGAAAACAGAGTTGAAACATGATTGACAGACTTGAGTACATGATCTAGAACCCCGAGTCTGAAAGTTATTCCGCATGCACGTGGTCGTGTATATGCTTAACGCGCAGATACTGACTGATCGGCTGTCATCACCGGGCTTAAGTAACACTTTCCTTGTTTTTTTTGAGAAGTTGTCTTTTATCAACTTTCCCAGCCTTTGCACTCTCTCAGAGATAATGAGTCATTTACATTCCAATCATTGCCTGACGTGGAACATCAGCACCGGCAGGTGGCTGGGGGGTTATGAAAAAAAGCGCTACCTTGAGTAAAAGTGTCTTATTTACAGTGATGCAAATTCATCTGCTTTCTTTCTTTTCTTTTTTTAAACACGCTCAAGGCCAAGATAGTAAGATCACGAAGGATACCCTCTACTTGGATGCAATTATTCTTGCTTGTAAAGTCGACTACAGCATGTGCATGAGTGTTGGTGCATTTAAATTAACAGTATGTGTAAGACAGTATGTACATTGTTGTAATAAGAGTGTTAAGAGTTGTGTAATGTTTTAAAGCCTTACGGAAGAAAGTAATGCAAGGTTTAAACTCTGAACCTGTGTTTGTCATAACAGCTTACAACAAGTGTGAAGCTTCAAATATCTTCATTATGTCTGTGATCTGACAAATTGGCAAGAGTCTCAATGTTTAAGTGGGTTGTGGGTCACGAGTGACAAGCAAAGACATGACAGCTATTGTTCAATTGTTATATCATTACTAGGTACGGGAGTCACTAGTGGCCCCATGATACGATATTATCACGATTCTTGGGCCACAATGCGATTTTATTGCGACTTTAAACATTTTGCAATACAGTGAGTATTATTATTGCGATACACTATATTGTGTTTTTTAACTGTTTAGTTAATTTAGCATTTGTCTTTCCTTTATGTTTGACTTATTTACGCTGTATTTTATTTTCATGTAGCACATCTTGCAAACCTTATTTATATTTGTTGTACTAACTTTCTCCTGCTCCATGATGTCACCTCTACTGACCTCACTGGACAAACAATTGATTTTATTTTTCAATTATCAAACATTTGACTTCATATTAGCAATGAATTAAAAAAAAAAATACTTGGTCAATGAGATGATACGATATATCACCAGACAAAATATCGCAATACTTTGCCGTAATGTTTTTTTTGTTTTTTTTCAACCCCTAATTATTACAGTGGTACCATGATACAATATTATCACGATACTTGGGCCACGTTAATTTTATTACAATTTTGTAATACAGTGAGTATTGCGATACAATATATTGCAATTTATACAATTTTTTGAACAGTTTAGCTAATTTAGCAAAATATATATATATATTTTTGAATTATTTTCGCAGTATTTCATTTACATGTAACACGTATATTTTTTCATTATCATAGGTTTGACTTCATATTAACAATTAACTTGAAAAAAATGATACTTGGTGAATGAGACAATACGATATATCACCAGACAAAATATCGTGATACCATGCTGTATCAATTTTTTATCCCACCTCTAATTATTACAGTGGTACAAAGAGACAATTCAGTTTAGCAGACACCTTTGTCCAAAGCAGAGAAGTCTGAGGAGAAGGACAACACGGCAAGGATCCAGACAGAAAGGTTAAGAGTAAGTCGGCACCAAAAACTTCAAGTTCAAAGAGACCCAGGTGCTGCACAGGTGTACAGAAGCAAAGGAGAAGAGCCTCTACACCCGAGAGGAGTCTAGCTTAAGTGTGTAGGTGTTCATGAAAGAGCTGGGTCTGACACTCTTTCTTAAAGGGGGAAAAGGACTCTGCAGACGGAGCAGGGTTAGGTAACTCACTCCACATCTGGGTTAGCTTCAGATGAGAAGAGTCTAGTTTTTAACACAAGGTCCTGTTGAAGTGGAAGTACTAGGCACATTGGCAGGCTGCAGAGAGTGGGAGGAATTGCAGCTCTAGATGAGGGAGTTCAGGTAGGCAGGAGTGGGTTTTGTTGTTGTAAACAGGGTTCGAATTTGATGCAAGCAGCAACTGAGGAGCAGAAGTAGCCGGTGTGTTGATATTATATGAGCCTGCATGCAACAGGAGTAGTGATACATGCTCCAAAAGCAGAATCTGATCCTCCTGTGTAGTTGTTTTATCATCACATTGTTAGGAGTTTTTAAAAAATAAGTTGTTTTCACTTAAAACTGAGCCTGAAGTCTGTCATGATTTTTTTTACTTTCAATCAACTTTCTAGTAATCTGGGCAGCTGTGAGTGGGCAATAAACACTGAATGTACACTGAACTTTTTTGTAGAAAATCTTTGCAGATACTGTCTGGATCTGTGTGTAACCCTGGCTTCATTAAAATACGGCTGACATTCACTAAGAAACAAATAAATCCAGTGCTGAGTGCTGCTGCGAGAGAGTGTTTTCAGCTGCTCTTGACAGCTCTTTCAGCAGCAAACATTTTCCCCTCCCTGGATATTCAGTCAAAAAATGCTGTACGGGTTCCAAGTAATCTACCAGAAAGTGTGCTTGCTTGCAGGTTTTATATTGGCGAGAGCCGAGCAGTATTTGATGTGTTGGAGCAAAAGTTGAATGAGGTTCAGATTTCTTTGTTGGATGACCCCGGAGTGCTGCAGTCTTATTGAAATAAATTAGGTGTTGTTGAATCAGTGCTTGGCATGTTTTGTCAGGGTTTGTGGGAGTTTTATCAGCCCTGCATGTCCACCAGTTGGAGTTCACCTTGATACCTTGATATGGGGTCAGTTAGATGTGAAGGCCACACATGGTCTAAACTAGCGCAGGCAGAGAGCGCAAGATGACGCAGGGAGTGAGTGTGAGAGAAAGTGGCGGGCACAAAGAACTCATTCCAAGGTGGCGCGTTATTTTGACTTGGAATAGACTTTCACAGATTGTGTGTCTGGATGTGAGAGCCAGCATCACGTGTGAAGTAGATAGCCCTACACGCAGGCATGTGTACAGGCTTTGGACATATCAGAACAAAGAAAACTTGATGAGACAGAAACAAGTGCACTATGGTTGCCTGTCTCTGTGGTGCAGGCTTAAGTTAGATTTAAACGAGGTGAAAGCAGAAAGCTACAGCTGATCCTTTGAAGTTTTTCCCCCTGCGTGCATCATAACACCCTCAAATAGAAAGGCGCTCTCAAAAAAAAAAAGAAAAAAAAAAAAGCACTTTGCTCAAATTGAACAGAGGCCATGGAAGAGCATACATTTGCAAATAGTTAGCATCTTATTTAGAGCATCATTTTAAAAGCAAATAACCACTTCATTTGTATGTTCTTAAGGAAAGTAAAGTGCCCTTTCACTCTCTGTTCACTCCACTCCCACTTAATTTTTCAGTCGTAATGAGATTAGGCTTAATGCGTCAGATTTTTTTTTTATCTTTAATCTAGAAAAATGCCAGGGTTCTGCTTCTTAATTCAACACAGTCTAGCCTTGAAAATTAATTTTTTGATGCCACTGTAACACAACTTTGCTTTTTCGTGTAATTAGCCTAAACTAAAACTCACTGAATTGCATCGCATTAATAGACTTTCCAATTAGGCTTTTGAGCAGTATTAAACTACATGAGGAAAACTTCTGGTGGCAACAATGGCTTAAAGTGCAAAGAGGTCCAAAGTGAGGCTCTGTTTTACCAAAACTGAAGATAGAGATGAATTAAAATGCAGTTTATGGAGCCAAATAATTTCTTGCAAGGAGGACAAGCACATCAGCATCATGTATCAAATCAAGTTAAAGTATCTGCAGAATTAGGGGTGTCCCGATACGATATTGATATCGGTGTCCCGATACGATATCGATATCGGTCCGATATCAGCAAAAAATCAAATATTGGATATTTTCGGCCTGCATCAAAAATCACAGATTCCGCTCTGGCACCTCTATCTTGCAGCGTCCTGATCCAGCAAGCTAAGCCCACAAAATCACAACAACAGTGTGTACTAAGGTACTAACAAAGTAGCAAAGAGTAAGAGTGATGTCGGCCTTGTGGCAGTATTTTTTGTTTAAGTCAGAGAAAGACATTGCAGCTGAGTGAAAAACTTGTCATGCACAACTTTGTGCCAATATTGGATCAATTTCCGTATCGGCCAATATTGAAGGCTGCAATATTGGTATCGTATCAGAAGTCAAAAAGTTGTATCGGGACACCCCTCTGCAGAACCTTTTGCTGCGTTCGAGTTTCCTCAGAGGTCAGAGGTCAGAGCTGAAATTTACGTCACACCTGAGTTCCCAGCGTTTCAGTTACCAAGCCAGAAAAAGCAAAATCGGAGGTGGAAACAAGATGGCTACATCTACCAAATCTATTTTAGCGCTTGCCTCGTCTGAACATAAGGCAAGCGCTAAAATAGCTTTCACAGATGTAGCCATCTTGTTTCCACCTCCGAATTTGCTTTTTCTGGCTTGGTAACTGAAACGCTGGGAACTCGGGTGTGACATCATTTTCAGCTCTGACATCTCACTTCTGAGAAAACTCGAATGCAGCATTTGACAGTCTTCAGCTTGAAACAGCTCAGTCAACTCCGGCTGCTGCTGTAGGCCTGCCATCCTCTTCTTCACCCAAAACACTACAGTTGGAAGATAAACTATGATCAAGGATTACAGATCCCAATCCATACTCGGGATTAGCTTTCATGCTATCCCATTTTAATAATATGTGTGGGCTAAACAAAGGCGTGGTCTCACCCTGAAAAAAATTATTTAACAAGCTGCATGGTGATTTAAGAATAGAAAAAATCCCTAAATTTGGGTATCAATAATCTCACTCTTACTTGCTTTTTTTTGGACATATTTTATAACCAGCTAAAAAGTCCTCACTTTAAATTTTAAAAGGCAGAAAAGTGACTTCACTGAGCGTGAAAGTACCTTTTATGTTGCATTAACTGCTTGATTAACTAGCCACACGGTTTGAAGTATCTCCATGTCTGTCTTTCTGCAGCTCTCTTGAGGGCATGTGCAGATGGAGCTGCCAATCATCTCTATGATATAACTGCTGGAGTCAGAGACAGGTGAGCTTTTGGACATTTCCTTTTGATCATTCTCACTATCCCGTCTTCCTCTGCATGTACATAAAGTTTGTTTGAAAAACAGTAATACTCTGATGCATTCAACGCCTCTCTTTGTGGTGGCGTATGTTTGACGTTGTGTGTGTGTCCCAACTGAGAAAATGCACCCTGTTTATGCATCAGCCTTGTTGTGTGTGTTTTTCTGACAAAGTACTGTATGTGTGCACTCTGAAACAAAATTTGTGTGTGTGTTTGGCTAATGGAGGACCGCTGTCAGGAGAGAGATGGATCTGGGGTTCTCTGTGTCCCTGAAGTGTTGAGGCCTTCACATTAACACCCAGAGTGTGAACATGAGTGTGTTTTGTTGTGGCGCAATGGCTGGTGTGATGCCATGTGTCTGGATGTCCTTCCAATTCTATCGTTATAACAACCATTGGAGGTTTGAATAGTGGTACCCAATTATGATTGTAATTTGAGGGGTTAGATTCTTGTAATTAGACCTTTGCTTTGGATCATTCTGAGACTAGAACAGGCTTTAAAGGTCACCTATAATAAAAAATCAATTTTTGGGTGGTAAGTAAACTGTGTGAAAATCCATTGAGAAATGAGCAGGATATTTATTTTCCATGTACGTCTAATGCCTTTAATAGGAATGAAGCCCACACCAAGATGGTTGCTATGTAAGCACCTCGCTAAGTGGGTTATGACAACGCGCTGGTGTATGAAATATATATATCTGTGCTAACAAGAGCCTCTCGCTCAGTCGCCCCAAGTCACAACTTCCGCGTCGCAACAAACGAGTGAATGATACTTGAAACAAAAGATTTCCACGCATGTATTTTAAACTTCGACTTCCATGTAAAGCCACATCACAGAAGGTCAAATGCTAAGTAGATTTTTTATTCTCTGATTCTTATGATCAAAATGAAAAACGGAAAACTGTTTTCTGTTTTTCATTTTCCAATTCCCTCACGGTCGTAGGGAGATGGTTCGTCTCTCGATTATTGTTTTTTAATTTAAACATTACGCACAGATGGACACCAAACGTCGTTAGTCATGAGAGATAACTATGACATTCCACTTTTCAAAATATTGGGTATTCACCAAAAGTGCTCCAAGTAACGACGAGACAGTGGAGACGTAGCCGTCAGATAAGATAACCCACCTAGCAATGTAACATAACACACTAACAAAGTCAAAACACAAATATAAAGACACAAGGCTTTCTTTGGAAGTCTCTCCCTCTGGGTCAAACTGGTAGGGATGAACCACAGCGCTTCTACGAGCCAACCCACTGCATAGGCTGTAAACATTAGCGTATTGTGTCGGAGCGAAAACCGCAGCCCCTTCCAGAGAGGGGCGTGGTTACACACAGCTCATTATCATTTAAAGGTACAGGTGCAGAATCAGCCCGTTCTGGCTGATATCCTCAAATAACTTGGTGTTTTAGACAACAAACTTCAAATTTACGATTGTGGGACCTCTGGGACCAATTTAAACTTGATGAAAAATGCCATAATAGGAGGCCTTTAAAAGTTAAGAACAAAACATTGATTGAAAAAGTTATTGGGAGCGAGTCCAAGGAAGCTTGAATAGGAGTGATGCACTCTTTCGTTTTAGATCTGGAAAGGAGCCGGGCTGATGCTTTTTGAATAAGCTGTTACGCTACAAGGTCCTTTCTTCCACAGTAAAGCCACAGTGTGTTTTGTGTGTCTTCAAGCATGCAGAACGTGGTTTTGTCGCGGTATTTCCAAAACAAAACCTGTCGTGTTCTTTTGTCCCGCAGTGTGAGTCTGAGCATGTTCCGCCCGCTGGCAGAGGCATCGATCACAATTCTGTCTGTTTGTGTGACACTGCAGATTCATCTCCTGACCCCCCAGTCCGAGCTCTGTCAGCAGCCTGCGCAGAGGAGCTGACAGCAGGGCCTCCCTCTAAGTTCTGTCGCACAAAGTTATACATTACACAGGGAAGGGTAGAGAGTGAAGGGGAAAAAAAGGAGAGCGGAAGAAAGACGGTAATGCCTATGGGTGGGATTGTGGAAATCAATCACCGGCAAGTTAAGATGTATTTAACCTAATATTACCATAACTAATGGACTAAAGAGAAGAAGAGGAAGGGAGGATGCAAATAATCAATCAAAGCCAGGTTTTATGATTTTACAGGTAACAGCAGCTCCAAAAAAAGGGAAGAGAAAGAAAAGAGAAACTTAAGCCTGGTTGTTTTGTATTTGTGCGCAGGGAAAGTGAAGATGTAACGCAAAACGAAGCTGAGCTCAGCCTGTGTTTGTGTTGTCATGCATTAATGTGTGTGGGTGTCTATCTCAGGGCGCACTCTTTCTCCACAAATTATATATGAGTCAAACAGTTACTGGGACATTTCTCTCCACCCCAAAACACGACAGTGAAAAGCGTAGGTTCCAGCGATCAAAAAGTAGACTGCTTTGTTCGCCGGATACAAGCGGATCAGAGCCTGCTGAGAGGTCCCCACATCAAAACTTTAGCTTCCACGTCAACTGACTCATGAAAAGATCCCCTTCCCTACACCCCCCCTACTTAAACTTCCGCAAGTTCTGCTGACAAATTGTGCTGCCTCACTGCAGGGGCGCGCGTCGGCTTTTAAGATTCAGTTTTTTGAAAAAAATGGGAAGGCAGCAAAAGTTCTCCACAGTCTGTGCACACTCTGACATCGCTTCGACCACATTTACTGCTGAGTTGTGGAGATGTCAGTCACATTTTTTGTCAAAATATCACCGCATTTCCTGGTACAGTATCTGCAAACCGATTGACGTGGTGTTTTGAAAGGAGTCGGGGGGGGGGGTGGCATTGCATACTTTCAATGTCGACGTTGTTGATCTCCTTTGAAAAAGCAGCCTCCTCATTAAGTTAGGTGAACTATATATACATATCCGTGCGCTTGTCCATGTGACACTGCTTATGACAGTTTATTTTCACCACAACATAATGAGGATAATGAAGTCTCCGGTCAGGTTATACGCCATCTCCGGCTCTGAGACAAGAAGTAAGTGGGCGGACGAAGACCTACAGCTGAGAGAGAGATGTCAGGTAATTTCCTTTCAAAACAGCTGTAATGATAGTTATTATGGATGAAGAGAGGAGGGATCACACCAGGTGATGAGTCCGCTGACACTGATTTAAATGTATAACATGACAGGAGACAAATAGCTCCTATACATGTTTTATATAAATACTGAACAATTTAAATGTTTTTTACCTTTTATTTCACTGACCTCTCTAAATTTAGGATATGTTCGGCAGAAGACGCAATATATCCTCATGGATTTAAGTTACCTGTATCAGTTCAGACTGGTGACTCTTTTTCTTAATAAACCGTACAAAACATGTCTAACTCATATTCATTCATCCACTTATAAATCCAGGTCATCTTTTCCTGGTATCGAGTCCTTTTCTACTAATTCTACATACAAGAAACGCCATAATTATGCCTCCATTAGTCATCTCATCCACTCGTACCATTTCTTTGTATAATTAATCTTTTTTTCTCCACATCTTATTATTCTGAATCAGCTGCTAATGACGCCCACTTACTCAGGTCACCGGGCTAGAGAGCAGCCATTCATGATTGTCCATATATACTGTGTGGGTTTGAGGTTGAGAAACTGCACGAACCTTGGATATCTGAAACTTGATGGAAAAATCTCATCATGCTGACGTTTTACAGTTCGATGTGTCACTTATTGTGATGTTTTTAGCTGAAATCGAAAAAGCAGGGCTGTTTTTTAGCTTCTTAGCTAACTTCTTCCCCCTATGCACAGAATTTGTGCATTAAAATGATTATAAAAAAACTAAATAGTCTTGTTTTTTCTGGTCTGTTTTACTTTTGAATATCATGAAAATCAGATATCATTGGTATCTGAGGTGAAAAAAATGGATCAGTGTATCCCTACTTCACACACTTCATTAATACTTCTTTTTAAATATACAAACCTGGTAAAAAAAAAAATCACGTTCTTGGAGTCTTAATCTCATTAAATGAACTGATAATGATGTGTTAATATTATACGCCAGCTAAATATGTTTTCATGGACGCTCAGAGCTGAGACCCTTCTGGCTTTTTAGTAAATCTAACCCTGTATCAACCCCGTTTCCAAATGTAAATCCCACTTTGTGAAATTTGTGAGTGTAATCTTAATCTCTGAGAGGATAAGAAGTCAAGAGATAGATGAACGGGGGACAGGACGTGGCAGACTGTGGGAGGAGATAATTGTACACAAGCAGAGTTTATAAAATTTGCAGCTGTGCGCCTGTGTGTTTGGGGTACTTGACGATGCAGACATTTTAATATGTCGGTGTTGGACTTACTGTGTGTGTGTGTGTGTGTGTGTGTGTGTGTGTGTGTGTGTGTGTGTGTGTGTGTGTTTGTGTTTGTGTGTGTAGAAGAGATTTTCCAGGCACACTTGTGTCATCATTGTGTATGCATTTCAGTTTGGGGGAAGATAATGCCGTCAGCCTCTGCAAATGAAGTTGTCAAAAACCAGACTACTTATTCTACAGGACTTAGTGGCACAGAGATATCTCTGACAGTCTCTCTTTCTATTTGTCTGCTATTTGATATTTTCTCATTTACATCTCGGGCTTCATTTTTTATGCTCTGTAGACAGGCCAGCGCCTGTGCGTGAGGATTATAGCACTGAAATAGTGCCAGTATCTGAGAGCTTTGGTCAGGAGTTCATGTGAGTCGACTTGATTTGTGGGTTTCTAGGGCAGACATGTGGGTACTTGCTTTTAAAAGACCACAAATTAGCCTAAAATACACGGTTACTATCATTATATAGTGCATTAGAAGCTTCTTTCTAATACGCTGTAATCAAATTGGTACACCATTAGATCTCTTTCACTGCTGGGGTAATGGGAATTGCGTGACCTAAAAACAAGGGCGCTGGCCAACAATAAAGAGGATTAGACTACAAATTAAACTGGGCAGGGGGTTTGATAGATCATGGACCAGCTGATGACTGAAAAGTAATGACTCTCTTCTCCTTATTGCTGTCAGTGATTTTAGAAATGATCCAGCATGAAACACGGTGATGTGTTAAATTGTTTAAAACGAAATAGTAAATCTGTGTTTTTTTTATGCAGCATCATTTTGCATTATGTGTTTTTTATTGTTTACCATCCAGTATTACAGCTGCAGGTCAGTTCTGCTGCCGTTAAATTCACAGCTACGTTTACTGTTATTTTTCTTGTTTATAATTTCTCATCTGTGATTTTTTAACCCCGTCTTTCTATCACTGTATTTGCCATTAGGTGACTCTCCTACTGGAGTTTGTCTGTGATAGATAAATTGAAATATTCCCCTCTGTGTAATTACTCTGTGTAGGAAATTGACTCGCTGTGTTGGGTTGATAAGCACAGGGAACAAGGGGCCTTCAATTTTAAGCTTTAAGCTTTATTTTTACAAAATACACACCGAGCTGTTGATGATTTTTGTCAAGTAAGTGTTTCAGAATTTCAGGAAAGTTGAGTGTAATCACTATTCTGCCTCTCTAGGACTCTCGGTAACTCTTAGGAGTAATTCTGAGTTGATAAAGCAAGAGTGCATGTGTGTTTTAGAGATGAGCAACGTGAGCTATGACTCGGTCTGATTATTAGTCTGACAGCCCACAGGCATTGTGCTGATTAACTCTGGGATTAGACGCTGTTGGATCACCAATCACCAGAACACTGTTTGATGAACAAATCAAGATGGTTTTCTACCACTCATGGGCAGAAAGGTGATTTTTTTAATTGTTCCAACAAGATATCAGCATGCAAGCAAGCTCGATCTGCATCATCCTGCTCATCAGAGTCTTTGTTGATATGGGATATCTTGATCTCTGCTTGCGCTGATTGGTCTTTTCTTATGCTGACCTTTACAGTATTTCAAAGTGGATGTGAAAATTGCATTCAGCTTCATACATGGATTTACATACATACTTAATTTGAATGGAAGATGGTGTCATTTTTCAGAAACCTGACTGTTTGTTTAAAAGGTACATCAAATCAGTTTCTAGTATGATCCTGGCTTGTCAAGTAAGTTTAACATCGCATGATATTCTTTCGTCTGGCCCACCTCTTTTTGCTCAAAAGGATATTCCGGCGTCAATTTAAGTAATGGCCAAACACACCCCCTCTTAGACACACACACTCTTCTCCAGCAGCTGCTTGTTTGTGTTGTGAGCCCTGACGAGTCGATCACCGAGTGCAGTGGAGTTTCGCAGCTCAAGGAAGAACATTTATGATTTTTACTTCATGGAAATGCAATCAGACCAAGACGCTTGGGCAAAAGAACCACTGAGTCTGCAGTGCATAATGATTATTATGATGATTATTACTTAATGGAAATGATAGTTATGATCATAAATGCCAAACTCCGCTGCACTAGGTGATGGACTCGTCAGGGCTTCCCTACAAACAAGCGGCTGCTGGAACAGAGTGGGTGAGTTGTGTTTGGTCTCTTTGCTAAAGAATTCAGGCAAGTTAGGTGCTGTTCTGAGCATTATTTGTGGCTATAGAGTGGCGTTTTGGTTGAGGTTTGCACATGGAAACATAGACTGCTGTTTATTGCTATCCTGCGGTTGTTGCTGAAGTTGGTATAACTAGAGAAGCAAGCAGGGAGCGAGTAATAGACATGTTTTGAGCAAAGTTATTGCAAAACAGGCTGCAGGATACAGCCAGAGAGAGTCCAGGTCATGGTGAACTTTTCACACATGAATATTGGTTATTTCGAGAGGAAAATTGACAGAGCTGGCCAGCAAGGATATGTGCCTGTTTACAGAAGAAGTCACGTTGTTGGCTATCAGACCACAATGTGAAGGCCACTTATGGGAATAGGACTAATGATGCTATTGGGGTGGTATTACAAGGCAACAAAGGAACAGTTCTGGGGATTCTAGGGATTTTTGGGCTTCTACTGTCCGTCTGATTGTCATAGGTTGTGTTTGATGGTATAACTAAAATAAATCCCGGGAGAGGCTGCCAGCTTGATTCTGTCTTTGTGTGGTTCATTTTTGCACCTTTGCATCTATGAATTTGACTATATCGGCAACGTTCATCTCTCAAAGTGGTGTCTAACTCGATGTTATGGTGTGTTTGACCATGTCTTACATTTACTCTGGAATATCCCTTTAAGTTGGCAAAATCCCAATATACTCTTGCAGGATTTTCCTGTGGTACAAGGTCTGTTATCGAGCTTACTCCCCTTCATCAGCTGCTTTTAAGTCAGTCATGGTGGCGCTGATTTGAACCCATCAAATAATACTTAAACAGAGATTGTAATCTGGGTTTTTGTCATGTGGAATAAAACAATTTGCAATCAATAATCAAGCTGACTGAACACGGAAGTACAAAAACATGATCATGTAGATGTCAAGTAGAAACGTAGATGGATTTTTGAAGCGGTGACTTGTACAACACACCACAATAGAGCCGAGAAGAGGAGGGGATGGACAGATATTACAGAAGTGATGTTAGAAGGATCTAGCTTGATGACCATCCTGCCAGCTGCAAATCCTGTGTCAATCCCAAACCTATCTAATGGATAGGTGAAGCTGTACAATGTTCGAAGTAGTCGAACATATTGAAGTGTTGTACTTTGGCTTGTTTATGTATTTAGGTCATTAATGATAAAATCCAAAATACCCCCGCCATCCAGTCACCAGCCTTCCTCCTCTGATTGGAGGATAAGAGGGATGAGAGGAGTAATCAGAGCTGCATCTTCACAAGTGATAGAAAGACGGGGAAAAAGAGAAGAGTGTTTGTCATGCTGTTAATCAGGAGATGATGAAAGATACGAGGGAGGATACAAACAACAACATTTACTTTTGATGAAGCGGTCATACGGGGGGAATGACATCATTTTTAGTCAATGAAATGAAAATAGACGAGGAGAAAGAGTAAGAAAGTGCCGCAAGAATGTTATTATTTTCAACTGGGTGAAGCTGTGAGATTGAAGGTAGATCCGCAGAAAAGTAAATATTGCTGAGTAGAAATGAGTCTCAACTGGAGGAGAGTCTCAAGGGGAAGGCTGCATGTGAAGGAGAGGTGTTTATTGGCGAGGAAAGGAGGAGGAGGAGGGAAAAAAAAAAAAGCAAGGATAGAGGATGCAGAGCGGGACGCACAAGCAAGCTGATAGACAAACACATACACACACTCACACACAAACACAGGCAAAGGTCACACAGCCATCCCCGCCATCCGATACACAGACAAACTGGCGGTAAAATGCTCTATTTCCCATCCAAATTAAAGTGTCAGTTAATATTAATGTGGAAGTGAAGACTGTCACACATACGACACACAAACACACACGCAAACGGCGTTCAAACTCACACGCACGCCGACACAAAATGCAGGATTTAGAATCGCGCCTGGTCAATTACTATCAGCCGATGGAGTCATGCACACAGGTCACAATGGGGTGTGTGTGTGTCTGTTTTGCAGCTGTTTATGTGTGTGTGTGAAGCTCTTATCAGGCCCAGTGTCAAGCCTCGTCTCGGTCTGTCGCATGAAGGTTATTTCTAAATGGAGATATTCCAAACGGAGTGAATATGCTTGTGTTTACATGTGTATTTTCAGGGTTTTGTGCACTTTTATGTGTGTATTTTTGTGTGTTTTGTGTCCGTGAAGGGGTTTATGAGGACAATAAAACTTTTTACCTGGATTATTTTTTTGTGTTTGGCTCAGGTAGAGTTGTGTTTGATTGTCTTTGTGCATGCCTTTGTTGTTGGTGCGTGTGAAGTGTGCGATACAATTGCCGTTCTGTTGGTCTTGCTGTATCTTGGTGTTGGTGTAAATGGGAACGCAGGAGGGGGAGGAGGGGAAGGAGGTGGAGAAGGAGGAGGGAGGGAATAATCCTTCTGTATCTCTTTCTTCAACCGACCGGAACATCGCTCCCGCCTCTTGCCGGAATCGCACACACGCAGATAAACACAAAACACACACACACGCACATTCAAACACAAACAAACACACAACCCAACCGAGCATGAAATCGTAATGTCAGACCTGTTAATGCCTCTAGATAGCGGCAACCACATCCCTGCGTGGTCCTGCTCCCAACACATAAACACACACACACACACACACTCATAAATGGAATAAACAGAGAGCTATCTGTCTCTCTCCGACAGGAATCTTCACTCAGTCGTGGTTGGGAGAGTTTTTGGCTGTTTTCACTGATTTCTGCAATAGACCTCGTTAATTCCTACGCCCTGGGAATGCAACTCCTCAAAACACAGCTCTACTTTGAATGAAGGAAGCACACAGAGAAATTTGAATTCAGAATTCAGTGTTTTCGCGCAAAACTTTTCCCTTACCTCATGCCTGGTTAAATTTGTAGTTGTTATCCTCTCAATTGCATGTTTTGCCATAGTATTCGCCAAGTTATTCGTTATTTCTACACTTTGAAAGCATTTTCATTTATCACGGCAACAAGAGAAATTAATTCTTTTTTTATATACTTTTACTGTCGTATCTCCCGTCAGATTTTTTTTTAATGCATTTCTTATCAGGTACCACAAACTTCAAAACAACCCGATTAGTGTTATTGTATTCTTGGGCTCAATCTGAAAAATACCATCAATTATTGATAAAGTTTATCTTGTGAAGAGCCGGTTGCTCAATAACAAAATAAATGAAAAAAAATAAAATTCAAGGATAAGATGAAACAATTTTTTTTAGAATTGAAACCCAACAAGAAAGCTATTGACATCTCTCTTTTTGTTGCATTACTTCTCTATTATTTGTTATTTTCGCTCTTTATTCACTTTTTCTCTCAGTTTAAGTTTTTTTTTTTAAACTGATTCCTTTTATTTCTTTCTCCTCATCCATATTTGATTTTAAGTTTGTTTCAAGTTTTTCCTCTTATGCCCTCGTCCTTTCTTGTCATTTGCTGTGTACAGGCTAATCCTGACAGGAGGTCTAAATTCCTTCCCCATCTGAAATGTTGGTGCTGGACTGCCCACACTTGCACCTTGAAAGCAGAGTTTTTCCTGATTGCTCTCGTGCAAAAATCGCAGACAGTGTCTAAAAGCACCATGGCAACACACCAAATGATGCGGACGACTAAAAGCACAAACATGGATCACTCATAACATCATGACCACCAGTGCAATCTAATACAATCCAATACAACAGTACTCTACATCGGAGCCCCATCTCTATTGAACTGTGCAGTGGGAGCACTTCACTGTCGGTGCGAGTGCATACACTGTGAGCGTCAATCGTATATTGTAAAGAATTTATTTATGCGGTGATAAGTTCACTTTCCACCACTACATTTATGAAACTGTAAAGTGGACTTTTATCTTTCTCTAAGGGGACGCTTTTAGGCCTTTATTTAAGAGGACTTGACAGCCCAGATGACATTCTGCGAAGAGCTTCAGGTTTGCATGCAGCCTCTACTCCCACCCAGATATTTTTATTTGCTGAAAAACAGATATTCTGAGATTTTATTTGAATTTAAAACATCCTCTGTTTGTTAATATGTGGATGCTCAGATCATAAATCTATTCATCAGCTGGATTTTTACCCATTTGATCTTTGACAATAATTGAATAATATGCTAAATCATGAAACAGTCAGACTAATGTGGGTGAACAGTGAGTGTCAAACATTTCAGCATTCGGCTTGTTTTTTTCTTCCACTGTCTCCCTCAGCCGTCCACATGAATAACCCCATTTCCAAAATACACACATGGATTATTTATATCGCCCAGTTTCACCATTCATTTTTACAGTGGACTCCATTGATTGAGCACATGTCAAAACACTGAAGTGCGGTGTGACCTACATTAATCAAACCAATACTCAGCTCTAATGGAGAGGAGAGTCACTCGCTGTAACAGAACAGGTCAATATCTGATGAACAACAGGTACATCATGCTCTGTTTGCTAGTGTGTGTGTGAGTGAGGAGGTTTGGGATTAAAATCCTGTCCCGTCATTAGCGACTCACACGAACTGTCTGTGTTAGACTTTATTTGGATGTTTTTATCTATAGTCTTGCTTGTGTTTGCTGCCTTATGCGATGAATGTGTGCGTTTGTGTTTTCCCATCAATCTATGTATCTTCTGCAGTCAGCCGTGTGTGAGTAAAAGGGGCAGCCTCAGTGCCACAGAGAATCACCCTGTCAGTCTCCATGTCTCTTCGTCTTCCCCGGGCGCCGTCACTCGTCTCCCTCGCTGCACAGATCAAACAGCTGACACATGCCCTGATGTCCTCTCTCTCTCTTACCCCTCCTCTCCTCTATCCTCTCTCTCTGCCTCCTTCTTTGGATCGTAACCCTCTCCCCCTCTGTCACTCATCCTCTCTGTCTATCCTCACATCCAGCTTCCTCCCCGACTATATCAGCGGGGATTTTGATTCCATTACGTCCGAGGTCAAAGCTTTCTTTTCAGACAAGGTGAGTGGAACTTAAAACTTTCACACACCTTCAGACCTACAGGTGTAGACCCAGAGGAAGAACTCACACACACACACATCAATTTAAAGCAATATAACTGAGGGCAGAGGAAACAGTGGTAATAAATGTTGGATGTGGAGATGACTAATTTTAAAAGTAGGCACCTGTTCTCCCAAAATGACCCCGACACTGTCACAGCATTCAGCCTGAGGAACCCACCACGAGATTAACTGTCAACTCAGCTGGAGTGGAGAAAAACATGCTCCCCGAGTTGTGGGTGGTGTGTCAGGGACACAGAGCTCGGATCGCGCTGCCTATAAACGGATCAGCAACTATTAAAGTTGACCGGGGCTAAATATCCCGGTTGACTCTCCGGGACTTCCACCTGCGGAGTAAAGAACATGCAGACTGACTCATCAAAGTGGGTGCAGCTGTGCGGTCAGAGCACTCAAAGATGCATTAAGATCAAGTCATCAAAAACCGCCTCAGGAGGTGGTCCGGCTCACATTTAGCAGGTAAAATTCACAAAGTGCTCACGGACCAGGTAGACTAGATGTCACTTTTGTTCCTACTTGAGGGCTTTTAAATCCAAGAAGGGACATCTATTCCCCTCGCTCTGTTTACACACAGGAAGATCTTAAACTTCAATACCATCCAGTATTCTGCACTTTACATTTATAGACTAACTTTAACAAAGTCTTGTGATGGTGGATATCTGACGCTCCTTTAACTAGAACATTAGCACAAATCCATGACCTTGTTAAAAACATGAACAAAACCCAAAAAATGCATGTACCAAAATATTCTCATGTACTAAAGGCTGAAACATACAAGGATCCATATTGAGTGCGTAATGTCAGCATCGAGTATCACACAGCAAATAGGTTGCCAGTCTAATCAATGAAGTATTGCATACGGGACGTGTATCAGAAGCGTATCGAGCATAACACTGCTGAAGATACATGACTAGTCTATTTTTGCTGGTCTACGCTTCCAATGCGCGTCAACCCAAATACAGAATAATACAGGAGAAGTTCAGCCAACAGTTTAAGCCAGGCCAGCTAAACACGACAAAGGAGAGTACTTTTGAAAATGATAGGACTTTTTATGTAGAAGAGATTGTGCAAATTGGCTCAAAACTTATACTGTATATTGTCTAACTTGACCATAGGGGCAGAGAGTTACATCTGAACAGCTGTGCAAAGATCCAAAAAGGAGCTGAATATTAGTCAGACTTCAGGGATGAAGAAGTAAAGGACCATCTAAAGACACTTTTTTTAAGCTCCCGCTAGCACATCCATCCTGGCAGTGTTAATTTTGTGAATGGAAATTTTGACACTAAATGTTCATTAATGACCTTTTGGTCCATGTCCAAGAGGAGATGATGATGATGAGCAAAAATACACCCATGATAATGAAACTCTGATGAATGCCTGTTTTTTTAATCCTTTAAAATAAAGTACAAGCAATACATCCATGTAACGGACCCAGTTAGTTAAGGGGACATGGTAGGAAGAAATATTAGACGTTGTTTCCTTTCAACTTGATCAGTGGTAGCACGTGGATATATTTTCATATTGACAGTTACAGAGGTTGCATAAATGAGCCTTAATGAGCTTGAGCCCTTACTTTATGTTAAGTCAGATTTCCCGGCTCCGCTGCGGTGGGATTTCTGCTGCGGTAATCATCTTCACAATCTTAACATACCATTAATTGGTCTGCATGTGTTGAGCACATACATGTGCGCAGAAGAAGCAGAGTTAATGAGCCAGAGCCTGGTCTATTAAAAGAAAGAGGACGATGTTACGTCATAAAAATAGCTCTGCAGCAGGTGCGGGTGCGCCTGACTTTTGAGGGGGAATGGAGATGATCCTATTTGTCTGATTTATGATATGGCATAAACAGATGTGTGAATCATTAAACGACTTTTTACAGCGTTGTATCCTGATGTTGTGAGTTTTATCCCCATCTGATTTGGCGCATGTTGAATCAGAGCTGTATTCCCTCTCCATAAAGGCTAAAGGCTTTAAGCACCGCCCACTAAAAGTCTTTGAAAATCAAAAACACAAGTGATGGCCCCTCTTTCAGGATCTTGGTGGAAACTATTGCTGAACAAGATGACATGTGACGACACTAATTGGTAAACCCCATCATGTATGAGTGGATTATTGGGGCCTTATTCTTTAAAATAAAGAATAAAACAGACCAAACCAACTTGTCTGAGTCTGACATCTTATACCACATACTCTCTCACCGTAGCCTTAACTGTAAAAGTGAGCGGTTCTCATCAGCAAATTTCGACTAAACTAAAAATGCAAATTCTGCTCAAAAGTGAACTTTTTTACAACAAGCAGTATATCTAACCCCAACACTAGAGGGATGAAGCTAGGTTTAATACATAATAAATAGAGGGTAAGATGTCACATAAACAAACACGCACACACTTTAGAGGAAAGAAATTGCTGCGCCCGTGCGATCTTTGGGCTGTGTTGCCATGATAAGACCCTCACTAATACACAGTGTTTACAGTTGGAAATGTGGATCCAATACCACACCGTGCACACACACACACATACACACACACACAAATGATCACACTCTCCCACAGAGATACGGCTCGCCTTCAGCTGTGACTCCCCCTTTTTTCTCCTCCCTCACCCTTTTCCTCCTCTCTCTGTAGCTGTCTGTAATATTAGTCCCTTTTCACAAATATCACACAGGATGCCTGTGAAAAAAAAACTGAATATTACCTTTTTTTTTCTCTCCATGAGAGAGAGCAGACTTTTATGGCAGTGCTTTAGGAGCAGAACAATGGGAAAGTTTGAGGCGTTCCCTCAGAGATTTGTCGGAAACGGTGAATAATTCTGCATAAATGGAAGAGGGAGAACAGAAAAGCAATCGCAAGGGAGGGAGAGAGACAAGAGGAGGCAGAGATGGAGGGAGGAAGAGGAGGAGGAGGGTGGATGGGATCAAACAGAGCACAGCGAACAAGTTTTTCTGAACTGACTTCTCTTTGTGTGTGTGTGATAGAGAAAGTTGGTGTGTTTTTGGCGGAAAGTCTCAGTGTGTGGATACAGAAGGAGACAGGGGCAGAGAAAGCCAGAGCACGGTTGTTTACCTGGATGCTGTACTTTAAGGCCACTGACTGGAGCCTTTTCATTATTCAGGAACACAGCCCACCGAGAGCCAGACAAGACTAAAACACTGATTTATACCTCTCTCCATCCCTCTATCTCGCTCTGTTTTTCTGCGCTTTGTTATCCCCCTATCCTCTATCTGTGCAGGGCTTTTTTTTTTTTTGTTCTGCTATCTGTGTATGTGAACGCCTATCTGATTGTGTTTTGTTGCCGGTGTTTGTGTTTCCATTTTTCAATGTACATAGGGGTGCAAGCTGATAGAAACAGCAGACCAGGATCTTACGGACTTCACAAAGTGCCTCGCAATCATGGTGGAGGAGATTAAGAGGCGGAAGTTACAGGTAACATCAACTACAACCGACACAATCTGTCACTTCTACTACACGGCTTAATCCTTGATTGAAATTTAAACTGCCTGTCTGACATTTGATGCAACATTTGGGTATGGCAGGTGTTTAAACTCATTTCTGTATATCTTTACCTTAGGGAGAAGCAGCTATCCTGACTGTCTAACCACATACATTTCCTTTTGCTGTTAAACCTACACATTAGCAGTTTTTATATTGATTTAATCAGTCAAAAGCTACATTTAAAAAAAATAATAGGGTTTGTGGGCATCACCCACACTGAGATTTATAACTGGGATATATTCATAGGTTAAAACAAATGAGAGCACTGAGTTAAAAGCATAATTAAGCACATTTGAATAATGATATGTCCCTGCAAAGTAATTAAAGACAATCAAAATCCAAAGACTAAAATGTACTTGATTTTAATCTTTTTTTTTTTTTTTGTTTTAATTCAACGTTAGTATTTACAGTAAACATCTGTTCAGTTGTGGTATATTCACAGCTTGAATAGAACAAGCAATATTTGTCTGATGCCGACATAACTTTTAAGGAACCTGTGATTGTTAAAAGGTCTCAAGAAAGGAGAAACGTATCCCAGTATTTCAAATGATGCTCCCGTTTTACAAGTTCCCGATACGTTTACAGTAGGCCTGAACGATATATCGTTTGACTATCGTCATCGCGATGTACGTGTGTGCGATAGTCACATCGCAGAGCCTGCGATATTGGAGGTGAATGAACTCATTTAATTTCAAGGGTAACCGACTGAGATACACTCCATGTGACTCTGCATGTGCTGTGCAGCGATCCACCAATCACCTTCGTCCTTAACTCAGTTGCCAATCAGACTCACTTCTCAGTTGCCAATCAGACTATCCTGCCAGCTGTCAATCAAAATCAGGGAGGAGAAAACCCATCCCTGCACATGTTCTGCACATGGAGAGAGACGTGTGTCCGCTGAGAATTACTTTCGGAACTTTACTCATGACTATTAAGCCCAACAAATAAGAACTGTATGGGTTTTAAATTGTACATTTCCGTGGACCACTCAACTATAAGCAGTGCGCGTTTTGCGAGGTGCATGCAATTCTCGGAGGACATGCATTTCTCGGTACAGCACCGCTAACAACAACAACAACGATCGCAAAATGAACAACGAACAAGCGAAAACCACCGAAAATGAAGATTTGTTGCCAAAAAGAAAAGGAAAGTCAGTTATCTGGAATTATTTAGGCTAAAAGAAGGATGATGTCGACCAAAACACGTTTTCTGTGTTCATCTGTTTCCGCAATAACGTCCCAGCACAATAAAAGCTAAAAATATCTCTGAGACAGACAGAACCCGTTCTACTAACATTCACAAAAAGAGGTAAGATCAGAGCAGATTAACTGTCCTCAAGATTTCAGCAGTGCAGCATAACATTAAGTGTTATTCAGGTCATCTGGTGAAAATACTGTATTTTTAATATCGCAATATATATCGCAGGGTTGAAAAAATCGCAATATTATTTTTTTCCAATATCGTGCAGCCTTAGTTTACAGATCCACTTAAAAGCAGTATTCAGTAGAACAGTATCCATCATACGTCTTCCACCTCTGCTGTTTCCTTAAGGAAAAGTAGGTACATGTCAAAAGTGTTTTATTATGATTCACTCTCAGGAGCCATTAGTAATCATTGTTAATCATTATCTGGTGACAAGAGGTGATATATGCCTCTGGGAATGAATGCCAACTTCTAGCCAGCAATAGCAAAAACAGCTTCTGCTTTTCTGTGCTGCGTTCAAGACTGTAATGTAACAAAAATGCTGTCATTCCTCGAGCCATCAAGGGATTGCACCTGCTCATCTGTTACAAGTTCTAGTTGGTCTCAGTTTTACAGGAGACACACACAGACGCTCCACTTTGGCTTACTTCAGCAACTATATGAACCTAAAGAAGAATTCTACTCTTGTGATTTCCTTCCAATTTATGGATCTAAAGTTGCCAAAATAACATCTTTCTTTTCAAGATCTGTTAAAAGTACAAACTTGAACTTGGTTTGTCCTTAAGTGGGGAAAAAAATCCTTTGAAATGCATGTTTGTTGAACAGAGACCAGATTGATCTTTTCTGATCATTTAAGGGAACCAGTTCCTGTTGACGGATGTTTTTAACTCATCCCCAAGTAGAGTTGTTGTTTAAGTTGAAACTGAGAAAAAAAAGACACTTCCGCATTGTAAAAGACATCTATACCAGTGTCTTTGCAAGGGAGATTGGTATCGAATCGAACTAAGCAGGGGATTTGTCAGCAGCCCTAATATGGAGTTCTGAGAATCTGTCAATCTGCACATAAATTTATACTTCAGATTTCTCAAGAGTGCATGAAAAGAGTAAATCCCAGCATCACAAAAAAGTTCACTAGCACTGGTCCACCTTGGTTTCCTCAATAGAATCCAAGATGCATCATTGTAAGCAACATTTAGCTTCTGTAAGCTTGATTTTAATACCTCATCCACAGGGGGGCAGTATAAAGAGGGGTACAATATGTCCTGAAGAGAGTTATCTTGACACTGTCAGAGCACAGAGAATCTGCGCACCAAACTGTTGGCCTGAGCATAAAGCATTCAGCACTGTCTATACAAGTCATCATCGTCACACATATCAGTAATGATGTGCCCAAGATATTTTGTTCTTAAGAATAAGCCTTTGCCCTGAATGATGAAAATTTGGGAAGTTGAGGTCCCTATCTCACGTTTCTTGTGATCCAGGGTAGGTCCCTGGTCAACCTGCCCGAACCCAAGCCTTATAGGCCTCCTTTGCTGCAGCGTGATGTGTGGCTACATATTTATTCCAGCCAAATTAAATATTGTGAGGATTTTTTTTGCAGCACAAAATATGATCTACTAGCCTCCAGCATTGCTCCTTTAATTTCTTCATAGAGGGAACAGAGGGATTTCCTGTATGATATATCATTGCAATTTAAATTTGAGCACAAGACAGCATTTTAGGTAAATAAACCTCTCCCAAAAGCACACAGTTTTTTTCATAGTTAGACACTAAATCCTCATTTGGGAGTTTATCCCAATCTAGTTTCAATTTCGGGCTATTTAGCTCTCCGTTAAGATCAGGAAGACTAAACATCCAGGCTCATGACAGATGGTATATGATCAGTTAATGATGTCAAATACAGCATACTCGTAGACTGCAGGATAGAATGAGCATAAGCAGTACTTATACAATGATCAAGCCAAGAGGTCGTATGTAGGAGTAGCTACTTGGGTGTAAAAGCTGTTGACTGGACAATATCAAGTTGTTATCTTTACAGAATTGCATCATATGCCGAGCAATCAGTGAACCTCCATCTCAGATATCAGCATTTAAATCCCCAACAATGTACACACTTGTGCAGTAATTATCATGAATAAATGGATTAATAAAAGCAAGGCAGTTTCAATATTCATCCTCATTGTGTTGACACTCAAAGGTGTAAACATTGAGAATGATTAGCTCTTTCTTTCCAACAGTACTCTGCACAGCAATACACCATTCAACTTCTGCCCTGATAACCTTTAAGAAGGGGTCCAGCTTTTTATACCACAGAATAGCCATCCCTCCTGCAATTCGACCATTCACCAAACCCAAAGAAGTCAGTTGTTGATTCACCTGCCCTTCTTCCAACACGCAGTCCACGACAATTGTAAGAGACAACGCGCATGTAACTAAGAGATAGATGCATTTGCAGAATCCTCTTGTACAAGAACTGTAGCCACAACAGCCCCATGAACTTCTTGCTCATAATATCGCCGTACAAGGGAGGCGTCGGGCCAAAGCCCCGGGTTATAGCCTACAACATCTCCATGACATTCCCATTATATTCAGTGCACACAAACGAACTACACTTGTTGACAAGTAACATCACGGCCAAACCTTTGCTTCAGATAGCCCCTCAAAGTCTCCGCATCAAGATAAGCAGTAAATCTGGAGACAAAAACACTCACCAGTTTGATGTTCCCTTGCACATCCGTGCCGACGATAGGCTCCTGCTTCACCTGTGCAGGTCAGTCGGTGCGTTGCCTTTCTCAGGTGGTGGCCGGTATCTTGGCGCGCCTCTTTAAATTCTTTCTCCGCTTCACAACATGACTCCAATTCGGTGTAGCCGATGCCCGGGCATGCATCCGACACATGCCCGGGGTGTCGCTGGTACCTTCGGTGGAGTTATGCTCCCCGGTTTTAGTCTCCAATGCATTATCCAAGGCGGTAGCTCCAGCCTGCGCGCTCTCTCACCTGTGCACCCCGCGTCACTTGAGGTGATCCGGCTTTATGCGCCGCTCTGTCCCGGCTTCAGATAGAGCTCGACAGCAGCGACTCTGCGCTCGGTGGTTGAAGTCATCTCCCGCAGCCCCTCCAATGTCAGTTTGGTGTTTAACGGCATGCCTCAACGCTCCATATTTCTCAGCAGATTAGACACGTCCATGTTGTTAAAAGTCACAGGTGGCAGCTCATCCAGGTAGTGAGACACGAATGTTTTCTCACACTCTTCAACACTTTTAAGCAACTCTTTTGTTATTTATATCCTTCTGATCGGCCATGAAGGCCACACATTGCTGCTTGGTGCCAGGACAGAGCTCAAAGAGTGCCCTCATCGACGACTCAATCCACTTTGAGTCTAAAGTTTTTGAGACTAACAAAACAAGTTCATCATGATTCAGAGTTTTTATCTTGACTGCGAAGAAGTTTAGAAACTCATATCTCTACAATGACTTTGCCAGCTAGCGTCTAATATATTACAGGTTTCAAACGCGGCCGACTGAATCCAAGAGCCAGCGTCCATCTGCACGCACTGTCCGCCATCTTGGTTTGTGTGTCAGGTTCGTGAATGAAGCCCCATGTTTTAAAGGCATACACCTGTGAAAAGCATTCGTGCAGCAGCCAAGCAGGCCTATAAATTTTAGCCAGAATCGTTCAGTTGGTGATACAAGCATGAAATGTGGCATAAACATTTTCCATGAGTCACTTGACTAGAAAACATAGGTCTTTAGGGGCTCCTTAATAAACATATGTTTGAGTAAGAAAGAAATACACAAAGGAAATCTTTAAAAAAAAATGGTCACCATCTTGAAATAGATGCAGCTAGAGGCATTTTCTTGTGAAGTAATTTATGGGGAATGGTCTTACCACTTTTCATGTTGATATCACCAACTTTTAAATATTTGCTCTAATGAGATGGCAGGCCTTCTTTAAAATGGCCTCTATGTTGAAATTTCAAGCAACTGGGGGCATTTTCTTGTTGAGTGACTCATGAAGATTGCTCATTAGTGATGTCACAAGATGTGCCGAGGCTTCAAAGCGTGTGTGGGCATTTTTCCACAAAGCATGTATTGAGGCTTGCTTCATCTGGGGGGGAGCCAAAAATGATGAAAAATGATCCTGCCTGGCTGTACCACGTCACTGATTTAAAAACGGTTCGCAGGTTTGGCAAATGAATGAACCAATGAAGAATTCTTATGCCAATTTTCATGCTTGTATCACCAACTGAACAATTATGTCATTTATCTGCTCCACTACATTGTTCAGAAATGATATTGTTGCTGGTTTTTAAACAAACAGCACAGCCCTGAATGAAATAAATAAAGGTCTCCTCTCTCTCAGCTGTGGAGAGTTAAAGGCCCGTAAGCAAGGCATCAAGTCCTTAGATACTTAGGATGAGTTGCTCAGAGGTCAATAGAGTTGGACTGTGGTTGACTGTGGGCAGATGGGAGGTGTGAGCATGTGTGGGTGTATGAATATGAAACAGTGTGCTGCTGCTGGAGCAGAAAAAAAGAACATGCATGCAGAATCAAGATTCCCTGAAGAAATAAACTCTGAAAAACATTATTGGAATAACATTAGCTGCATTTACACCTACACATAAACGGCAAAGTAAACACGGTTTGCTGGGATTCAAATGTGTTACATTCGGTGTGATCTCTTTGAAGTGTGAAGCGTCCCCTAACAACCTGATATCCAAAATTCTAATATGAGCCGCCAGCCGGATCGAAGCCCCTCGTGCCCAGCCAGCTGCTGCAGACACACAGTGATGTGATCCAGAGATTGACTCCATTTCCATCCTGACTCCCAATATGTCAGCCGAGTGTGCGTCACATGTTTATCCATCATTTCATGTATCTGTTTATTTTTCCATTTCCACTCCATGATGTCTGCCTTGCTCCCCTGCCTCTCCCTCTTTCCTCACCTCTTTATTATTTCCATTATTAGAATTTTCTCGCAGGGTGCTGAGTATTGCTCCAATCACCGCCGAGTGGGCCAATCACTTCACATCTCTAAGCTGATGAAAAACCACAAAGAAGACGCTCTGCAGACACACTAAAACACACTTCACCGCACACATGTTGCCACATTGTGCGCTTCTTTTCTGCTGTCTGCCTTTAAAAGCAGATACACTTTTTGTCCTTCCCTACCACTGGCTGTTTTCAGCCCTCTCGGCCAGGCTAATATTTACTCTGCCTTTGAACTTAAGCTGAGTGTTTGTCCGTCAATCTGCCTGCGAGAGATAGGAGCCCGGCAATCAGTTTTGTCGTACTTAAGAGTTGCTGATGAGGACTATTTTGTTTGTTTACCAGGTTTTGTCCAATTTTCTTTACCCGGATGACTCTTATTTGAACTCTTATCCTCCTCAACACTTTGTGAATAGACGAAAACTTAAAAAGAAGAGGCGGTTTGATAATTTAATACCGGGCCTTGTTGTTTTCTCTTTCACTCACCTGCACTAATTTCCACCTGCTGAGCCTGTTTATATGAAGTAAATACATAGATGAGATAATAACAGAGTGATTTGCAAAAAATACAGAGTGATGTTTTCCAGTTTATACTGTTTGAGATTCAGCACATTAGCCTCTGAATGTTTTCCAGCGCACAGCTTAGCCGTCGATTTAGAGAATTTATCTCATAATGTGTTGGGCTAAATCACAAAGAATGGTATCCGAGGATTATAGCGGGTGTGGATGTGTTTGTTTGTGTGTATACATGTATTATTTATACATAAATGTGTTTACATCTCAGAGCATGCATACCAAAGTGTGTCCAAGTGTGTGTGTATATACAGTTGGGTACATTTTGTTAAAGTTGTGTGCGTGAGTCTGTTGTCTTCTCTGTCCTAGTTAGCTTCACTCTCCGTTGCGAGCAGAAACAGAACCGCTGTTTTCATTTTCTCTTCTCTTTCTCTGCTTATCTGTTCATCATCCCCAAATAAATGGATGTATTTTTTTGTGTGTTTGTCACTCAGCCAGTTTTCGTTCCCCCCAGCCAATCAGGAGTGAGATTCTCCTTCTTTTTTTTTTCTTCTTCTTTGAATAAACAAACTTTTAACGGGAACAAATACGAACTGTTATTCAGAGTTTGATATGCGTAGCGGACACAGCAGAAGTTTGATCCGAAGCGGAAGATTGAGCAAGCCACTGTGTCATTGGAAGCTTAAACACAATACACCTTTTCTTCTCGAGTCATTGCACCGTGTTTTCTTCCAGCGTTCTTGACTTTAAGCTTTTCTGTCCCCTCGTTTTCGGTGACTCACTGTGAATTTTGAACCGACTGATACCCTTCACTGACACTGTTCACTGAGTGTTTTTGCCTGACACCCCCTTCCTCCCTCAGGAAGAAACTTTGCTCGTGTCAGGGTTTTCTACTGTATAAAAACTGTTCTTGATAAGCAAAAAGAAACTTGGGAAGGCCCTTAGAGTTGATGAATCGATCGAGTGAGAAGAAAAAGTCAGATTTCTTTTCCCTCTGGCTCATATACTGTACCTCCAGTACGCTTGGACTAATAAGGAGATACATTATCAATAGACCAGCAGTGCACACTAAATGATACAGTCCTGCTGCTCTGAATACAGACTAGCCCAATCTTTGTCCTCAAACCTGAGCTCTGAACCAGGGGGCAGGGGGGAAAGACCCTCTCTATTTTTAATAGTCAGTTTAAAATGCTCCTTGTTGATAAAGAGCTGGTTCAGGCCTGGGTCACCTCGTATTTATGCCGCTATAGATTTTGACTACATTTACACGAGCCCGGCTAGTTTCATAAACGGACATTTAACCCTCTCTGTTTACAAAAAAAAACTGCGCACACCACCATGTTTTCAGAAAAGTTTTCGTTTACACTAAACCATGTCTATACAGTACATTATGTCGTCAAGAGCATATCAAACATGTGGGTGGCAGTGTAGCGAGAAGCTCAAGCCCACGTTTGCCAATCAGAATCCCGCATAGCAGCAACAACAGCACCTTCCTTCTTCCTGTCACGCAATCTGCTGTCGGCTACTCGGTTTTTAAAAAAGCATCATTTTTAGGGGCGAATTCTCCGTTTGCGTCTAAACGAAGGGTACAAACGATGGTTAATGTCTCTGTTTTTAAAAATAACTGGGTACATATAAACGGGGCCTTAGACTAAGCTGGGTAAGCCCCAAATATGTGTTCACACTTTGGCAAATATCTCCCAACAGAAGCTTTCAGTAACAATTTCAAGAATAACACCACCAACCTGTTGTTGTAAACTGTTAAAACTTCATTTAATTAATAATGTTTTGGTTCCTTATTTTACGAGACACCTCTTTTGTAGAAAGAATTAAGTACCAGTGTGTTGTTGTCACATTAAATGAATTACTGCAGAGTGTCACTTTCTTCTTCGAGACGGGGTTCAGATAGAAATTATTTGTGAAGAGGTTTTGTTTTTGTTAGAGGGTAGTAATTACGCAGGTTTTAGACATTTAGGATTATTATGTAGCTATGATTTTTTAATCAATTCATGGTAAAAGCATTTTGCAAGTGTTTCTCTCTTCTGCTCTCTCCGTCCCTCAGAGGGGAGTTTGTTAGCCAATGTTGTTGTTTACACTAAAGGCAATACCTCTGCTTGAGGGGGCGTTAGCCAGATGTTCAAGTAACCCCAATCTCAGCACTGTGGTTTGTTTTAACTCCATTACCTGAGGCAGGAAGTTAGCTACAATACATTCAGTCAGTCTGGTAAATAAACTATTTTTCATTGGAGATAAAACACAGGGAGGATTTGATTGCTTTTTGCGCTGATGCTTTACAGGGACAGAAGATACTCTCATCGCTTATGGTAGCTGAAATTTTTGGAGTAGAAATAGTCAACCAGAGAATGACACCAAAGGGATGTGTTGTATTTTTTTATCTGATATTGTGTAGTTCAGATATGTTAATATGCATAGACTATATTCTGAGGTGAATTAGAGAAACCCAACTTTAATCCACTGAGCACTAAAAACAGGCACTGGAAAGACTAAGACAGACCAAACTTATGACTGAATAACCAAGGAGCTGGTCCAAAGCAAGCCCACAGACAAGCTTTTTAAATAAAGTTTAAAGGCTACTCTTGAAAGTGAAGCAAGTGTCTTCATCCTCTTTTTATCCCTGAACTTGTAGACGACTCCAAAGAAAAGGGGCCTGATAAATGAAGGGTCCACCTCCCATATTATTCTTTGAGACTTCAGAGACCACAGGCAGTGATGTGATTGAGAGTGTGATGATTGAAGGGGTACAAGAGAACTGAAAGAAAAAAGGATTTTAAATATTATTTTGGATCTCACATGGAGCCAGAGTGACTAATACTGGACATTTATTTATTTTCAATGTTTGTGTTGCTTTTAGAAATGCAATAAAACAACCAAACATAAGGGATGTACGGGCTGTTTTTCTTTGTGTTTTGATACAGGACATGTCTGTAGCAGGTGGTCCCTAAGATTAGTTTTATGTGTGGGTTGGGGAACATGTCCAAACAGTACTTCCAGATATATTCCAGTGGTGCCTGAGGACCAAGCTCAACGATTTTCTATAAGAGTAATAAGCCTTTAAAATGCTGTTTGTTTGTTTATTTGTTTGCTGTATGTGGTTGAAGCAAAATCACGGAAGTGAGTGTGATTGACAGTATTTTGTTGATTTTGGGAGCTGGCGTGACTGTCAGTCGTCACCCTCTGACAGCACCTCTGCCCTCTACACTCTGTTGGGTTTTAAAGCTGTCAGCACCGGTGCTTGACTGCTTGGGGAGTTTGTTTAAGGATATAACTGCTGAGAGCTGTAAATATTGTACTTAAGTGAACTGCAGGCTCAAAGTTAAGACATACTTCATTTTGACGTTAGAGGAAATGGAATTAACTCCTGTAATCCAATTATCCTACCTGATCTGCAGTATTCACATCTTAATTTTAGAAATCAAGGACTTCTCTCATTGTAATGACCCATATTTATTCTTTGATCTGCCAATGATAGTTCTCGCTTTTTGAGCGTTTCCATGTCCTCATCGCATTCATGTTGTGACTGCTTTTGTTTTTATTTTTGTTGCTTAATTACAAAATTAGACTGGAGATAAGGATGTATTTTTTATTGCAAATGTAAAAAGACCCTAACCTTTTCATTCCATGTATCCTCTCCTGCCTTTTAGTGGAATTCCTGCTCATTAGTCATTACTGATGATCAAAATGAATTGAAGAAAGGAGGGAAGGAAGGAAGAAATAAAGGAAGGAAAAAGCAAGGTAAAAAGGAAGGAAAGAAATGAAGAAAGGAAGGAAGGAAGGACAGAAAGAAGGAAGGAAGGATGTAAGAAAGAAAGCAAGGAAGGAAAGAGAGAAGGAAGGAAGGAAGAATGGAAAGAAGGAAGAAAGGAAAGAAGGAAGGAAAAGAAGGAAGGAAGGAAGAATGGAAAGAAGGAAGTACAAAAAGAAGAAAGAAAGAAAGGATAGAAAGAAGGAAGGATGAAATGTGTCTCCATATGGGAGTCTTAATCCTGACTTAACTTGGATCTATTGTCTGCATTTGGACCTGAAAGACGGAGAACAAAACTCAAACTTACTAAGTAGATTTGTAGGACAGATGTAAGAATTATAATATTTACATCAATTGTTTTTATTCATAAAAATAGTAGGAATAATTATGTTAGTATTAGAAGATACTTCAGAGGATATTTTTTTATTTACAAATGTTTTTGCATATAGTTCTAATCATTTATACAACTTCAATTAAAGACTGCGATGTGCATATTGCATCTCCATTCCTGTTTTTTTTTTTCATCTAACTTTAAAAAAACAAGTCTATTGTCTTTAAAAGTAAATTATTGAACTCACTGTGACTTAAATGTGTAAAACAGTAACACAGCTGTTTCTTCAGCCTGCTGCTCGTCACCTGGTCTGACACCTACCCCCTCACAGGAGTTACAGGCATCAAAAATGACTTCATAATAACTGTCACTCCTGTCATCGATGGCCTTGTTTGCCTCTGTGGGTCATAAAAGGCTATCACTGTTAATTTCAACCTGTTTCATAACCAGTCAAAAACTCTTCACAATGGCTTTAAGCAATTCGACCGCTGTGTACAAACAAGACGCTCAGGAAAATGGTTTGTCTTGCGCCTGTTTTTTACAGTTTAAAGGCTACATTAAACCTCAATCATGCAAACAAATATGACTTTTCTGCTCCTCAAATGATCGTGTAATAAAACCAGAACATTTGCTGTTTGGGTTTTTCAGAAAAATCTCGATTAAGACAATGAAAAGCGACTTTTTCTTCCTCTTTTTTCATTTTTTTGAAAGGAACTGATTTTGAAATCTACTGAACAGATGTCAGTGAAATTTGATAAAAAAGTAGTGATTAGTTTTTTGGCTCATAATACTCCCACTTAAAAAGCTCCTGGTATACTTTATTGATTCATCCCTGCAAAACATGTTTTGGAAACTTTGTTCAAGCTGTACCAGATTTGACTCAGAAACTGTCAGTTCTACTTTGTTTGGCGTTCCTAAAGAGTTTATTTCTTTTATTATAAGTTGTTAAATTTTATTGTTTCTGCTTCTTTTGTCATGCTTGCTCTGAGCATAATATTTCATGGCATTTTACACAACGATGTCTCTGCAACCTCTGCTAATAAAAATGACAACAAGCAGGTTCTCATAAATCCATTAAGACAAACCTTTTCATCCCTGACAGAAATTGTTTTTACTAAATCTACGTTAAAACTACCTGTCACCGTGAGATTTTTTTTAAACATAGTGGAAACCTGTTTTAATTGCTCTTTTCGCCTCTGCAGTACTTATCCTGTCAGTTCTGTCTTCTGAAACAAACAACAGCATCCTGTCAGAAATCCAGAGAAGCGCATCCCTTTTTCGTGTCTGACTCACTTCTGTTTGTCTTCTCTTCCCAGGTGGATACCATAGTAACGCTGGGCGGTTTGGCGGGCAGATTTGACCAGATCATGGCATCTGTTGAGACTCAACACCACGCTTTGACCATCACACAACTCCCCCTGTTGATCATACAGGGGACTAGCCTGGCATACTTACTCAGACCGGTGAGTGAATAATAACACATGAAGCACATAAACTCTTTTGTAAAATCCTCACAGTCTATCCCTGATAATTGATATTAGATTGTAAAGCCAGCACAGAGAAATGAGCTGCTGCTTCTCTTTTTAGTTAGTTTTCATCGAGCTAAAGTTGGACTTCAAATCTTTTTTTCAGAGTTGCTCATAAAAGCTTCACTCACAGCCATCCCTGCAGTATATTTCCACCCCGCTGGATTAACATTCTGCTCTGCTGTAATAACATCTTCTCCTCCTTAGTCACCCCTCTACCAGTCCTTCTTTTCGTTTCTGTTCTCTTTAAAATCTCCTATTTCGTGCTGTGCTTCCACCTTGATTGGAGTGCTGAACACTTTGTTTCTTTGTTAAGTAATCACTTCAAGAACCCCCACACATACACTTACACACTTCTGCTCTTCTGGTGCCCCAATTTGCTGTTGTGCGCGAGACAGACAGTCTCTTTTGATGCTCCTAAATTGTTTTTCCTCTACGCCAGCCACTTTCTCATGCTCCTCAGTTGATTGAGTTTACAAGTGGGCCAAGCAGCCACCATTTGGGACGCACGCTGCTCTGCACTTTTTTTCTTTCTTTCCCCTCCCTCCTTCCCCCGTGTTGTTTATTCGCAGGATCTCCAGGACAAACAACAAACTGTCACACTTCCCGGTGACACCTTGTAATACTTTAAGTAAACCTCCCTCACGCACACTCCCTCCCTACTACTCGTCATTATTCCAAAGGCGCGCTGTCATTTGCTGCTTCATACCTCGACACCTTCAATTAATCTTACTTCAGTGAGGGTAAATTAAGCTCGTTTGTCAACGCTGCTCCAATTCGCTAGCGGCTGATGAACGCAGACGGCTGTACATGAAGGTGAACGCAACCTTCGAAAGACCCGCCGCTGTTTGCTCAAGTTACATCTGTAATTGGAGTGTTTACAACTTTTACCAAATATCCTCCCCACTTGTTTTCCGTGCAATCACAGCTCGTTACGTGCGAAGCTTCAGGATCATCTGCTACAATCAATAAATAATGCTTTTCCTGTCGCACACAACCTGCTTAAACATAATGCATTATATAATTAAACAAGGGGTGAATTTTATTTAGCAAATTGGACAAGTGTGGTTTATATCAACTGGAAAAAAAGCAAGAATAAACCTGGAGATAAAAGCAGTATTTTCCTAATTTAGATGAAACCCATCTCATCTTAATCAGAGTTTATTTCATCAGGTTGTTGCCTTTGTGTTTGTCTGTTCCCAAAGCGAGGTGTCAAAATGTTACTTAATTTTCCGTGGGAATTATGCACAAGTCATGAGTTTTCTATAGCTGGCTTAGGGCATTGCATAATTCGCCTATCTTTTATTCAATTATGCGTAGGGACAATGCAAGGGCTGCAGAATTGTTTATCCCAAGTCTCAACACGACAAGGAGATGTTATAATCAGCGTCGGTCCCTAGACGATGTCAAATATACTCAAAAAGTTGCACTCATTTAATCTGTTTTGATGTTCTTTTTTTTCATCAAGTCTTTAAGCGGAGACACATTCAGAGAAGGCACTTTCCCAGCCCCTCAAGATACTTGAAGTAAAACATGATGTCCATGTTTTGAGAGCAGCTCCCCCAGCCAGTATCGGCCCAATCACAGCCATAAATCATCCTGTGGTCGCACACTCCAGGTCAAACATACAGGCTTGTTTTCTTGATGCCCTTTAGCAGACTGAAACTTGTCAGTGGACGAGCTGATTTGAATGATAAAGTGTTGAACCTGAGGGCTCGTAACTCATCCCAACTTCTGCTTCAGATGAGACACATAAACAGGAATGTGAGGTAAAAAGCTGATACTGGATGTTTATAAGAGCTGGAATTTATAATTTAGTTTGATGGATGCAATACAAATAAGTCTTAACTTTAACAAAAAGCCTTGTATGATTTAAAAACTAGAATATTACAGCATAATTTTGTGTTTTTCAAAAGGTACAAGTGATCTGATAAAAGCTGAATTTAATCTAGAATTAATCTCAGAGTTCAGCTCAAAGGTATATTTATAGAGACAGCCTGTGCTTTCTGCAAAGAGAGAGATTATCTTATAACCAGGAGACTGATCATGAACAACATAATATTTCTTTGGCACTCCTTTAAACTTTTCTTTTACTGCTGTGCACACCAGCCTTTTCACATTTCACAACACCTTTTTGAACACGATTTTTAAAAATTTAAACTGCCCCTCAGAGTTCAATTAGCAGCCCTCGTCTTCTTCTTCTTCTTCTTCTTCTTCATGCCTCAGCTAAAAACTTACTATCACAGTTTGCTGTGAATTCTACACCCGGAGGAAAGCACAGTGTCAGCCTGAATTAGGGCTCTACTGCATTTGTGTCTTCATGCGCAAAAACACATACATGTGTTTCTTGTTTTCTCTGTTCCTCATACGAAGTCTCAATTTGACAAACACACAAAAACAATTTAACTATAGAGCACAACCTTAGGGGTGTATCCTGAATAAAAAAAAAACATGTAAAACTAGTGTTTGATCCCTTTCTCCCAGTGGTTCCAGAGTACTGTCTGCATAACGGATGGTTATATGACACAATACGATACAAGATGATACGATATAATACAATATGATACGATGCAATATGATACAATACAATAAAATCTGAGATGTTAGGATATGATACGATACGATATGATACAAGACGATATGATATGGTACAATACGGTACAATACAATATGATACAATATGATACGATATGATACAATACGGTACGATACGAGACAATACAATATGATACAATACAATACGATATGATACGATACGGTACAATACGAGACGATATGAGACAATACAATATGATACGATACGATATGATACAATACGGTACGATACGAGACGAGACGATACGATACGAGACAATACAATATGATACAATACAATACGATATGATACTATACAGTACAATACGAGACAATATGAGACAATACGATACAATACGATACAATAAGATACGATATGATACAATACGGTACAATACGATACGATATGATACGATACGCTATATTGTCCCCTCAGGAAAATTTGTCTTGGACTCCAAGAGCTGCACAGATAAAGCTGCCAACTGATGACGTAAAGCATTAGACCCAACAAAGACACACTTACACAACCCACACACTCTTCACACACACATATTACACAAGAATCTCACAGACATGGTCAAAAGAAACACACTGACAACAAATAACAATGACAAAGAATAAGACACAGTTATAGTATTGGTGACATAGACTGTTGGATTTTGAAAAGGCATTATGAATCCCAGCCAAAGCAGGCCTTGAGCTTCTTGGCCAAACAGCTTCATTGCATCTACTTTCGTGTTAATCCAACCAGGCCCCCTGATTTTATGGTCATTTATTCTTGGGGTCTACAGATGTTGCAAAGCCCAATGATGTTAGTCACCATTTTAACATCATCAAGAGCAGCAAGAACAGTCTCATCTGGGAAATATGTTTCCAAAGACAGGTGTGAAATTGGGTTGGTATCGTTCAAATTCTTGCCGTTTTTAATTGATGGCAGATTTTCAGAGTCCTGCTTTTCCTCTTACATAAAAAAGAATAGTGGAATGTACCTTTACTCATTTGAAATAGTGGCTTCTTACCCACCATTGTACTTTATATTCCAAAGTGAACTGCACTGCTTTGAGTACTGCTAGGTCAATGGTATATCTTTATTTATAAAGCCATTCTGGGCACAATACCAGACTACTTTCCTCCCTTTTAACCCTGAAGGATGGACTCCACAGCCTTCAGTCATTAGGTATTGTGCAGTTTGTCATTCCCAAAGTCTGAACTGAGTAGGTAAAGAAAGCTGTAAGGTTTTCTACACCTTTTTTTTTCCTGGAATAATGTACAGACTGATTTGAAACTGCAAAACTTAGTTAGCTTTAATGAATTCAAATCTCTTTGTTTAAAGTCTGGAGGCCAGGCTCTCAGTCTTCACTTGTTTAAAGACTCTTTTAGTTCTGCTGTATAAGCGTGATTGTTGTGTTGTTGAAACTTTGTCTCTTGAGAAAAAAGATGCCTGGCTGAATAAAGATCAAAAGGTTTTAGCTTTTTGCCCAAACTTGAGTTAACTGATGCCTAACAAAAAGCTACAGTATACCCACCTGTCTGCCAAACCAGCCATGCCCCTGGTTATGCCAGGATATGCATAATTCTTAGACTTAATATAATATAACCAAAGCAGATGAGGTACAAAATAAAGTACCCTGCAGTATCATTCTAATGAACAGAGAACTATGTTTTCCCACCAGGCAGTATGCATGTTTATTTCTGCTGTAAAATGGGCGTTTTGATTCGGGCTTTGGTTCGGTATCCTTGGGCTCTTAGAAACAGCCTCAAGCAGACATTTGAGGAACTGCAGGTTTTTTGCACGTCTACCTTGGCTTTTGTTTTATAACTGAGGTTGCTGACTCGGTCCAGAGCTGAGAATGGACGTCTTTGTCTGTATGATCACTCTAAAATCCTGATCTATGATTTAGCTGTCAACCCTTGTTGTCTCAGTGTTTAAGCTTGTATCCCAGCCTGCACTTTTGGCCCCGTAGATATTTGGTGGAAACTTCAATAGACAAATTTGGTGCTCGGTTTCTCTACCTGACACTTGTTTATTTGTGCTGGAATAAGACTGAAGTGTCTCTTTGTGTCTCTATTTTGTAAACTTGAATGAAAGAAACTTTATTTGACCTTTCCAGGATCAGACTACCAGTGCATTCAGAGCTCAGTAATTATTCAGTTTGAAGAGTTTGACACTACCTTGCACTTGCACTGTATGTTGCTTTTGCTTTTTCTATGAGAGCCCTGCTCTCTCAAAGGGAAACCGTGACATTCAGAAATTGTGTTCATGTTTATTTTCTTTGTAGATCGTTTTCATTGTATCTCCCCAAAAAATTTTTAAAATCTGTACCCAAGACCTCTTAACTCTGTCACCTTCACCCCCGTTGAAAGATATCTCATTAGATACACTGTGAAAGCCATTGACTTCAAGTGTTTGCAGCCCTGTTAAACTGCTGAGTCTTTCAATAGTAAAATCGTGTCAGTATGAGATATTTTGACTCATTGTGACACTCAGTTAAGTAGTTCCTTAATAGAAATGGCAAGGTATTCTGTCTAAGTGTGGGCAGTGACTAAATGGGTTGTGGCATTGACAAGAGCAATTATTACTTTTAATGAGTCTTGGTCCCTGAGCGCAGGAGCTTAGGTTCTCACTGGAATAAGAAAGTTTTCAAAGTCTCACTTTACTTTTGTTCTCTCTTTCTGTTTCATAAACATCTAAAAAAAAAATTAACATTTGTTGATGTTGTGTGCGCAGGGCAGCCACAGACTGGGGGTGAACACAGGCCTGGAGGGGGACTGGTGCAGCCTCATCCCAGTAGGTGGACCCTGCATAACAACAACCACTGGGCTCAAATGGAACCTGAGTGAGTGCTGTTTTTTTTCCCTGTCTTTCTTTTTAGCACTTGAATGATAATCCTCAGCCGATAATTAGTCTTCAAGTTTTCTTATTACAAAGAAAAAATTAGAGAGAGAAAAAAAAAGTCATTACAGGGTTTTGACTTCACTTCTCAGCAAGTGTCCTGAACACTGGGAGCAAACAATGGATCTTATTTTTCTGTATAATTTGGCCAAGTTCAATCATCCAGCCCCCCTTCTAGTTGCATGTTTAAAAGATCATTGGAAATATTGAACTTGAAAATAAATGTTTTAGCGCTCCTATTGATGAGGAAGTTCTCGCAATATGAAAACAGGGGGAATTCAACATCAAGCGTAACGACGACTCCCTTCGCTACAGCGGCTGGCTGTCAATTCAGCGAACTTAAATTTGCATCCACAGCCGAGTGGAAACAACTTTCACTGAACTTTCATCATGCATAATAAGATACAGTTAAGCGCAGATGCTTAATTTGCTTCAGTCAAATGTTACCGCTGTTCATAATAAAGTTTCATGGGTTGAGGACACACACACACACACACGAGCCACAATGAAGCTTTTTATAGTCTTGAGCATTGTGGGAAAATTTAATCAGACACCCGTCTGAGCACCCCCGGGGTCTTACCCATCTCTAAGCCTCACGTCCAGCTGTGTTCTTAATGAGTTGGCACAGACCGGACTGCCACCAGTATGAGGGCAACCTGGACCCTCTGTTGGGGGGTTGCATAATGTGTCTGTGTCATGGTGGGTGCTGGTAGTTCAGGGTCTGTGTGTGTGTACGTCTGAAGGAGCATATACACTTGAGCGAGCACGTGTGTGTGTCAGAGCTTGTTTGAACATGTCTGTATACGTGTTTGAATAGGGATGCATGTGTGTGTTTTCTGATGAGCTACTGTGTGTTGTATATTTACTCAGCACACCTGTGAGATGGCCTTCTGAATGGTAATGAGAGGGACTTTATACATGAGAGTCCTATGCAGATCAGCCCGTGATAACAAGATGCCTAATTAATCACATGCATATTAAAAAGGCTGGAAGTAATGATTTCCCATCGGGGCTGGAATGAAGGACAAACATATGAAACAAAAACCAGAAATAAAAGTCTATTTTTCTTCTTTTTCCTGCTTGTAGAAGCACTCATGCGCCGCAGTACGATTTCCTGACTCACAGTTTTGTTTTTACTCTTGAGTTTGTGGAAGCACGATTTTCCGTGTACTTTCAGTGCACATACTCAGGGGTCCAAATCAGCTCTTTGCCACTCTGGGTTGACAGTAAGACTCTTTAGAAGTCCATTGAAATGATCCCCACACTTGGGTTCAAAGCCTTTCTGTGATGAAAAATATATGAACTCCCTCTAAAGAAAGAGGTTTCAGGCTGTCAGCCATTACAAGCCCTCGTGGCCCAAAGGAGACTTTTTGCTTGCACGCTGAGTTTGTTTTAACTTTACATTAAAGCCTAAAATTCTGAAATGATTCATATTGTGTTGATCCAGAGTGTAAATTTGGGATGAGTACTTGGTTATTAAGCAAAGGTTTTTGTAATTAGCTCACTCAGGGGGGGAGTGTGCAGAATAAGCTGTAACACTAGTGGACTGAGTTAATTATATCATGTGGTAATTATTTTATCGTAGTTATGCTGATGTGAAATTCTCAGACACAGAGCACATGTATGCTTGGAAATCTGAGCTGTAGCTCTCATCCATCACAATATTACTTACAGTCTTGTCTCATATGTCACATCATATTTCATAATCCTATCATTTTTTTACAGCGTCCAATTCTTTCTTTAAGAAGACAAATCAGAGGAACTTTAAGACAGATCCAAACACATTTACACATTATACAAAAATATGTATTAAAAAAAAAGAAGAGTTATATTCCCAATGCACAAAGATGGAGTTAGCAGTAAAAGTAATATAATTATTAGCAAACATTTTCAAGATGAATGAGGTGGTGGCAGAAATTCCCAGTCACTGTAAACCTAAAATGCACGACACAAATGCACGAAGGACTCATTTGGAGAGCAAATTTAAATAAATACATGTGCGGGTATTTATATTAAAGTGTAGCACTGCTGCATTGTTTGAATATTGTGTATGAGCTGATAATTACAGCTCATTTGACTGTAGAAAGGCACAGTTGCCCTCTGCAGGAGTTAGCAGTTCATCTTCAGTGCACTTGACCACACCATAGTGCAGGACAGAAATGCTGCAGACTGGCACAAGTACACTTTGTTATTTACTCATTTACTGCTAAGCATCTTTATTTGATTGGAAAAAAAAAACAGCACTGGTTTTGGTGCAGTATGCTACTTAATACAACTTTGCACTGGATGCAATCACCAAAGTGGCCGACAATCCAATAGCACAGACATTCCTCATTAGAAAAATCATCCTGCAAATTCATAATCACGTGCACAATCAAAAAAAAGCTAGGGCTGGGATGATGTGCTTTTCTTCCGATTCGATTCTTCTACAATTTTTTTGGATGCTGATTCGATTTAAATCGTGATTCTACGGTATTGTCAAATTTCTTAAGTTTTAGTCTGCATTTTTAACACCAGTGAAACAAATGAATGATTACGATGGTCTACTGACTATTTCAGGAACCTTATTCCCCCCAAAATACACATTACATGTAAGTCGGTTTTTAAGATTTATTCTTAAATTTGAAGAAAAAGATTTTGACCATAAAAATCGATTTAAAATTTGTAAAACATTAAAATCTTGATACTTATGTGAATGGATTTTTTCTCCCACCCCTAGTAAAAGCCCATAATGCTTACATGCAACAACGAAAGAGAGAACATGCTTGAAAAAGGCCAAAAGGATAAAGGTGCTGCAAATACTTAAAATAAGTCATTTTAGCTCTACACTAATACTCCATCTTGTCTACCAGTGCTAACAGGAAGTCAGGTTTTAGTCACATTGTAATCAGGAGAAGGTGAAATCATAAACTCTAGATGAGTAGTGACTCTCTACCATATGATTTGTTTGATCAGGTATTTTCAAGCATCGCCTTTGCTGTTCAAGAAAGAGTAACCGTAGCCGCACAGCTGGGTGATTAGTGAGAACGCCGGGTAAAAAAACGTCTCTAACTCTTCCACTCAAATCACTTCTGTTCTCATGCCTCGATTCGCAGCATTTTTCTTTTCTTTCGCATGTTTTCTGTGTTTGTACCATCTTGGATTTGAATCATTTATGTTATTGTGACACATTTCTCTTAATGAAGATCGGTGGGGCTTTGCAGATGGGTTAGCTTTGTCAGCTACTGTATATTACAGAAACAAATCATGTGCAACGAATGATTGTGTGCCGCAGCAGGTTCTATTGAAATGCACTTCGTTATTGTTATTTATTAAAACATGGACTCGTAAGTCATAACATCTTTATCTTACTTTTCATTATTGGGAACGGAAAAACAACACAAGGTAAAAAGCTAAGCAAAACCCTTTTTCACTGAGTCGTAGTGGTACAAGCCATGTCAAGAATATCTCATGGCTGAACGCCAGTTGATAAATTTTGCTTTCATAATTGCTGCTTTGAGACACAAGGGTCTCACAGATGCGCAAGGGGTGAACTATGCCTGAGCCTTGGAGCACACAGGTCGACGCCCTGCGGAGCATGGAGAAAAGAGACACTGCTGGAAGCGCAGTCGTCTCCTGAAAGTCATGACAAAAGCATCTGTTCAGAAAAACTCTGCAGGCAATTTGCACACCATGTGGATCAGTTAAGGCCTCGGAAAAACCTATGCATATGAATCAAGCAGAGGAAAGAAAGAATGGAAAAACAGGAGGTGAAAGTTGGCGAGGAAGCTGGAAGCCTGATTCTTACTGGTATAATGAACACAGACAAAAGGAGCGATTAACTGAGCTATTTTTATTCCCTGTGCCACTTTTTTGCACCTAGAGTGTCATTTCTACATGTATAGGTAGCAACGCCTTAAAAATCAAGTATACATGAAATGCTTTAAAGGGATAGTCCGGCGTAAAATTAATTTAGGGTCAAACACATCGTAACATCAAGTTGGACACCCCCTCGAGAAATGAATATTACCGACCGCTTGCTTCTCAAGTTATACCAACTTTAGTTACAACTGCATGATAGCAATACACAGCGGTCTGAGGAGCCATAAACAAACCTCAACCAAAACGCCACTCTATAGCCACGAATAATGCTCAGAACAGCACCCAACTTCATCTACAGTACATACAGAGTCCCAGCCACAGCACTAGCCACCAAACTTCTTTTTAACCTTGCCTAATTTCTTTAGCAAAGAGACTAAACACAACTCACCTACTCTCTTCCAGCAGCGGCTTGTTTGTAGCAAGACCTCAGGCCAATCCATTACAGACTACAGCAGGGGGACGCAGCTCAAGGAAGAACATTTATGATCCCGCTGTAGTCTGTAAAGGATTGGCCTAAGGTCTCGCAACAAACAAGCGGCTGCTGGAAGAGAGTAGGTGAGTTGTGTTTAGTCTCTTTGCTAAAGAAATCAGGTAAAGTTAAAAAGATATTTGGTGGCTAGTGCTGTTGCTGGGACCCTATATGTACTGTTGATGAAGTTAGGTGCTGTTCTGAGCATTATTTGTGGCTATAGAGTGGCGTTTTGGTTGAGGTTTATGTGTGGCTCCTCAGACCGCTGTGTATTGCTATCATGCGGTCATTACTAAAGTTGGTAAAACTAGAGAAGCAAGCAGTCAGCAACATTTATCTTTTGACGGGGGTGTCTGACTCGGTGTTATGATGTGTTTGACCTTTACTTAATTTTACGCCGGAATATCCCTTTAACAGTCAAGTTTACATGAAATGCTTTAAGCAGGTTTTTGATGCAAACTGTTACTGTAGCTGAGCTTTGGTTGTTATTTTGTGCTTATGAGTTTTTATCGCTGCCAAGTTGTTAAGATATTGATTGCAAGTCATATCGAGTGCATGGACCATCTTTTATACTTATTAGAGCTTCAGCCTGTTGGGCAGAGGAGAGGAGGAAGAGCAATCAGATACATGATAGCGGCAGAGGAAGCCTGTGAATGGCTGTAGTTTATGAGAGTCTTTGTATAGACTGCTGTCTGATCAAAGGACTGCACTGCGGTGATGATACCAAAAGAGAGGAGTGTACTACTAAATAATGAAGTCACCGCAGTGTAGTAAAGGTAACAGTGTAGGAGGGGGTGCACACTTTAAGGATGAAGGGACTTCTGTGTAATATACATGCAGGAGGACAGAGAGTAGTGTACGGTGTCTTTAAGTGTAGGAGGAGGGTGCTGTCTGGAGAGAAAGAAATCATTTTTTCACGCATTCTGCAAAACGATCACTCTCTGTTGTAATTGACATTGTTCTCCTTATGTTTCGTCTTCCCTTTTACCTTCCAATTTGGTCTAATTCTCATCCTCCCTCTGTCTCCCTCTCACACTCACACTATCTCCCTCCCTCATTATTCCAAGCAGTGACAGCTGAAGCGCTTATCACTTTATGTACGTTACATTAATTTTCAATCATCCGTTCTTAAAATCCCCCCAGGAAAATGTCAGTAAATAGTGTAGTAATGTGTGCGTGTCTGCACAGATATTGCTGTGCTTCTGTTTGTACATCAATTGAATTCATGCTCACACGTATATTATAAATGGGTGACGGGGTTTGGATAGCTCCTGGCATTATATGTAAATGAAAGGATTTTTATAAATTCGTGTTTGAGTGTCTTGTTTTCTCTTGATATTCGAGAAATAGACAGTCGTTTCCATTGTATCTCAACCTTTGTGTCATCTAGCTATGAAAGTTGAGATTGATCTACACTGAAGACAGACACATGCGAATGGCAGTAAGCCAACATGTCTATTTTATTCGTCCAGGCTGAAAACCTATGTTTAATTTGAAAATTGTAGGGCTGGGAAATGATGGATTTCTATTATATTAATCTATCTAGAAAATATGGAAGGATTAGGGCCACATGGAGAGAAAAATAAATAAATACAGGAAGGAGATTAAAGACAAAATTTCGGGATTAAAGTCGAAATTTCGAGATTCAAAAATTGACATGATGTCAATAAAGTGGAAATTTAGAGATTAAAGTCGCCATGAAAAAAGTCGAAATTTGGACTTTTTTAAATTTCGCTTTTTAAAAATTTTGACTTTAATCTCAAAATTTCTAACTTTAATCTCGAAATGAAAATTAAAAAAATCTTCCTCCTGTAATTATTTTTTGTTGACACAATCCAGAAGGAGCTTTAAGTTGAGTCCTTTCAGGTAAGGGTCACTTCAAATGATCTACTCGACGAAGCCTTTTTTTGACATTGATAAAAAAGTTTGTGTGAAGGTGATCACTACAGGACCCTGCTTTTGGGCAATGTTTGATAAGTGATAAAATCGTGTGAAAAAACACAGATAATGGCCTTTGAAATCAGTCAATTAAAGCAAAAGGGAGCCAATGATGAGATGTCAGACATGACACACTACCATCACTATCAGGAGTTTGTAAAAGAAGTGTTTTCATCATTTTACTACGAGTCCAAGAAAATTGAGTTTTTTCAGCCTGGTGGTGACAGTTTTCATAGGTTTACTTTTACTTTGTTAAACATCTTAAATTTTTGCTCCCAGTCAAACATCTGCATGTATGTGGTGTGTTTAAAGTAAATCCAAATTTTGTGTAGTTTTGTCCTTCACAAGAAGTGATTTCATTTGAACAGCGGTGTTATACTCCCCTCTGAGCTGCTCTTTTTTCACATCATGAAAACTATTTTGCCTTTTCCTTCTGATCAGAAGCTGTCAATCCGACTAAACTACTAAATATTTGAACAGGAGAGGGAGCAGCATCAGGCCTTTTTGATAACTAGTCACTGTTTGTATGTTCACTTGATATGCACAGAGCGACTGCAGTAAACGCCACCTAGCCTCTGTAAAAACTCATCTGGCAGGTGGGGTTCTGAGGTTATGGGCGAGTTCACAAGGTGTCAAACCCAATTCTCCAACAAAAACTCCAAAGCGACGACCAGAACAAACAGGTTAGCCCATGTGACCAAGGACAACACCACCTATCTTTGTTCACACATGTGCAGCTCACAAAAATATCTGTGTGCGAGGAGGGATATGAAAAGGAAGCTTTAAAGAGACAAAAGAGGAGGGTGACAGAGAAGGAGTGACTGCGGGAGAAAAAAAGGAGGATTTTGGAGAGAACTGAGAGCGGGGTGAAAACAGAATTTTGATGTCATGACATATGAGAGGAAGCGAAAGTGAGATGGCAGACGCTCGGTTCATTTGATGTTCAGGATGCTGACACACAGCAGGAAACAGAAGGATTAGGGAGAGTTTCAGGGAGGGTGTCACAGCTTTAAGCAGGCTGCACACATGCATATTCACGCTCAGGAACATAGTCAATTCCTATTAAAGTATTCTCTGCCTGGCGTTCTTTTTGGACTACTTATGGATCCCAGATTGTCTTATGTGAGCCTCCTCTTTGTGCTCGCTTCTGTTATTGTTCCAAATCAATGCAAGACTACAGAGGATGGTATATTTTTTTTGTTTGTTTTTGTTTGAGAGACTTTATGATGCAGACTAGTTTGAAGGGATTCACTTTTTTCTTCCTGGACACTCGAACCATGGTAGACACAATCCCCATCATTATTTTTGTTGTTGTTGTTATTATTATTATCATTATTATTATTAGTTATCATTGATTTACTTCCCCCATTTTTTTCTATTTGTGCGTGACCCAAACCTATGAAATCAAGGACACTTATGTTGGACCCCAAGACAAACAAAAAGGGCTCCAATGTCAAGATAGAGATCCAACCAAAAATGGCTCCATAGCGCCCCCTACAAATTTTCAAAATGTAAGCCTCCCTTCTGTGTTGGACCCAAAGACGAACAAAAGGAGAATGCGGTCCACAGAGGGGGCAGAAGCAAAAACCAACTGACGTGGTCAACATCTCAAGTATGTCAACTCACACAATGTCACTTCAAAAATACTGAACTATCCCTTTAACTAAGTTTGTACTTAGCATGCAGCAATGTACAGCTGGGACACGCTACGTTATCACGACATTGTGCTTTGAGCTTTGATTTTTTTTTTGCTCATAAATCTGTAGCAGTCTGTTGCACATCTGTCTGCTGTCTCCACGGCTCTATTAATGTGACTTCTGTGGTGTCAAGGATTCTTCGTCAGGATAGTCCTTAAAAACAAACTGACTTACAAACTGCAAAGAAACACCAAAAGAAGTAGGATACATAGATTTACTTTTTGGTGTTGGGGTGTGTTGTGTGTAGAGTCCAGCCTTTATTCTAATGTTCAGTATTTAAAACTGCAGAAGTCTGAAAATGTGCACGGTAGTTGAATTTCGAATTTCCTGACCTCAAAACGAACCACACACTTTTTAAGCTCAGTTCTCTACCAGGAGATTTTACTTTTTTAGACTTGATCCTAAAGTTTTTCACTTTCAAAACTGTGAAGTTCTCATGAGAAGTTAAAATCAGACAAAGTGAATAAATGCTGCATAAGGTAAATCTTTTCAGGTCTTAAATGCTTACCCTCAGGTCTCCACCACAGACTGCTTTTTCATGTTCTTAGCTCTTTATGCAAAGGTGGAAGTGCGGTCAATTATTGCTTTTGCCTGGGATTAGAGAAGATAAAAAGGGGAAGGAAAGCAGGGTCAATAATGGTCAGTATGTTTTTTTTATCTTTTATCATAAGCAGTCTTCATTTAGGTCCAAAATATATCAAAAAAATCCTGCAGTATGATGCGCTTCCTGGCAAGCTTCAATATTTGTAGCATGAGCCAAGGCAGGCTCTGTCGGTTTTGTCTCTCATTTTCATCTCTTAAGAAGTTCAAAGTGGTTTGCTGATACCAATAATTATGCAAAATAAGGGTAAGTTCTTTGCCCTCCTGATTGGTCATGCCATAAACCTCGACCAGGCTCTTGTCGGCCGGGCTCTGATTGTTGATTGGTGTTGCCCGCAGTAACATTTTAAGACCTCTGCCAATTTATTTGCATTAAGCAGCCCTAACCTCCACTTTTCCCTGCTGATTTCCTCCGCTCATGTGCTTTCCATTGCCCTTGCTGTGCCCCGTGGAAAATGAGTGGCAGTGGACCGCCCTCAGCAAATAACCACTGTAACATTAATCTGACATAAAGGGATGTCATTGAGTCTCCACAGCCGTGAAAGAAGGAGAGGACTTAGCCACCGGAAACCACTGACATGCTCAGCCGTGGCAGCGTAATGTTCAGATCACACTGTGCTCATGTGTGTGCATGTTGTGTTAATATTAATGCCCGCAGTTATTTGGAGTTGAAGGTACACTTTTCAGTCTGGGTGTGTTTGCACTGATTATAATGTTTGGTGGTTTTTGCAGTAAATGTCTCACAGAGCTGGAGATGCATTAATCTTAATATGCCTCAGACACACATTGACATCACATGAAGTCAGGGGGTACAGCAGCAGGGATGTTTGTGTAAGACTTAAATTATTTTCTGCACTTTTTATCCCCGTTAAGGTGCTGTGATTACCCTGCCCGTGGTACTCCAAACCCATAAAGCCAAGGTCATTAGTGCTCTCTTTACACACGCATAAACATAACAGCATTCTTTTTTATCCTTAACAGCATCACGAGGGGCCAGACACAAGCATCTGCAGTCGCAGTTTCCAACAAGCAATTGGAAAAGATCCTTCATGTGCCAAACACACACATTCACGGATCAAAGTGAAATTAAATTCGCATTACAGCATGCGCAGAAAAGACGCATGTATGTATATTTAAACCCACTAAAGCCCACTTCTGCTTTTATAACAACATACTTATCATAGCCCACATGCAAAGGGTTTATCTGTGACTGTGATTAGAAATTTGCTCACTTGCTGAGTTTGATATTTTCAGAATATCAGATGTGATTAGACGATGTGATGATGCAATGGATGCAAACATGAGCAGAAAAGCAGAAACCCCAAGTGAAGTCAAAGTTCAAGAGCCCGCTAACCCGCCTTCTGGGTCAAACTAGTAAATTAAGACCAGTGTTATGTTTTGTGTTTGACTGACGAAATGCTCATCAATTTTGCAAATCTGTTCTTCGTCCACCACCAACATTTTCGTCTAGTCTAGTCTTGTCTCGTCAATGTAAACGCACATTCGTCTCATCACATTTTAGTCATCTTATGTTTAGCTCGTCAATGTCACGTTTTCGTTGTGGAGGAAAAAGGGCATTGACGAAATATTTTTGTCAATGAAAAAAAACTGTTGTTTTAGTCAACGTCATCATCAACGGAAACAACACTGATTAAGACACATCTTAATATTTCTTGATGTAATAAGTGACACCTTTGTAGACAAATTCAGGCTCCTGTAGCGTTCTTGAAAAACATTTTCGTACTGTTCATTTAATTTTCATTGGGTTATATATTATGCTCTCTGTGTATATTCTCCAACTGATATTAATGTTTGTTCACTGGCCACATTTATCTCCTCAGAGTGCTTCACTGTAGTCTTCACACACAATCGGCCTGCACCTCTCCAGCCCCATCTCTCTTTTCATTTCTCACCTCTTATTGTCTGCTCTGTCGATAATACAAATCAAAAGTTCATTTTTTAAAGTCATCCACAGTTCACATTTGAAAAAATTTCGCTCGTGATGCCATTACCACATCAGGTGATTCGCATGTCCACAGTGATTGTTAATTATAATGAAACATCACTTTATCAACTGCTAGTTTATTAAATTGTTGCTGTTTCAATTCAGTTAAATTCAAATCACTTTATTTGTCCCCCAGGGGCGATTTAAAAGGGCATGGCTGCAGCTTAAAGGGACATGCAAACAAACCACACAATTCTACATAACAGTAAAACACAGACATTTAACATTTAAAGTGCATGTGTTTCAGTGCATTTATTTGTCTAAAGTCTTCCTTCGTTAAGAGGAACTACAAAACTTTGAAAGTACTACACTGCCTTTCTTTAGGGTGACAATATTCTGAATCCCCAAAAAGAGGACATGACTATGCAGGGTGGAGTCACGCATGGTAAATTTTGAGGGTTTTTTGGGTTGGGTTGAGTGTTTTTTATGCGCCTCTAACTAAGTCCAGGCTACACAAACTCAAAACTTCCGTACAAAACCCTGGACATTCAAAGGATTTTATAAACTCCCCCGTACAAGGCCAGGCAGCCCCCCAAAAAAGAGGACATGTCTGGGTAAAAGAGGATGTATGGTCACCCTACTTTCTCATCATCAAAATCAAGTCAAAGTTCTTTTAAAGGTAAAGCTTGGACACTATATGATATTATATTTGACCAACTTTAAGGGGGCCAATGCAAGCCTAGAATGCCAGGATGGATTTTTTGTCCCGCTCTAACAATAGTTGAATAACAGAGTATGTTGTAAAGTAAACAAAGAGAAAAATATCCTAAAAGTAACTAATAATTATCAGAATTAATGAATCTGATTATGAATGTCATCCTGCACATCCATTTAGCTGATATCCTGTAGGCCTATTTTCCAAGAACATATGCAGCATAAGAATCTGTCAGCTAAAGACTGTGCATATCTGAGGGCTCTGTGATGTATTATCAGGAAGTTAAATGACTATCTTGGTCAGCTGGAAAGTTGTAACGTCAGTCCAGTGGCTCCACCAGCCTGTTTTGCTTCTCTGCATGCCTTGACTCTACCAGTGCAGGTACGAGAGGACTGTTGGCTGTATGTCTCACAATGTCCTTATCAGTATACAGTCAGCGGTGGACCTTTGTGGGTCATATATATGATCCACAAAGGCTCATTCTGTTTGCATGACCTTGCACGCTTGAATGGAATCTTAATGCAGGTCCCCATGTGATGTTTTATGGAACCGCTACTACACTTCATTTTTCATGTTTTCTGTATTTTTTGAAAGTAAAAGAAGAGAAAAGTTGGGTGACTTTCAACATTTGAAGTTTGGCGTGTCGTTTTGATGTAGTTGTAACTTTGTCAACTTTTCAGATAAGTTGGACTTGAAAATTTGTCAAATATTTTAAAAGCCTGATCCTTTTATGTGGTTCTCTTGTTGCATATTTTTATGTCTTTTGCCTTAGTGGTGTTTCTTTTGTTGAATTATTCAGTGCATTTACATTAGTGATAAAAAAAAAAGGTTACATTTGGGGAGGGGAAAACCTGCTCTGGCTGACAATGAAAGGATCTGTAAATACTTCAAATCTTGTTTTACAGAAAGGGGGAAAGCATCTCCAGCCATCATTGTGATCAGCTGTGGCTTGTATAGGTATTGTTCAGCGAAAATACAATCAGTATCGCTGATGTTTTGAAAAGATTGACAGCAGAGGTCGCCTCTTGCTTTGTTGTGTGTGGCTTTTTTTATGGCAACAGCTTTTATCAGGTGTAAGGCAGACTTGATAGTTTATGCATCTGTCCTGAGTGGAGGTCATAAGTCAGTGCTGACATATAGTATAGTATTGTATGTGATGACACACACAGGAATGAACCCAGTGGAAATACAACAAAGAGCTTAGCCACAGTCTAGACCACCGAACGCCTCAGGCCCTGTTCTCTTAAACACTCTTTTCCCTTAATACCTCTCATTTTCTACCTTTTATTATGCTCTCTCAGAAGTAAAAAGGGGGATGGAAGCTGTTGTCAACAGATGAAATCCCCAAAGTGTGCATTTCGGGGGGCTTAACAAGCCCCAAAACTTTGTTCACGCACATAAAAGCTGGAGCCCTTTGGATGATTGTTATGAAGGTCAGTGAGACAATAGGTGTCCATCTGTGACTGACAGCCACCATCCAATATGAGTGCATGTGTGTGTGCCTGTGTGTGTGTGTGTGTATGACAAGCTGATGTGCAGAAAACCTCCCGGGCCATTTGTTTGTGACTCAACCCTCTCCAATCTGACAGCTTAATATTAAAAAGCATTCATCCTGCAGCGACACACAGTCTGAGTTATGGCTTCTGGCACCGTGTCTGTGTGTGTTTGTGATAGTGTGCGTTAAAACCTGCTTGCTCATGATGTTTTCAGCTTAGCATGGATCATAATGAACAACAAATTTGAATAGTTGTCATCCGCCAGCCACCCCCTTCCACACATAGTGCGTGGATGTGTGCATACAAATGTACCACCCTATTAAATGTCAGTATTTTGGGGTGGTTGTTTCCTCCGCTATTGAACAAGTTTAACTATATGTCATCTTCCCTGTATGTATCAGTATGCAGGTGTGTGTGAGAAAGAGAGAGACACGCACAGAGTGGGAGAAACTTCTGTAGAGCATGAACAATGGCTGTCATCCTCCTGATGACAGGAAGGCTGAGGAAGCTTTCCTCTAAGATTCTCATTCGGTTTGATATTCAAATAAGCTGCTAGTTGTCCATTAAACTATGCTTTACAACTTCAATATCAAACACACATGCAAGCACCAACATGCACTCCACAGTTGGGCAATAAACTCTTATTATCGGGACTTAAAACCTGATTGAGTTCTTGATATTTCCACATGTATCTTCTCCAATCTAACTATATGTGTTGTGATCTGTTTCATTTAAAGGGATTTGAGATAATAATCAGATTTATGAATGTGACAAGCTTAGGACAGCTCAAGCAAACAACAGGCTCAGCAGGCACAAAATAAAAGTCTGAGGTGTTAAGATATGCAAATATTAGATATGCACTGTTTAAGAAAACACCAAAGTAGATTATATGTGATTTTAACAAATACTGAAGCTTAGAGGGAGAAATGCAGCATTACAGTGAAATCGACCAAATAAAATGTAATTACAGAACGCACAAATAAGAGTGGATTTCCACATATTTGAAGAAATACATCAACTTTTATAAAGCAAGTAATACACTGTTACTGGAGCTGTCAAACAATCAGTGCCATCAACTGGGATTAATTGCAGAATATAAATGGCTGATTTGGATTCATTACAGTTTTAATTGCATGTTAACACTTCATTATGTGGTATTTCAAAACAGCTTCAAATAAAACATCAAAAATGGCAAGTAATTCTTACCAGTGTCAAGGTTTTAGAGATCATTTAGCACATTTAATTGCATTTAATTATGATCTTGACTTTTAGATTACTCGCTAACTGTAACTATAAATGCTGCAATGCTACACTCGTGTGATGTGAAACCATTATAAAGAGGTGGGAGACAGTTTCTAAGTGCTTATTATTTTGTACTAGTGTTTAGTTTTGGTGAAGATCACATGTTCTGAAATATGTAGGACTGTGTGCATAAAATTCCCAGTCAGTATCAAAGTGTTGCACAGTTTTTCTGAATTGATTGTGAAAACTCACAGTTGTCCAGTTTATTATAAAAGCGTGAGGAGATCCAGTGTGGTTACTTTTTCTTTTTCACATGATCCTATCGTGTTGTGTCATTCGCGAGTGATTTGTTCAAAAGAACCGAATCTTTTAAGTGAACATACTGAACCGAATCACTTCCTCAAGTGATTCGTTCGATTCTCACTTCAGTTGAGCTGCAATCAGGAACAGCATTGCCGGGTGAGCAGCCGGCGAACGAGGGACCGCATGGACTGAATCACTTAGTGAATGAATCACACATTGAACTACACTCTCACAACAACTTGCATACAATAGGACACAGCATGTAACAGGTAGTGCATTAAACCCGCAGCATCCTATCATTGCAGCGGTTTGCGAGGGAACGGTGCATGTTCAGTGTGAATTCTTCTAAATGTTTAGTGAACGAATCACTCACTGAGCACAATTTAGCGAGCAGACCTGATAAATAGCATACTATAGGACAGCACACTTCAAACATCATGACTTACAGACAAGTTCATTTTTACGAACCTGTTTGTCCCAGAAGCTGGAAGAATTGAACTGAATCCTGAACCGTTCAGCTGTGTATCAGTTCAGGAGGTCGGGGTCACAGACTCCTCCCACCAAGCACTGAATGATTCGGTGATTTGGTGAACAAATCTTTTGAATGAATCTTTTTAGTGAACTGATTCTAGTGCTTCATTACATCTAAAAGAACTTCTGTGCGTATCACTATGATGCTGAGTATGTGGTACTGATGGTCACCATGACAATAACACTGTGGTTATCTTGCGCCAACCTGAGGAGGTCTCTTGGATCCAAGCCACACGTCTACAGCAATTCACACACTCCAAATTAGCACCCTCACAACTTAAGTGATGCAGTTGCCCACTGACGTCAGTCTGATTAGCTGCACCTGTATGCTTAGCGTAGGTGGTAGCTCAAATTCAAAGTACATCAGTGGTGTTCTAATTCTGTTTGACACACAGAGCATATTATTTTCAGCGTGTCATGGCAGTGTAGCAGAGGCGGCGGCGTATGCAAGTATGATGTGGCAAAAAGGGGGAAAATAGGCACATGATTAAGATTAAACACTCTTAATTATTCACCAATTTAATTATGTTATGTTCTCATATTTTTGAGACATATTTCTGTTCATATTTCCCTCTCACTTCCTCTGTCTCTCTTTCTTCAAACCTTCCAAACACCTCATGTATAACAAAGAGAAAGCCCCCCTCGCTCATGCCTCTTCAAACACACTGAGTAAAATGTCATCAGAACAGTAAAGGACCTTCAAATGACCTAGCAGATGGGGTTTCTTAACTCGCTCTTCCTGTGTGGTACAAAGACACCGTTACATGCGCCGCATTTCAAGGCACCCGCGCCTGACACACATCGCAGCTAATGCAACTTAAGAGGCATAGACACGAGCGCAAATCCAACACAGGCAGGTGGAGAGTTTGATAAAAAAACAAACACGTGAACACAGATGGATCTTGATGGTGAAGTCTCTTAGAGAGCAGAAGCAATTGAGAAATCTTAATTAAAAGTAAACTTTGGGCAAGATTAGAAAGCTTGCCCTCGCTGTTAATGAGAGCATGCTGTTTATGAAATGTAAGCCTTCACAAACACATCGGCATGCAAATGAGAAAGAGTTTTAATAAGGACTTCACAATATGGTCTATATTTTTAGTAACACGCTGTACATGAAACGGAAATTTGACTTTTGAGATGTGCTGTTTACGTCTTGTCAGAACAGATCAGGTCACGTAAGATAAAGTTCTCAAAGTTTCTCTATTTTCTAAAAGGCAGACCAACATTTCCAGGCGGGTTTCTCTTGAATCTGATTGTACCGTATCAGCAGCTCATAACCTCAGTCCTCTTTTAAATCAGCATCCGCCTGCATCTCAAAAATCCTTTATCGGTCAAGCTCTGCTTTCTTCTCTACAAACCCTGACCTTAACCTGACCTTAAAGCAGATGAACTCCTCAACAGACAGCCTTTCTACTGTCCTCTTTGCTTTCTGAGGAAAGTGCCTCACAAGTACTTCGCTAACACACACTCCACTGTGTAAACCAGCAGGGATTTTTCTTGTGATGAAGTTTGAAGTGAGGTTTTTTTGCTGTTATTTCTGGTTCAGATTTTACGAGAACACGCAGCAGCCTTATTAGAAAATAGGCCAGATGTTTGGCTCCCATTCTGTAGCTTTGAAACTCTGGGGGGGAAGAAACATTTTGAATTCAGAAACAATAAATCTAAGAATACGATGACAGGACCGCCTTTTACAGTTTTCCTTCGCAGCCTGAGCCGTCAGTGAGGTTTTTGGTATTCAGGGCGCGTTTTAAATACTGGAAAGGATTGTTTTCAAAGGAGGAAAAAGACTTCATATTGGATTCAAACAGATAGATGTGTCTGACAAACTTGGTTCAGTGAGGTCTCACCCATGCGTCCCTGCCTGAGGCAGACATCTCTACTGTTAGATCTCTCCTTTTCCCTGTTTTCCAGATGCAAACACGCACCCTGACCTTCTCTTACTCTTTTCATATCTCTTTTTTTCCCACCCTGCTTGTTTCTTTTTTTTTCTTGTACTCTCACCTTGTGTTTTTCTCTCATTCCTTCAACGTTTCTCTCTAAAGAAAATTAATCTATTCTCTCTTTATCTCTCTGTCTTGCTTGTTCTTTTCGATCCCTTTCCACACCTGTTCTCCCTCGCTCTCTTTCCTCTGCTGTTACACCTTTCTCCATAATACCGCTGCCACTCTCTGCTCCTCTACCCCCACTTTCTCGCCTTCCTCGCTCTCTCTTTTGCCTCCGATTCCCTCCCTCTCTTCTTTGCTCGCACTCACCAAGGTCCTGGAGAGGGGAAATGAAAAGTGCATGTATATTCTGTAGTGGTGCAGTGTGGCAGCGGGAGGGAAAACTGCTGTTTTATGGTTTTATTTATGGATCTGTAGATTTCTGGCACTGTGCACATCACACACAGGGGGCAGTGGGGGGAACAGTGAGGGGGCCTGATGTGAACTGCTGCTAGTACCCCCAGTGGAGCTGCAGACCAGCAATGAGGCAGAGAAGGATGCACGGACGCATTTACATATTCAGGAGGACCAAATATGCATTTCTCGTGATCTTGCAATCCCGTACAAACTACAGGGCATCAATGCATCAAGCTTACCGATCAATTCTTTTATCATAGATCTGGTTTTTCTGCTCTTTAGTCCCGCTGCAGACTCTTCCACATTCCTGGCAGGGAAGAGTTTTCTTATCTGAAGGTCAACTTAAGCCACAGCGGTGTTTGTCACCACACACTCCTCCACAAACTCAGCAGTGCCGTCATAAACATTTAATGGAGGCAGCTATCGTTGCACAGCAGATGGTGCTAACGGTGCTTGTGCTCGCCTTGGCTCATGTCATGACCAATAAATAGCTTTAAATATAAGGAGGTTGGGCAGAGAAAACGAAGGACGCCGATGTGGGAGAGGCATAGACTGATATCTCATCTGTGATTTTAAAGAAGGCCACCTTATTTTTCCAATCACTGAAAATCTAAATCACTTTTTTATTCCTGAGTGTGTGTGTGTGTGTGTGTGTGTGTGTGTGTGTGTGTGTGTGTGTGTGTGTGTGTGTGTGTGTGTGTGTGTGTGTGTGTGTGTGCTGTGTTTTAGAGCTGTAGGTGCCATCTCTGCATTGAACGTGGTCCAAAAAATAAACTTCTTGTTTGAATCTACCATAGACTGCAGATACTATGGACAACCAGGTTCCGCCTTCCGCCAGTTTATGGATTTGAAGCCAGAAACCACACAGTATTTCTGGGTTTTTTCTCTACTTCCTGAAACCAACATTGCGCAGTGGCGTTGTTCGCACTCCGCCACTTATGCAGTAGCAATGCACGCATTCGGCGGGAGAGTCACCGAGAGTTGCTGTGATGACGCTCCGCTCCAAGAGCGTATCCCCCGGGTGGTGAAGGTTTTTTTTGTATGATGGTAGGGGAAGGTCCCGCCCTACTTCGCTTCTGATTAGCTAGAAGTGCTGGGCTCTGATTGGTTATTCCTAATGGCTGTGAAACATCATCGTCTGTTGGGTTAGGGTTAGGAGATTCAGAAGTGTGATAATGTTCTTTAATGTTCTGTTGGATGTACAGAGCCGACAGCCCGCGTTTGGCTTGAGCATGCGATGACGTTTCCAGCTTTTCTAGCCAATCAGAGGCGAAGGAGGCGGGACTTTCTCCTACCATCCTACAAAAAAAAAATATCGCCCCCGGGTGAGCTATGCAATGTTCGTGGGCCCATAGGCTGTATCAAGTGTCAATCATAGAAAACATGAACCCCCGAATAATTTTAAAAATGGAGCTGTACAAAAAAAAGAGGACTTGAGCACAAACCAGTCTTACAGTAACTACATGTCAACATCGCAAGCAGGAGGAGAAAAATTCATCTTCTGTGTAATAAATTTCTAAACTTTGTCCACAACTCCATAGGGATTGTTGGAGAAGGCGGGATTTATGACCTAAAACGGCAGCATCCATTATACAGTCTATGGAATCTACCTATAAATGAAAAAGTTAACAAAATAAAGACTTGTCCTCTGGAAGAGGAAGATAAAATGTTGCTTTAACCAAAGTCTTGATTGGTCTGCAAACTTCAATCATTTCCATTTACTCCAAGACTGTTTGGTGCCTTAGATGGCACAAGGCCCTCATAATATATCTTTATTACTCCTGTGCTTTTAAGTAATCTCATGTCTTTCTTTAAACAAGAACAAGTCCATTTATTTCAATAATTTACAGTAGCCTTCAGCAGGTGGTGAGATAACAGAAGAATCTCCTCGAAGCACAGTCATGCATTCCCCTCATTTCAGTAATTGGACAGCTCAGTATTGAACAAACATGATTTATAGAAGATGATTTTCTCTCTCGAACTGTGAAGCGTGATAAAATTTGATAGCACGCTGCTCTGAAGGAGTGGAGGCTCTTTCCCTCTGACTGAATGAGTTCAATTTGCCCTCAGATGACATGTCTGGTTAAAAGAGGACATGTGAGTGATGTGAAACACATCCTGGTATAACGGGCGGAGAAAATCATCTGTTTATTTGTCCCGGAGTACCTGGGATCATAGAGAGTTACTCGGTGTTGTTCTTAAGTCGTCAAGTGTCAAATTTTACAGCCATTGCCAGATTTGATCCTTCATTACAAGTGATTAGAGCAGATTAGCATAAATAAACAGAACGCTGAATGACTGGAGGAGTAGTTTTACTGGCCTTGATACCAATCAGTATCATATGACAGGAGCTGTATTTACACAGAGTCTGTTAATCCAATTAGAAGCGTGTCAAAGCCCAAGCAGAGTAAAAATGCTCCATATAAATTCTTAATCAGAGGGAACTGTCAAGTTTAATGCAGAGGGGCAGATTAACCCTTTCTGGCCACTTTGTCTCTGTATTGATACGAATGATTGGATACAACACCAATTCAATGAGAGTTTGGATTTGGTGTCTAAAACTTAGATAAAAACAGAATTTTGTGGTTTGCAAATTTTACATGCTGTAACAGTCATGAATGTACGAGCAACTTTGGAGAAATTCAGAGGCATGGACGCTGAAAATCTTTGGCATGCGTCCATAAAAGAGACTTCTAACTACAGTGCTGAACAGACAGGAGAGATCTGATCATGTGCCAAAGAGTTATCACTGAACACGTTGGTGTTGAAAGCAAGTCCTTGAGGTAGAGAAGTATCCTTCATTTCTGCACATGCCTCACAGCTATTCAAATGAGATGAACTGATGTATGCAAACACCAGACTGTATCGCAAAGAGACAGTTTACCTTAAAACTAAAATTTGAATAATTTTATGAGAAAAGTGGAAAAAAACTATTTTGAACCAGTTACACCATCATTCTTTAAATGAGGTTAACTGGTGTTTAGTGGTTGACCTATGGATCCAAAAGGAGGCCAGGAAGCATTGTAAACATAAATGAAGTATTGTAAACATAAAAGTATATAAATAATCACTTAATTATTAAAAATTAGGTAGTTTTTGCTTTTACATTTTTTTTGCAAAACATTCTTTTGGTTTTACAAAACTTTTTCTGCACTTACAAAACATTCTGGCCTCTCTTTGATGTGGGGGCGGAGTTAAATGATTGGCGTGTCAATGGGGGTGGGGTTAGATGAGTGGCGTGTCGATCGGGGCGGAGTTAGATGATTTGCGTGTCTATAAGGCAGGGTTAGATGAATGGCGTGTCTATCGGGGCGGAGTTAAATGATTTGTGTGTCAATCGGTGCAGGGTTAGATGATAAGCATGTCTATGTGGGCGGGGTTAGATGAGTGGTGTGTCTATGGGGGCGGAGTTAAATGATTTGTGTGTCAATCAGGGCGGGGTTAGATGATTTGTGTGTCTATTCGGGCAGGGTAAGATGATTAGCGTGTCTATGGGGGCGGAGTTAGATGATTTGCATTTCTATTGGAGGCGGAGTTAGATGGTTTGCATTTCTGTTAGGGCGGGGTTAGATGATTGGTGCATCTATGGAGGCGTGGTTAGATGACTGGCATGTCTATTCGGGCGGGGTTAGATGGTGTGTCCAGCATCAGTTTTTATAATGGGTGATGCCACAAACCATGTTGGCCAATGGCAGATATATAATGCTAATACCGTAACATTGATGTTCATCGACATCTGATAAAAATGACTAATAATCAGAAGAATGCAAACAAGGAAATACAACCTTTATTACAACCTATTTTATTATACGTTATCATATTGTTATATTATTCTTTTATATTATTGTGCTCTATTTAATTACTGTACACAGATACAGCACAGATACTTCCATAGTATCTTATCAGTGCTTGAAAAGGCCTAACATAGCAACCTTCATGACTTCTTGAAAGTTTCTTTTTTTCTGAGAGGCAAAAATAGAGCAGCAACAGTCCTCTCTCCCTTTCAAAACTGGCCCAACCACATATAATTCCCCCCTCTACCTGTCCGCTGCAGTGTGTAGTAGCTATCTGCCTGCGAGTCTCCTCTCTCCTCGCCCACCCTCTCTCCTGGGTAATTTGTTGTGTAAATACGGTCTACTTACAGCTGACGGGCCCTTTCGGCTGTGGCGCTGGAAATGCAATTACAGGCAGCAAACATCTCCATTGTTGTCACTGGAGGGTGCGACGCTCATTTCGGCCCCCTCTGCAACGGGGGCCGTTATTGATCGGTATCAGCTTTGAGGAGGGGATTACTAATGAAGCCATCTGAAAGCCTTTTGTACTCGGTAAAGAGCTTGCACACGCATGCGTGTGTATGTGTGTGTATGTTAGTTAATGGATGTGTGTGTAAGAGGCAGACAGAGATAATGTGTGTTAGTGAATGTGGATGCCTCTCTGCTTTCCTGTTGCACATGACTTTTGTAGTCTCTTTGTTGTGCTCTGCTGCCTCTGGTGGTGGTTTTGTTAAGTGCAGGAACAATCACTGTTTTCTGGAAATAAGTGTATCAGATAGTACATTTTAGCTGATGTTAAGAAAATCTTTAAAATTTATCAATGCAGATCATCACAGAAATCTGTACACTGACATACCAGCACCATAGACTACAGAAAACCATGGACAGAACAAGAGCTGTCCCAAATGAAGCCAAAAGTATAAGAGCTCCTCCTGGTGGCTGGTTGCAGTACAAATCTTGAAGATTATCTCTAATACAACAAAAAAGAACAGGGACCACTCTAAGAAAATTAAAAAAACACCTCAAAGTTCTCTTAAATTTGTTTTTTGTTATATCATGCTTATTTGTGTGCAAGAGTTTAAGAGTACATGTTTATTAGTTCTGTTTGCAGGGACAAGATTGAAGGACAACTTTGGTGACCAATGAGACTCTTGCAATGTTCTTACCAGAGTAGCAAATAACATGAGAAATGGTGAAAAACTCTAACATCAAAGGATCTTTTCTGTTTTATTGGTGTTAGATATGTGAGATCTACAGCTCCTCCAGCTGGCTTGCTTCTGCACATGCCTTGAATTCACCAGAGTAATATGTCAGCCCTGTCAAGGGAATATTTTGGCATCACCTTTTAAATTCAAGGAGATGAAGAGCTCCCTGTCCATGTTAGAATACAGTCCAATAACTGCCCTCTTCCCCTCTGTTTTCCCTGATCTGAGGCAGCCCTCATGGCTCAGCTGGTGTTTTCTACATTAGCCTGTAGAGCAAAAACTTCAGGGCAGCACTTAAACACAGTCGGACATTACTCTCATCCACCCATAGCGTGGTAGCTGTGCCGTGTACTGACTCCACAACAAACCCTCAGCTTCACATGGAGCTTATTTTCCTCCCCATTCTGAGTCACTGTTGCTTAATATCAAGCCTGTTGTGTGGCAGTCTTTGAAGCAGAAAACTGCTTTTTGTACGTTTGATGTGCGTGCAGCTGCCTGCGGACAAATGATTCGCCTCGTTCTTCGCTGTCTTTATTGCTTTGTGTTTAATTTTGCCTTTGCATGAAGTGATTATTTTTGCATATTCATATAGTTCTTGAAATGTAATGCTTTGACTGTCGTGCACGTTCTGGAAGATGTTGAAACAATGCAATTATCAGGCACCGTTTTAGGTTAATAGTGTGCAAACTACAGTGATGTTTGAGGTGTTTTCTGAGCTGAATCGGGTTTTAATAATTAGTCAATCTCTGCTGTATTAGAAAGTTGTATTTCATTGTTAGGCCCAGAAATATTAAAGGAATATTCTGGTGTAAAATGAATTTAGGGTCAAACACACTGTAACACTGAGTTAGACGGATTAGATTTCTTTATCATTTCCTTGAAGTAATAATCACCATATTAATCATTTTTCACTGCAGACGCGTGGGTTCTTCTGCCTTAGTGTCTCAGTCTGATTACATTTCCATGAGGATATGATTATAAATGTTCTTCCTTGAGCTGTGTCACCCCACAGCAGTCCGTAATGGACTGGCCTGAGAGCCCGCTACAAACAAGCGGCTGCTGGAAGAGAGTGGGTGAGTTATGTTTAGTCTCTATACAAGTCCAAGTCAGGTGCTGTTCTGAGCATTATTTGTGGCTATAGAGTGGCGTGTCAGTTGAGGTTTGTGTGTGGCTCCTCAGGTCGCTGTGTATTGCTATCGTGCGGTCGTAACTAAAGTTGGTATAACTAGAGAAGCAAGCAGTCGGCAACACTTATCTCCCGAGGGGGTGTCTAACTCTGTGTTACGGTGTGTTTGACCCTAAATTAGTTTTATGCCAGAATATCCCTTTAATTCTGAGTATCTTGCTCAAATGTCTGTTAACTCTGACCCTACTGCGCCCAACCACCAGGAATTTTAGAGCTTAACAAATGCATAAAAACATCAACCAACTACTTAAGTTTCCAAGTCTTTGTCAGACAGTCTCTTTTGTTCGTTATTCCTCTATGATCATTGATTTATCCCCTTGTCTTCACCAAAAGGGTCACTGAGTAGATAAGAATATAGTTCTTAAAGAAAGGGCTGTTAAAATCAAAATATCCAGAATACAGTGTACAGTTAAACCACTGTCATGCAACTTTACTTCAATAAGCCAGAACTATTTCTTTAAATTCAACATATTAGAGGATATGATGAAATAAGTCTGAATCATGCTAGTTGTGGTCTCTACCTATTAGAGCCAAAGTGATCTAATCATGTAGATTTAGTGCAAGAGACTTAGAGTACATCAATACTAATCAACAATAACCAACAAACTTTAAAATTGACTATTAGTGTACACTCTGTTGGTGTTTGAATGAAATGAAGAAACAAGCTGGCGCCTTTTAAGGTCATTCGTCCAGAAACAATGTATTCTGCTGAGCAGATGGCAATGCCTGTCCCACAAATGAAAATAAAATAGAGTCGCTAATGGGGTGGAAATGATTGACGGGAGGAAACACAACCTCATCAGGCCCACCTAGCTACAGCTGTGCTTTGTGCCACTCAAAGCGCTAATCCTCCAACTCATTTCAAACACTGCTTATGGCCCACTGACACCAGGCAGGCAGCCCAGATAATTAGATCAAGATGGCTGGGAAAAGTAAAGTCAATGCTCACAGCAGCCAGGGGTGAGAGAGCTGAGCGGCGGAGTGCTTCATAAGAAGACATAAACATGTACGCTTCAGAGAAAATCTGCTCTGAATTAGAGCCACAAAAGCGCCTTTTTTGACTGTGAAGAAAGCAGAATTATAGATATGCTGACTTGTGTGTTGCCAGATATAATCAGAAATATTTTATTTTTAATCTTCTGCAGACTTTGAAATAAAACTGGCATATAAATGTGAATCAAAAACAAAGTCTTTTCAGGTGTGAGGGTCTCTGTCTCTCACAGGCTAATTCACAGAATCGATAACAAGGAGCAACATCATGTAACAGTAAGGCAGCAGCCAGGAAAGAAACTGCTGTTCCTGAAGTGTCCACTAGAGGCTGACGCTCAATTACAGCTCTTGTTAAAATGCCCTTTTTTAACAGATAAACATGCTTGCAGTCTCATGACATGACAGGGTTTTCGTCTTTACACAGCTCTTAATAATTGCACATTTTTAATGTATTTGTTTCTTTTTCTTTTTTTTTTTTTAATAATTGATCTATTTTGTTGTAATTAAGGTTAAGAGTAAGGTAAAAATGTGGGGTTACTATTTTGGCTGATATTGTAGCAGCAGTTTGCTATGAACGACTTCCAGATTGGACTTCCCTAATACCAGGTTGCGTTGTCAGCTGTCTGACTGGCAGCTTGATAACTCCATATTGAGTTATTTCATTTCAAGAAATGAAATATGGGATGAAATTGACGGCTGGACTCGCAATCACATAGCTGTTCATGGGCTTAGATTTGTGCTAAATCCATCCACTACTCTATCCGTTATCTGTACCACCACCACCCCTGTAGGATCAGGGGGGCTAGGGCTGGCAACCTCTAGACAGGTTGGGAGTCAATCACGGGGATTAAAGCTAAATCATAAATCTGACAAAAATTAGACGACATCCCCATGAGTTTCAGGATTGTTGTATGTTTGATTGTTTTGTTTTTCTCAAATCTGCAAATATAGGTTTGTATTTTTCTTAATATTTTGTTACTTTCTTGACTCAATAAATTACAAAAACAATTCTTAGTGAGTTTCAACATTAGGGTCTAAAACAAATCCTCGTTTATACATATTACTCGTAAATTCTTGACCAAATACACTCTCAATAGGAGAATTTGCTCCCTCTAATCTGCACATATCTGTTTCCTGGTTTGACCACTAGATGGCAGTGTTAGCCAGCTGATTTTAATCATGTGGAGCAGCCACACTCAAAAACAAAACAATGAAAGAAAGAAGAGAACAATATTCACAAGATTTGAATGAGTGTAAGTGACAGTAATATGATAATGACCATTTGTAAAAGGCCAGAAATAAAAGTAAATACTAAAGCCGCTGCAAAACATTAAAAACCGACTACTATGATATTCAGGTGACTTTACAAATGAACTGGGCTTCATTCTTTGAAACTCTACAACATTGTCGTCCTTAAAGAGCTTGTCCCCTTCGTTGTGCCAGTCATTAAAAGTACTGTGACTCCTACACCTCAGTGGTCACCTCTCCTGTTCGTGGCAGCTCAATGGTTCTCTTTGAGAGGATTTGGTAGCACTTCACTAAGCACAACGTGGGAGTACGCTCAGGGGCCCCTGCTTATTAGGCTCTGTGAATGTGTGTGGTTTTAGCTGTAAACCCTGCGTGGCCTCAGATTGCTTCGTCAGGGCCAAGTTGCTTTGGTCAGACGTGAAGCAGCGTCATGTGGACCACCTCGTTGTGGTCATGTCGGGACACCAGACCACATCCTCTCATAAATCTCAGACACTATCCAGACTGAAAACCGATTATCAGCTTAACTCAATATCAAATTCAACTTTGTAACTCTGTCTGTAATCATGTCTTTGTCTAGATAACCAAGTCCTGCAGTTTGGGAAGCTGGTGAGCACCTCCAACGCCTATGAACCTGTTGCACCTGGAAATCCCAGAAAGCCTGTCACAGTGACGACAGACCAGCCTCTGCTTTGGAGTATGGGCATTTACAAGGATGGGGAATGACACAAGGGAGCACCAACCTTCCTGAACTCTTTTCACAGCTGAGATTTCTCAAGATCATCACTAGTTTTACATGTTAGTAAGATTACATGAGGCAGTTTTCACATTTTTATGAGTAGTGATATCATCAAATCAGGAGAAGAACTTCTACAATTATTGCCAAAGATTTTTCCACATTATTGTGACTATATTAACACGTGCATGAAAATCCAGCACTCTAACTCAAAATGAATCACTTATTAAGTATTCAGTGACAGTTTGAGGAAAGAAAACTACAGTGAGTGAAGTCACCACAGTGTATCTTACAAGTGCCACCCTCCACTTTGTGCCTTCAGCATCTTCTATCAAGACTTCTCAGAACAACAACATGTACAATCTGTAATGTATGAGGTAAAAATACAGTACACCATCTTCACATTATCTGTGCCTTTGCTGGATTTATTCTGCTTTTCTCAGTCAGAAAAATAAATAACAACCAAACTAATGGGAGCAGCGTGTATTGAATAAACTGCACATATCTGATTGTTGGTTTCCATTTGTGAGTTTTATTTACATAGAGAAGTATAAATGTCGTGCACAGAATGTAAAAATGTCAACCCTTTCATCCCCAATCCGCACCAGCCCAATAACACTTTGCAGCACAGTCTCCAGATCCAAGAATTTGATGTTCAGTTGTTGTTCAAGAAGAATTTAACCACCACTAGAAGAAGAAAAAAGAAAGGAAGTGTTAGCTAAAAGAGGAATCAAAACAGTGCACAAAGATTTATAACTATGACTGTCAGTTTGGGTGATGAAAGAAATCATTTTTGATCAGTGCAATAAAATAAATCAGTGTGACTTCAATTTAGCACTGGGAGAGAGAGTGGGAAGGTTGAGAGGAAACCTGGGTCACCCGTGTGTGTGAAAGCCTTTATACGTGATATACACACTGCTTTGAAATTATAAACTTGATGTGATTGTATCACACTAAGAAAGCTGAGGCATGTCAACAAATGATTACAGGCCTCATGCTCCACTTTAAGAACTATACTACAAATTCAAGAACTGTTCAAATAACAAAAATAACAGTAAACTAGATTTTTGCAGACTCAGTTTGCGAGTGTTAAATGCCAAGTTGAGATAATAAAGCATCTGATCTACGGCCAGATGATTAGGAACACCACCTCTCTGATGAGCTGTCACTGATAGAGGGTTTCTGGAGGTTTCAATTTAAGACTTTTTTTAGACCACACTAAATACAATTTAAGATCCATTTTACATTCCATCCCATTTGGCCTTCCAAATTCGTGTTTAAGACATTTTATGAGGTTTTAAGAGAATTTTAGACAATTTAAGGCCTTAAAATTCAAATAATTGGATTTCAGACATTTTAAGTGTTTTTCAGACCCAGCAAAAACCCTGTGATACCACTGCAACACACTCATCCAGTCCAAAAAAAGCACTTTCTAAGTATAATCTGTCTGATTCAGAACCTCTCTTTTTCAAAGTATGCATATTAACCTCTCATAGAAATGTCTACACATCAATCAGACATCATATGTTTTGTTTAAACGTGAATAAAATGTGTATTTGCTGCTTACACAATGATGTTGTTGATGGGGATGTGGATGAGTTTGACGAAGAAACCAATGAATCCCATGATGGCAAACCCAATAGCTGTGGCCATGGCAATCTTCTGGAATTCTGAGGATGAGACAAAAAGAAAGACTTTTAAAACACATTAAATTATTCACAATATCTAAACAGATAAGTCCAGGGTGGAGACTGAGCAGTAGTGATGTTCAGATGGGTCAACACTGCTGTTAGTCCAGTAAAGAGTGGACCAATGAGTGTGATTAAACCTACCTTTTCTGTCGGGTTTTGTGCATCGTTTTACGAGCCTGATGGAGTCTTTGACGAACTGCCGGCTGGGCTCAACAAACTGCATAACCTGATCCATGGTGTCGGGCTGAAAACAGAGAAATGAACCAGAACTGTGTTAGAAAAAAATCAGCTGGACCCTTTTTTCAGTGCTGACGTTGACTTCAGCAGCGTCAACCTTTCACAAATATAACAATAATGAGACTGTTAAAACACATCAAACTAAATCCTTTTCCTTTGTTTTCCTATTAACTTGTAAATAAAGGACAAAAATGAGACTCATTATCATTAAAACTGTTTTAAAATGTGTTTGACTGCTCCACTGTTCTCGTAGGCTAACGCTAATCTTACGTTAGGTCGACGTAAGTATGCGTAACTGGAAATTCAACGTTTTAAAGGCTCACAAGAAGGCATGAAACATTAATTTAAAACAAAAATCTAAGAAAATTTGGTAAATGGTCCTCTTCTTACCTGGGTCTGAGGTCGTGTCAGATGCGAAGACGGTCAGAGGAATAAGAGCCACGTAGCTTTCGGGCTGCTTGTTAGTGAAGAAGAGCTGACGTAGACTTTAGATGCGCATGCGTACAACTTCGAGTACGGGCTTCCCCCTATTCATTTGAGCTTCATTGGTAGCCACAGTGCCACCTACATGCTGGGAGGTTTTGAAACGGAGACAGCAAGAGTAGTATTGTATATACAGTTGTTGTAATGTTTAAGAGATTTGTGAAGGTGTGTGAATGATCAACAATCAATATTATTGGCAGAAATAGAGGGCCCCAAAATCACATTTTGCTTAGGGCCCCATTGAGGCTTGGGGCAGCTCTGGGAGACAGGCTGCATTTCACCCTGCACTCATTTCAACCAATCTTATCAAGCTTGTTGTTTACCTTGTGGATAGTGGAGCATGTGGCACTTTTTTTCCTTTTCATTAGCATTTTGATTAAATGTCACTGCTATTTTTGTATTTGGCACATTTTTTTAGGGGAATACTTTATTTCAATTATAATAAACATTGTATCCCTAGGTGGCATTGGTCGTACCCTCTGTGTAGCCCCTGTCCTTGCTCAAGCCACATTCCTTTAGTCTTTAGTAGCCCTCATGTGATCTAGATTACGATGCAGCTTCTGAATAGAAGTCTGCTCCTTTTCATTTTTGCTTTGTATTTCACTCATCTGGCAGAGTGACAAGTCTAACACTTGGAGCAACTTTCAAACCAGCACTGCAGATGCATTTGCATGCTGTAGGCGATAATGCAATAATATGCAATAGCTTTATTTTAAAAAATCAGCCAAGTAGTGGAAAAAGTTTGATGACAGTCCTCGAATCTGGTGGTGCTGTGGAAAATTTTATCTAAAATATAACCTACGGGAAATCACGACATTTAAAAACGTGATCTTTATCTTTACAAAGTCAAAACTTACACATGTAAACATTTTGAAAAGATCTTTTCAGTGTATATGCCAATGAAACTGGTTTATTTTACATTGTTATGTTAACAAATTCCCAAATTTAGAGGCTTTTGTGAAGCCTCGACATGCTGGCACATTGTAGGCACAATAAAATTACAATCTGCATGCATTAAATTGGTTATAACACAACTGTGAGACAGAGGAGACAGATGACTCAAGTTTCACAGATTCATAATGTCCATTCTGATACTGAAAGCTCCTGCTGTATACCAAATAAGTGCTTTAAACTGTTTGTTATGTACATGTCACTTTAAACTAGCCAACTCTGCACGAGTTTCTCCATAAATCAGGTCATTTCATTCAAGGCACAATAATGCTGGCTAATTTTCTACAGGATAAAAGGACTGCTCAGCATCTGCACTACAAAATAGACTAATGTTAACAAAGAATGCCCACATATGTATATAAAAGTACATTAAAAAGACAGACAAGAAGTATAAAATACATTGATATTGCTCACAAACAGTTTGATATATTGGTAAAACACTATGCAATCTTGTTTGGTACATATATAATAACCTATTCATTTTTGATGTTTTATAAAATTAAGCAGCTCTTGATTAGGATCCAGTTACATTTGAAGTGGACTGTACTCTTGAGACAAAATATAGTTTTATATTAACACACTGAATGCCTCTATAAAAGTAGGTCCTTTCGCCTGTTTTCATTGCCAGGTGATGCCGAGCATGTTGCAGCTGATGTCCCACAGTTTTTGGGCCAAGTCGTCATCAGAAGCAGCCCTTGAACACGCCGCAGGAGCACAGTCACTGAGCAAGAACACAGACAAAAGGTGACCATTAAACACTGTGTGATGCATTTGTGTGTGAGTCTTAAATAAGAATCAAAGTGTTCAATCACAGCCTCATGCAGTACTGTTCCCCTTTTGTTAGTCAGCAGGTTATTATGCTCCTCAGTGGGAAATCTGCTTTTTCAGAGCGCTTATATAACCGACAATGAAATACTGTGGGTGTGTACCTGAAGTACCCTCCGCTCAGGCTTTCCAGACGTGGTTCCACGGCGCAGTAGATGGTGGTCTGTGCTCCCTCCACTGTCGTCTTTGTGAAAATCCTGAAGATCTTCACCGCCACCTGGATACACTGGTGCTGGTGCCTCCACAGGTCAGACTGCACCACCCCAGGGTGCAGAGAGAACACGCTCACGCCTGTATCTGCAATATCAAAAACAACAACATTTGTTTCACAGCTAAAAGCCACTCACTTCTGCCAGCTACACCCCCTGAAAACTGGATTTGAGAGTTTTCACATTAAAATGATTTCTTTCACGTTTTTGCCATTAAAAAAAAGGAACAAAAAGGAAAAAGAAATCGAGGCAACAACATGCTTCATTTCCAGAGAAATGGAAGCAGATGGAAGCAGAATTTTTCCACACAGGAAAATAATCTTACCAAATGAAGAAGAACATTTTTGCAAGCTGTCCAAGAAAAAAACTTGATACACTGATTTTCTGACTCATGTCTCTTGGCAAAAAAAACAAACAAACGGTTGCCTCTCTACCCACGAAAAGAACCTCTAATAGAAGTTGAAATCAAAACTCAAAGCAAAGATATTCAAGACTTTCCCAATTTTCTTTTTTCTGTTTTTTATCCAGCCATCTCACCTCACCTTGTAACCGCTTGGCAAGTGAGCGCGCGAACAGGACATTAGCAAGTTTGCTCTGCCCGTACGCCTTCATGGTATCATAACTCTCCTCGCTATTGAGGTCGTCCAGTCGGAGGCCGGTCCAGGTGTGCGCCACCGATGCAACAACAACAATACGGGCAGGAGCTGAGCGTTTGATGAGGTCCAGCAGCAGGTAAGTCAACAAGACATGACCTGAGGGTTGAGACAGAGAAGAGGGAATTGTTGGAGGCTAACAAAACAAATTCCATATACACCAAAACCCTGTGATGGATAGTAAATCTCCTGGGGGATGGGAAATTTTCTCCTGATCTGAACATAAGGCATTATATATGACGCCATTATCACCACTTCCCACACATAATATGTTCACTAAATGTAGAATTACTCTACCACGCATTCCATGCCACAAAAAGGAGAAATCCACCATGTATCTGGCTAAGAAAAGTACGACTGTTTAATTCGCTGTCTAAAGTTTGAGGAGTCAGGTGTGAACCGAAATACAAAAAAACTTTCGACAAGCATCTCAGGGAATGTGTCACACAGCCTACTTAAAATAAAAAAGACTCAAAAGAACAGCCTGTGACACTCGGAGACATCGCTGACTGTACCCACAGGACTCTATCTGGATTCCTGTTACTTCTGGTGTGTTTCTCATGTATAAAAATAGTGCCTGTCTTTCTTGCGTGTGCTGTAGCAGCAGCTCCAAATGAAACCCTCCTTTGCTGCTTTTGCAGGGCTGAAGTTTCTGACTTTTCTGCCGTCCAAGTGAAGAAATCATGAATTTGAGGACTTGTTTATTCCTCTAAATTTGACAGTGACAAAAAAAGATTCTTGTCATTATTTACTTTTACAAAACAAAGTTAAGGTTGAAGAAAAACTGTTACTCTCGGTCCTACAATGTGGACTCCCTCTCCTTAGAGCATTAATTTACATTTAGTTGCTCTTTATGACAGCAGGATCAGTTTAAGACAGATGAACGGAGCAAAGATATTCATCCTGATCTGCTTAAGACTGCCAGATAGAAACACATGATATCAATATGGAATTAACTTACGCATACCTCTAGAGTACATATTTTATGAGAACTGCAAAATGAATTCAAGATCCAGCAGCTCAGAGCGAGTGTTTCTCTCCTGGTGACACAGGCAGGAAAAAAAACTAATGCTCAGTCTTGCGCAGGAGCCCCCAACCAGATGAATAGAGTGGGGAAAAAAACATGAGGGGGAGAGGTCAACCATTATGTCATGTTCTGATGCACTGGTCTTTGTATATTTTGTCTTTGGAAGGGAAGGAGACACATGTAATTTTCTCTGCTTCTCCTCTGCTTAATGATCCACAATATGGTGAAAAGAAAGTCGATCTTCTCTGTGACCATGACATGTGTTTTGATTTTGTGGGTCTGAACGTAGAGCTCCAATTAAGAGCCCGTACTGGAAACCTTTTACACTACTGTACGACTCTTCATCAGTAACACAGTAAATTATTTTGATGGCAGAAGTCTTTTGATTTGATTTAAGAGCCAAATATCTGAGGATTTTCCGTTTGTCCTCTTTTTGATGTATCCCCACTGCTTATTGCTCTCTTCCCAAGATCTGTAAAAAATCTTCTGCATGTCATAGTCCACATAAAATATTAAGTCCAGCTCGGATCTAACTTGGCCGTCTCCTTTCATATCATTCTGACTGATTTGGAAAGCATCATACCAGCACAATGCAGTACTTAAAAGTATACTCTCTTAAAACCAGATCGCTGTCCTTTTAAAACTTACACACTATAGAAAGGCTCCCCATACATTAACATTAACATTTGGACCTCTTAAAGGAAACTTTCCTTCCCTCACTCCCTCACTTTCCTTACATTGTTCCTTCTTTCCTGTTGTACTGTTGTTCCAGCCAAATTTGAGTACGCATGTGGATGTTTTCAAATGTACAGGAATGTCATCCATGAATGCTCACATGTATGTTGTAAGCATGCTGGAGCACAGACTGTTCCTCTCTCTGTCAGCCTGGGATAAAAATACCACAGAGGCATAGATCATTTGGAAGGAAGCCATTGTTCAATACTGGGAAACACCGAGAGGACAGACCTGGGAATTTTGCAGTTGGATATACAATTGGGATCTATACGGAGCAATAAACTCTTTTTAGAGAGATATCAACTGTTTAAATTAAAGACAAAAACTCCCCTCAGAATCTGATTTCAGGAACACAGATCATGATTACCTGAATAATTGTCGAGGTGGGTGGGATAGACCACTTTTTCTTGTCCATCATACACTCTGAGCACGTTTGAGTCGGAGAAATGATCTGGACTTGTCTTGCGGTTTTTTGTTGGGGTAATCTGATGCAATATTTTGTAACTCACAAAATCAAATGTGTACAGACGGCTGAGGTTGGAAGGGGTCTGTGTTAAAAGAAATGTGAAGAACAGCCGGCAGACTCTTTCCACATATGTTTGATCTATCTATACAAGTCAACCAGGAGGTAACTCTAATAATACAGGATGTTCATTCTGCATATCACCTCTGCAGAGTTTATCAGCAGCCAGCCAAAAAGTGACAACACTGTGGAGTTGTTAGCAAGGAGACTAAAGGCCAGAGGTATTTCCAATATGGTGACTGCAGTCAATAAGCTTCAAAATTCAGCTTCAGAAACACGAGTAGGATCACCAACACTAATACTAACTAGGGCCCGACCATATGGATTTTTTGGGGCCGATGCCGATTATTCGGGGGGAGAAATCCGATTACCAATTGATCAGCCGATTTTTTTTATGAAGTTATGATATATATATATATATATATATATATATATATATATATATATATATTGTAGATATATGTATATATATGTATATATATATTGTAGATATATATATATATATATATTGTAGATATACTATATACTGTAGATATACTGTAGGCTATTGCTCTTCACGCCAACAGGAAGAGCGACTGATCAAACTCGGACCAGAAAAGCGTTTTCAACTGCCCCCCCTGCCGATCGGTGTCTCCGCGTCTTAACTCACGTTACACATTTCCAGTTTGGTCTCATCTGGAGACATGCAGCTGCCTCAGTAGAGAAGTAGCTCAATCACGTAATGTGTACTGTTGTTTATTCTACCGTTACCAGCACGGCTAACACGACTTATTGTGTATTTCACGAACTGGTTTATTTACCGTTGAGGTGGACCACTCTCCTCTGTGTGCTGAGCTGCCTACCTCAGATCCGTCACTCTGCTGTGCTGTGAGGTAGTTAGTGGATCAAGATTGTCATGAGGTCGCTGCGCCATCTACAGGATAAGTCAGGGAACTTTTCAAATGGCGGAACATTTTCGAAGTGAAACCTAATCTTTTTCTCCGCATTTTATTTCTAAAAATATCTTTGAAAATCGGCGAGTTTTGGCCGATTACCAATAAGTCTCAAACGGGCTAAAACTGGCCGATTCAACCGCCCCGATAAATCGGTCGGGCCCTAATACTAACCCATGTATTATATAGTCCATGGAAAACACGCAGCATGACTTACCCAAGTGATTGACCCCCAGCTGCATTTCAAACCCATCAGCTGTCTTGGAGTACGGGCACATCATGATGCCCGCATTGTTGATCAAGATGTTGACTTGTCTCTCCTCTGAAACATTAGCAACAAACAGATAAGAACAAAATGGTAATACTAAGAAATGTAAATGATTAAATAAGCACTAAATGTCTTGTTTAACTAATGATTAGTATGCTACCTTTGTTGATGTGATCAGCAAACGCTCTGATAGACTTTGTGTCGGATAAATCCAGTTTCCTGATGACCAAATTCTCATTTCCTGTGTCCTCCAAAATATCTGTCCGCGCTTCCTCTGCCCTCTCAAGGTCCCTGCACGCCATGATGATGCGTGCACCTTCGAAAACAAAAGGCCAAAAGGTCAGAGAGAGTGATGATACTATTATATTTTCAGTTTCCCATCAAACTCGAGTGGCTTGCAGCACAGTAAAACTGAAAATTTATGAGTACATGGAGCACTTCGATGAGAACTTTTGACCTTTTCTGTTCAGTTTTATTCACTGCGAGTAAATCCCCCACATTTCATGAGAAACCACAGGACAGAGCCATTTTTTCCCGCAACATACTGAAGCAAATACTCTACACTTAGCTGGTGCAAAACACTGGAAAGTTTCTAAACTCATTACTACAAAAGCTTTGCTCTTTTGCGGGTATAAAACGCCACTTATGCCACTAATTTGCGTGTGCGTATGTGTGTGGGGTGCGCATGCATTCTTAACTCTCACTCATTTAACCAACCGCTGCGCTCGCATGAACACAGGACCCTCTCAACTGTGTCATTCTCATTCGCCTCTGACGCAATTTACGCTGCATTCTCTATAATGAGCCTAGAAAAGGGGGCTTGGACAGCTACACACACACACACACACACACACACACACACACACACACACACACACACACACACACACACTAACTAAACATGCGTGCCCACACAAACAAAAACTATAAAGAAACACAACTCCTCCAACCCTGACACACACACACACACACACACACACACACACACACACTCCACTCACACACAAAGTAGCTGCTTTGCCCGGCAATTATGGAAGAGGAGAGCCATTAATCAGTTGGAGCGAAGCATCTGTATCCCATCAGAGTCTTTGTTTCACCCCTGCTGTTCCCATATGGGAGAAGCCAATTGTTCCCACGTTTACTTGTTAGTCAAGTTCATCCTATTAACAAAAAAATAAATAAGTCTTGATAAGTGAGGGTTACACTGTGTGAAGTTTAAGATAATGGGGAGATGAGTACACAATGTTCTGCATGCATAAATAATGTCAGTATGCAGATATGTGCAAGATGCAAATGCTAATTCCTGTTTCGTACATTCAGTCGATCTGAATGTAAATATGACAGCGCTTTCTCATTTTCCCTTTCAAACACTGACTTTTGCCATTTGACGTGGATGAGTAATGTGCCACTCCACTCCCTCAACATGTTGAATTCAGCCAAAATAATCAAACAAAAATGATTACAAAGGCTGAGATTCAATTAGTTTTCCTTGATCTGATGCCCGAGGACACACCTCCTGTTATGAACCCTACCGAATCTAATCATTATGTCATCATGTTATTGCACAATCCAATTAGCCGGGGCATGATACAGTGCTATGACAGAGGATTCCCAAGGAGAAAGGACTACAGCGCTCTCTGTGTGAGATGAGTATTTGAGTCCTGTCTATTTTTTATTTCTCACAGTGGCTCTCTTCATTCATTTTAATTAAGTTATCTTAAATTAATAGACAAAGAAAGTGATTGGCTGTTGCCCTCTTATTGGCAAAATGAAGGCTAATTTTTGTGCGTGCTTGCGTGAAATAAACACAATGCACATGCAATAGTGCGGAAAAAAAAGTGCTGACAAATTAGCAAACTAAATAAAGTCTGCAGAACCAGTTTGCAAATTATTCACTGCTGTGCTTGTGCTTGTGCTTGTGTGCGCGTCTGTCTGGGTGCACCCTCCCATCTCTCTTTGTTTCCTGTCTGGCTCAGGAGGGGAGCGGACCCTCACAATGCTCCCTCTGTCCCCTTGATGCCTCATCTGTCTTCCATCACTTGAACTGGTGAAGTGTTAAACAGGACGCTCATTTCAGTTAACACAGCCCTCTTTTCTGTTTAACATCCACCATTTGTCACAGTCTTGAAATGTTATGTTAGGGGTTAAGGTATGCAGAGGTCAGGAAAACACTTCTCATAGAGACATTTGAATTAAACATACAAGCACAGTGACGGAGTAAACAGGTGGTGGATATTTGAGGCGCACTTAAAGATCATGCTTTATGGCTTTAAACCACCCACGTATTAGAGGTGCTTAACTCGAGAAAAAACAGAGGAATGTATAAGTCACAGTGGGAAAGTGAGTGAAAATGAAACGAATGAGGGGAAACACAAATCACTGTGACTTAGCCAGAAATGGACTGATGCAGGTGGTGGACACACACATACACACAAAGAGCTAGACAGAGCTGTACCTCTTCTTGCCAAGTCCCTGGCGGTCTCTTTGCCAATACCAGTGTTAGCACCAGTGATGATGACTGTTTTCCCATCTAACCTCTCTTCAGATGACCAGCGGTTACAGCACACAGTCCTGAACACAAGCACAAAGTCATGAATCATGCAAACCATCTGTTGAGTGAAAAATTGCATTTCTCTTTAAAAAAAAAAGAGAGGGTTAGGTTTAGTAGCAGTAATCTGCTTTGAATAATACACACTCAGACTAAAAATGTGATCCTTCAAGGAATTTACCTCGAAAGGGAGGTCATGAAAAATAGAGAGAAATCACACATGCAACATATCAGCCAAAAATAACAGGATTTCAACATATGTTATGCTTTTAGATGCAGAAGTCTCATGCATAAAGGATAATAGGTGATATATATGCATGTGATTTTTAATTATGAAAAATCAACTGCTACATGAACAATACAAAACATATGCAGAAACTCATAAAATGTGTCAATAGCAGCCAAAACAACAAACACTCACGAGCAAACTAAAGCCAAATCTGCCGGTACGGTGAGGTGCGAACCCCCCCTTAAAATATCAACATTCTTCTTAGTAACACCCCCAGCCTTCTAAACTCGGCCTTATTTTGTGTATTTCTCTCCTTACCTGCAGGACATGTTTCCTCAAGAGCCACAAATTCCCACCGTCAGGACCAGTCAGTCACTTTACAGAGAAGTGAATTTACCTCCCTCACCTCTCTCAGACAGTCAGTCCATCAATGGAGTTCGTGCTTGTCATCTCTCCCTCCGCCCCGCCCCGCCCGCGCGCATTGTTTGTCATCGCTATATCACGGCTCGACCAATCAGGGGCGAGCTGACGCATAATTGATTCGCGAGTTCACGCGCCTGAGGGGACAGGAGGCTCTCCTGCTGTCAGGGACCAGCCAAGCTAGTTTCCACTTTTACAGTTATTTTTTAGAGTATAGTGGTATTTGGAGGGTCAAAATTAAAATATTCTCCTTACAAGAAACTTTAAGTACCAGGGCAACCACCTGTAGTCGATAACAATCAATTAGCCTTTAGCAGAATTGTGCCCAAGAAGAATTACTCTGCATGTGTTTCCATGACATTGCAGTAACGCTATATGGCCACTTGGGTTCACCCTTAGTCAAACAAAACCAGTGTGCCAACACAACAATAAGACCCACTTGACAGTAGACACTTTTTTATGGATCAACACTTGATGTTTTTGTTGTGTATAAACTGACAATGTTTATTAGTTTTTTAAGCTCTTAATGGTCTTGGTCCTTCCTATTTGTCTGATTTGCTTTTACCGTATGAGCCTGATAGATCCCTCAGGTCTTCAGGTACTGGTCTGTCAACTGTTCCCAGAGTAAAAACTAAAACATATGGTGAATCATCATTCCAACATTACGGTCCTCATCTGTGGAACAGCCTACCTGCAGACCTGAGAGGGACACCTGATGTTCATATTTTTATTTTAGTCATGCATCTGTGTGTGTGTGAGCATGTGAGTGCTGTATTCAAATTCAAATTCAACTTTATTTTTATGGCACTTTTCAGACAAAAATGCAGTTCAAAGTGCCTCACAGAGGCTCAAAACAGCAATTAACAACATTAAAACCCGAACCTCCCACCCACATATCCACCCATGGACCCACACACACTTAAAGACACACACCCACCTTTACTCACCCACTTATAGACACACAAGCGCACACAGAGTGAGAATTTAAGATATATTGTTAAAGAGAAATGGCCTGACACCCTGACAGTATGTGAGGAAAGAGCTACCTGGTAACACTGGAGATAAAGAGAAAAAATAAAAAATAAAATGGTAAAAAGAAAGAGTAAAAATTGATGGACTAAAACAAGAAAATAATCTCGAATGAACAGATAAGTAAGAGCTCTTTAACATGTAAAACGAGTAAAAGAACTAAAAACCTCTAAGATGTGAATTAAAAAAAAAGACTAAGAACAGAGATAACTAATAAAATTACACAAAATAAACATGAAGAACTTTGATTAAAATGAATATTTGCAATAATAGAAACACAAAAAGGCAATCAGTGAAAAGCCTGGTTTAAAAGGTGAGTCTTGAGCCTCTTCTTAAAAACATCAACAGTCTCTGCGGCCCTGAGGCTCTCAGGCAGGCTGTTTCACAACCAGGGACCATAAAAACTGAAAGCCGCCTCCCCGTGTGTTTTTGTTTTGACTTTAGGTAAGGACTTTGGTTGATTGGATAACAGTAAGTCAGATAAATAAGATGAAGTCAGATAAATACATCTAAAAATTAGTAAAAGAACCTTAAAAACAATCCTGAAACAGAGCCAATGCAGATATGCTAAAACTGGCGTTATATGCTCTCGCCCTCTGGCCGTTGTCAGCACTCTGGCAGCTGAATTTTGTAATCGAATTTTGTAATTTATGCATCAACACTTGATGTTTTTGTTGTGCATAAACTCCCAATGTTTATTTCCATTTAAATAACACACCCAGAACACTCAGGAGTTTGGAGTCATCAGTGAAAGTTTAATTAGCAGCAGCTGTGATCATGTCTGTATCCTATCTGTAAATAACAAAGCCTTTGCAACCATCCATGTCGAGTTTTGCAATCAAACGCTACTATAAAAACTAAAGCAGGTCTCAATATACTTCCATGCACATTTTTTGCCAAGGCCCACATACTAATTTCAGTCGTCATCAAACTTAGCATTAGCGTAACTACTCTGAGACTAAAAGTGTCACAAATTTTTCTTCAAGCAATGTCAGGAAGTCTGTAAATCTATCTCCAGCGGATGCCGAGCAGGTGGCAGCTCACGGCCCACAGCTTTAAGGCAGTGCCATCATCCTGACCTGCTTTGCAGCTGTTTGCTTGGGCACAGTCCCTGTACCGAAAAGAAACAAAGCATTTAGATCGCTTCAAATTTTCAGCATTATTTCTTGTTAAAGATTTTATCGATCTTTTTAAGTATACACAACCTACACAGAGATACAAGCTCCAAATGTTGACCCATGTGAAAGTAGTGTTTGTGTCTCATGGTGAAGACTAGTGTGTGCAGCAGTATCTCCAGTGATATCTCTAATCTAACTGTACTTCAGACTGACCTGTAGTATCCTCCATTGAGCATCTGGTTCTCAGGAGTGACGGTGCAGTAGATAGTGGTGCTAGCTCCCTCTGCTGGGGTCTTGATCATAAAACTGAAGGTCTTAACAAAATATCCAAGAGGGCGAATGAAATGCCTTGAAATTTCTGTGTCCACCATGCCGGGATCAACAGCATAGGTTGACACACCTAGAACTAGAGAGAAAAAAAGGTTAATCAGTGCAGAGTACAAACTCCAAAACTATCTTTTTAATTACAAAAAGTTGGTTTTAGTGTCAGAGTCAGTTGCACAAACTGTTAAATATGAAAAGAAATAAAGATACATGTTAGAAATTACAACTTTCTTATTAAACTAAAAGTAGAAATAGTAAACTATGTGTTTCTTTGTTTCATACGAACATGTTCCTCCATGCTCTGTTTCTTGCCTAAAGCAGTTGTGGTTGAGGCATGAGACTGTCACGTTGGCAAGAGACGCAGATCAATTTCATAAGCATTTTCAGGAAACGGAACAAAGAGGTACAGACCGAGAAATAAAGACAAAAAGTACAGCAAGCGATGGTGTAATCCGTGATACAAACACTCCCTACGTTCAGTCCTTTTGGCCAGCTCTCGGGTGAAGAGGATGTTTGCCAGCTTGCTCTGTGCGTAGGCCGAGATTGGGTGGTAGTTTTTCTCCCCCTTTAGGTCATCAAACTGAATCTTTCCCAGGTTGTGAGCGCCTGAGGAGAGGTTTATAACCCGAGATGGAGCTGAGTGTTTCAGCAAGTCCAGTAACAGAAAGGTCAGGAAGAAGTGACCTGAGGACGAGCGTCAGTAGAGAGACAAAAAGAGAGTTTGGAGAGAGAAAACATCACATGTGGAGATTAATCCTGTTGCTGCATGCTGAGAATAATAAGTTCAAGTGCAGACATACAGCATGTATTAGAACATGTCTGGAATTTTCTCTCTCTTATATTGTATTGCAGCTTCTTATGAGTGTAGGTCAAATATAGATGCAATTTACAGTAAAATAAAACACATAAGTAGTTGGTTTGTTGGTGAGACTTCTCATTCAGGGCAACGAGAGTGGCAGTCACAGTGGGCGTTGTGTCTACAAGCAATCAGATCCTGTGAAGTGGGTTGACACCTACTGGGACCTAGAGCTGCTTCACTTGTTGCCACTTGTGTTTTCTTGAACGCATGTTTCTAACATAATCAGGAGGAAAAGATGTTGATAAGCGGCGCTAACAGGTATCCCAGAGTGCCTCGAACAGGGAGGTGGACTGTTGCTATACAAACCGAATGGGGGCAGATTTTCAGACACGCTCACATGAGACCTGCAGAATTTCTCGAGATAACCTGACAACCGTTTTTATCTCTTACCCAAGTGATTGACTCCAAACTGCATTTCATATCCATCCACTGTCAGGCTGTGTGGGCACATAGCCACGCCTGCGTTGTTGATCAGGAAGTGAAGAGACTTCTCAGCTGGAAGACAGGATACATTACCTGTAAAACCATCTTTCAAATGTGGTATCTTTGTGTGATTTTGTGTGCATGTTTCACCCACTGTTGTAGACGTTCTCAGCAAACTGGCAGATCGATTTGGTGTCGGCCAGATCCAGTTGCCTGGCGACTACCTTGGCTCCCCTCACATCCCTCATGATGTCACGGGCAGCTTGCTCTCCTTTGGTCATGTCTCTGCAGGCCAAAATCACCCGTGCACCTACATGGACCAATAACCCTCAATAGTGTTGAAATGTGATCACAGTGGTGCATAGTGAGCTTACTTCCAGTCATTTGTCCTTGTCTCAATATTTCTTCTTTTTTTGGTTAATGTGGTTTTAACTGTACTCTCTTTAATTTAAACCATATTCATACACTTATAAACATCATTTCTTATACTTAATGCAGCAATTTGATACTTGAGACGACTCATTTGAACATTTCCCACATTGTAATGCTGAGTCACACAGCACAATAGTCTATAAGTAACCATGCTACTCATTAGTTTGTTTCTAAATATCTAGTTTTATCCGCTTGCCTCTGCTGGCCAGGTCTTTAGCTGTCTCCTTGCCTATCCCAACGTTGGCCCCCGTTACTATAGCGATCTTTCCATCTAGACGAACATCCGAGGACCAGTTTGGGAGAAACAGAGACCTAAGAAACAGAGTTTAGAGGAAAATAAGCAACGATTAAAAGGTTAGAGAGGGATTGTAACACCAAAATGATGATGAAGACTTTGTGTGCTGTCAAGAGAGGGAAAAGGAACTTAGAAAAAGCAAATGATCTTTTTTTTGTTGTTGTTGCTGTGACCTGTTTGTTTGAACCTCCTGTAACTAAATTACAAGGTGGATGAGGTTTGCCGCAGAAATAACAGTTCCTGAAATCACTGACATTACACAAATGAAGTTAGAAGTCGGGCTTTGAAGTGACTTGGTGATTTCACTCGACATTTTAAAACTGACCTTAAGCAATCGTCTCCACCCAGCTCTTTCTTAAATGGTGGAAAATCGAAAAGACAGCTTTTCCTGTGATTTCTGTTTTCCGAAAGTGCTTGAAAAACTTAGCATCTGTTAGGAAACATTCACTCTTCATCGAATAGTTACTTTAATGCAAAGTGTCTTACCTGATTGCCTGCATGTCTGTATCCAGCAGTCATACAAAACTGCAATAGTCCTCCCAAAGTTGGATTGTCTCCTTTTAAACTGAGGTCGTCTCAAGGCTCAGGTCCTGAGATTTTAAGGGATGACTGCTGAGCTATCAGAGAGAAAGAGAGGGAGAGAAAATGAGCTTTATTTGCAATTAAAAATGGTAAGCCTGAACTGGGACGTCATAGTCGGGCACAAATGCTCCTCTGTTAATTTTGTCTCACTGTGACTGATCAGTTAGACAGAAAGTCAAAACGACTTCCTTCATAGAGATTATCACATGGTAAAAGCTGCCGTGCTCTAGTTAGCCTTATTAACAGAGGCCTGTTTGTTTATTTATATCCAGTCAGTCAAGGCTGACTTTTGACAGAGCAGGGTCCTTATTACGTAAAAGGGTGCTGACATGAAACCTTTGAAAAAAAATCCCATTTCTTAAATATAAGTGTCATTTGGGTACATCATTTGGGAAGGATAGTTTTACCTCATTAAAAACATAAATGAAGAAAGTTAGTAGAGACTGTAAAGCTGCATTTTAATCCAACAACTGGTCAAACATATCTAATTAAAATCAAAGTCACCATATTTTTCTACTTTTTAGGTCAAAACTGTCACGTTTTAAGCTTTAAATATGTTCTGCATTCAAAATACTCATCTGTGAGGAAACTAAAATCTACAATAAGGGGGACAGTTTCGGGGATTTAAACATGCCTGAGTGTGTAAAAAGAGTCATTGCAGGTGAAATAGAAAACCTGGATCCACAGGTGAGCTGACCGTGATTTAAGTTTTTATCACTGTGGATTTTTTGGTGCTTTCCACAGGAAGGTCCAAGCTATCACCTTACTGCATGTCAGCCTGGTAATCTAATTTCTTATTGGGGTGATACTGGACACTTAGACTGTGGCATTACTTAAGCGGCCGGGCTTCCCCCTTCTGATCTTTGGAGGCCTATGTGTCTTTTTATTCTTCAGGTTGTAGTGTGTTTAAAAACAGTCTCAAGTTTCTCTTAACTTTAAGTGAAAGCATCACATCAAAACTATGTTGCATGTTTGCAAAAGGTAGTAAAACATCCAAAATATGTCATGTAAAGTACTGAAAATAAACTTTTATAATGTCACACAAGGATAAAGGACACTATAAGTTCTCACCTTTGTAGACAAATGGGTATCAGCTAAAAATTTGAATGTCCTGAAAAACTTCTTTTCACCCCATTTTTAGATATGTATTATACATTTTTTTATGTATTTTTTGGGGGACTTTTTATATTTTATTATTTCGATATGGTGGATTTTATGATCTTCATGAGCTGTAAATTGTAATAATCAAGATTTAAACAAAAAAAGTCGAGAAATATTTCACTTTGTATGTGATGAATCTATGGACATCTCATTTTTTGAAGCAAATTAATCACAAAAAAAAAAAAAAAAAAAACACAACATAAAAAAAATTAACATAACTGTGACTGGTTGATTGCGATTTCTAGTCCACATAGAAATGCCCAATTACGCAGATTTAAGACAGAGATTGAGTTGGAGTTTAGCAATTCCACTAACTGATCAGTAGAACATATAGAAGTTCATTTTGTGCAGGTTTTGTACAGAATTGTATTAATAATTTTTACAGTTCTCAAAATTACTTAAACATATTAATCCTGTGACATCCATTTACCACTAGAGGGCACTCTCTAGCAGCTCCCTCTCCACCACCCTCACTCACAGAGCGACTGTTTTCTCACACAGAGGCACTGAAAAAAAGAGCTGAAATCATTTACATCTACAGTCCAGTTCTGCGCTGGCCGGCGAGTCGAGTCTCATGTAAACCATGTGAGCGCTAGTCATAACTTCCTGTTTTCACAAACAACCATAAAATAGGCCGAGACGAGATGCACACTGACACACAAGTGCACACATACACACATATATAAACATACTGCTGCTGACCCAAACCAGGCCTAAATGAGTGCTGCCAGCTTCTCTCATGTGGTCTTTCTGTGACGCTAGCTGGTCTGACTGCTGGATTAGTTTCTCCTCACAGCTGCTCCACATCCCCCGGCCTGATGAAAGGCTGCCTGTCTGTCAACATGGGGACAAAGACAGAGAGGCCCGGCCACATGTGTAATTAGCATTGCCTCACAAAGATTATAGATCATCTCGAGGAGATAAATGCCTCGATCACTGTAATTTCTCCATCCCAGAATAGGAAAGTTGACAGAGAGAAGCCACAGAATACAGGAGAGCCGCCATCGCTGACAGGATTAGATGCAAAACATATTTAATTCAAATCAAAATATTCTTTCAGTCATCTGATGCAACAGCTTTGATTGATATTTACATAATTATTTAAAGGCTCCATACATGTGGTGAGGTTGTAATTGAACAGTCCCTTTCAACTCATTTTCTAGCCGGCTGTTAATGGTTTCACTTTACACACCATCACCTCAAACCAAATGACAGGAAGAGCAAATAAATTTCATTCATGTTTCGAGAGACATCAAGCTTCTTTGAAATTATATACACACATTGATCACATATGCATCTTCTGAAATAAGATTTAAACAATCAACTTAGTAAAATTATTTAGAACTTTATATAAACAGGCGGACATTTCACTCTTCTTCATTAAGGCTTACACGTGAAAACAAAATAAGACAGAGCAAACCGAAAATAAAATAGCTTATCAAATGCATAGCATTTTTCTTACAGATAAACTGCACTTGTGGTGCAATAAAAGAAAAAAAAACAAACTCAAAATACAGGTTAAAAAAGATCGTTCCAAAACTGGATGTGTCACTAATTATAAAATAGCTTTTATAAAACCCTGCAAAACCAGCAAACTGACTTAGTGAAATGTTTTAAGTTCAAATTTTTTCACTCTAAAAACAATATTTCTGTTCAGCTCTTAATGTGGCAAACTGATTGAATCTTCTACCGTTAAAATGTTTACTTTCAAGGCAGGAATTTGTGAGAGCTAACACAATTATTTCCACATGGTGGATATTTTTGTTATGTTAGGAAACTCTCAAAATCATCCAAAAGTCAAATTTAGATTGGCTCTAAAACAAGAAGCCTACAGATATTAACCTGGACTGTTAAATGATGATAGACGGGGAATGAAAATTGTAGTAATTCCTTTGTTCCCAAACTGTTTCGTCCATACGACAATAAAAACGTGACATTCCTCCAGTCTGAAGTCTAGTTCCACATTCAATTCCCAACAAAATTCCCCATTATTGTCTGGAATGGAGGGAAATTCCATTCAAAAAAACCTCAAGTTTTCAACTGGAAAAAGACAAAAGGCACATTAGTGTTGCCCGCGGAAAGATTAAGGCAAAATCTGGCAGTCTCACATCCCTAAAGATGCTCTTTTTGGCCTCCTGACTGACCAGCTCTAATTGAATTAAAGCTTTTATGTCTTTGTATTTGGGTGAAAAGTTTGTATGATGGACAAATTATGTTTTTAAAGTTCCTCTGTGATTGGAAGCTCAGACATTTAAGATGACATACCCTACAGAAATGATCAGAGGTCATTTTAGCATCGTCACTGTTCTGATAATTTAACAGCCAATAGTCAGTTTTCATTTCCCCAGCTGCCGCTCCACCATGGCTTCCTGGATTGGCAGTGTTTCTTCTTGCAAGGTCCTATGGGAATATGAGTCCCCGTGTGACCTCAGGCTGCTCTGAAAGAAGGGGGCCGTCTCGTTGGCCTCTTCTTGGACGGGGCTCCCGAAGGCGTCGTCTTGCCCCATGCCATCGCTGCCCAGAGACGTTTGGCTAACGCATACGACGATGACGTCTCCGCTGAAGTTCATAACCTGACCACTGGAGATGAAGGTGGTGTTGTTGTTTCCAGTCACCTGACCTGAAGAAAAAAAATAAGAAGAAAGGAAAGAAAATTAAACGCCATCCACCTTAAACTTTAATCGTGTTCCTCTGCTGTCTCACCACTTCGCTTGAAGCTACAACTTGAGGTATACTACGTTCCTGGACTAGTTTTATAAATGGGACCTTACATCCATTTCTGACTACAAGTGGAACACTGTGTGAAAAACCTTGGTTTCATGCAAATGACTCAACAACTGTAGGTGTACTAGTGCTGCGTTGGAGTTACCTCAACAGTCAGATGTTGGAGCTGAAAATGACTTCACACCTGAGTTCCCAGCGTTTCAGTTACCAAGTCGGAAAAAAGCAAAATCGGAGGCCTGGAACAAGATGGCTACATCTACGAAAGTTATTTTAGCGCTTGCCTTATATTCGGCCATCTTGTTTCCGCCTCCGATTTTGCTTTTCTCTGATTTGGTAACTGAAACGCTGGTAACTCAGGTGTGACGTCATTTTCAGCTCAGACTTCTGACTCCCGAGATAACTCTAACGCAGCACATGTTCTTTGGCACCTTCCTAGCTCTTGCACTAGTTTTATACAAATGGGACCTTACATCCATTTTAGACTACCACTGTGTGAAAAACCTTGGTTTCATGCAAATGACTCAACACCTCCCACTCTAACTGGAACATAAATTGACACAAATGAATGACGCCTTTTTGAGAAGTGTGAAGTAATTTGTATAATGGCACAGTCCAATGGCGATCTCCTTCCTACACACTGAGGCAACAGAGCTTCCCCTATTTGTGATGTAAGCAAGGAAGGGACTCTATCCTGGCTAACCTCAGATGACAAATGGACGGTGGGTGTGATGACAATGCAAGATGACCACGGCTACATAGACCGCCATAACATGTTCTCTCTGCCTTATTTGTTTCAGAGTGCAGTAGTTTTTGGCGTGAGAAAGTTGAGACCTCCGAAAACAAGCTGTTTTTCTTGGAGTTTGGGGTTTTACAGAAACGGCTGAATATATATGTTTCAACTCTTTTGAACCCCCTCCACCGCCAAGTGGTATGTTTCTTTGTTTCTCAGGACTTTCTATGGTTTTCTCAACTTTATTTGTAAATCTACCACGACTCCTGCCTGAAAAACATTTGTAAAACTCATGTCTGCATGTTGTTAACAAATCAATCCCAGCCAACCAGGTGAATTAGGGAATAAACAGTGTGTTTTTCATTTTGTAAGCTATCTTTCACCACATTGGGCCTCCGGTTCCTAATTTTATCCAGCCTCCTGTCTGAGTTTCCAGCCGCCAGAACAAGCAGACCGACCTTCTTGTGACTCACAGCTCATGCCCGGTCTATTCACACATTCAGCACGCACACACACGTAATCACAACAAGCAAACAAGCTCTGGCAGACGCCTCTACTCCTACACATACACATATAAACTCAGAGCACACACACACACAGCCTATAAAGATGCAAACACGGTCAAAACACAATCATTCACACAGACACAGAGTGTGTCTCTGTGTTTCCCGACGCGAGAGCCTTTTTCCCGGAATAGCAGTCTGAGGGGTCTAGCTTGAAAATATGTCGTTTCACCGCAAGTTTGAAAACAAAGCTCTGAGGAATCTGCTTGGGTTCTGTTGTTTATCCTTTCTTAATACCAAGCTGATTTTTCTGGATGCCCTACAATTGAAGCGGCGCAGCATACTGACAGGGTTTTAAACTGCGGACCGAGGATGAACTCCCGTAGAACCCCATTTCTTTTCAATCACAGAGAAAACCGCATCTGTACACAGTGCTACACAGAATCTTCCTTATTTAACCTGGATGGCTGCCAGTTCAAAACCTTGGCTATAGTCAACATGCAGTCGAAATGGCTCATTAGTGCCGTCAAAGTGCCCTTGAACAAACTGTTCCAGTGAAAATGCTGAATAGTCAACAGATAAAACTTGTTTTAAGCTTAGCCTCGATATGGGAACTCTGTGAGATTTTATGTTTAAGGTGACTGAGTGAAACCCCTGACCCGTGTTTGAGCTTTACATAACACAAGCGGGAAGTCCACATAATCACCTGTCTTTACTGCATGATGGGAAATGGTGTTAAATTCAAGCATGTCATTAAAGTACCCAGTCATCAGCGAGAGTCAAAAAAAGTCTTCAAAAGTTCAAATGTGTGTGTGTGCGAGTGCGTCGGGCAGGCGAGGATCTAAAAGTATTACTCAAGCTGCGCACATCTTGCTTCAATTAAAGCGGTGGTCACTTTGCGCAACCCTATGGAACTCTGGGTAAACAGGAGCTTTGTAGATGGCATACTTCACACTGACACACACACAAACACAACACTGAAAGAGTGTGGTTCTGGTGGTTCGCTGGCTTTTCAAACACTCATATCTTATTCCTGCTGCATGTGTGGTCCAACTATCAATACTGGCTTTAATAAAACGTGTTCCTTGGAAGCAATCTTACAAACTTGAGTATTCTTATTCTGAAACCAATACTTTGTTATAAACCCCGCTCTGAATATTCGCCTAATAGATCTCAGCTCACCGTTGGCTTTGATCACTGTTCTTGAAGTAAGTTTCCCAAAACCTTTTTTTATATTTTGGCAGTGTGTGTAAAGTCTTTACAAAAAAACAAAACAAGCTCAACCATGTGACAGTAAAAACTTTCCATTTTAACCAACAAAAATTTCATTCTGTTATTCTTGGTGGCTACTCCCACCTACCCTGTGGAAAAGAGTACGCTGAAACGAAGTGTATCAAGTCCTGCACGGGGACTATTATGTGGCAGGACAGTGGCGGCTGCCTATCCAAACAGAGGACGCAGAGTCAACATGGCGCATGTAACTGCGGTCGCATGGTCTTTGTAATGAGCCATGATCAGAACACACAACCGGTGTGAATTCACTTTTGATTGACGGTGTGATGACAGCAAAAATATCCAGGAAGGACGCAGCTCTTTGGTACGACGGTGGATGAGGACCACATTAGGAAAAAAGAAAAAAGAATTTAGATTTTGAGATTTAAGTCGTTAATTTATGAGAATAAAGTCATTACTAACAAGAATTAAGTCGTAATAAAGTAATAATTTAGGAGATTAAGTTGTACTAAAATTATTACTTACAAGAATAAAGTCGTAATGAAATCATTAGTTTCTCCTTGTTTGAGAAACCAAAATTTAAGAACATTTTCACGAAATGCTCCATGGCTCTTATTTCAACAACTGTCATCTTAAACAACAGGTTAGAATGTAAGGACTTTATTCTCATAAGGAATTATTTTAGCACGACTTTATCCTTGTAAATTTATGGCTTTAATCTCAAACTCTTAAATTTTCTTTCTTAATGTGGCCCTAATACTCTGTTGTACTTAAGCGTCTTTGTCTTATTTGCTTTTTTTAAGTTTTAACTTGAATATGAATTTAAACATTCAGTTAATTCTTAATTTGTTATATAAAATTAATCTTAAATTGACCTTGGACGCATCTTGAGATTACACTTATTATTGAAATAAAGATGAATTGATTAAAGATGATATTAGTGTAAAAACAAATGTTGACATTTTACAAATCTACCTCTTAAACTGCATCTTAAGCACAAGAACAAAACCTCGTAAATTCACCTTATCACAATCTTTATGAGTGGTAATAAGCATTCATAACAGCTTAAAATCATATTTACCTTATTTAGCATCAATAAAAACGGAATAGATCGTGTGTTCAAGTCAGATTTGGCACTTAAAAGTATTTTTTTCATAAATCTTTATTTTTTCTGGCAGAATAGGGCCTCCGTACGCACAAGTTTGAATCCTATCAATGAGATGTCACAAACCTGAGGTAAGCGTTGGTTCAGCCAGCTGACTGTGGAGACTCTCAGGTGAGCAATCTAGCCCTGACTCCACAGAAGAGAGCTTGTTCCCCCTGCTGTCTCCCCAGGAAAGCCCCTCGCTTTGCACTGAACCCGAGGTCTCGGCTGGTTTGTCCTGGTAGAGATTTCCAACAGACGAGGAGGTCAACAGAGGGCTAACCGAGGTCACTGTGGAGGTGGAACTGTTCTCTGTGGAGGTGGAGTCTGTGCTCGTCAGTCTGAATAGGTTCTCCTGTTTTACCGGGGACCTGTCTGTCAGGTGAGGTTTAAAATCTGGCCTCACCTGAGCCTGAGACAACGGCAGGCAGAGTTCAGGGAGTGAACTGGATGGAGAGACTACAGAGGAGGTGGAGGAAAGAGAGACAAGAGATGAAACACCTGCATCGCTCATCTTCTCTGGATTTCCATCCCCTTTTCCTGCCCTTACACTCTCAGGTTTCTCTCCTTCTTCTCCATCCTGTACCCCACACGAGCAGGTCCCTAGAGTCCCCGAACTGACTGCCTGACTACAGTCCTCATTCTCCCCTACTTCCAATGGCTCTCGGACGGGGATGACGCACACGCAGGAGCCAACTAAAAGAGGAGACACGCTCGCAGCCTCCTCTTCTTCTGACACCTCCTCAGGTTCCCCGGAGACTTCACTCTGCTCCTCCATCAGCGCTTTCTTTTTGCTCACTTCTTCCTCTGACGGAGGCAGTGACACCCTGACTTCAGGAACAGTGGTAGGGAACGTGCACGTGGGCTCATCCGCTGGGTTTTGGGGCGCTTGGCAGACCAGTTTGGTTATCTCACACGGTGCACATTTGGGGCCTCCAGAGCCACCTCCTGCTCCACTCTGGTAGAGAGGGGCCAAGGTCTCCTGCAGTCACAGACAGAAGGAAGAGGATTTGTAAGGAATTGAAACAAAAACTGGCTAATCTTTACTTAAAGGGATATTCCGGCATAAAATTAAGTTAGGGGCAAACACACCGTAACACCAAAGTAGACACTCTGTCGAGAGATGAATGTTGCTGACCACTTCCTTCTCTAGTTATACCAACTTTAGTAAAGACCACATGATAGCAATACACAGCAGTCTGAGGAGCCATAAACAAACCTCAACCAAAACGCCACTCTATAGCCACAAATAAAGCGGCTGCTGGAAGAGAGTAGGTGAGTTGTGTTTAGTCTCTTTGTTAAAGAAATCAGGCAAAGTTAAAAAGATGTTTGGTGGCTAGTGCTGTGCCTGGGACCCTATTTGTACTGTTGATGAAGTTAGGTGCTGTTCTGTGCATTATTTGTGGCTATAGAGTGGCGTTTTGGTTGAGGTTTGTTTATGGCTCCTCAGACCGCTGTGTATTGCTATCGTGCGGTCGTTATTAAAGTTGGTATGACTAGAGAAGCAGTGTTATGGTGTGTATGACCATGACCATGACCATGAATTTCATGCTGGAATATCCCTTTAAAGACAAAAGTGAAACTCAAATAATTGCTTTGTTTCTATTAATTTTCAACTGAGGTCAAAGTTTACCTGCTGTATTCTCGTCCTTTTCAGATTCTGGACGCAGGATCGCAGATTTACTGAGAAAAAATAAAACATTTTCAAAAATTAGGAGCCTAAATCTTAAATTTCTTTGGTTAACACTTTTAGGTAAGTGATATCTCTCTGCAATGTGCACAACTGAGTGTACGCCTCTCTTTAACATCAGCCACTTACCGGATAGCAGCTTCAGTTTGTCCTTGTAGCAGGAGAGAAGCAGGATGAGGAGACACAGAATCGTGATGACTGACAGCCCGGACACTATAACCCAGGAAGGTGCTGCAGCTGAAAGAGAGAGGAGATCAGAGCTTGGTTGTCAAATCTGCATGAAACCGGTGAAAGACTGCTGTAGATGTGTGTGTGTGTGTGTGTGTGTGTGTGTGTGTGTGTGTGTGTGTGTGTGTGTGTGTGTGTGTGTGTGTGTGTGTCTGTGTGTGTGTATCTTACCAGAGATCGGTGGTCCACACTCTGCATCAGCTTGAGCGCTGCCTGGTTGTGTTTCACGCCTGCCCTGCGCCTTACAACTAGAAGACACAAAATATCAAAGAATATCATGTAAGATGTAATCGAACACTTACTAGCTGACCTGTCTCTGCATCATAATCAGTGCGTGGTTGCTTTACAGCATCTAAAATTTCCAGTGTATGCATTCAACACTCACTTCGTCCACGGTTTGCACGGTTCTGCACTGTTGTCACTTGAGAAGAGGCCCTTTTTACATTCGACACAGATCTTCCTCCCATGAGTGGACTCTGTAATCAAACACAAACATTGCTCTTTCTCTTACATGATGCTTCAAATGAATCAAGGTGAGTTTCGGGGTTTGGGTGTTGGCTCTCACCAGTGTCTACCTCGAGTCCATATCCAGCGCTGCAGGTGGGGATCCTCTCACAGAACTCACAGTTGATAGGGTAGCATTGGAGGTCAGGGCGGCAGCGACACGGCTCCTCTGCTAAGGGGTTCTCTGACCTCGGCATAAACCCTTTAACTGAGGGACGACAAGTAAATATCTCAGACATTTGTAACAGCTCTCGAAGTGGCTTCATTACATAAACATAGCTAATCTTCATTGTGAACGATCACATTTTAATCTCATGAGACAGATTACTAAGAAACATTTTACATTTTTTGTTGTTCGAATGTATCAAACAGGCTATTTTTTGGGGCCTTGAATTCTCCTTCTTTGCTGAGTTTTTCAGACAAGAATTGAAGTGTTCGATCTTTGCTTTAAAAGTGCTTGAAGCAAACAGGCTCCAACAGAACATCTTTGACAATATTGTCCAATTGAAAAACCTTTGGGTTTAAACGTAAGATATCTGTGCCCTGATTAAAAGGATGAGCACTTAACCTTCCTTCTGTGTTAATTTTTACCACGCACCCACTATGTTAAGGGTCCGTTTTGAGCCGTGTCTTAATTCAGCCATGAAAATATTGCTTTTAATATTTTTTGATGTGGTCTTCTGGGTTTTTCTTTATCAGTAAACCCCTCACACGGACATCTATGCTGAATTGATCTCACATGTCTGGGCATGCCCGATGTTTTTTTTTGTGCAGGGAAAAACCAGGCAAAATGAGAATTTCCTAGTTCTCACGTGATTGGAAGAGGATCTGACTGTCAATGTGATGCCTGACAGTGCACTTTTGATTTTATTATTAGATATCGATCTAACCGGGTCAACAGTGACACTAACACAACAAGGGTCATAATTTAATAAGTGCATTTTATAATTTAGTCAATTTAATTTTTTTTATTTTATTTTGTTGAAATAGAGGTTCCTGGCAAAGTCAAAAAGTCTTGATGTAAAAAAGCTCATTTATGTGTTTCTTTTAGGCATTTAAAAACGGGTCGGTGCAGACCCTAACACGGGAGGAAGGTTAAACCCACTTAAAACCACTTTTTAAACCAACGTCAAAGCTGCAGATACTGACATGGGTCACAGAACTTCTGCTTCAGACACTGCATCTCCTGAGTCCAACCGGGCTGATATTCACCACGATCACATTTGACACAGTTGGTCTTATGAGACTCATTGCAGTCAGAATACACCCGGAAACCTGACGAACAAAAACAGAGAGATGGAGAGAAAATTACAGATCAAAAAAAAGAGAAGTGAAAACACCATAAAAACTAAACTTTTCGCAAGAAGAGAAAAGCTGTGGAGTTTTTTTCCTTTTATAGAAGTGGCTTCCTCTAGTGTCACATATGTATACCGTGTGAATATGTGTGGTTGTGAAAATGTTTGAACCATTTTTAGACTCATTGCTCCTTTTTGGGCACACTTCTTCTTTTCATTTCGACCTCTGTGAATGGAAACTAAATCCGGACCCTCTTTATCCTCGTTTCACTCCTCGTGTTTGTGTGTGGAGTTTACCTGGTTTACACTTCTTGCAGCATCTGGAGCCTTTAAGGTACTCTGTCTCATCACACTGGACCGATTTGGAGACCACATTCTGAAAAATATAAGGACATAGATGTTGTGTTACCGATTGCTCAATCAAAAACAGACATTTTCCTTCAATGCTTTGCGTTTGTTTCCCCAATAACTGCCACAGGTGTTGAAGGCAATCCTTCCTAAATCCATCTGTCAAATCCACATGTGATATTTTGATATGTTGGTGAGTAATGACAGGAAGACGGTGGATAAGACTTTTCCAAGACATGCCGAGGAATACTTTCCACATTCTCAGAAGCACCTGACCGCAGCGCTGTACAGCCTCCAAACCAGCTAACCAAACCCTAATAGCTCCAAGTTACATAAGGGGAACTGAGTGGAACTAAATGCAATCAACTCCGGTTGGCTTGAAATTAGTGAAACGCTTTGCTGCGGAAATTATTTGGCAACATGAGCTATTGGTCTACTTGTCTATTCAGGAAGCAGTGAAGTTGGACCCAGCTGAAAAGCATCCCCGACTTTTCTATTTCCTATGTATTGTCGCTCCACAGTTGAGTTTTTCCTTTTTTGATGCAACTTTGACAACACAAGGGTGAAACATTTCAAGATGAAAACTTTATGATTGTTAATCTAAGACGTTAAAAGTGAAAAGTCTCCTGGTTGATATTAGCTTTAGCACAAGTTTTAACTAGCAGAGCAAAAAACAGGGGTGAGCAGGAAACATCTGTGCAGCATTAAACAGTTTCAAACTGTAGTAAAAATGCCTAAAAAGTAAACCACATAGGCTTTCTATCTCTCTCTCTCATTCGTACATACACACATATAGTGCACACACCCTGCAGCCACCCTAAATTAGGGGCTGGTGAGCTCCTCGCCACATTGCTGAATTAGAAAATCTGGCTGTTATGACAGAAACTCAGCCAAAGCCACTGTGTCTAAATCTGAACAAAGAAAAATACAACATATAGGTCTGACTGCACTCTGACCTCAGCGCCAGCATCCTCCTTTTTCTTAGTCAGCCCTTCTGAGAGCTCGCCGTTCTCACGAAATTATACACTAGCTGAATCATTCTGTAATTTGTAAAGTGAAGAATTACAGGTACGGCAATGTCCAGTTACATGAAAGTGTGACAAATCTATCTTACTGCAGCGGGTAACATTTAGAAGAAGTCCTGTCTGTCATTATACTCTGTGGTTGTTGAGCATCAGTGTGGCTTTACCCAAAAGTGCTTCATAATAGTTTTTATAATCTGGACCATGATTGTGCTTCCAATATGGGAACACCTGCATAGAAAAAAAAACAGTTTAACATGAAATTTAACTTAATTTAGGTTAAAATTGTAGTGTTGCTTTTACTTGTCTTTGTTTGAGTTTGTAGTGTCTCTCTGTTGGCAGATGAATTAAAGGAATGACATTTACATGTTTCTGTAATTGTGCCGATTTTGTGCGTACTCGTCCTTTTTTAACCCTTTTTTGAAAAAAGTCATTTTAGTTTTACTTAAAGCTCCAGTGAGGAGTTTTTTGATGTTTAGATTTCATATTGAGGCCTTTTCACGATTTAAAAAAGCAATCAGGACAAGACTGAAGATTTTTATAGTGTTATTTTTAACGCCTAAAACTGGTGCGAGGCGGTAGGTGTCAGCCGAGCAGCCAACCCCCCCTCAAAAAAACAGTATCAGGACATATGCAAGAAATGCATCTTTTCCGCAGAAAACAACACCCACTTACAGTGCACCCACTGATAACTCTGCAGTTGACCGGTTTCAGCCATTTCCTCCTCCACAAAAGCAGATTTAAGACTTCATTTACTTAATGACTTTATTCTCTTAAGTAATTATTTTACTATGACTTTATTCTCGTAGGTAATTCAGAGATCTAAAAGCAAATAAGACCATCAGGGACAAGACTGACGATTTTTATATTGTTATTTTTAACGCCTAAAACCAGCGCAAGGTGGTAGGTGTCATCCGAGCAATTAAAAAAACAAAAAAGCAGCTCTGGTTTTAAAATTTCTGCATTAACAAAAATTAACATGAATAAATTTGACAGAAAAGAATCAGCAGGATGAGACTTTAGTCAGAAGACACTACTTGTGCATGAAGGGGACGTGATAAGCAAAGGCTGCTTTGTCCATAGGGGGCGCCAGAAACGACAAAAACAGTCGTTCCTCTCAGGAGTTTTAAGTATTTTCTGTGTGCAGTGTTGCGCTTTTTTAATCAATTCGGTCTCTGGAAAACTTTTGTGGTGCTCTATGTACAACCAACCATGTTTTTCAGATTTTCATACACAACTAGATACACAACTTTTAATGTGTGCAACCCCACTTTTAGGAATCACACTCTTCTTCAAACACAGCTTTTACAGATCAGTGATGATACGCTGACACCCTACATTACAATATGAAAACAATCGTATCATAACTCATCATTGTTGTCTCAGGCTCACTCCTCCGCCCGTCTCCCTTCTCTCCCCCTCTGTCTCACACCTCCACTTGTTTCTGTTTAGCCTCAGTGCCTTTCTGTCCGTCTGTCTGTCTGTATGTATGTCTGTGAGGCCTCGGGCTACAACAGCGCAACATGAAGACTGCCAAACGTTTAATTACCTCCACTCAGCCTCTCACACATCAGCCCGTCTTTGTTTTACAATCCAACCAGAGGATAATGATGCTCTGACCGCAGCAATAATGAGAGCCATGTGCTGCTGCAGAGAGACGTGACAGAGAGACGAAAGGTTCCCATAGATAGATAGATAGATAGATAGATAGATAGATAGATAGATAGATGTGCGTATGCTTAGAAGTCAGTTATGGTCAATCCACACAACTGGGCCAGAGTGCAAAGGAAGCCAAAAGAATGCTGGGAATTGTATTTTTGTTACCGCCACATCTAAACATTTGGTCTCAGTTATGCGAGGCTGTATGATTTTTTTTCACTAAATATATATGGAAGAGGGAAAAAAAGCTGATCCACCCTATATGATTATAGGTTATCACAACGGACAGGACAGGACTTCAAACCTCAAAGCTAACTTTATCTGCGGATGGATTTAAGTCTGGGAGTCTAGGAGGAACTGTAGACAGAGACAGGTAGGGTTGAGAGAAGGAGAAACAGTCAGATGAACTGGGGTCAAAACAAAAGGAGGTAGGAGTTGTTTGACAAGTCTTTTTTTTTTTTTAAATCATCCCTACCTGGCTGTTTTGTTTGTCTTTTTAAAACCCTTCATCTGGTGTGTGATCCTATCAAACAGTACCGTGACGCACGCTGCATTCCTTTTGCTGTCAGAGACCCAGAGAATTTGCATAACGGCCACAGCAGCCTGAGGCAACAGGCCAAGAGAAGCAAAGTGTGACTTTTAGGCCTTCATAGGTTTCAGCTATCCATGATAAGAAGCTGTAAAAGTCTACCGCACAACAACTGGATATTTGTGCAATGTTTGCACCTGGGATTGATTCTTTCAAAGCCATAAAAACAAATCCTTTGAAGGGACACCTGCACAAGGCGGGGCATTTTAAGAACTAGGAAAACCTATTCTTCTTTTAGGTTCTGGCAAAGTTATAACCATAGACTGTATATACTATGGACAACTTGGTTCCGCCTTCTGTCTGTATATGGATTTGAAGCCAAAAAGCTCTCAGTATTTCAGCCATTTTTCTTTATTTCCTGAAACCAACATTGCGCAGTAGCATTGTACGCATTCGGTGGGAAAGTCACCGGGAGTCGCTGTGATGACACTCGGCTCAAACAGCTTATCCCGGAGTGAGCTACACAATCTTTGTACACCCATAAACTGTATCAGGTGTCAATCATAGAAAACATGAACCCCCTAATAACATTTAAAAACGGAGCTGTACAGAAAAAAGAGGACTTGAGCACAAACCAGTCTTACAGTAACTACAAGTCAACATCGCAAGCAGAGGGGAGAAAAATGTATATTCTGTGTAACAAATTTCTTAAGTTTGTCCACAGCTCTGTAAGCTTTGCTGGCGGAGGCGGGATCTATGACCTATACTGCAGCCTGTCAACAGAGGGTGCTGTTCTCGGAGTGGCGTCCATTCTATGTGCAGTCTATGGTTATAACCTATTTCATGGAATAAAATAAAAACAAAAAACAGCTACCTAAAAAAAGGGGCTAAAACTATTAGAGCTCCTCCTAGTGATCAGCTGCAGTATCGGTCATAAACACAACTGTTATCTCTGTTACCGGCTTGACAGAGTAGAGAATAAATATACAGTAAAAATACCACAAAAGTAGATGAACTTACAACAGCCGTGAGAGTCTGACTCAAAAATCTGTTCTGCTGTGGACTCTGCTGACCTGAGGGAACTCTGACATTAAAGTGGAACTTTAACTGTGTGGTTTAGCTAGCAGAGGGGGTGTGATTTCAAACCCACAGCCCCACCAGCCAGATTGCTTTGGCAAATGTCCCAGCTCTAAGTCACCAGCCAAATATGTCAGCACCCACTACAGTGATATTTTGGCTTCACTTTAGAACAATGGAAGCAGATGGAGGCGCATATTTATACCAAGTCAATGATCTATACCAATTAAGTTTCCCTTTCTTATCCAACAATTAAACCTGCTTTTGTATTCAGTTATCAGTTTAAACTTAGATTATGTGTTTAGTTAATGTATTTATTCTTTCTGACTGTCTTTGCATAGCAGTGTTAAACTATCCAGCATGTGCCGAGCATTTCAGACAAAGACCCTTTAGTAACTCAGGGATTACCTGCACTTTATCTGCTCTAAAAATACATAGAATTGACCTTACCTGGGAAATACTGATTATCTTTCCTTGGAAACAACTCATACAACAGATATCTTCCAGAGTTACAGCGGAGGGAATGATTCAGTGCAAATAAGTTGGTTGGGAAATTTGCATGGACAGTAATAGCAGGAACATAAGAAATGGAAAAGCTCAAACAACGGAAATGAAAATGCCAAAACAGATCCTTGTAAACATCAGAAAACATGTCCGTGTGTAAATGCTTTTATCGTGCTGATTTGTAATTGAAAATCTGGATCAAATCTGTGTTACGGATTTTAAAAAAGTGGTCTAATCATTCCCCCCTCTCAACACAGAGCTTCTTTGTCATAAATGTCTTCATACTTTATCTATCAATTGAGAGTCTTTGTTGTCTGTAGTGTGAAATCAAGTTTGGATCTGCAGGCCTGAGGCAGTTATCGCTCAGATTGAGTCAGACATAATACTTGTAACTGACATGATGGATGGTTGGCACGGGGGGATAATAAAAATGACTTTTTAATGGAGAAAACAAACAGTCAAAGGGGCTGTTCATTGAACTTTACATGTTATGACTGTTATGAAAGGTTAACTGTCAGATGATGGTCAGATGCATCAATGCACGGCTGTCTTGAGAATCTTCACATTCAAATGTCCGAACGCTTCAGGCCAGTAAATGAATCCACAAAAGCTCAGTCTTCTCATAATATATTGACTTTTTACACGTTCCACATCTTGAAGTAATCTTGTGTTGCTCAATGTCACACAGACAGTTGGAAATGAATTTGGAAGGGATCGCATGAAGCGGTTGAAAACCAAGAAACTGAAGGGGAATTCTTTGGGAATACTGTGAGTCAGTAATGGAAGACCACGGTGAGAACTAACCAAAGCCAAAAAGTTTGCCTTGTCACCTTGAAACATACATGAAAAATACAGCTTCCCTTCCCCTCTCTGACTTCTCCTCCAGGCGTCTGTATTTGCTCACTCATTGTTACCACTACTTGAACAAATATGCATGCATTTGACAAGCCGTGAAGAACATTTCTGAGCCATTTACTCTCCGGATCTCTGCGTGCACCAAAACAACCTGCCTTAACTTTATCTCTTAGAACACTTCCTGTCAAATCAGAGTGAGAAAAAAAGAAAAGGGGGGCCAGGAAAAGAGCCTGTTCCAGTCACAGTCATAACCATGCTGGCTTACCGTAACACAGACTGGGCAAACAGGCAGTGATAGATCACTGGTGCCCAGCAGTCCCACCACTACAACCACATCTTATAAACTCCTCCACCTGGTCAGAGTTAGCAGTTTGAGCTAAACAACAACATGGACAAAAGAATGTCAAAGCCATTCACTTTTTTTCCCCATCAGCTGACACATTATGCTGTTTTGAAAAAGCCAGTGTTTTGCTTTAGAGAATCCTGAGGGATAAAAAGTTGCTGTTTAGTAAATAACAATTGTCCACCTGTGGTTTTATAGAGCAATCACATTCTTTTCAGTAATAAAACTATCTCAAGTTTTAGTGGCAGACCATCTGAGTCACCGTGGACCAGTTTTTTAGACCCCTGTTCTTCTAGATGAGCTAATAAGGTTCCTGATGAGCCATTCTGCTCCTCTCTACACCGGGAGAGAATGCGAAGTTGGGGGGGAAACGAGCATCCAGTTGCCAGCGGCGTGCCTGCGGTAAGAACATTGGAAGTGGACCCGAACCAAACACAACTGGTTCCAGTCAGTCTTCTTTCTGTGACCAGCTCATACAAAAATCATCTACTGTGGTGACACATTCTCTGGTTTACTGTTACATTTCTGCTTAACCATCAACTCAAGAGAAATAAACCACCACGAGACTTGGTATTTGGTGTCATTAGTCATTGTCAGCCCATCAGAGGTGACGCAAAGGAGACAAAACAAACAGAAAAATAACCTTAATAAGAAATAAACTCCAACATTTTTGAATAAAAGACACAAAACAATCCTTTTATCACCACATGCGTGTGTTTACCTGTGCGTAAAAACTGACGAGGACGCATGTCATCCAGCCGCGGGTGATTATCCACTTCAGTCTCATCTCTGCTGCTTTTTTAAAAAGACAACTTCTGGGTGAAACTTTTCTCTTTCAGCACAAAAGACGCCTCTTGACACCGAGATCCAAATCTAAATCACTTTCTTCTGGCGTGCGTAAAAGTGGCGGGTCCTCCACTCCGTCTCACAGGGCATTCTTGCGCCTTCATTCCCAGGGAGGCAGCTGCAGTTCCCACCTCTCCTCTGCTCTCATCCTCCTTCTGCTTTCACCCACGCGTTGTGTGGAGGAAGCTGCATGCAACAGCTTGTAAAAACTGATTCGAGGGAGAGAGGGAGGGAGGGAACTCCTCCACGTTGACATATGTGAAGAAATAAGTTCATCCCCTCGTCTCTTCCCTCCTGACTTTTAGCACTGATCTCTCTCTCTCTTTCCCCTCCCTCTCTGAATGAATAGGTGATTATGTGTCATTTAGTGTAAGGGTAACCAGATATGACCCCGTGCATTGGAAGCAAATGTGGTCACTTTCTTAGATTTCACTTCCTGAATTTGCCATCAATCATTTATGTGAGTGGGCGGTTCCATATTCACCAGGTCCTGGAAAAGCCATGACCATGTTTTTCACCAAACTACAAAAAGAAGTCACTTATTACAATAGTGGATTAAATGTCTCCAGGAAAAGAGCTGTTTTCTTCTCCTAGGGCAGAAAGCTGGGTGTGTTGCTCTCTGAATTTGCATGGCAGAATCGGCCCAAGCCAAACTTGGCAGATCATGAGAGGGAAGGTCTGAGAGAGTGGAGAACATGTTCTTCCAAAGGTGACAGTTATGCAAATATTAAATTGCATGCATGGGCCCTGCATGGATAAAAAAGGGGGGCTAATCAGCATGTGGGAAGGGAGAAGTGAGAAGAGGGTTGGGGGTGGAGAAACAAAGAAATGAAGTAGAAAAATAAGTGAAGGAAAACAATATTTGCAAAAAGATTGCCAAAAATCTGCAGAGACCGACTTCCAAATAAGGTCAGTGGATGGATAAGGAATTTTTTTAACCTCATAGGGAGGTTGATTGGGGGGAAGGAAGAATAATGAGGGTTTTAAACTGTAGAAGTGGAGGTAATAGCCTCAGTCCTCCCTCTCCCTCCCTGTTCCCGTAAAAACATGCTGAGAGAAGCTGTTTTGCGGCGAGGCCTCTTTGCTTACTTGCACAGTAGCAATTAAGAGCCATACTGGACTCTTTTGGCAATCAGAAACCTAAACTTGACTCTTTACGCACCCTAAAACACTCACACCAAAGTCAGGCTATTTCCACAAAACAGAACAAGAAACATAAAGAGGTCCCTGTGAGCTTGTTTTGATGTGTAAAAATGTAAATCTACTTCAGGCGTACACCACGCTGCTTTACAAGCATCGCACTTAAAGAGACCGGGGTCAGAGCGCTGCCTGTTTAGCTCTGCAAGCAATGCGGGTTGTGTTGCTTAGCATCACTTCAAACAAGTCAGAGTTCATGCAGTAGGCCCGTTTCAGACAGCTCATACGCACAAAAATGAACACACTCTCCATAAGCTGCTGAATGGTTTCCATTAACGTTGGACACATTCGTTCCATAGAAGAAGAAAGCGGCCACAGCCCGTGTTTTTTGGTACCACCACTTTGGAGGAAGCTTCAAGGGCTTCGCTCAAAAACATGCACATGGTCCTCACATACACGCAGAACAGGGCTGGAATAACAACACTAAGGCTCAAGCCACCATGTTCCGGTGGTTTTAAGGGTTGGATCTGCATTCGCTTCTGCTCGCTCTGGAAACAGATGTTATGTGTGAGTCATCTGAATAGCCAATGCCACTTGGGGCTGCCTGCTGACGCCATTTCTACCAAAACAAAATGCCAATAGGATTTTCTTGAACGCGCACACATGCAGATATCTGCACTGAGATTCGAGGGAAATATTCACCACACACTCACTCACTCAAAAAAGATTCATTGGTAATGCAAATCACATACTAGACATGTGCACACCCATCTACACACACACCATGAGATATTTGTCCACCTGGTGGGTTATCAGAGGTAGTGGTTACTTATTCACCTGCAATATGCAAATTCTGTTCTGTTGGATCACACCTTGAATGTTCAACTTCTAAATAAGTGCAGCTCTGCAGCCCCATTGGACCCCTTTATAGACATATAGACGCAAAATATAGTATTTACAGTTGTCTTCATTTGATTTGGCCACATTCGCAAGTGAAAAAAGCACTTTTCAAAGTAGTGAGCTCAAATCTCTTTCTGTCCTTCTTATCTCACACAATGGTTGTCATAAATTCACCAAGCAATAGACGTCTAGTTTTTTTGTACCTAATTTCACCCGTCCAGATCCTGTAGATTTTTAGACAGAATTAAGACGTTGCACTTTAACCCTTTACTCGATAACTATTTGTTTAAAAAAGCAACAGTGAGTTGCATAAATGATCTCCGAGTACTTAACCAAAATGATTATAATAGCCGTTGAGCAATATACAGTGTAGTATAGATATAGCCCAGATTTAGACTTGGTCTAAATTTAGATGTCTAAAAACTTTCATTTTTAGACCTTTGGTAGCCTGATTTTAGATCAGTTGTCTAGGCTACATTTAGGCTATGTTTACACTGCAGGTCAATTCCTATTTTTTAACCATATGTGAAACAAATCTGATTTTTTCATGTAAGTGTGAACAGTGCAATTCCGATTTATTCAAATCCGACGCAGGCCTATTTTGTGTGTGGATATAAATCAGATATGTATCCAATGTGACTGCAGTGTGAACGCTTAGGTCGCGTTCATATGACCTATACGTCATCAATATGCGACAAACATCACCATTGTTCGACAACACAAACAGGCGCGGAAAGCAATTTGTGCTTTGTGCACATGCAGGTCACTTAATGGAAGCATTCCGTTCACATTGGATGCCGCATTCTTTGTTGTAATGTGAACGACCGCACAAAAAGGTCGGATTTCACAAAAAATCCAAATTGTGCATCATAACCTGCAGTGTGAACGTAGACTTAGATGTCTATTAGACCTCTTTAAGACCAAAAAATGCTCCGTGGGAATCCTTATAAATGCATTTATCGGGCTTTGCAAATGTGCTCAGTCAACTTAATGTAAAGTGTTACCAAAACAACTTTGTTAGTTGTTTCTGTGATGGATTATGTGCTTAATCCCCGCTTTGTTGAAGGATTGATAGCGTGCGTGGAGAGATAGTGTAATCTTTACTGCAGATCTGCGCTTGCTTCTGTAGTTATTCGGGCGAAGTTGTCAGGAATGTCCCTTAAATTGGACTTTGGTTTGCAGTACTTGAGCACAATAGACAATAGAGGACATCAAAGTGTTGGGAGGTGAGGCGCGGGGTCGGGAGGAGTGTGTGTTTGTCTGCGAAATGACTTTGTTTTATGGCCCTCAACACCTGTCAACACTTTGAGACCAGGACCATAAATAATAAAAACGAGGGATTTTCCTTCATCGTGCGCAAAGTGAGACACAAAGTGAGGCCTCCAGAAGCACATTTTAGTACACAACTGCTCTTCATCTTTTATTACACCATGACACCAATTTCAAATATACATAATGAGTACCGTCCTCCTGGGTTCAGTGTATGATACAGGTATTTACTGTTTTTCTCAGAGCTTACTGAAAAAGAAACAAAAAATAGAACCAAATACCCACTTTAGAAAAAAAACGTACAATAATCAGAGACACTGCAACACAGGAAGACAAGATGCAACAGAGAGGGAGTAATTATGATCAGTGTTTTCTTCAACTACACGCTGCCAAAAAACGGATAAACCAAAAATAACTCCAATAACAGTAGTGATAATGTTCATTTCATATAAGACTCTGAATTAAAACAAATATACATACTTATAATACAGAACAAAAACAGTAAAGTGAAGTGCAAATTTCTTTGGAAGTCGGAATAAGGTGTTTTTCCTTCATTAAGACATAAATAAGTTATAAAATAGAAGCTATCAAAACGAAAAAGACAGACTTTGAAGAAATAAAGGCAAGACATTTTTTAGATCTTCAAGTAGGCGATACATCTGAGCCGTACAGGTTCGCTGCACGAGGCGTTCTTCACAGCCATCTTGGTATCATTCGGTATCGTACGGTCGATGTGAACTGACGCACCGGTCGCACATTTCCCTCCAAAATGGCGTTTAAAACATCTTAAAATAATCCAGCAGGCGGTGCTCAGAGATTTCTTTTTTTTTTTTCTTCTAAAGATGAGTGAAGCTCTCCTGATAGGAGAAGTACTGCACTGAAGCTAAAGGTAAATTCTGTGATACTTGCAGAAGTCCAGAAATGTCCAGGAATCGAATCCCTTCTTCTCCACGTTAGGGTGAATCTCAATACTGTTCATTTTTCTCCCACGCTCTCTCTCTGAAATGATAGCGCCAACAACACAGATTCATGAGAGTCCTTGAGAGCGCCTTCGTCATAAATAACGGCTGAAGGAGAGGAACAATTAGCTCTGCTTTCACGCCAGAAATACATTGTTCTTTTACCTCCTAAGAGCATGTGTCACCGCTCAGATGTAGACTTACATTCGCCGCTCTCAACAAACCTCCACCTCTTGAAGTTGAATCAACAATACATCTGTTTTCTTTACTGATAGCTGAACCTGTTGCTTTCCAGTGATGTGAAACGTTCCCATAGGCAGCAGAGCATCGTCAGTATATAGCAGTGTTCGATTGGTCAGTGCGCAATCACTTCTTTCTCTGGAAGACGTTGGCCAGCATGGCGCCAGAGGTGGTCAGCTGACCCATCTTACTCAAGAACTTGGTTTTCGCGTCCTCGCCCACCAAACTGGAGGCGATGGACATGGAGCTGTGTGAAGGGAAACAAGGCGGAAAAGAAGACATAGATCTCAGTGAAGACAGAGACAAAAAGAAAAACGCACGAGAGGGCAGTAAAAAAGTCCAACATGATCATTAACAATCTGTTTAAAAGCTTACAACAGACTTTACTTCCTCGAAGCAAAAGTGGTGTTTGCCAACACAGACCCCCCTTTGATTTTTTACAGTCTAACGGCTCCACAAAGTTCCTCTTTTGAATTCAGACTGGAGCTGATGAACAGTCACTAAACTCAGCCAAGCTGCTGCATTGCTCAACAGAAAAACAAACATCATTTTAAACAGAGAAATGTGTGGAGTCGTGTTGCACTTACTTCAGAAAAACAGTCCCTTTGATTACTGAATTAACAAGAAAAGTATCCGCAATAAGATACCTGTAACTTCAAATTCCCCATGGTATGTTTAGTATGGCACATTAGGCTTGAAGTTGTTCTTTGAAAAACAAGTAGTTTCTCTTAATTTAAGTGTCTTTGGTTACACTCAGTGTGTTTACATGCACAGCTTAATCGGACTAAGCTCATAACTTTTTTTTTGTCCTTGTCCGCGTATACATGCAGCTGAGAAAATCAAATTATTGACGTGAACGTGCCCTTCGCCCCAACACTAGGGGGCGATATGGGTCTTTTCAGCGGCGCTGTTCCAACTGTCAACAGCAACAGCAGGTCCGTGCCAGATGTTAGAAGTGGCCACAACTACTACGAGGCATTTTTGTGCAAGAAGATGGAGCATCAGTACAGCCTTATTTTTGTCGTACATGATGTACACGCTATTTTTTCTGCAGATAAGGTGCACGCTACTCCTCTTCTCTGGTGTTTTTGTTCTGGCGTTATGGGGCGTGGCGCACTCGCACATGCTTTGGCCAATCATACTCCAACTACGCTGGTTACATGGTAGAGGAAATTGAATTCCAATCGCATTATCTGGGTGTTTTAATTGCAGTTCTCAAACTCCGATTATAGTCGGACTAAGGTGTTTACATGCACTTTAGTTGTCCGGTCTTAATCGGAGTAAGGCAATAATTCGGTTTTTTCTTGAGTGTCATGCAAACGTACGGAGTGATGTGTTGTCCATGACTGTCTGTGCATCAAGGCATCAAGTTTCACACAACACTGTGGTTTCCTTACCCCTCATTGTGGTTTTCTTTTACAGGATCAGAATTGCCTGAATGAACCTTTTCTGAGTTTTTAAGCCGCTTTAAAGCCCAAATGGTGAAAATAAGGATCCAAGTTATCAATAATCAAAAGGGTGAAAGGAGGTGAAGACATAATCAGTTCAAAATGAAACTAAAACAAAAGTGTTGTTTTATCTCTGAGGTTTTACTCATCGCTGTCGGGGCAGCACCTATGAAACTAAGCAAATTCATTTAGACTTACTGCATCCACACTCACACGCTTTTCTTTTCAATCAAGCCTGAACACATGCTAACAAGATGGGAGAAACATCTTTTTAAAGACTCCCACAGCAGGGCTGATATCCAAGCCAAAACATCTCCTCTGCTCTTTCTCTTTCTGTGTGAAGATACCCACATAATTAGTGTGGCTCCAACACTCATACATGCTCTCGACTCCCCCACTGAGGATCCCACAATATAGGCTCCTTCCCAATGCTAACTGGGAAGTGACCCCTCTCCTCACAGTAGGGCGAACTCTCTCTCTCTCTTTCAGATCTCTTGCGCTGCATTTTTGAGGCTGTAGCTCGCTCGCTGCCGTCTAATGAAACCCGAATCAGCATTTTTGTGAATCATTTCCAAGAACTGATGCGTGAACGGGACTGTTTTTGTCCTCACCCTTGCGCGTCTGCCATCCCTCTGTTTTCCACCTTGATTTCACACTCTTTGATCATGGAGCACAGGATCACCTACGAGGGAATATTAGAAAAACAGATGGATCAATGTTGCGACACCTACACGAGGATTATAAACAGCATTCTTCCACAACACAACAGTGGCACAAAACAGATGGCGAGGTCTTATTCTGTCACAGCTTTATTAAACACAGATTTTGCATCTATTTTGTGTGTTCCACTTTGGAAAGAATTCTTCCCTCTCTGGTATGCAGGTTTCACAGACAGAGTGGATGTGTAGATAGGAAAAGAGTCAGCTGATGGTTAGTCAGCTTGAGAGAATGCTCACATGAACTGAATCGCGTGAGATGTGAAGACACAAATAGATATGGCAGAGGTGTGCGTATGAGTGTCTCTGAGAAATAGGTGAAGAGTACGACTGTCTGTCTACGTCTGTCGCCGTTATGTGACATCTTTCACAGACAGAAAAAAGGAAGCAGTCTGGCCCGTCAATGGAGCATGATGAGTGTATCAGGATCTGAGTTTTTTGTGAATGAAATGCCCCCTTCTCCTGTCTGCAAAAACAGCAACAATATGGAACGCACACATATGTCTTTACTGACCTCGTGCTCGGGGGAAAGTTGCTCCATGTCGGCGCGGAGACACCTGAGGCCAGGCAGGAAGTGGTTGACCATCACCTCTTCTGAGATGACTGCACAGGAAGTTAAGGGCTGGAATGAAAAGCTTGAAGAGTTGGAAATGCCAGCTGATTCAAAGCACCTGGCCTGCAGCCCCATGAATGGGTGTATTGTTATTCAAACAGTGGGAATCATAATGCTAGCCTTTCACTAATTGAGTTCCCATGTAGATTTCAGAAGGTCAAATGTGGGCGTGTGTTTGAAATGTTTTGATTTGTTGAAGAAAATAACAAGAAGGGCCAGCGCAGGGGCCGAACTGATTTAGTTTCAGTTCATGTTCACGGTAATTCACTAACTTATGGGTTTGATTCTTTACATTTAAAGATCCACTCTGATGAAAATCATGTTTTTCTTAGTTTTTATATGTTCATATGGCATTTTTCTGATGCTACAGGACATATCATGAGAAAACTAAATGCGAAATTTCTAAATATTTCTTCATTCAAATCTCTGTGAATCTCTGGCAGACCCAAACGGCAGGTTCAGAAACAGTGAGATGTCATATGTAACCAACCAAGCTCTGCCCCGAAATACAGGGAACGATTGCAGAACAAGTGTGTGCTTTAGCGGATTGCAATGCTCGTAAGAAAGCTAATTATGATAATAGCTCTCCATCGTGTCCCTAAAGACATTAGTGTCCGATAGCTGAATAGCTCCTATGTTACCTGCCACTTCTACTAGTGTAAGGACAGTGTAAGGCTACAAGCTAATGTGAGGAGGAGTGTGCAGAACAAGCGCTGTCACCGTCCACGACTCAGAGGTGAATTGCTAATGATCTACTGGAGCTCTGCAGAAGAAAAGCTCTTGAAAATGACACAGGTAATGCGATTTTTGGCAAAAACTTAATAATCACAATTTAAAGACCACTGAGAACACTTTAAGTAGTAAAAAAAAAAACATCTAACTTTAAAAATGCCTTCGGGTCATTGATATGTATAAAATATCACAACACTAATTCTACTGAGAAGAGGAGAGAGAGTGGGGGGGCACACAGACTTTGTTTTCCTTTAATCAATCATTCAGTCTTTATCTCTATGGCACTAATTTACCACAGATGTTATCCCAAGATACTTGACATAAAAAGCAGATCTAGACTGTACTCTATTAAGAAAGACCCGATGTAAAGATGAGATAAGATGGAGTCTCATCCTGTAAGATCAGACCCACTCCCATCCCATCTTCAGGAGAAACTTCCTTTAACAGACAGAACCAGTTTGACAACCCTCTTGATGGCTTACCTAAATATGAAGATCTAATGTCTTCTGTACATACACGATTTTTTCCCCCTACATTTAAATTCATTAGTTAGTTGGGGGTTCACACTGGGACATTCAAACAAAATAAAAATAAAAGATCTATTGTGTTCTTTTAGGTACATTTAGGTTCATTTCAGCCTCTCTGTGTGCTGTCCAGCTGTAAGGATCTTGCGTAGAGAGCTTTAGATGACCACTTTAGCTGAAAAGTACACACTGAAAATAGGTGTTCAGCAAAAAACAATATGTTTTAGCAAGAGTAAGGGTGAATCAGAGGAAACCGGATGAAAAAACCTGTTGTGCCCCGGTCACAGAAGCCGTTTAGTTCCATGGAGAGAAGTTCAAGTTCCACATACTGTTGGCCAAAAAAGCAAAGTTTACTTCAGGGTTATCAATATATCTAAAATGAATCGATAAGCATTAGTTTTATATTATATTTCTCTTATTTGTCCAACAAGCTTAAGTTATTTTATGACACCAGTCAAGGCTAATCCTAACGACCATTTTCAGCCCAACAGTAGTTTGTCTCGTACTGCATGTGTTCTGCCACCTGTCAGAGCCTGTGGAGCTATAAGGGACTCAGAGTGACCAAATTTGTATTTTTAGAAACAGGAATGTACAATTTCAGAGTTTGTCACACTGATTAAAAGAGAAAGAAGTGCAGTGGGAGGTAGAGCCTCTGAGGTTAGGGCTATACCTCCTGGACACCACTGCACTGTGAAATCACAGCCTGTCAAAGATCCACAGGAATGAACCTCAAGCCAGCTGTCCTCCATGGGTGTGTGAGAGTGTGTACGCTGAACCATGTCAGGGTGGGGATGTTGGAGGGGAGACAGAGTGGTGTGATGAAAAAAACAACGTGTGAAAGGAGAAGTTTAAGGTAGTGAAAGAATCACAGAGGAGGAGGGATAACAGAGGCAGACGAGAGGTAAAATAAACCCGGGTCCTGTCCTGGGAACTGTTACTTCGGATTGGATTTGATGTTGGGTCGTTCGCTCCTCTCACGCTCCTTCTCCCTCTCTCATCCTTTCCTTTGCTTAACCAACCCTGTAATTACCTCTACCCCAAAAATGGAGGCAGCTTATTTTCCCTTTCTCCTCCTGCCAAATGACAAGCGAGCTCTGCCAACACACACACCGAACCACACACTCAGGCACAGATTCGTCCCATACTGTTTTACGGGAGTACATCTAACCCGTGCAGCTAGGATTCAACCGGTTATTCTAACAGTCTTCCCACTGACTCACTGTATCAACAGCTACCCCCGAATGTTAGCCAAGCCTGACACAGACTTCTAGTAAATCCTTTGGAAGTACATACAGCACAGTAGTTGACAAAGTATGAAGAGAGGCCAGTGGGAAAAACGTGACTGCACAAGTCTACAGGATTATATAACTCATTCACTTACAAGCGTAGCAAGTATGGCTATTAAATTTATTCAACATAAAGTGGCCAAGTCTACAGCACAGCTTGAACATGGAGTATTAAGAAGCACGACTCGAAGGATACAGCAGCAGGAGAGGGCGCTGTAGGCCTCAAAGAGCTGAGTGGCGATGTCGATTCTCTTGCTCTCCACTGCTTGGCTGTTGTTAGCTAGTGCGAGCTTGTGAAGATGAGGCAGCACAACTGGAGAGAACAATTGAAACATGTCGACAGCATTAAAAAATACAAGAGATTTTAAATGTAGGGTGTTGTTTATCGATAGAGCTCTTGGCATACACTCATCTCTGAAGCGCGGTTCTGCGTTGGGTCCGACCCTCCCAAACGTTCTGATGATCTCCATGTGCAAAGAGTGCTGATCCTGGTACTGAGGGTCTTCCAGGAAAGACGCCAGCTGCATTTTTACACGCTCCAACAACTATTAAAAAAACCACACAAAGAAGTATTAGCATAACTCATGTCATGGTTATTACTGAATATACTGTTTGAATATTGTGCTCTCTACCTCTTTCTGAGTGACCGTCTCCATGATGGTGCCAAAGGCAGGAATAGTTGATATCCTTACTGAGCTAAACGCAGCAGGAGAGCAAGAAAATGGTTTTACAAGTCATAGCCACTCTATAACTCATTTGGGTCTTCTCCATTTTATTCTTGAGAGTATCTCTAACCAAAGGTGGTGATGAGTCAAGAGTTTATCTACAAAAATTCAAACAGGATTTCCTGAAACAATTTGAATCATCAGCTTGTCGCGGTTTAACCACAAAAACTGTGATCCAAGGTTATGTCATTAATCAGAGGAACTAAAACCATATCCTGGGGCTGATTTCAGATTATTTTAAACACAGCAACTCATTCTTACATTTAATTAAAGCATTTTAACTGTCTTTGTTAATCATACATCTGGTGCTAAATTAGCATTCATACAAACCTTGTAAGACTACGACTTGAGTGAGCACATCCTCGGTTTCACCAAAAGTGAGTAATAACACAATAATAACATTACATGCTACGATAAGGAGCTACAGGTTTAAACCAAGTTATATCAAAGTTAAACCTGATCTTAAATCTAAATGCTAATCACTACACTAAAAAAAGTAGGTAACACTTTACTTGACGCCTATCTCTATAGCACATTATAAATATATGAATAATGCGTTATAATCACAATATAGAACTGTATAAATGTAGTTATAAACACTCAAAAATGATCGTAATGCTTAATAGCAATAATCGTAACACATTATAAAGTATTTTATCATGACTTACTAGGTCAGGTATTATAATGTGTTATAACTGTTAACAACTCACTGACAATGCCCACATAGATAATGCAATACAACTGTTGTTAACAGTTATAACACATTATAATATCTGACCTTATAAGTCATGATAAAATCCTTTATAATGTGTTACGATTATTGCTATTAAGCATTATGATCATTTTTGAGTGTTTATAACTATATTTATACAGTTCTATATTGTGATTATAAGGCATTATTCATATATTTATAACGTGTTATAGAGACAGGCGTCAAATAAAGTGTTATCAAAAAGTACATTTTGACTAAGACTTTCACTAAGCAAGTAAAATGAAAAGTTAACGGACAGCAACAAACTTGAAAGGTAAATGCTAACTATCAGAGATGTAAAAGGGTCACAATGACTTTGTATTATTTAGTTTTCATATCTGTAAAAATACGTACATATTAAGACAAAAGTCTTTGATATAATCAATGATTATGATGGAGTGGGATGAGCAGGATCAATGGGATGCGGTTAGGATGGAGTTAGATAATCATTCCATTGTCAGTAAAAGCAGCAAAGAGTTACACTTTAAGAAATCATAGAAATTTGTGGATTTAAAACAAATTTCTCATTCTGACCAAGAATCAGGTTTCACTTTTGTGTTTGTTTATCATGCTTCAAATCTTAAAAATGGGAGCTACAAGTCGAGGACCCTTAAAAATGACATTTGAATATGGAGTATAATGAAATGAAGGGGGCTGCATCCCAACAGTTTGGCCTCTATCTTCCATTTTGATCAAATTTAACATCTTGGCCTCAAAAATAAGACAACCAAAAAGATTTATTTTCATTATGGGACATCTGAATGTTGGCTAAAGGGAATGGTCTTTAAAAATAATGAAACAGAGAAGACAAACTGGAGGACAGACGGTTTCATCAGTTCAGCCAATCTCTCTGGCTCCTGAACAGAAGTTTTCTCACAGCAGCTCATGCAGACTGAAGTAATGGGTTTCTAGGCTGTCATAGCTTTTCACTGTAAGGATGCAGCCCTTAAAAAATGACAGTGTTCACAGAGAGGTTGTTTTTTCTTGTGTTGATTGACTCACAATTCAGGCCCACTGCACAGAGTTATAAGGGCCGGAGCCGCCCGGCGATCTACTAATGCTTCACTCATGCCTCGGAGAACCAACTGCAAACCCACCGCACAGCGGGATGAGAGAGAGGGAGAGGCGGGGAGGGGAGGAGAGGAGACAGGAAGTGGAAAGGGATGATATATAATAGAGAGAGAGAGAGATAGAGTGACAGGATAAAACTATAAAGTTGGGGTGAGGACGACCGACTGGTAACTGGTCGGTCAGGAGGAGGGGGCCCTGCTTGAACGGAGTGGGGTGGGGGAGGAAGAGGAGGAGGAGGAGGGGGTGGGTCACAGATGAGCATGCTGGGATTGGTCACGCACACTTCTGGACTGGCTAATTTTGCAGACGGATGAGATGACAGGAGCTGGCGTGGGTTAGTGTTGCAGTTTGATGATGGCGACATGCAGGGTGTTAGTGTGAACCATGGTTATGCTGATGAATCACCACGTGGTCAAACCTGAACCTACGCAGGAGCAAGTCCACACAAACACTAAAAAACTAGACCGCCAAAAATCTAAAATCTTGTGATAAAAATGTAAAATCAAATTAAATCATAAGTGAAGATATGTGTTTGTGCTGGATTTGCTCCTGGCAGGTTCAGACTCATTCCACGTGATGGTTCTCAGGCAGCGAAGAGAAGGGGGGAGAGAGACGCGGCGTGGTTTATTATTATTATTGTTGTTGTTTGTTGTTGTTCCACTTACATTTCAGGGTCGGAGGACAGTGTGATGAGAGCCGGCACCACTCTCTGAGCTACCAGCGTCTCATTCACCCCCTTCACCAGCAGCTGATCGGATTGGAAAGAGCCAGCCGTGATGTCACATAGGTGGGCGGGGGGGCATTGGGACAAGACCGAGCAACACCGCCAATAGATAGAGAGAAAGAAAAGGAAAAAGAAAGAAGCGAAAAAAAAAATAGAGGGGAGGGAAAAAGAAAAAAAAAATACACAAAAAGATAGGAAGAAAGTGATATACAATGACAAAACCATAGCTGCAAGGCACGGACGGTACTGCATGTATCAAGCAAGCGTGCTCACACACACACAATCACACACAATCACACATACAGAGACAGACACACTCACATGCACACGCAGGTATGCAGAAGACATGGTAAAACCAACGTAGCTTAACTGCACAGATACTAAAGCTGGCGGCTCTTACCACAGATTCCAGATCAGATTTGATTTCCATCCGTTTCTGTTTGATACGATTGATTAAACTGATCTGGAATCTGTGGTAGAGGGCCTCGTTTCAACCCACAGTTTCGACAATGGTGGACAGCTAATCACTATGGATGGTGACAGTGTGGCGTGTCGGGTAAGGGTAAGTACTCCACAGAACAAGAGGGGGACACAAATGCAGCCTGCCACTCCTCCTCCCCCGAGTTTAGATCGACATAAAACCCATTTCTGCTGTTAGACTTAAAACCCAATCCCAACGTAGGACCTTTAAGTGTGCACAGATCTTAAGGAACACAAGGATGTGATTTGTCATGGATGTTTGTCTTGGTTTCGGACAAGACTTGGCTAGCTGCGAGTTTAATCAGTGAATCGCAAGCACGAGAAGGGAACTCATCTCCCTTTAAAACATAATAAAGGTATTATATTTCCACATGACTTGAACATTTTTGAAGTAAAGAAATGATCATGAGAAAACATTTCTGATTAAATTATACGTTCCAGCGACACTGAGGAGAAACAGGCCTTGAACTCGTCTCACCACACTTTCAGGTTGCTGACTTCAGCCTTTTCCTGAGGTGCAGCAGATATTTTTGTATTCGGCTCTGAGACGGGTGCACAATGAAAGGTCTGGTGTTAACCCTACGACGGTTCCCGTCACACAGTTGAAACCGTGGCTCTGGGGAGCTACAGTACACATTTCATAATTGGCCACGATTTCAGAACTGGCCCACAATTTTAAATGCAGGTTCAACAGCAGCAGCAGCAAGCAGCACTAGCACATGAACAGCAAATAGTTGCACATGAAAATAGTCTGTGTATTATAATAGTTACAAATAATCAAAATACAAATGAATCTATGACTAGTTTATTACCTGTCATTCTTTCTGTACACTTGACACATCTAAGGAGGTTTTATGTGATCTATATCTCACTATCATGTCTGTATGTGTGCTACCTCAAACATCCGTGCTGCAGTACATCGGACCAGTGCAGAAGTGTGAACCACCCCATACCACAGGACCGTCAGCAGCAGCTCGTGGTACACTGGGTTAGCGCTGAGAAGAGAGTATAACAAAACATTAAGACAACAGCACTGCGTAACAATAACCCTTATTGTTTTTGTATTATCTCCAAACTGCACACGCAGGTTTAGTGATAGATAACAATTTATTACTGGTTAAGCATTAAGTCAGTAAAGTAACTGCTGATAACAGGAGCGTCTAGGTGAGGCATATGTAGGCCAGCATCTGCCTTTCTGCAAGTTGATTCATTCTCCAGCTTTTTCAGCCGTTAATATGAAATCAGCAGGTGTTTAAAGCTCCTGTGAGCAACTTTAGGTTGTTGAACCCTGTGGACAAAGCAGTCTTTCTTTATCTTTTTTGAGTAGAGATTTTGAGCTGAAGATATCATCCCGCTGAAATGTCATTTATTGTGGAAATTTTACGTGGAACGAAAAAGACGTCTGCTTGACTGACACCTACCCTCCCCTTACACACTGCTTTAAGGCATTAAAAATGACAATATACAAATTAGGGATAATGTTTGCTTTTGGATGTCATGAAAAAACATCAATAGGTATTTGAGTCCACTCCAAAAATGTGAAAAAAAAAACAAAAAAAAAAAAAAAACACAGGAGCTTTAAACTGAAATTTGTGTCATCCGTCATAAATCAACTCAAAATAAAATAGCAAGGACCGCCCACCTCTGTCATATGCAGTATGTAGATAGAACTTAGCATAATGCACAGCGTATAAAATTATGGGTCTTATTAAATATGTTTCTCCTGGAATGTTTATTTGTATATGTCTCACCCCAGCTCTACGAAGGAGGCCTTCAGGCTGTCCAGAGGTGCATGGGACAATGACAGAGTTGTCATGACATCCTCCAAGAAACCCACCAACAACTTACGATCCTCCTCCTGTAAAGAAATCACATAATGTTTTAGTCAATTTTAGAAACAGAGGGGTAAATATGCTAATATTGAAATCAGAGAGGTTAAATATGTTTGTAAATTTGTACAGATGTTCACATGCTTTGTTGTTGTTGTTGTGGTGAAATGTAAAACACAGAACAACAAGTTTGAATCTCTGTTTCGTAAGAGTGGCATCATTTTATGACCCTAAAATCAAAAACAAAAACATGCAGCAGCTTGAAGAGTGTGAGCGTGGACTTTCCCTTGTGACAGAGAACAATAACCTAAAGTGTAATGTGGTCAACTCTTTACAAAGTAGATAATCCAGGAGAGAATAAAGGCCACAAGCGCTGAGCACATCAGACCTTTCTCCAACTAGACCCTCCCTGAACCACTCTGCCACTGTGTGAACCCTCACTGAGGTCACACTCACGGCTAAATGAAGCACCATTGATAGCAGCAGAGGGGCTGAAGATGGAAACTCTTCTCTTTAACAGAAACAGGAACAGCTGCGAGTTTTGAAACCATGGCTTCATATTACAGCAATGTTAAAGAGCTCCTTAAGTTACAACGTGGAGGAAGAGATGGCATCCTCCTCTTGTCTTTCACAAATTTCATAGTTTTCACGGTCTTGGCAAGAGACAGACTGATTAATCGGTAGGCTGAGTCGACCAGCTGGTTATTTGGATCAATTTTTAAATGGTCTGCATCACATTAGCATTGGAGCTCACAAGGCCCATGTCTTAATAATCTTCTCTGAATGACAACGTTTGTTTTTCCAAACTAAATGATGTCATCTTAGGTCTAAAACTGTCACAAATGTTTGATACAAATTCTTTAAATACAAACTGATGAGCATGATCATTTAACCGTAAATCGACAGAACTTAATCATGAGGAGCATTTTCAATGTACAGGTACAATGAACACGTGGTTGTGGGGATATTATAACCTCTACCGTATTTTTCGCACAATAAGGCACACCTGATTGTAAGGCTCACCAAGAATGAACGTGTCTATTCGCGTCTATTTTCATACATAAGGCGCACCAGATTATAAAGGGCACCAGATTATAAAGCACATTAAGCCAAACAAAACAGTCAGATAAGTAAAACTTTATTAACTCATTCAGTGACTCCGCGAGGCCGCGGTAGCTGCAGTGCTCCGACGAGCCAAAAGGATTTTAAGTGCGCCTTATAGTGCGAAAAATATGGTATTTGGAGATTCCACATGACAGTACGTTTTTCTGCATACACAACACCCCAGCTCTCCTCTGCAGTAATCTGACACTCATCAATTTGCACACATGTGCAATTAGAAATTAGATCTCACTGGAGGCTCCAATTTTCAACTTGTTTGATGAACCTGCTTGATCTCATGTCAGATGTAGTCAATCAGTGTTTAGATTTCCAACACATTTGAAGTCCATCATTAAAAATGACTCATCAACCTCCACAAACTCACATTTTTCTCCTCTTACAGATGAACCTGACTCCTACTTTTTTACAAATCTGCTTCATGACAATGTTGTTTAGGCAGACTTAAGCAAATATAGCCTGAAGTGAAGCTTTTTAAACACAGTATACAATGATGAACTAAGACCTACATGGAAAAAATGGTGCTTCTCCTGCAAAGACGAAGTCTAAACTGCAAGCATGTATGCAAGCAAGAAAGCCAAGACAAGGTGAGGGGAGTATTAAAAAAAACACAGATAAACTAATTATAATGAAATAACAACCTAGACCAAACCACAGGTCAAGACTCTGGTTTTTAGGCGAACTAGTATGTGGTCGTGGTCTGTGAATTTGTTACCTGGTTATAACAGGTCAGCACTCCAGTGGCATAGATCGGGACTGTGGCTTTTGTGAGGATGTCGTTCCCTGCAGATGCATCTGATAGAGGAATAAAACTGAATCAAAGAGCCGGAAAGTTCAACATCTCATAAAAAGTTTATCTCCAAACATCTCTGAAAACACTAGGATGTTCATGTGTCTGTCTGCAAAAATAAACCCAGAGAGAGATGACATTTTCTAGACTAAACAGAACAAATGTCACTCTGATACATAAAGATGGAAATAACTATCATTTTTGTATGATTTGTAGAGATAATTAGTCAGGCAAACTTCAAGTATACAAACATGCAATTGACAACACATAACTGGGATGAGGTCTCTTATTGTGTAAGGCATGTAGTTCTTAACAAAAGTGTGCAGACTCAGAGCTTATATTATATTGTTGTGGTTCAGCAAAAATCTGCCAAAGAGGACACACACAATGCTGCACACAAAGACCTAAACTCAGACTTGGACTTGATACAAAACATATTTCACAAATGGCCACAATACCAAAGCGAGATCACTTGGCAGCCAGCTGAGACCCAGCAGCTCTTATAACTACAGAAACATGTCCGGGATCAAGGGGAAAGAGGGGAACACCCATCGCTGGCTCGAAATAGCTTGTTTACATCAACAGTGTTTGTGTCTGAACTCCATCATTCTGACATTCCGGCTTCAAGATATGAGAAATCCTGGAGGAGATATGTGTTCTGTGGACTCACCGACGTTCTCCTCGGAAAGTCGGAGGATCTCCTGGAACTGTGGTTTAACCTGAAAAGATGATCAGGATAAACAACGCTTAGTTTGTAGAAATAATCATCATTTGCAGGAAAGTAGTATTTAAAATAAAATGCTCAGTCAGTCTAAACTGATTTATGATGAAACCGCTGAAAGGTCACAGAAAGGCAGAGTGGTTTCAACCGCTGCTCTGTGACTCACGATGAACCACTGCTGGTTTAACAGCCTTTTGTCTGCTCTTGGATGCTACCGCTCAGAAAATAAAGTCACTACATCCGAGTGGAGGATCGTCATCAAACGGGTCACATGGTTTACCTTAGTGTTGGTGAATATCTTCCCAAATGTGCGACAGAACCTCCAGAAGAAGCGAGAGAACTCGTGTACGCAGGTCGATGACGTTACGTTGATCCGGCCGACGATCTCTATTAGCTGAGGGAGGCTGGAGACCGAACACAAACATAGAAAATCTTTGTGCTTTCTTGAGAACCACGCACAAGCTTTTTGAAAGTGTGTGCAAAGGCGAATCTTACAGTTGGTTGACCACCCAGAGCAAGCTGTCCCATCCTGTGGTGCCCTCATGCTCCAGCTGGTGGTCGTAGAGAAGCAGCAGCGCGCTCAGCATCTCTCTGCTGCCGATGATGGTCGCCACGTCCTGCAGGGGAGAAGCTGGCCTGGGGAACCGGGTCACTGTGGAATCAATAATAGGAAAACGCATGAAGAGCACTGCTTCAAGAATTAATAATTGACTTGTCCAAATAGCTTTGGTTTCAAGAGCTTCTTTACCCTCTATTGCAGGGATGTCCCCGTGGAGTTTGGCTCTGCTGGTGAAAGGAGCGTTCTGCAGCACTACAGCAAACAGAGGAGGGATGAGTGACTGCAGGGCTGACAGGAACACGTGCAGCTTGTGTTCATCCAGACCATGTTCTCCTTGCTACAAAGAGGGAGAATGAGAAAAGAGTGAAAAATGAAGACATTTTAAAAACATGCTTACACATTTTCTCCAATCTAAATCAAGGTTCAGGACAAGCGAAAAGTGACATGCACTTACCATAAGTAGTTTCTCTATACGTGCCAAAAGGGAGGGGATGAGTGCGCTCTGCAGGGTGCCTAACTCTGTAGTCCAGGCAGCGAAGGCAGGAATGAAGACCTGGTGGACCGCACTGACCACCCGCTCTGATGGGTCCCCAAGTGAAAGCAGCATCAGCTCGAAACCCTGTAGAGGACATGGAGCAGAACCAACACAGACAGCAGATGATTAACTCCCCTGTCTTATTTGACACAGAAACTGATTGAAAAACTGATACAGGTTTTGTTATCGACGGTTATTCCAGCACACGTACCTGTGAGTATTTGTCGGGGTCATCTATATAGCCCATGATAATCCCCAAACTCTTGACCACAGCCTCTCTAACCATGTCGGCTTTATCCTCGGTAAGCATTTGCTGCAACATGGACAACACCAAGGAGCTCCGGATCTCCTTCTGCAAAGACAAACCCTATTAAAATGCATCTCACTCATCTCTATTCATGTAACTTCCAACTATTTTAATATTGTGTGCACAACATCCTCTCACAGGCAGGTATGGTGCTAAGGCTCCACAAGATTCTGCCACCAACAATCTTCTCTCTGGATATTTGTGGTTAATCTGCAGGAGAAGAAAACACGAATCGGTGGGAAAAAGCGTTGAAACAAATACAAGATCAGAATTCGAAGAAAGGACTGGAGGAGACTGGAGGGCAGCCACCACAGAATGGAAACATTTCATGTATCATCAACACGCTGACCCTGTGGAAACCACAACTGGCCTCTGTTGGCAGATTCTCAGCCTCCAAACTGCTGGCAGCTGTTGTTGCCATAAATGCATTACATAAAGTGACACATTTAAGTCAGGGACACCGTGGAGGTGTTTGTGAATTGAATCAAGAATCTGCAGTTATGTAACGTTGAAATGTTCCTTTTTGACAATAAAATCTTTTTATGTTCTTGAATTGTGAGATTTTTCTGCGGGGGTAGGTATCAAATGCGGAGATTAACAGCCCGTTGCTGAGATTGTCTATTTTATTTATGAGTTTATGCTCCAAAGACTTATTGTGAGTTGCCAGACTTCTAAAATAAAGCAGGAGAGAAAAGACAAGTATGAGTTCTCTTGTTAAAAAAGGTGCTTATAAAGGTAGAGAGCAAACTTAACACGCATTGATTTCTTACAAATTCACATTAGCTAAAAGTTCCTCACAGTAGCTTTTAACAGAAATAATAAAATCCCTCACAGTTAGTGTTATATTTGGTTTTTTTTTGACAAAAATGATCAGACACTAAAAACAGATAAAAAAGTAAGGTCAGACATTAGAGATGTACAGACTAGGGCTGGGCGAAGGCCATTTGACGGTATTTTAACAGGGGCTTATCAGCTGTGTGATCGCCGACGATAACTTACTTGCGCCACACATCCTGTAACATATGAGTCTGATGTAGGGCTGGGCGATAAACCAAAAATTTACAGATACCAATATTTAGGACAATAACTGACGTCATTTTACTCATGTCAATATATTCGGTGTCAAAATAAATCAATCAATAAAAGTTGGTTTTGGATGTGGGTAGGTAGGCTATGGTCTCATGTCCCTTTAAGACGCTGTCCTATGTGGGAGACGTGACTCCACCTCCAGTCCGTAACAAAGAGGGAAAGACAGGTGAGGAGATGAGGACGGTTCAAAAGTTGGAGCAGTTGGAGCGGCGGCTGAAGTGGACGCAGTTAATGTGGGAGGGGGTGAGCAGCTTGTGGAGTAGTTATCGTATATTCATCGCTATCGAAGTGAACTGCTCAAAATATAATGATACTGATTTGAGGCCATATCGCCCAGACCTAATACAGATACTCTTCATCTTGGACAGGTGGAGGCTAATTCCACTTTCTTTGACAACAGAAAATGAGTGGTGGTAGACTCAAGAACAAAAGGCCACCGGCAGAGTAAGAACTGTACCTGTTCCCAGCACTGAGGAAGTAGTTCAGCTTCGACTCGTGTCGGACCCACGTGTCTTGCGAATGCAACACAGCCCGTCAAGATCATTTGTCTTTGAAAACAAACACACAAAAAAGCATTAGAACACAGCAGCCGGATAAAACACGTCCTAATTTTGACTGGATGGTCTCTCTCCTTCATAGTGAAGCATCTGTGATTTCCAAAAAGACTTTCTTGTCATTGGACAGAAAAAAAAACACAGCAGTGATTCCTCTCTACAGTAAAATGTCGTTAATTGGCTTCCATATCACAGCATTCATTCCTATGGTGTTTAATTTAAGAATAAGAAAAATAAAAACTATAAAAAATCAAGGGTAAAAACAAAGGATCATAGCAGCATGATAAGTGTTATTGCACTTTCTGGAGGTAGAGTGGTAGTGGAATAAAAACAAATAAATAAAAGTGTATATAAAAAGATGTATATCTTATTAACATGGAATAAATAGTGTAAACAGGAACAAATAGCAGCAGGGTGGGAGTGGGGGGACAGAACATTCAATATCAATTTGTTGGACTTCACGAAAGTCCAGTTCACCTCAGTCCATCTGCAGTGATCTTGGGCTCAGAAAAGTTTCCAGTATTTCTGGATCATGTTTTAATATGGTTTCATTTTTGCACAATTTTATCCTGAATTTGTGAATACAGGACAAAATTGTGTTCAAAGGCTATTGTTTTGTGATGTGATTTTAAGCCAATGCAGTGATTTCCACTGTGGAGTCATGCCTCAAGATTGTCAGAATCTTTCATGAGGTTATGGGCTGTAGTTGATCAGGGTTTCTACACAGTTGAAATTTCCATACTTGTCCATACCCTTCTTATTAGAATTATTTTTGAAAATACCTACTTTTCTATTTTTAGAAAACAGTATTTTAGAACTGTAGTAATAGTCTGGAAACATAGATATTTTTCCATACTTTATTCCTCATGTACCATACTTTTTAAGACCTGGAAATTGATCAAACTACTTCTTTACTTTTCCATACTTGCATAGGAACCCTGGTTGATGTAATCCTCACCTTTGCTCATCATCTGGTCTCTTGATTAAGTTGAATAATATATGAAGAAGCTGATCTCTCTCTTTTGGCTCTGGGTGAAGGCAGGCGGTGCACAAGATGAGAGGGATCAACTCCTAAAGAAGAACCGACGAGAAAGAAACAAAAAGAAGTGGCGACAGTTTTGGTTACTTTGCTGGAAAAAAAAAAAACGACGAGGTTTAAACACTCAGAGCAGGTGGTTGGTAGGAGTCAAGCAGGAGGCCTGAAAGTCTGAACAGGAAGGGTAATAATGAAGGAAGGAGAAGGTGTTTTTTGAAGAGAGGAGAGGAAAAGGGAAAGAAAAACAAACTCCTTATAAGCTAATGGAAGTCTGTCAACACTTTAGAGGACATGCTTACCTTTAATATCAGGTTGGTGTTATATCTTGATTCATTTGACTTTGGAGTTTTTAAAAACACATATAAAGCCAAGTACTGGGAAAACGTAGTGCATGCTCACACCCAAACACAGCTGCACATACACAGACACACGTATACCTTCGACATTACAACCCAGCTTTATGCCAGAGTTCACACAGAGTTTAAGGACCTTCCAGCCAGAGGGGAGAGAGCTCGCCTGCCCTGGATACAGGGCCTCCACGGCCAAATTGTGGCGGGCCCTAAATTCCCGCCACACACACCCAAATTAGAGAGTGCATACAGAGTTAAAAATATGTGTCTTTTTTTTCGAACTCTTTTTTTTTTTTTTTTTCCAGGAAGATATCATACTTTCCTGCCAAGTGTTGGAAGAACGAGCAAAACCCCAAATGCTGGACGGACACGCAGACCTGACAGAGACACTCGTGTAAAGATAGGCTGTGATGAGTCACTCGCTCAGCGCTGGCCTGACCCTCTGAAGTCAGTGCCATGTTGGCTATCTTTTAAAGAATGAAAATACGGCGATTTAAGTATCTGAGGGTAATTTCAAGTGGTTACATGGCGAGTTCAAGATGGGTGAAAGCAGTTCAGGCGTCAAAAAAACGGCGAATTATCTGGATTCAGCCATATTAAAATGTCATATTCAATAATCTTCACCCCTTGGCCTCTGAGAAATACCATCTACCATCTACACTGGAGACTTTTTTTGGAGACTTAGCAGCCCTAGCTTGATAAAACAAATAAAGAAGTCTGTAAAAAGCTTACATCTAAAAAGCCAGAACCCACAGTGACCCTGTTTTATTTCTGAGCGAACTCCTGAGCTCCTGATGTGAGGACTCCTTCAGGAGGTTAAACATCTGACCAGCCTTGGATAAACATTGTGGGCAGGTAAACTGGACAGCGTGACGCCTGCAGCGAGAGGCCAGGGGGGGTCTGACGCTCAACTTCAAAGAGCGGGGCCGCCGCAAATTCCTGCATCAAAGTTGATTTACAGACCTTTTATTTACACAAATGAACAACTGTCATCAAACTTTCAGAGAAAGGAAAAAAAACGTGAATATTCACATTCATAGAGGATGTCGCTTATTTAGACCAACTTTCTTTTGCACTGATGCCAAACCCTCACAGCCAGCACTGCGTCTGCTGCTGTCCTTAAATGATTTGTCTTTTTAAAGCTGCAAAAAGTGTCACAATCTTTGTTTCGCCAGGAGTTCGTTACAGATCACAGTTAATCAAACCAGTAGAAAAAAAAGGAAGTTGCAGATATTTGCTCCTTTTGTAATTACAGCACTTTTTGGAAAGCCTGGACACACCTTTCAGAATGTGCTAGATGAATTTAATCAACAATACTAGCTCAGAAGATGACAATTTTAGCCTTTCATTTAACAAAGTTATAAAAAAGTAACAAGAGCTGATCTACAAATACACATCATATTTCACTGCAAATACAGCGATTTGTGTTTTCAGAAACAGATCATGTTTAATGATTTACTGCGTCTGATAGTGCAGCCAGGTGGCAGGCAGAGTTTCTCTGCATCATTCCACCGTTTCAAGTCAAACACTTCTTGTTCTTAAGTGGGTGTCACATTCAAACAACAACAAGGTGTGTTTCAAGGCTTGAGGGGGTTGGAGAGCTTCAAGTTGCAAAAAAATGGAAGTGTGAGCAGCTGCGTGTGCGTGTGTGTATTTGTACGTGCCATGGTTGTTGGAGCTAACGGACACAGTGCAAAGTCCACAACACTCATAAGGACCCCCCCCCCCACCCCCACCTCTTCAAAGAGATAAAGTTCTCCATAACTGCAGTGGTTGATTATAACAACACAACCGTGTCGATATGCAAAGAAGCTTTAGTGTGAACTCCTCAAACCTGACTTACCTCTTTAAACACTCCGATTCGCGCCTTATTGTGTTTAAACACTATATCTGCACACAGGGTTTGTACACACAAGAACACACACACACAGACACAAAGACACTAATTGCATGCAAGCGGTTATCTGTAGACAGAGCACCCTTGCAGGTGTCCGCATTACAGCCTGCAAGGTGGAAAAGCTTGTTAATGTCTAATCTATCAAAAAATCTTGTTGTCTTGATACCGCAGACCAAAAAATTATTTCCCAAAGGTTTCTTGAAGGAAAGATGGTGTACCTGAAATCACTGCAAACATCATACCTACAAACACTTTTGTTTTCATGAGGGCATTAGAACAAAGCATTAGGCGTTTTTTTTAAACTTGCTTAAAAATGTTATCATATCATTCAAATTCACTCCAGAGATCTCTACGATGCAGCAAATTAAAACCAAACAGGGAGCGATGGAGGGACATTCACAGCATGGCGCACCTCAGGCTAAAACTGCGTTTATCAGGCCATCGTTGCATGGATGAATCAGTTCTGTTATATAGTAAAATGACCATAGACTGTATATACTATGGACAACTTGGTTCCGCCTTCCGCCAGTATATGGATTTGAAGCTGGAAAGCTCTAGGTATTTTAGTTTTTATTTCAATTTCCTGAGCTGTACAGAAAAAAGAGGACTTGAGCACAAACTAGTCTTACAGTAACTACATGTCAACATCACAACCTGAGGGGAGGAAAATTTATATTCTGTGTAATTAATTTCTCAAGTTTGTCCATAGCTCCATAGGGATTGCTGGAGGAGGCGGGATTTATGACCTATACTGCAGCCCATCACCAGAGGGTGCTGTTCTCTCGGTGGCTTCACCCAGCGAGGAGGCAGACTCTGTCCATTCTTTATACAGTCTATGAAAATGACGCAGGATAGCATATGTCTGGGTATTAGCTTAAGTCAAACTTTGAAGGTAGATAATCCAAGCAAGTCAGAGCCGACTTGGCAGCAGTTGTAGCCGACAGGAGCCGCTTTATTTAAATTACAAAATAATCCTCTGACAGGTCATGTGACACCATGCAGATGAGTGCGTGAAAGACTCACCTGGCAAAGATGTGCAACCATTCTCTAGAAGAGAGGCATGCATGAGAGTGAGAGAATGAGTGAGACGAAAAGAGAAGAATAAAAAACTAAAAAACCAGTGAAGGCAAAAACGGACAGCAAACTGTGAGTGGGAGACAAACACAGCAGTGGAGTATCGATGGTAACATTGGTGAAAACAGCAGCTATCGTAACAGAAAGTGAGATTCCCAATCAATGGATAGACACAAGCCAGCTGGGTAATCGCAGGAGTGAAGCTCTGAATCAAATTGGTCTTCATTTGGGATAAAGGTGCTCAGTGCCCTAAGGGTTTAAAATGATAGTATGAAGACTGACAGCCTCTCTGAAGAGTGTAACACTACACCGCGCCGTACTTGAATTTCAGGAATGCTTTGTGGCACAAACCGAGGGAAGGCTGGTGGTCGTTCAAAGCAAACAGTGTTGAATATTTCTTGCAATAGCAGATGGGGAAATGGATGAATCAACGGGAGAAAAATTCCATTTCAAAATTGTTTATACCCTTCAAAAGAGCTACAAAGGAGAATTCTGACGGGAGATGCAACACCAACTTCTTTTATGAGGTTTGAGGGGAATGTGGGGCTTTGGCACAGAAAGGTGACTTCATAAATTGGTAAATAAATGTTATTTTGGTATATTATACATGAAAGTTTTTTAAGTAAACATACAAGTGAAAAAAATAAGCCACAAAAAGCACCCGTATCTTTGAAAAAAGATTCAATTTGGACAGGAACTTTCAACCTAAGGGGAATAAAAGTCTTGAAATTTCCACCCTGCTTTGCCCTGCTGCTGTGAGTGTATCTATTGGATACTCAGAAGAAGCCTGTGATGATGACAAATGAATGGGGAACAGGGAAGAGGAGGAGATAAGCGAGAGGAGCAGCAGGAGCGGGGTTACCTCTCTTTTTGCCAGAAGGACATTGGGGACTATGTGAGGCAGACAGCGGCCGAGCATCAGCATCACACTCTCCTCGCTGTCTGCTATACGAGACACCTGGAAACAGAAAGCACGATAATGTGTAAGTAGCTGTAAATTAGGCGATTGTAACTTCATGTGACAAAGAAAGGGAGCGCTGACCTCAGCTCCCAGGCGGCTGTCGGAGCACATTCTGCAGAAGGACAGCAAGGCTTGCTGGAAGGCCGGGGATAGCTTCCTGAGACACCACAAACAACCAGAAACCAAAGGCAGTCACTGTCGTCTGTATCACTAAATCTGTATCCACAAGAAGACCAGATTGGCCTGACCACTGGATGACTGAGGATTGGACTGGGCCACCATGTCAGACAGTTTTAAGCTGCTTCTTTCCCATGTCACCCCTGGGTGTTGTGGTGGAATGAACTAAAGGGAACTATATATGTATATATAGGAGACACAGAGTCCCATTGACTGGGTTCGTTGGTTATTACTACCCGTAACATTTTATTACAGGGACAGAGGGAATTATTTTTATATATATGACAGAAAGTAAAATGATTTATTACCACATGACTGTTATGTGCTTTAAGGACAGTAACTACACAACAGGCCAGCCAATTGTCGAGACTGCTTGTCTATTGCCAAGGTATTCTACCGCCATCTAGTGGTCACATCTATTAATAACACAGAAATGGGCTTTGGTGCTGTAACAAATGGTAAGGGGATTTTTGATCCAATTTAATCACAAAAGAAAACTCATAACCCAGAAAATAAACCATGCAATGCATCATGGGTAAGTTTAATCTTGACCCATCTAAATATAACAAGTTCAGCTCACCTGTTGGGTTTATCAAACTGCACAGGAGGTCGACTTCTTAGCTTGTTGTGGGACTGTGGGTGGGGTTGTGACGCGTTCTGATTTGAGGTGGGGGTTGGGGCAGCGTCAGCTTCTGAAACCCCTCGGATGTCCAGATACTGGCCGTTATCTGTAGGAGGCTGAGGGTAACAACAGATTATGTTAAGATGGTCAAATATAAGATACACCAAGAATTTTGCAGTGCTCAACATGTAACATTTTTGCAGCTTTAAAAACACAGTGTTCACAATGACAACATACCACTGAGTGATGGTCAGCGCAGGGAGCTGATGTCGAGGAGGAAGAGGTGGCGTTTAAGGTATTCTGGGAACCCAGGTCCAGAGTGGACGGAGGGGACGAGACAGTCCTCTTCAGTGTCTGTATCTCACTGTGAGTCAGAAGAAAGCAGACAGGAAAAGACGCTCTCAGAATAGTCTTTATTAAGTGATTCAATAAAAACAAAGTGTTTAATTGGAAGTGAGACAGTTCAATAAAATGGCTCAGTGGAAAAGCTCATTTCTTTTTATTTTCTTGATGGTTGCACAATCATACCAGAGCAGAGAAGTAATTTCGTGCACTAGGAAACCATCTTACTGGACAAACTTGAAGTAAAATCTGAGCTTAAGTGCAGAAAACATTTTACTATTTAAGGGATGATCCTCATTTTTCCCAGTAATATTCTTGTTGTAATCTTAGATAACTGCAACAAACGAGAAACCTTGCAATCATCACAGCATACTTACAGCAGTCATATGATTTACAGGATACAATATGCTACTATAAGCCGAGCCGTGTCTCAGTCAGTCTTCCTGACTGATTCACTTGCATAATGGCTCTGTTATGCTCTCAGGCACATACCTCTGCAGTTTCTTTATTTGCTCAGCGAGGCTCTGCTTCTCATTGTTGAGGAGGCTGATCTGATACTCCAACTCTTCCACGACTTCTGTCTGCTGCTACAGAGAGACACAACGATTACAGAGGTAGTTTCATTTTAACAACTAAGTACAACTCTAATTGCAAAGAGGTTTTGTGTTGATAAAAAGAGAACTTAAACCATCAGGTATACACTCTAGTTAAATAAAACTAGTGTAAAGACAGCATATTAAATGTTGAAATTAGAAACAATATATGCTCATAAAAAGGTGTGTCACTGTGTTGCATCCATGTACAATAACATCAATATAAAAACCTGTTGAGATAGGTCAGGCTTCTTTGGGGGATCCTGGGGGATGCAGTTTCCTGGGAGATCCCCAAAATCCACTCCTACTGACACATCAACTGTGTCCCGAGGAGAAGGGAGGGGGGTACCACAGTTTCTGTAGAGCTGTAGCAGGTCAGGAGGTTTCGGGATGTTGAGGCCGACATCATCCCATAATTCAAAGTCCTGGAAACGAAGAAAAGCAGATCAACTTGCTCTGATTTTAAAAATAAGGAAGGTTTTTAGTCTACACAGAGAAAGCAGGATGCTGCACAGATAGGATAGATGATCCACGCTGTTAAATTTATTTATGGTCACATGACCCCACGACTGGAGCAGCGTGCTCATGCATACAAGTCGGATACCTCAAAGTGAGACTTCACATTGAGAAGCAAGAAGTACTCAAGACATGCAGCAAAACATGTGTCACACTTTCTCTAAGAGAAACACAGCTGGAAGAAGTTTTTACCTGATCATCATTTTCATCCGAGAAAGTGATGGATGAGAGTTTGTACTCATTCTTTAATAAATATTCATTCACTAAGAAGTTTAAGGCTCTTTTCTCCAGTGGGCGTATAGGCTCCTGAGGCAGAGAGGGAAAAAAAGAGGCTGTGAGATGATTCATTTAAGGCTGAGCCATTATACCATCACAGGGGCTTAAAGGAGCACATTTGATCCTGCAATTCATTTGAAAATGAGGGGGAAAAAAATCCCTTTTCGGTTTTAACACTTAAAGATTCCCACCTGAATTTCAGGGCTCGACTTGAAGTTTTTTCTCTCCTGAGAGGGCACTTCGCTCTCTGAGAATATGAGAAGACATCAGATAAGTTTGAATCAGATGAGCCGAGCGTTACTCAACCGAGAGAATATTCTCTCTGAGCAAACAGAGAAACAAGACAGCTGTAACAAAAGAGGGTTCAGGTGGAGAAGAAAGTCAAAAAGTACGCCACACCTGCTGCCTGAGTCAAGTTGGCGCGCAGAGCCTGAATGGTCTCCTTTGCTTTCCGTAGCTCAAACTCCAGCACTGGACAGGAAATGACATCACACACACGCACACACAGGAAGGGCATCCAACCAAAGACAGGGGAACAAACAAAACAAAGATGGGCGTGAAAACAAAACAAAACAAAAAAAAGTCACACGAAAGATCGTAAGAGTAAAAAACAAAACAACGAAAAGGAATCATGCAAATCATGGATCTAAGGAACGCATGCAGCAGAGGATCATGGTAAAGCCGGCTGTGTGGAGGTCTGACAGTGTTTGCCTCTGTTTAGGAGCACTGACGTGACTCCAGTTAAACAGGGAGTCCAAGGTTACTTAAACAGTAGCTCAGGAGAGAAAGTCTCTGAAGCTACTGAAACATAGCTTAATCTAGGAGCTGTCTGACAAAGGATTTTTAAGGCAAATACCTCACTAACAGGTAGTTAAAGATCTGGTTTCAAGCCACTCAGATGAAAGCTGCTGATCTACTCTGACATCTCTACACTCATACTTTTGCGGATACAATCTAAGCTACGTAACTGAGGATTAAAATGTCAATCCGAACATATTGATGTTTCAGATTTTTTCCTCTTTTTTAGTTAATAAAACAGGACTAGAGTAAAACAGATACTTGCTTAAAATAGCTGGTTTGTGGGTTCAAATTTAAGGGCTTCACTAACACTGAATAAAGAAAAGAACACACAAGAGTCTTAAACACGTTAGATATAAAACACACGCAAAAAGTAAGAAGCGATGGAGCAGGAGAACTATGTTGCATGGCTGTGCACTGAGAATCTGCCGTCTAATCTAACCCCCGCAGATGTTTGATAATAGTTAAGATTGTTGCTCAACTGGTATTGTGGAAGGTTTTCTCACTTCTACTGTAAGGCTTTAACCTAACATCATGAGAAGTCTGAGGTCAAAATCTCAGTTTCAATCATAATGTCAGCCTACATCCCACAAATTTCCTGTGCTTGTTGGAAAATGTCCATTTCCAGAGCTGCGGAATATTAAATTTCTCCAAAAATGTCATCAATAAAATTAGCCGAGCTCTCCCAGCCAAATCCGCCCACTTGGATTCCGACATGCCCCTCAACTTTCCAGCAGATCGAGAGTGCACAGGATGCAAGCGCAACAAAATGGGAAACCAAGAACTGAATAACTGGGAGGAGATTGAACAAATAAAATCAAAACAAAGCTAGTCTGGATGGAGTGACTTGTCCAGTATCGTTCACTGGGGTTTGATCAACGTCAGGAGAAAGCCAGAAAACCCAGAGTCAGACAGCTGGGGGCAGGCAATTTAGCAGTAAGGAACAGGTGGGGTGGGGGTGGGGGGTGAAAGTGGGGAGGTGGGTGAAGATGGGAGGGGGATCAGGGAGGGGAAAGGTGCCAATTTGGTAGAGTGGGCAGTGTGTAAATGAGAGTCATTTAAAAATATATATACAGACTTTATATTTGGATCCATCGTCTCTGCTGCATGGTTTAAACTCTGCCTGATTCTTCAGCAAACTTCTTCTCAAGTATCTACCTACTCACTATGACCTGTTTTTAAATATGACGGTCCCTCCAGGCTTCATGAGGATTCTTAGAGTTAAAAATACTTGATTTTATGGTCATCTTTATGAAACAATTAGAATTCAGGCTGTAATGCTTCAAAGATTTCTTTTGCATGTAGCACATTTTACATCAATCCAACAAAACCATATCCTCCTGGCAGCGTGAAGAACAACCTACATGCTGTTTCCTACGTCTGCAGGTCCTCTTGTTACTTTTAGACAAACACTCATAAGTGATGAGGATTACTCAATCGTTGTATAAACAGTCTGAGTTTGTTTGTTTTAACTCTTTATTATTTTTGTATTATGCACAGTAGGGGTGTCTCGATACGGTATTGATATTGGATATCCCATATCAACCGATTATAAAGGCCTGCATCTAAAATATCCGATATCAACAGTCCAATATAAGCAGTCGATTCCAGACTCCGTTCCAGCACCTCTATCTAGCAGCGCCTGGATCCAACATTTATAGCCAACGTAATCACAACAACAGTGTGTACTAAGGTACTAACAAAGTACCTAGGAATAGGAATGCTTTTTGCCCTGTGGCAGTATTTTTCATTTACCGTATTTCTCAGATTATAAGGCACACTTAAAATCCTTGGATTTTGTCAAAAATTGATAATGCACTTTATAATCCAGCGCACCTTATGTATGATAACTTGTTGTGCTTAATGACCGATTTTATGTGGTACAATGCGCCTAAAATGTGTAAGTACGACTTTGGTAAGCAACGAAACCGCTCCACTCAATGGATATTCGAAGCACTATGGTACGTTGTGTCACTACCTGATCAACCGAGTAACAGGACCCCTAAGTAGTCTACAAGACTGCCTGACTGTAACGTCTAAACTAGAAGTGCATTCATGTAAGGAAGCCTGGGCCCGCAGTATGTGCTAGCAACAATAAACCAATCAATGCTTAATGTGCCTTACAATGCGGTGCGTCTCATGTGTGAACATAGACACATTAATTCACAGTCTGCTGTATAATCTGGTGCACATTATTGTCCGAAAAATACGGTAAGTCCGAAAAAGACGTTGCAGCTGAGTGCGAAACTTATCACGCACAAGTTTATGCTATTATCGGATCAATACCAGTATTGGCCAATATTGAAGGTTACAATATCGGTATCATATCGGAGGTAAAAAAGTTATATCGGGACACCCCTAATACACAGTTTATGTTTAAATGAGGATCATGAGGTCCCTCTGGGGAAGGTAGAATCTTCCTCTGTCCACCAATGGCCTGAATGATGAGGCAACCCCTCATTGCCTCAAGTGACCGGCTTGTTTGCTTTATTTTGGTTCAAAGTGTGAGAAAATTGTGATAATAAACAAACTTCTTCAAACTGTCACAGCAGCTGCTCTTAAAACCAGGGCTCGCTTTCACACTCACGCTGTTAATTCATCTGGAGAAAACTACTTAATGGTGTGTCACGACAGAGCCACGGGGGGGAGGAGGGTGTTATTTCAAACAATGCTGAGACAGGCTCTGTACCAAAAATAACGCAGTAGTCAACGCGAGGCGGCAGGAACACCTCGACTGAAGGTAAAGACAGTGACGTTTGAAATATGCTGACAACACTGTCAACTAAACTCAACATCAAATGTGTTAAATCTACAGATTATTTCATCATCACTGCTTAAGTAGCTAAGCTTTTGTGTTAACATGAGAGGACATATATATATCTTGACTTACAGGGATTACAGTGATTTCACAGTCAGGTGTTATACTCATGTTTTTCCCTTCCCTTGAGCTACGCCAGGTCTCAGCCCTTACAGTGCGGCTCATCTTACCTGCCACCCGCTCGTCCGTTTCTCTGTTGCCGTCATCTGAGTATCGGGCAAAGTCGAGAGAGTCCAAGGTGCTGATGCTGCCCGCTCGATCTGAACGGAGACAAAGGACAGACACACTAGTGAGACAACTATAAAACCATACAGTCGTGAGAGAAAATATGTGAAATGACTAATGGATTGAAATAACTTAACCAGGCAGGGTGTGTGTTTAAAAAACTGGGTTCCAGTTAATGGTGACTAAAACAGATGGAAAGTCTATCAAACTCAAACTCTATAAACTATGTGGGAGGGCTAAACTTTCGCCAAGAAACCCATGAGTCAGCGCAGATGGGGGAATCAAATCAATCACGAAACTTTAACTTTCCTAAAACCATAACTCAACGGAAAGGTCAATTCATGAAACCGGATCTGACAGAGCACCCTTATGTCTGAGTTAGTGGTATTGTTAACTTAATCACACACACACAGATTGAGCTGATGCATATGAATACTTGTGCTCCTATTTCACTGAGGTAGACCGGTGAGGCAGCAGGTTTAGCCAGGTGTTGGCTTTCCTTAACTGCAGTGTAAGTGACAGATCAGCCCATTTGTTCTCTGCAAACCAGAGAAGGACTAAGCTAAATGTAGAGCGTAGAAGAGCTTCACAGATATGGGATTTTTGAGACAGCATACCTTTATTGCTGTTAAAGTAGGGGTGGGAGAAAAAAATTGATTCACCCAAGTACTGCAATTTTTTGTTTTACAATTTTTAAATCGATTTTTATGTTAGAAAATCTTTTTTTTTCTTCTAATGAATCTTATAAACTGCCTTAGATGTGACATGTTTTTTTTGGGGGGGGAACACAGTTCTTGGAATAGTCAGTGGACAATACTAATCATTCAACTGTTTCACTGGAGTTAAAAAGGCAGACTAAAGGTCCTTACACACCTGGACTGACGCAAATATACAACACGAATATACGATTTATTCAGAGGCGAATTTTGACGCGCCTGATTTTACACTTCAAGCCCGTTGCGATTTTGCGACTTTCCGTGGGGAATAAAGATGCATCCCAGGTGGAAGTGAGAAGACTGACTCAACAGCACACTTGACTGTTTTTTAGTTCTAAATATACACGAGTGTTGAGATGGCTGTCTGTCATGATAGCATGTACTGAGTCAGGGCCAGTACCAGATAAGCACATTAAACTATAATCCATAAACGTAAGGTAACAACAAAGATCGAGAAAACCGACAATATTGTGGAATCCCAATTTAAATCGAATCAGCATCCAAAAAATTGTAGAAGAATCGAATCGGGAGAAAAGCTTATCGTCCCAGCCCTACAGCAGTCCTGCAAAAAAAGCTACTCTGCTGAAAGTGACCCTAACGAGGACCTGAGTAGGCTACTTTTCAGAGATTTTTGTCATGTGAAATAAAAGTATGTCCTTTTCCTTTGGCTCTACACTTGTCTTAGAGGAAAAATCACAGCAATCCTGAAGCACCAAAAACCCAATATGTGAACAAAGAGAAGAGCCAGCAGCGCTTCTACGACGCACCGTGCAAATGTTAAACCAACCACGCTTTTGATGTTTGCTCTGAGTTATTTGTTTAGATGCTTTGTATATAAGCGCTGTATGTTAAAGATGTAACCATAAAGCTTTCACACACTCTCAGTGCTGCGGCTGTACAGTGGAGTTGATTTTGGCTGCATTTGCGTATGTGTGTGTCTTTGTTCTCATTCTGTCATGCCGGTGCCAAGTTAACCCCCTTTCCCCCGTGGAGAATTTTTCCAGCCATCCTCACTTCCTCACTATGTGTGACCGTACTTCCGTTAAGAGGCTGCGCTCTTTTTTCTGTGAATCAGCAGATTAGAGGGTGTTTGTGTTCATGTGTGTGTGCAACAATTAAAAAATAACCTGTAATTCCACAGTGTGGGAGCAATGAACAGATGTCTTTTGTGTGTCTGCCTGATTTGTAAAAAAAGCAGCAGTTCTTCTTGGCTGACCTTTCAGTTGGGAGCCTGAGGCGAGTGTAGTCTGGGCTGTGATGGAGCTGACACTTAATACTGTCACCACGTCACTGCACTCCTGCTGGGGCAGGTGCAGCTACACACACAGACATAGACACAGACACAAATCCATGCTCAGCCTCTCTGCTATGTTCTCTCCTACATGAGTGTCTCCCCTTCACGTCCAATCAAACGCTACAAATGAGCCTCTATTTGTGTGCCAAAGCAGGATGCCTCTTTGTCTCCCTGCTGGTGTGAGCTGAAAATAATAACCCTGCAGAAACAATGGGGATGCCAGTCGGGGCTTTTAAGGGAAACGGAGAGGGAAAGATAAATAAGATGAAGTGTAAATAAAAAGTAGTAAAAAAAAGTAAACAAGGTAAGCTGAAGAGGAGGAGGGAAACAGTTTTAATCCAAAAACAAAGAGATCGATATTGAAAAAGCCGATCCAAATGGGAGACAAAAGAAGATGGATGCTCCAGAGGTAGCCAACAAGCTCTTTATAAAAGCGGGAGGGATGTTTTGGCGAGACTGTCAGCTCTTTAGAAAACACAAACTGGATGAGACAATGTGGTAAAAATTACAGAGGTGGCACAGGCAAGATGAAAAACATTCGCCTCACATCATCAAATATGTCAAATTACATTTAAGAGATTTTATGACGAATTAAGCCTTTGTTTGAACCGAGAGTACAACACTCTGATTCAACTCTAAACAAGTTTCTATGGGGAAAAAAGCAGGTTTGAAATGTTTATGCACTTGTTCTGAATATTTTTATCCAGCCATCTGGTGTTATTAGAAAATAAAAAATACACGGTAAATAATGTGGTGAAAATAAACGAACAACAGATGTGTTTCCTATTGTGCCCAGATTGTGCAGAGATTCAAGTTGAAGGACAGTCAGTGTGCAGACTTACTACTGCTTTTCTGTCCGTCTTTGTGATCTACACCTCAAAGTAGTGTCTGAGTGTTCTTCTTCTTCTTCTACTTTCCTGTCACCCCTCTCTTTACAAGAATGTGCATCGAGTAAAATAACACAAACTTCTTGCATGTAGCAGCTCACTGTCAACCTTGAACACACCAACAAAAGTGACTTGCACTCTACCTTAAAACCCCCTCACATTATGGGCGAAGGGACCTGGCCATGAGATGTGGAGAGGCACTCATACTTCCTCACCGCAAATTAGCAAGGTGGTGACAGATGCCATGCTGTGTGGTCCGAAGGAACAATAAACTCCATACACACACTCAAATGCAATCAACTGCACTCATTGGTTGTGTGTTGGATGATCACTGTATTATTTTTATGACTAACCAGCTGTGTGCTTTAAAATTAAGTTCTGAATCCCTGACCACCTATCTGCATTTAAAGCATAATGAGATCAAGAGACTATGCAAATAATCATCACACTGAGCTAATAATGCATCACTACTTATGTCAGGATTTTTAACCAGGTGGACCTGTTCTGTAATGTCACCATATGTAACACCATCTGGTCAATTATGTCAACACGGTGCACCCTTTAAACTTCCTTTGGCACACAGAAACGATACAGTGCATGTTAAGCTTACACCACTTAGACAGAAGTATATCTTAGATGTTTACTTTGCGCCGCCTTGATATTGAACAGTCTTTGAGGGATTAAGTCAAAGGCAGTGTAATGAGTCCGTAACGGCTGTTTGAGAAATTAGAAATTCAAGTCTTTAAGCAGCAGCAGGGTTTCTGATCAGTATCCCAGCCTGCTCCACAACAAGTCAACTCTACCCTCTGTTCTTCAAACAAGAGGGAAAAGATCAATTCAGTCATCACATGATATGCTAAGAAAAGTTGCATTGTCTCAGTCTGAGTCCTTCCCTCTCTCTCCCATCAGCCCTCATCATCTTTCCTCTCTGCAGACGACAGATCAGACGCATAAGACAGCCTGTATTTTACCTTCATAATCAACTTGACTCTCCCCAAAAGCCAAGACTTGGATACTTCTTTATTTCAGTTTCACAACAAGGGGGTTGCTGATTCCTGTCATACTTAAAGGGTTTGTTTGTTACTGATAGAAACTGAATCTGACTGGATGCAATAGGTTAAACCGTCTCCTGCTACTTACCTGGACCCACACTCAAAACTACACAACAACCTCCTGAAACATCAGGTTATTGTGCATGCTGCTGCATCTCAATGAGTGAAAAATGTACCTTCTGTTTAAAAAAAAAAGCCCACTTTTTGTCCTGCATGCATCTATATTCAACGAATCCCTGAGCTGGAAAACTACCAACTGTTTATAAAATGAAAATTCATCATCTGGCCTTGGTGCTCAGTCTGCACCAGGAAGAAGGAGAGAGAGAGAATTCAACTGCAGCTGTCATGATAGACTAAAACACCTACCTGAATCCTGAACTGATGAGGAGCTAGCCTCAAAATTAATGAACACAATTACACTGCACAAGACTAATTATGTTTCCATATCTACCTTGGAAAAAAAAAAAACAACACCTGTTTTTTCAACGTTTTATAAAGAAAGGAAGGCTCTATTCATTTGCTCTGAAACAGGATCCTAAAAAAAGAGGAGGTGTAGGGTAATCTGACATCAGTTCAATAGTTCTGCCTGTCAACCTGTCCCCGATCACTTTGAAAGATAAGTTGGGTGTGTGACTATTCATCTGGGTCACTGACATGGTTCTTATCTTTCCCTTTCTTGATCTAAGATAAATATACAGCCGATAGATAAGACCGATCCTGTCCCTGCTTGGCGGATTCAAAGCTGAGGCTCTCCCATTAAAACCTTAGTGTAACCAATTAAAAGGAAAAGTGCAGACCTGGACTTTTCATAATGCCAATACAGTTTTCTTTAGAGCCCCCCTTGAATGTCAGCAATTTACTGCTTTTAGACTAACAGGGGCTTAACAGTGCTTTATAAGTCTGTGTCAGGACAGAATAGGTTTGTTCCAGTCACCTAGAATGAAACTGGGCCATGGGAAAAGGTCTAGCCATTTTCTTCATTGCTTAGTCCCCTTTGGTACACACAGCCAAGTCAAAGTAATATCACCCCTGCTGCTCAGTAGCATGCTTTATTGATTTGTGGCTTGGGCTGTCACCATGGTCACCATTTGCATGGCATGTTTAGAGACTTTTCCACCACAGTATACTGTTGGTGTTGTTCCAGATGAGGTGTGGAGGGATTACTCGGGAAAAAAAACTATGTGGTAACACACTAGTGTTTTATCTCCTCCCTGGCCTTGCCTCACCTCAATGTGTCCATACTCAGTAATTAGGGGAGAGTGGGGTAGGATGAGCCATTTTTCACATTTTGGATCACTACATCAAGGCAATCAAAGTTTTGTCTCTAACTAGTGTATCTGCATATATTTCAAGATGTTGTGCATCCCTGTAAACCAACAGAATGAGTGTACACATAACTGTCTTGATAATATAGCATGCCAAAAAGAGTCGTCTCCTATGCTGAACTTACCCTGTGTACGGGGTAAGTTGACCAGGAGTGGGGTAAGTTGAGCTGTATCCCTACTACCCCCCACTCTCCACCCCAGCCCTCCCTCACCTTCTCTCTCCCTAAATAACAGTCACTTATTCAAATTCATGTGTATTTTTATCTATTATACACCATTCAACTGGTACAATAATTATTTTTATTGTTACTCATTTCAACAATCTGAACTGAAACTCTGATCCTCTCATCAGACTCCTTTACTTTCTCAGTTAAGCTACTGGCTCAACTTACCCCAAAACTGCTATTATGACTTTATAAGTCCTCTAAGCTAAAATAATGGACTATTATGCTAAGTTTTTGACCTCATGTTGTAGCTCATAGATACCACAATTGATGTACAAAACAAAATTAAAATGATCTTTGTTGGTCTGAACACAATTCTAATAAAACTTATGGCAGACTAAATTCAATTTCAAGAGTGATTTTTTTTTTTTGTAAATAAATATCTAACCTCTTCATCCATGTGCTTCTAAGCTGACAAACTGCATGAATTGATGCCCAGCTCCTAAATATTTGGTCGCATGATCAATTTCTTTGACCATTTCCAAGCAACAGGGGGTGGCTCGACTTACCCCACTCTCCCCTATTTTATCTCTGGCCTTGCCTTGCCTCATTGTATCCAAACTCAGCAAATACCCATTTACCCACATAGTCTTCTCTTGTTGACACGCCTGAACTCTGACTTCGTAGCCAGACGAAAGGGCAACTTGTTGTTTTTCCATTTCAATTACATTGATTCTAATTCAATTACACAGGTCTGTCACAATACCACGAATTGATCACATTCAATCAGATCATGTGCAATAGCCCAGACAACCCTTCCACCCCTAAATGATCACATTAATCTGATTCAGTGATGCTCCAGTAGGTTAGAAAACACACACAGCTGACCCACAAAACCAGCCTCTTGGCCACGGGCCTTTGACACAGAGAGCAGGTGCAGTGAGCGGATATCTCCTGATCGATCGGCTTTCAAACCCTGGGCTTCAAGCTAACAAGAGCTAGCGAGCTAAACCCGTGTGATGCGGTGTCTCTTTAGAGCTAATGCAGCTGATAGATAGCTACGTGACTGCCAACAACAATAACGCTACTTACTCAGTGGTCCACCAGGTCCGAGCACCTGGTCTTTGGCAGGCGGGGTGCCGCTCTGTCGCTCGAAGTTGCCCGGGTTGGAGAAATAGTCCCTCAGTCTTGGAAGCTCCCTGCCAGCTTCCAGTAGTTCAGTGTGAAACTCCAGGGCCGTGAGGATGTACTGGTCCCGTAACAACTGAGCGGCTATGACATCTACTGACACCCGTGTATCAGCGCCGCCTGCCATAGCGGAGCTGGCTGCGACCGAGACCGCGATGCCCTCACCGCTGGGGCTGGTCCGGTTGCTTGACAGCAGGAGCGTCGGAGGCTCGGCGTCCGCAGGCGGGGAGAACGGATTACCAAGCGGCGGCCCTGGCGCCCCGTCACTCGGGCTCCTCTCTGTGTCAACGGTTTCATTCGGGCGCCGTTCAGCTTCTTCTTCTGAATCGCTGAGATTAAACGGGTTCACCGACGCCATTTTTGCACTATTAAGATATCCTGCAACCACAAGCTAGCTAGGCTAATCGGACCCGTTTCTTCCTGAATGGAAAGCTAGCTACTGTTTGGTAGGAAGCTATGACAAGAGGGAAAGAATACAAAGATGTGATTGGTCAGATATGAGCGACGTTGCCCTTAAGCCCGCCTCTTTCATGGGATAACTGGAAATGATTGGATAAGAGAGAGACAGAAAGAAAAACTGGGCAAGGCATGTTTGACAGCTGAGCCGGAGCTAGTAAATGTTTTATCTCAACCCCGCAAGCAGCGAAAACGACACTATCATAAGATTTGTGACACATTGAGTGAAATCTATATGCTCAAAATAAATTCATTTAGCCCAAAAGCTGTTTAAAAAGGAAAACGATTGGAGGAATTTTCTTCCTGGGAAATATTTTTTAAAACTACAATACCCACAATTCAACAACGTACACAAGCCAATACGTTGACGTCAACGCCAACACAAGGAAGTGAATGCTCATGGTACCTGAATTTCTTGTAATCTACTTAAGAGTGAGGGACAGTTGGTTTGTAAACGGACGCACTTAAGGACTACGTTGACCTGTTTTCGCACGCAAAGGTCCTCATCTCTCGGGGACTGTTGATGTGTAAAGCTGGTTCCTTCACGAAGATAAAATGGAAGCTATAACAGGTGAATAGAAGCAGTGGCACTGGCTAGATCTGCTCCTCCATTCATTCATCAGTCAGACTAACAACAGGGTGTTATATGGACTGGTTCCATGATCGCTGCGTACAGGTAAGATTTTTCACATTATGTAAAAATTTAATTGGTTTAAGGTAATACTCTCCCCTCCATGAAGCAAACCTTAATGTTTACTGTGCTTGTAATGTACAATTTAAATGTCATAACTTACTTATAAAGTTCTCTGATGGCATATGGTGACATAAGGATTACCCCCTACCCTTAAGCAGTCTTTACACTTTGGCTTAACCAGCATACATTGTACTTAACCTTTCAAACACACTCTTCTGTTGAAGCTAAACCCCCTACCATGAAATCAAAGATCTTTATATCAAATTATCCATATTTAATCTGATCTAGGGCTGGCAGATAAAACTATAATGATACCAAAAATGAATTTCAATGGTCGGCATTCTGCCATGTTTAGGTCGACTGTACGAATAGCCAATGAGTAATGAGTAGAGTAGGTGCACATCACTACTCCAGAGTAATGTGCACTGCAAATTATGTCGAGTACATGTTCTCGCAAAGTCGGGGAACACCTCAAATCTTTTTCACTACCTGAAGCAGTGCCACACGGCAAAGGACGGGCAATGCAAAAGGTTACAAACCCCAAGCGGAGCAAGGAGCCCACAGCGCCTGTGCAGCCGAAACAGCCGACCATTCAGCCCACTTTCTCTAGCGCAACGCCTAACGACAAAACAAAGAGACACAAAGACCTCACAGATGCAGTAGCTTATTGTATTGCAAAGTCCACCAATAATCACTGTTGAATTTCATTTTTTATATCGCGATATATTTTGAGATTGACTGATATGAAAAAAATATATTGTGATAAACTTTTTCCCGTATCGCTCAGCCCTAATGTGATCATTTATGTCTTTCCCCTCTAGTCTACAAACCTGACTGCTCTGCAGACCAAACTCAGCACTGATACTCAAAATGAGGATGATCACCTTCTTTGTGGTTGGACTGGCTGTCCATGTGGTCTTCTTCATCTCTATCTTTGACATCTACTTCACCTCTCCCCTGGTTCATGGGATGACACCCCGGACCCCACCCCTGGCTCCCCCTGCCTCCAGACTGGTGTTGTTGGTGGGTGATGGCCTCAGAGCAGACAGTCTCTACACACTCCTCCAGAACGGTTCATCTCGAGCCCCTTACTTGAGGTAAGGAAGTGGACATGATGTAGTATGTCTGTATGTTTTAACAGAAAAGATAACACTATCTGTTATCTCCTGAGTGACTAGAATTTGTGTGTGCTTGTCCTTTTCTCTCTATATATCAGGAAAATAATAGAAGAGAGGGGTACCTGGGGTGTGTCACACACACGAGTACCCACTGAGACTCGTCCTGGGCATGTCGCTCTCATTGCCGGCTTCTATGAGGATGTTAGTGCTGTTGCTAAAGGTAACTGTGCATCCACGCAGATGAGTGACGACATGAAAGCTACTGCCAAGTGTTTGAACAATCATAAGTGTTATACATTTGTTTTTGTGTGTGTGACTTTTAATAAGTCTGTTTAAAAGAAGGTGTACTGACCTTTTTTGTGTGCCTTTAGGATGGAAGGAGAATCCCGTCGAGTTTGACTCTGTGTTTAATGAGAGCAGATACTCCTGGTGCTGGGGCAGCCCTGATATCCTGCCTATGTTTTCCAAAGGTACAAAAGTTGACTTGAGCTCCCACTCTCAAATACCGTATAACATAATCAGAATTATTACAAAACTACAAGTTCAGAGATGGAGAGCAAATCTATAATGTAGACATATAAACCTTTGTATGTAATTGCACAACAACATCTCTTTTTAATGACACGGTTTATTATGTACTCATCATTTAGGTGCCAGCGGAGACCACATGTATACCCACGCTTACCCAGCAGGGGAGGAGGACTTTGCCTCCACCGATGCCTCCAGGCTGGACACCTGGGTGTTTACTCAAGTCAAAGTATGGTAGTGAAATTACTAACACTCAAATATTGTTTTAGATATAATTCCTGGAGCTTTGATGGTGAATTCACACTGCTATCTTGATTTTGTCTTTTTCTCTTCCTAGTCATTCTTTCAGTCTGCAAAAACAAACTCCAGTCTGAGGGACAGTCTGCTGAAGGATAAAAATATCCTTTTCCTGCATCTTCTGGGCATCGACACAAATGGACACGCTCACAGACCAATGTCCAAGTAAGAGCTAACAAATTATGTTCTTGTTGTGTTGCTGTTTTTTTGAACCTCACATGTATAATATATAATATAAAATTATATCAGCATATTCCCCCAAAGCATTAACACATAAGTAGCACTAACATGATACTTTCTTTGTCTTTTCTCCAGGGAATACCTGGACAATATTGCTCTCGTAGACTCTGGTGTAGCTGAGATGGAGTCTCTCATAGAAGAGTTCTTCGATAATGACGGAAGAACAGCGTATGTGTTCACCTCTGATCATGGGATGACAAACTGGGGTAAGAGTCTAGTTTGTGTACATCTGCCTCTTTACCCATTGCAACTAGAATGGAAAGACTTTTTGACGTTTCTGTTTCTCTGTTTGTATCCAGGATCACACGGTGCAGGCCATCCCTCTGAGACCCTCACCCCTTTAGTGGCATGGGGAGCAGGAGTGAACAGCGCCCACAGAGTCACTGAACCCCAACCATACAAAGACGGTTACCTACAAGGTGTTAAACTCATACTTTGTGCAGAACTGCTCGCTTAAATTCTCAAATTTATATTTTGGTTTTAGTTTGAGATATATGCTTGTTTTATTATTTTTAGATAGGGTGAAATTCTGCATTATAAAGATGTGTTTTGTAATTTTTCCTTTTTACATTGTCCTTATTTTAAACTCGCTATTTCTGTCAGATTGGAATCTGGAGCACATTCGCAGAGTTGACGTTAATCAGGTGAGGATGATAGCTTCAGCACTTCTTCATGAAGTCACTGACAGCTTTACCATTGAAAATAGAATGTCAAAGTATTAAATATAACAGAGCAGCAGACATTAGAGTGATATATGCTATTCTGTTTCACTGTTTTTTGCAGGGAGACATTGCTGCCTTGATGGCTTCTCTCATTGGTATACCTTTCCCTCTTAACTCTGTTGTAAGTCTGTTTATAAACCATATATAAATTCTGCATTCTGGTTCATTTCTGCTTTATCAGTTTTAGTCATACACTTTTTTAATCAATGTTTTTTTTTGTCTCCTTAGGGTGTGTTACCCCTTCTATACCTCAACAACAGTGACCAGTTCAAAGCAGAGAGCATGTACACAAATGCTATTCAAATATTAGAGCAGTTCAAGGTAGGAAAGCATGTAGCCCTACTTTCATACATTGAGCCGGTTAAATAATCACCTATCACTTCATTGTATTTGTATCCATTAAGCATCTTGAACTGGTTTTATTGCTCCTGCAGGAAGAGAGCAATAACATCAGACTGGGAACAATCCTAATTAACTGAGAAGCCAGCAGTGTTGACATACTTATATCTCTTCTCAGTATCATTCATATTCCCCAGCATCTCAAACCAAAATGAAGTAATAAGCAGATTAGCTACAGTATTGCTATCTCTCCTTACCCATCTGAAGACTGAGATGAGACCTATTTCTTGTAATTACAAGATCTTTTTCTCAGACTTTTAAGATCTTTATCCCATAAGAACAAGAAAATATCTTGTAATTATGAGATCCTTATCTCTATCCCCTCCAAAATTATAATTCAAAGTGACATGATGTGGATACTTTTAGGTTGCAATATGCCTCTGCGTGTCTTTTTATGCAGAAAATCTGTTTTCTGATGGAGGTTTTGTTGTTTTTTCAGGTGAAAATGACCCAAAAGAAGGAGACAACTTTGTCTTTTCTCTTCACCCCATACCAGTGAGTATAATTAGCAAGATTTGATGTGCAATGACACCCAAGTGAATTACTAAGTTGTGTTTTTTTTTACGCTGTTATTGAAGTTGAACTCAAAAAGGTCTCTCTGATTTCCCAGACAACTCACAGAGTCAAAACAGGCAGAGTTCATCAACAGGGCCAGAATACTGATTCAGCTGGAGAAGTATGAAGACGCTGTGAGTATCTGGAAAGAGTTAAAACAGTCTGCAGCTTAGAGGTAGATTTAGAGCTTTGAATCATTTAAAGCTCTCAGATTAGTTGTTAATACTTTAATTAAGCTGATTTTGAAATATGGTTTCTACACACATCTTGGTATTCAAGTGCATTAGTAAACATTGCAGTGTGTTAATAGCAAAGCAAAAAAGTGTGTGTGATATTCAGCTGGTGTGATGCCTGATCTGCCTGACAGCAGCAGAACTGGCTCAGCTTTGATAAATCCTGCCTCCACCGACAAACGTCATGGTCGTCTACTTTGATTAAATGATTATCTGCCAGGTTCCTTTGTTGTTACATCACATTCAGTATTGATTTAACCTCTTTTGGCTTTTCTTTCTCGACTTTCCCTTTGCCTGTCTCTGTCTAGATCTCTCTGTGTCAATCTCTCATATCTCACGCTCTGGAGGGCCTGGTCTACTACCACACCTATGACCGGTTCTTCCTGGGTTGCAGTGTGGTGCTGGGATTTGTGGGCTGGACCTCATATGTTGTCCTAGTCATACTGAAGACTCACGCCAGCCTTGACAGACATCCCAGTCTCCTCAAACAGGTCAGGGCGCACTTTGTGATGCCTTTAGCCACCCCTGCAAGATTAGAAAACTTGATTTTCTTGCTTAGTTACATTGTGGTATTGCTACTTTATGTTCGCAGATTCCCGACCGTACCCTGGCGAGGCTGTGTATGTGTGTGACAGTGCTGATCACTGTGTTTCTGCTGATTCAAAGGAGCCCCGTTACCTACTACATTTACTGCCTGCTGCCTGTTCCTGTGTGGTACTCTGTCCTTAAAGAGTAAGTTCGTTGAAAAGATGCTAAATAAATAACACAGCTGTACATATTCTAAACATTAAAATCTAACAAGCAAATCCAACACACAGACCAGGAGTGTCGACACACAACCAACCAAATATTAATCAATAAAGCTTTATTCAGCGGGTGTAATTTACTCACACACTCTTGTTCAAACATGTCAGTGGCAGTGAAGTGTTAATTAGATCCTTTGAACTGCTCTTCTATCCATTCATGTGTCTGTTGTGTGAATTGATGAAAAGATGCTCCATGCAGTCCCTCTTTTCTCTTGTATCACAGGGAAAAATAATCTCATTTATGATCTTTTTTTAGGTGTGGAACTCTGACAGATCTGATTCGCTCTGCTCCCTCTCTGCCTTTGTGGAAATGTTTCTGCTATTTTGTGCTGGTGGCGTTTGGAATCGAGCTACTGGTAGGGGGTCTAAATGCTTCTTCATGCGGACACATTTGTGTGATTACAACCAATGAAGGGTTTTGTTTGAACAAAAAGAACATATTGCAGATTACTGACAATCTTAAAAGCGGTCTGAGGTTGCTCTATATTCAATTTACCTTTGCTGCCCCCAGGTGGTGAGCTTCTTTCATCGCGCCATGCTGACTGTCGGCCTCGCCACCCTCTCTTTCTGGCCTTTTGTGTCAGGTCTCTCTGGCACTGCAAAGGTAACTATTTCACAGAATGCTCTCCTGAAAGTCACAATGCACAAAGATAAAAAAAAAAAAAAACACATACTCTTTTCCCACACATGAAAAAGAAACTGAATAAAACACTGTATGACTCTTGGGAGTTTTTAAACACAAGGTGGAGTAACAACTCTGCGAGTAAATTTCCTGGATTGGGGTTTTGGTCAAGGTATTTAGCTACCACATTAATGACTCTGGGCTTCAGTGATCTCAGTCAAGACACAATGAAATCAATCATGCCAAATCTGATTTATTCAAGTGAACAAAATCAGCATTTAAGACTATTTTATAACAGATCCATGACCAAATAAATGAAAAATAAAATAAGGAGAAAATATTAATAAATAAGTACAATCAAAGAAAAAAATAAAAACATTAATTTCCCTTCGTTGATAAAATAAAGTTATTTTTATTCTTATTCTTAAATATTATGAAATGACTTGACATGTCACATATTCTTTACTACATTAAGCTTATTATTCTGAATGTCTCCGAAATAATGTAATTTTTCTCCCTGCAAAAGTATCAAGAAAACAGTTGGAGGAAGTGTTGTTGAACTTTAATGAATAAACTATTCTGACATTACTGGGAAACAAAAGTACATGCGTGTCTACTTTGAAGCATTTGGTTTATGAAATTATGGATTCATTCTTATTTTCTGTTTTTTCTTTGGCTTTGTTCAGTTTCGCTCCCTGAGCTGGTTTCTGGGCTGTCTGTGTTTGGCTGCTTTCCCCCTGATGCCGGTTGTGGGCAGAGAGCCTAACATACATCTGGTGTGAGTGTTTCCTTTATTTGCCTGCATTTATCAGAAAGTTTACCACAGTGTTCTGCTTTAGGTTTTACTTTGGCGAGACACAAAACCCATGTTTGGGTTGTTACTCAGGAAACAATTCATCCATTTCCACTTTACATAGTAGTTTAATTTTGTATTGTCAAGAACAATTGACGGTTCAGGCTGTTTTAGTTGGAATTACTCTAATTATATGCGTACAAATACTTCCTCAAGCTTTACAGTACTCTTCCTAAGGAACCAACTGTAAAATGTGAATAACAGATACAGAAGCCTTATGATACTCCTCATAATGAGAACTTTCTCATTAGATCAGCTTTGCAGTTACATTAGACATTAATAAAACGATAACATACTGTTTGTTTGTTTGTTTCTTCAGTACCTGCGCTGGTCTGCTCACTCTTTTCACATCAGCCTGTTACCTTTGGTCCTCACGTCACAGAACACCACTGCACCTAAGTGACAGGCAGCAGTTTGTCATGCAGGTAAATGCAGTGCATGTCATGTTATATACTTAATGAGCTTGTGTGTGATTGTGTTGGCTGGGTGATGGGGGAGGTGGGTTGTTGACTGTGAGTGCAAAATATAATAATGATAATTGATTACTGTTTACACTTAACAGATGCTCCATGTGGCAGTGTGTGCATACGTGCCCTCGCTCACACACTCCAGCCTGCAGCAGAAACAAGGGCTGCCTCTCCTTAATCAGATCATCAGCTGGACCACATTAGGTAGGTGGACAAGACGTATCTACTGTTCACCACCTCAGAAAAACTCAGAGATTATACTAAGATTCATCAATGAACGCAATCATTTTGAAACTCACAAGCCTGTTTGAAAACAACACCCCCATCAAAATTTAGCAAACCTGTTTTTTTCTTTAATTTTGTCAAAAAAAAAATCTGAGCTGAAGTATTTAAGACCCTAAGATGTTGGAAAATCCTGTTTCTGTAAGGCTTCCACACTGTGGCGGTCACTTTTTGTTCAATAGGCGGGTAAAAAGTACTTGTATTTGTGTTAGAAGTCTAATTTTCATCAGGTGTCTTTGTTTTCTTCAATTTTTGGATGTCCTTGGAATATGTTATGACAGGTTGCCTTGAGGTCCTTTTGTTTGCTGATTCATCTTGAATTGAAGACCTATATTTTCAGTGTAGTCTATCTAATCTGCTTTGTTATACGTTAGATGAAATACCCTACCCTACAAGCTTAAAGTCAAACTGTAATTGTCAACAATTTTGTTTAATTCTGGTGCTTTTGAATCTCACTATCTCTCCTTTTCTCCAGCATCTTCTTTGCTGGTTCCTTTATTAAGCTCCACACGAATCTTCCACCGCCTCCTCAGCATATTCCTGTCACTCACAGCTACATACCTGCTGCTCAGCACTGGGTAAGACTAGATCTTTCACTTGCACACCTAATGCAGCTGCACTCAAACATTAATCCATGTCTTGTGTAGAGTTTTATTACTACAGCAAAGCTTCAAAAGCACATTTCTAATGTCTACCCAGGTCAGAGGCCTTGTTCCCCCCGGTGTTGTCTTGGCTGATGTTTGTCTGGATTAATATTGAACAGGAAGCTTTGCACGCTCAGGGGGTCTCAGGCAGGCAAGAGGTAAGTTTCCAAACTTAGATTTGGTAAAGCGGTAGACTGTGAACTGCACGAGTGAGATGCAAACTATTAACAGTCAGATAAATGTGTGTCGATTTGCCTTTTCAGGTTCTCAGTAAACTAGGTCAGTGTGGTTCTGAATTTATTCCAAAAGCCTTTCGGTCTTGGTTAGAGTTCTGGTTGTCGTTCTTTTCTTGGTACTTGGTTCAATCTTTGAGAGGCATTCTCTTTGTTTTCATTTCTATTTACTTCAAAATAAAAACTGTAGTTTCACTCCATCCACCGCTCCCTTCTTCAGTGACATTTTTTAATTAAAGAAAGACGTCAATTGTGGCTGTGTTATACTGACTTATTGCCACTTTGGTTGGCACACATTCACTTTTGTTTTTTTTTTTTCTCCTTCAGCTCTCCACTGTTGATTTCTCTGCAAACATCGACATCACCAAGATCCGACAGCTGAAGCTGGACGACATCAGACGATCGTATTTTTTTGTATCCATTTTAAGAGGATTTGCAAAAGTAACTTTGAAAGAATGACCATATTTGCAGTTAATTCATGACAAATGATGATAAATTAGCTTTTAACTATTGCATTAACACCACGTAAAGTCTTTCTTTTCCCTAACACACGCTTCAGGTGTTTTTTATAATTACAGCTTTCTTTGGCACAGGGAACATAGCTTCTATTAACAGGTATGTACAATTTCTTTTTATGCATGCCACAAACTCCTGATAATTTTCAGAAATTTGCATGTGCAAATGCAGCGGCAGATTTTTTCACCCTAGCTCGTAAAAGCAAGAGTCAATGTGTGAACAGAGAAGGTGAACAACAGGAAATTTCACTGTCTTCGAGCAGTAAAGGGTGATGACTTTTGTATCATTCAAGCCAGGGGTGACCGTTTGGATCAGGATGTTGCTTCACGCTCTTATCTTCAACTTCTCAGTCATTGATACTGTAATTACGTCTGTTTCCATTTAGCTTGAATTTCGAAGGCATTGTCCTCTACCTCACCTGCCTCATTGGAAATCTTATTAATGACACACTGAGTCTCCTGCAGCTCCATGAGAGCCTGCTCCTATTCTACAGGGGGGAACACAGCTGTTAGCGACAGGTGTGAATAAGCAACTTTGTAAATTTTCAGGGGCAGACTGTCCTGAAATATTTAAAACAAGTTTACAGTGCATACTATGCTAAAGGTGTATGCTCAATTGTGTGGGTTAGCGGCAGGAAGTTTTGTCAAGGGTGGTGTTGGGGTATGTGGTTGTGCATGGGTCAGGCAATGTAGAGCAACATCTTATTGTTGCATTGACTTTTTTGACTGTATGGCCTCTATTTCAGTCTGTTTCGACTTCTGCATAAGATCACATATCCTTCACTACGAGTCCAAAATCATACAATCATTCTCAGTCGTCAGAGTGTGGCTGTACATGGGTCAGTCAGTGCTTAAGTGAAGGTTTTACTCTTTCTCATGTGTGACTTCTCTCAAACCATAAGCAAGTGTCAGTGAAAACAGGAAGGACATGAAGGATGTGTGTGAAAATAGGAGTGCACACTAGCTGTCTGTTCCTTATTTGCATTGTTTAGACCGCAGTTTTCTCTGTTGTGCTTTTCGCAGTGTTTTAATCGCTCTGTGCTAAAAAACTAATAAAATCTGAAGAAGCTGTGACCTCTGATTCTTTAAATATTGTGCATGTTTTTTTATGTACCCACTGTGTTTAATTCTCCCTCTTTCGTGCAGTTTTGACCCGGCCTCTGTGTATTGTTTCCTCACTGTCTTCAACCCCTTCATCATGGGAGGGCTTATGATGTGGAAGGTAACCCTGTGCATGACATCTTTCACTCTTTCTGTAGATTGTGGCGAGTCATTATCTACCCAAGCATCGTGCTCTCTGGTTTATCCTAAAATCTTTTCAAATCAACTTCCTTTTTCGTGTCTAAAACTGAGTCGGCACAGCTGCCAGCTCTCACCCCACTCTCTGACCTTTTTTTCTACCCGTTCTGGTCGAGTTCTCAAAGTTGCTAATTCATAGATTGCGACACAGTTGTCCAAATACAAAAAGCAGTTTCACTTAAGCCTGTTAACCTGAACCTCCTTATTAAATCTGCTGTCTTTTGTTTCTCCAGGTCATCATTCCATTCATAATAGTAATGTGCACGTTTGAGACCATCCAAGTCGCGACGCAGCTCTCATCGAGAAGGTAACCCCACTCTTTTTTTTTTGATATATCAGGGCAAATGTGTTGAACAAGGATTGATCCAGGAGTAGTAGCAGATAGAAAGTATATTAAGTACAGTATTTGCTCTTTTTGTCACTTACATTTACCAAAAAATGGTGGATACAATTTTGCCTCAACAATTTCTTTTATCACATCTTGCTCATCAGGCTTCCCCTCATCTGTTTTGTCTTATTTTTTTCAGTTTATTCCTCATCGTCCTGGTCATCTCAGACTTGATGGCTCTGGTAAGGTATTTTCTGTATATGCTCTTTATTTATCTTTCTTTGATAATACTTTTGTCCTTCCTTAAATTTGAACCCACAAAAACATAACGTTTACTCAATCTTCCCCTCCCCAGCATTTCTTCTTCCTGGTGCAAGACTACGGCAGCTGGTTGGACATTGGTACCAGGTAAGAAAACAAGGAAAGACACGGCTCCTAAAAGATCAACCATGTATTAATGATTAACTTGACGTGCATGAAAACATTCGCAAATGTATTGGTCTCCAGTCTCCATTTTTAAAGGGATATTTCACCCAGACACTCTTACATTAACGTTTCCTCTTCTGTAATCTCTTGCAGCATTAGCCATTACGTAATAGTGATGTCAATGACCATCTTCCTGATGTTGCTCAGCGTGGTAACGCACACCTTCACCTCAAAAAGAGTCATCCTGTGGAGGAGACCCAAGATGCACTTCACCTAATAAACTGACATTAGTGTGTGCACACTGGCTTACCACAGAAACCAGATGTTAGACTGTTTTTTTTTTATACTTTTGATCGATATCTGCCTTATTAAAACAGAACTTCTATGTTTATGGGATACTGTTTTAGGGCTATGAATACTGTTATGAACTGTGATAAGTTTGGAAATTGGTTTTGAGCTTCAAGTAGTCAACTCAAAACTATCAGAAGGCTGTGCCACGTAACTAACTTTGAATTTCACATGAGCTGTAAATATTTTCTGTTTCTTTAGTTCTCATCAGTTGTCTCGTGGTTATTACATTAGTGTGTGATTTAAGGGAGTAAATACTTTTAATCAATCTAGACTCATCTCTGTGGCAAAAGATGTTTTTCTTTTGCTCTGTACTCTTTCATTCACTAACATTGTTTTTGCAATAATCATTAATAAAGACATGAAAAGCTACTTGAATATTTAACCGCGAATAATGTCTTTGCCAAGGGTGCTGATTTATCATCTACCAAAGAAAGTTAACTCATGTTTTCATTGTTCCTGTGAAGCTGCCTGAAGAATGTAAAGTGAAGAACGGAGGGATGTTATTTGTATTTATTGTGACTGTTTGTATGAATGAAACTGAACAACTAAAATTGCGTTGTGTTGTTCTTAAAGGCACTACACGTCACTATATATATATGTTGTAAATTCTGGTCCCCCTCTTTAGATGAAATGAATCGCATTTATCTAGGATGAAGACTGCATATCCCATGAGCACCATCACCCACTGTAATAAAAATGCACATATTTGTCATGGAAGCACGCATGTAGTAAAGATCGTACTTTTCAAAACTACTTTAAGGTAACTTCTATCGGATGCAGAGAGACAAAGCTATGCAATGATTTGTAGCGTCCTCTCCATGGTCTACAACACAAGTATACCTCTCTGATATTCATTGTTTCAGTTTAAGCCTCTAAAATAAAACTGTATACCCACATACTTATGTTTAGATGTACTGCATTGAGAAGGCTATCTACACTTAAAGCTCCTGTGAGAAAATTTCAGTTTAAATATTATCCTCTTGTTAAAAGTTTAAGTAGGGTTTGAGTTCAGTGTAGGCCTCGTATGTTTAATGACTTCATGGTTGAACTTTTTTGTTTTATTTTTACCATTTTGCTGTTCTATCTAGCAAAACTCCTTTTATAGTTTTTCAGTTCTCAGTTAACCTTCTTCCTGTGTGCCACATGTCAATTCTACTTCTGCAGAAAGATTAACCCTGATGTAGGTGCTAAAATTCTTCATGAAGAATTCTTGTTACTGAAATTCTGTTTTCACTCCAGGGTCATAAAGAGGCCTCAGTATGTTGTGTGCTGTAAAATGTCACTCTGGCCCGGCCTGGTTTAAGATTATCTAGGTGGGAAGTTAGAAGTCGTTCACCTGACATCACACTTACAGTAAAGGTGCAATGAAATAAAAACTTTGGACCTTATTAGAAATGATAGAGCTGTTGTCTGGCAAACATGGAACCAATTAAAAAAATACTATATGCTGACCAGACTCAGAGGAAGTACATAGCAGATACCATGTCTGTGAAAGAATAAAGCTGTTTTCTTCTTATTTTAATAAATTGTGGACTGAAATGCCAACAACAGCTTTGCTACACTTGAGTGCTATCTGGTTTTACCTTTTACATCTTAGTGCCTGCAAAGATGTTGATGGGAGATTATTACTTCTGTAAGCATCATAGTTTGCATTACCACATCCTCTCTCACTTCTCCACTTTTTTTTTAATATGCCAGTACATAAAGATATATGGTGTGTCTTTATTGGGCTCTTAAATGTGACGTGTTTCTGGCGACTGGAAGCAGAACAACGATAACTTCTACACCTTAAAAATCTGTATCTATTCCTCTCTTCTTCTTCTTCTCCTTTAATGTCAATAAAAATGTTGTACATGCTCAGAATTTTCTGTTTCTGATCTAGTTTACCTGCACTTATGCTAAAAAAGTAAATCAAGCTCTATATGTTGGCACTGACATGTATCCGTTAAATTTGCTGTTTTCTATTTGGGGAGGCGTAAGACATAAGGCACTGTGTCAAGACTTGCTCTGCTTTAAGAGTTAAATATTTATTTTAGCTGCTAAACCACAAGCAAGTGTTGCTTTATGATGCCTTTAAGTCCTTTGTTATTACATGGGACTAATGTGAATACTCATCTTTTATCAGTTATTATACTCAGCAGTTGATGGTTATACAAATTTAGTGCACCTTTTAAATATTTAAGCAGTTTGTATGTCAATAAATATAACAGATAAAAAATGGTGAACGTTTGAAGAGGGGTTACCAAAATGAGGAAGCAGCCTACTCTGTGGTTGGGCTACTGAGTGCGCACATTCACCTCCTGTTTCTGACAATGCAGAAACGCACGCACACACACGAGCACACCCACTACACACACAATATGTAAAACTGGACAGTAGTTTTCAAAAACACACAAACCTCATTTCCTTATCACTTCTTTCCACAGAGAGTTTGCACAAACAGACCAAATGTTCACATGCATCATCGCAGATGAAGGAACAGACACACTCTCTGTGCAAAGAGCCTCTTTTGCGTTAGCTTCAACATTATCAAGACTCCAAATCAATTGTTTTCTTGCATACGAAGATGTGCTTTACTGTAGGAGGAGGCACTCCCAGCAGCCTTTGGGTCCATGAGGTAAGTCAGACTACTCTGGTTCTTGGTGTTTCACTGCCGTGCTGTGCTTTTGCTGATGATTAAACTTCGGACCCTACCTCTCTTATCAAACTTCCTCGTTCTTTTACATTTAGTTTGTTTCAGCTTCCTGTTAAACCATTGACATGCGACTTATGATCATCTGAAGACAGAGAAGACATCATGTAAGTCTGAAATATACTCTTGTTTTTTTTTTTTTTAATCTGAATTTAGAATAGTAGATAAATAGTTTCCAATGGTGGCAAACTATCAATTGTTCTGTTTTTGTTTTTTGGGTAGCTTTTTATTGTTCTGTAAAACTGTTAATGATGATAATTAAGGTTAAGTTTAGTACAAAACAAATAAGGTCACAAATCTGCCCGTATAATCCACAAATCTCTTCAGCATGAGAGGCTGTTAGAGGACGGTTTCACATGTTGCATTTGATGTAACTGAAGATGAAGATTGCTCATGACACAGAAGTGATGGCAACATTTTACATGTACGGTATAATTACGACACACAATAAAAGCTTAAGCTATACACCGTATTTCATCATTATAATTAATTAATGAATAAATTGAGAATTTAAATTAACAAAACCTTAATTCACAGTTACTTAATATTATACCTATGTACCCTTTTTTTCCCCTTTTATACAATTTTTTCTAATTTATGTTGGTTTCAATGTTAAAGCATTCAAAGTTGGGAGTTCAAACTGCTGCTATCCTTTCATTGACATCAAAACATCAAAAGCAGCTAATGTTCTTTAGTATTGCAACTATGAAAAATATTGATGTCTTAAAACATGACATTTACATAATTAAGGAAAATAGGACCGTCAGTGACAAGACTGATAATTTTGTCTAATGTTCTTTTAATGCCTTAAACTAGTATGAGGGGGTAGGGGTCTGCAGAGTAGCCATAAAAACATCCTGTTTTTACACCTTCTGCATTAAATATCCACAATAAATGAAGGGGGGTGAGATTTTTATGGCATAGACACCACTTAAGCATGTAAAGTTTGAGACAAAGAATGATTCCTCCTCGAGGGAACCAAATATGACGCAAACTGAAAGTTCCTCACAGGAGCTTTAAGCATGAATTCGCTTTTCTTATGGTGATAGTGATGTGCCATGGTTGTTGGTGTCTAGGTGGACAAAAATAGACATTAATGTATAAGATGCACAGCACAATATGTCATTATGCTCTAGCTCTACCCACTTCTCGAAGGAATATTTAGTTAAGTACATTACATATACAGTCAACACCATGGTAACCAAGTGATCAGAGGTGCCGTGAAAGGGAAATAAGTTTAGAGGTTCTGTAGGACCTAAAAAGTAACCACTACAACATTTGAGGTCTTTAAGTGGTGATATACAGAATTTCAATGGGGTTAAAATCTTTATTATTCTGGGCCCTTCATTAGCTCTTATTCTGTGTTTATCCTGCTCTTCCACTAAATTCAAGGCTCTTTTCTCTTCTTCCATTAAGGATGAACACCACTGAAGCCCAAAACACCACGGTGTTGTTCACACAGACAAATTCTTCAATCAACACAAGCTCCCCAGGAAATACCACAATCTCACTAAATAAGGATGACCTGACATATTATTACCGTATTGCCTTGTTGTCCATCTACTCCGTGGTTCTGCTCACTGGCACCATCAGCCTGAGCCTGATGGTTCACATAATGAAGTCGAGCTCTGCATCCATCACCTCCATCACTGTTCTCAATCTCATCTTCGCCCACTTCCTCTTCCTCATCACTGTCCCATTTAGGATTTACTACTACGCCAGAGGTTACTGGGGCCTGACTTTTGGGTGGTGCAAAGTGGTCAGCAGCATGATCCACATCCACATGTACATGTCTTTTATTTTCTATGTGATTATCCTGATTAGTCGACTGATGACGTTCTACCACAAAGCAGAGCATATGGCATCCCTTCGAAGGATTCAAGCACTGTTGGTCAGCGCTATGGTATGGATAGTGGTGCTTGTCACAGTACCTTTAATAATCCACTTTTCCTACGGCAAAAACAACAAGATCAGTGAGGAAAAGTGCTTCAAGTTCGGCAAGAGCATTACACGCGGTGCCAAGGTGGTCAACTATATTGTCAGCACGTTGATCATAGTGGTCGCCACTGTGCTAACAGTCCTACAAGCCAACATCCTCAGAGTTCTTTACAGGAAACACCGTGAGGGATGCACCTCTCAGCAAGAGTTTGCAGCTCAGCTAAAGAGTTTGTGCTTCGCCCTCATCATGGTGGTCTGCTTCATTCCCTACCACATGTTCCGGCTGTATTACTTAAATGATCCTAATGTGGAGGGTGTTAATGAGGTGTTTCTGAGCCTGACTACTTTTAACTGTTTAGACATGCTCACCTTTTTGGGAAGGAGACACTTCTTTGTGTGTTTTCTAGGAAGGGCCTGTTGAAAGAATGGACTACATGAGTGGATGAAACCATATTTACTTGGTGCCTTTATACAAGCGTTTTTTATTTTATTTTATTCTTTCAGTAGAGGGGGCTGACTTTGCTCCAATGTAAGAAATGTTTTTTGATTGTCTTTTATATTAGATTTTTTGTGTGTTTGATTTCGCTAGGTATTTGCAGCACATTTTCAGGCTTTGTGTTTATTTAAGTCTTCACATATTGTCATTTGCAGCACATTTCATTTGTATTTGTTTTGGACTCTTCTAAATATTGAATTCACATCATTGCCAAATTTACTTGTTTCACAGTTTGACAGGTTTGCCATTTCAGTTGTATTTTCAAAATAAATGAATAAAAAAAAAAAAATCATGAAAGGATCTTTTATGATTGTTGCAGCACATTTGACATTTTTTTGCAGGGGCCTGCCTCGAGGGGTGGCACTGGTCCCCCTTCATTTGGCCACCCCAGTTAATAACAGGTTTTGATCAACTATTTAGCTGTCGGAGTTGATATGTTCACAATAAGTAAATTGCTTTCTTTGAATTCAAATGTTGCACATTTGTTTTAGTAAGTGCCTAAATATATGTGAATTTAAACCTCTATATTTCATCACCCTGCTGTTTCATTGTAAAAAAAATAAATATGCACAGGATTATAAGAACTGTATGATATTTATACAATAGTTGTTTGTATAGATAGCAAAGATGAAGTGGGTAGATACAATTAATTTTTATACCCCTGCCCATGTCAGTGCCCCAGTTGAGTCACTTTAGTGTAAGAGTGTAGATGCACCCCTGCTCTTTTGTTTAGCCTCTAATTTTATATGATATAGATGACCCTTAATAACTTTTAACTGAAAATCCTGGCAGATGTAGCACTCTATCTCGTGGCTTGAACCTTTGCTTTGCTTTTGATTCAAAACAAATAGTCTACTGCCCTCTGCTGGCCAGCTTCATGTACTACAAATAGTTTAAGCCAGAAATTTTGTTTAGTCAGATGATGTTTTGAGTGTCTTTTAATTCATCTTGAGAGTCATTTAATGTAAAAAGATAATAGAAAATAAATGTTTCACTGCATTTGCAAACACTTAAACCCTGTTTACATAACTGTAGTGGTGAGCTGCATGACTGAGAAGAAAATAAATGTCTAAAATCATTACTTTTTCACTTTTATTTTGTGAAACATTACCTCAGACTTCTTGGATCTCATACCTCCTGCCCTTGAAGGTAGTGTCAGGGGCCTTAAAGCTGACATATAAGCGCACAGAGAAACACACACACCTGGTGATCCTTTTCCTTTTGGTTTTTATGGCACTGGGTTACTGTTTAACATCCCCACCCTACTTTGAGTTTGTTTAGTAAATCGATCTAATGACAGGGCTACGGTGGCGCCATCCAATGTGTCGCTCCATGAATTATTTGCTGCTCAACTTTCCAACCTTCCCTTTAATGTGTGCCAACACCTTTAGCATTTTCCCATTCTTAGTGTCACTTAGACGAATGTTACACTGACAGGCTGCTCACCACTGGAGTACTACGCTACACCTGGATAAATGCACATTCAAGACAAAAACAGGAAAGCAGGTAAGTCAAACCCCTGTTGTGAAGTCGACTGTCATTGAATTCAAAAATAACCACAACGGCTGTTAAAATCATGAGGAATATTTTTGCCTTTTGGAGGAAGTGAAGCTTACCTTTAGCACTTTCTCAAAGCAGGTTGCTTACATGTTCGGCTAAATCACGTGGTAATGTATTGCTGCAGTACAATGGAGGTAATCTCTGTGTACGTTAGTTTCAACTGCTGCTATGCTGTGTGTGTCGTGCCTAGATCTGGTGTCTACTTTGAAACTACTGTGTTATAGTTTTCGGTTTTGATTGTGAAGAAGCGCAGGCTCACCATTACATTTTGTCCAGTGTCTTGAATGATAGCAATCTCACCTTTCTGTCTGCAGGCTGTGTTCTGTGGAAAGAGATAAGATAGACTCAGTTTGTCACACAGGCTGTGCTGTAAAGATCATGTGATAACCCATTTCATCTGTCTGAGGATGTAATCTGTAATAAGAGATATGTTAAAGAGTACATATAGATTATATTTCTACAGATAAAAGTACACTGAATAATGAAGTCTCTTATTAAATGAAACAAAATCAAATGATAGATGAAACAAGCTGTGATTGGAAATTTATACACCCACATTCAGACATTTTAAAGTTGTCTTAAATGACATTTTGTTGTTATATTAGAGAAATTTCTCATTCTCAGGGTTTAGAATTTTGCTAGGCCCTCATGTAATCATTAAATTATTAGAAACCTTCTGCTGTCAGCTGTTAAAGAAGAGTCTGTGACCACATGTTTCTTTTATTTGCATTAACCTAACCTCATGGCATTCTTAGGTTGTAGATTTAGACAACATTCAATGATAAAGCAAAATGCACTTTTACAATTGCCCAGGTACAAGGAAGTAGCGTTTTTACTAGAGTCAGTTGGCTGGCCTCTCATCATCTACGACTATTAAAACCTCTCATCTGGACGGGGGCGACAGTATTATGGCCAGTTCACACAAATATAGCCTCTTAGTACCAGGTTTTATGGCTCCAATGAGCTTTTTGTTGCTGGGCGGACACAAGGTTCCCCAGTTATGTCCTGCTTGTTTTCAACTATAGAAGCTGTAATAGTTTTGTCTTTTTTAATTTAATGTATTTCCATGAATGGTTTAATCATATGTATTTTCTTAGGTTAAAAAAAGAAAGATGAATTATTGTGAAAATTACTAGATTGCACAATGGTACGCTTTTAAATTTAGCGAGTTTGAAGGTGGTGGACACACATAAAAAATGGATCAGTTCAAGTGACAGGACTATTATGTCTTAATCTTAAAATTAAGAGAAGAGCATGATCTATCATGTGTTATTAACATAGCAGCATAATGAAAGGGACATTTAATGAGCTTCTAACAGCAGAAATGTCTTCGTTTGACAATTAAACTCAAGATAATTAGACTAAAAATGAGCCTTTAAATACATCTCTTAAGGTAGCTGCTGAAAAAAGTATATACTTTTACGAATGCCAATGCTAAATATGAAATCAAAGTTAATGATCTCTAATCCTGCAGTTCAGTGAAGCTCTAGCTTTGTATGTGTGATGTGGTTGTGTGTTAAATCTAGTCCAGTCAAGCTTCACTGCTCTGCTCTGTGGTTGATTATAATTGTGAACGTGATTTTGAAGAGTACACACCTCTTAACTTTCTGCAAACCTGATGAGTCAGGAAGCCTGACCCTCCACCCTGGTTAAAATGTAATCTCTCTATCACTCCCCTTTGTCTCTCTTTCACTCCCTCCTGCTATTGTCCCTGTCCCACCACCCTTGTATTCGTGCCCCCCTCCCTCTTCTATTTGATATTAACCCGGGTGTGAATATCTATAGCTTTTTTTCTTGGCATGTCTAAAAAGCAATAAATGATTATGTGCATCCTGATGTGCTGCAGTTACACCAAGTAATGTAATGTTGATGCTTTTCTGACTGGCTCAATCATTACTGATGTAGGGTATCAAACCTCCTGTAATCCAGCTTCTTATCATTTACAGCCTTCCTTCACACAATAGCCAAAACTGATTGCCTTTAAGCCACAATAAGATTAAGTGTAATAAAATTCCTGATGTAAAATGGGTGGGTAGAGACGTTTTAACTGGTTCATGGTAGTAAATCAGAGTGTGTTTACAGCAGCCCTGTTCTGAGAGGGGAGCCAGCCCATTGACAACTATCTGACCTGTAGTTTCAATCATACTTTACAGGCCTAATGCTTTTCTTTGAACACATTTACGAGGAGAGGGCAAGAATTATGAAAGCAGTGTTAACAAGGTACGCTCATCAGGCAGATCAGGTATAATCAATAAAGCAGGGTCATTATCTTTAAAGTAAATTATCAAAGAGAATGTCAGAGAATTTTTTTTACTGGAGTTTGCAATATTTACAGATATAAAGTAACTAACATTAGCAGTGACGACATTAAAGCTACTGTAAGGAGTTTTTATGTTATGTAAAAGACTGAAACTCACATTGTTTCCTTTTTATGGGATGCATTAAGAAAACAAGAACCCCAGAAATATGATTGATAACTTCTGCACTGTCATTTTTAGTATCTGGAATCAGTGTGAAAGAGGTAGGTGCCAACTGTGATACAAAAAAAATATACTATAAATATATATATGTAAATATAAATATAAATATATATAAATATGTATATATATATATATATATATAGAGAGAGAGAGAGAGAAAGAGAGAGAGAGAGAGAGAAATGATTGTCAAAAATCAACAAGACGATTTTTTTTTTCCTTTTCTCAGAAAACACTGTTAACGCATGTAAAGGACAAGATAAGCAAATACTAATGAAAAGGAGTGCTTACTACTACCTTAAATGTGACACAGCTTTATACAACATGTCCACAGCAGCAGCCGTAATTATAATAAAGAAATATGGAGCAAAAATAGGTTAACTTTTTGTGTTTAAGGGCTTTCAACTTAATTCTGCACACTCCTTTGGACCAGCTACTTTGTATCAATAAAATCTATTACCTGACTTTCTTACTTAACACCTGGCTGTGTCAGAAACTTAATTCTGATTGGTCAAACCCCTACAACACTGGTAGTTAATTCTGAATAGCAGGAGCGATACCAGGAATGACAAGCTCACCCACATATCAAATCAATCCATAGAGAGAACTCAAATATGAGTCTATGATTCCACCTCTTGTGTGACCTCACCTCCATATTGTTTATAGTACCAATTTCCACTGGCACTATAAACAATACGGAGGGTACTGCACTTTATATAGCGAGCACAAAACCCTACAGTCATAGCATGGGTCACGGCTAATCAGTTGACAATGGGAAAAAAAAGACGAGGAGGAGAACCATGCAAAAGCTAGTCAGGGATGTTAAAACACACAAGGAGCCGAGTAGAAGAGACATCAACCAAATTGAAGAAAACTAAATAAAGCAACCTCAGACCACCACAGTTTGGGCTTTTGCAGTGTTGCAAGATTGGTTGAGTGCAAAGAGACAGTTTAAGAGAAGATACAGTGAGGAGTACATTACACAGGAACTTCAGTGATTCTTACGGGAGCTTATGCAAAACCTTATGCATAACAATGTGAGTGAAAATGTTGAGTTTAAAGAGTTAACAGTAGTGTCAGCTTACATTAAGACGTCATTGTCATGTGATTGTAAATCTGATTATTAGAATATCATTTCTACAGCAGTAACACCAGCTGTTAAATTTAGATCTTCACATTGTATTTTTAGACAAATGGGATTCAACTTTCAAGACCCAACTGATTCAAGCCGAGGTCCTGTCTCACACTCAGTATGTTTACATTCATAGTTAAGTCAGGCTACAGTTATAGCTTGATAAGGTGATTTAACTGGACTACTCTCCTTGTCCCACTTTACAATCACTAGGCAAGAATCGAATCATCGACAGGGGTAAGTTAGTGACCTCTAAGGTAGATGGTGACATGCCCCTTTTCAAATCATTGCTCCTGACTCATCTCCCTGTTGTCCTGTTGTGTACCAAAACAAACACATTTGGAAGTCGCTAACGGGATGTACGTCCAACGATAAAAAATCTGGCACTTTTACAGCTCTGTACCTTTCGTATATGAGATAGCTTTATCATTTTTACATCCCTTCTACAATCAAGGTTTGGTTTATCACTTGGCTACCCAGCAAAGCACTTATGAAATTCGACTTCTGGATTAAAGCCTAGCATGAAAACTCTGGGGCATGTACAAAACATCTAGACTAGTTTCAGTCCCACTGAGTGATAAACATGCAAGAGAAAATCAATCCCCAACTGCATTATCTAAGTATGTTGGTCCAACTATGAGAAGTTCTATTTAGGGCAGTTGTAGTCTGACAGGTCATGTATTTAAAACTCCACACAGAGTCTGCTTGCTGATTATGTACAATAATTTAATGTAATGTAATGTAGACACCCAAATGCTATTACATTTTACATACATATTGGAATATCTCTTCACCAATCAAACTACTTGGTTTGAATGAACTGCTGAGCTGAATAAACAAAAAGCAAAGCACTGGACAAATAACGTTTTAGACTAACTTACAAAAGGACACACAATAACATTGTGGATGTTCACGCTAAATATCACTTCAGATGTTCATAGAGCTGGTCTGTTAATTGAAAAATATATATTTTAAATAAAGTTTGATCAATAGTAGGACGTAAGGGATTGTGTTTGTGGAAGAGTTAATGAAAGTTATCAGTGTTTTCCTCTTCACCTTGTGTCTTTATAGATTATATCTGCTGAGATGGTGGTGCTATTACTCCTCTATTGATTAGATTAGGAGGCCTGGGAAGGACACACACACACACACACACACACACACACACACACACACACACACACACACACACACACACACACACACACACACTCTTGCTCTCTCTCTCATGCACACACAAACAAACAAACAAGAGCATCAATTAAAGTTTGTGCATTTAAAAACAAAGCTATTGTTGCAATATATAGATATAAAGAAGCCCAACTTTGTGCACTTAACATGCTTAAATCTAAAAGTAAAACAAAAGAGGCAATTCAAATATCTCCTCCAGCACTATCTTTCCATCCCTCTGATAAGTACAGGAGAAGGACAGATACGTAATGAGCAATAAGGTGAGAAGTCTCTCCTTCAGCTCCGCCCCTCTCTGTTTCCTGGCCCAATCGTATGGCATTATAGATCTTTTATGAAAGGGATCTCCTCTGTCATGTTTGTAAAATTTGTAAGAGAAGCAAAAGAGAGAAACAGAAAACTGGAGGCTGGAGAGTACAGTGAGAAGGGAAAGAAGAGAGCAGACACAGGAATGAGGTATCCTCCTGCTTCTCAGAGTAAATCTCTGTTAGATATGGAAGTAGCTAACTACTGTGAAGGCCTGGATCCCTCATACAGCACACTGGGCTTTGAGAATGCAGAGGTGCTCTATGGAGGAGGAGGTAAGTGCATGTGATTACAGCCACCTACTCACACATGAGCGCACACACAAAGGCTCATACAGGGGAGGATGCCCATGCAGGTTTAAGTGAAACACAGGATATCTGTTTTTAGCATTGACTGATGCAGATGCATACAACTGTCATTTCACTGGCACATGCACTGAGCATACTTTTAGTTTAAGTGGGAACTCAAAATAGTTGAATATGGCAACAGATTTTAAAAGGACTTATATTTTGTTGTGATCTGTGTGAAGAAGCATGCTTATTTGTAGTAGTTTTGTGAGAATATCTTTTGGTAAATTAGTTCCCATTTTCATCAGGGGAAATCAGTGAGGGTTAGTATTTGCATAAAAAGCCCCAAATGCTTAAATAAAGTGATGTGGAAACATGTGACATTTCACTTTGTCTTTTAAAATCTATTATAAGGAAGTGGATTTGAATGAATGTGGATATTTGTGCTGGTGAAGTGAAGCAAAAGGGTGGGCCTTGGTTGTAAAAACTTGAAATCAGAGTGTTGATGAAACTGTTTAGGCAGGAACTGCAGGTATGTGTCATAAAGCTATTTTATTGAGGAGCGAGCAAGCAAGCATCAGAGTGAAACACTGATGTCAGCTCAGCATGTGGACACCAAGTTAGTCGAACATTGACTCATCTCACCCTGGCACTACTTGGTGTGTGGGGACTGTGTATGGGACTGAGTGTGGGCGTATGTGAAATGTGTCAGTGTCAATGTGCATCTTATGATCATGCTGTGTATTTTGGCTTCGATTTGATTCTGGAGGAATGATACTTTTGCTGATAATTGTGATGATCATAGCAGTTATGATATTTTTTATGCCAATGGTGAGGTGGCAGCAAAATTATAATAAAGAACTAATTTATATATTGTCTATATTTGGTGTGGAGATACATGAGCTGTCCAAACCTATTCTCATTTAAACAGAGTATACAGTTACTAGTTCAGTGTTATACAAATATCACATTTAGCTCCTGAGAAGTTTATAGAAGGTTTAAAATGGAGCTCAAGTTAATACTTATGCCTCTCCATGATCAACAAAAGTAAATAGAATTATCTGTGACAAGACTGATCATTTATATAGTTGTTTGTCACATATAGGACCTCTAAAGTGGGGTATATAGATGTAAGATTGGCTTGGTTTGTTTAACTGTTGTTTCTTCTTGAACTTCGCTGTCCTTGATTTACTTCACTAGCTAGCCAAAATTGGGCTAACTTAATCGTCGCTAACTTTACACTTAGCTGCACCAAGCTAATGTGGCTTAATTCTAAGAAGACATATTAACAGTCTCCATTCACCTAGTCGTAGTACATAAAGATGTTCACTCTTACCTTTTTCTGCTTCTTTACTTTGTCTTTCAATGCTTGGTTCGTCTGTGGTAAAGGCACCTAAAGTTAGCGGTTAGCATACAGCTGACATGACAGCTGGATACGTTGGAATTGTTGGCTTGTTATTGTCGTTAACGTTGACCTAATAGTTATCCTAGCAGCTGGGTTTAACAGCCAAACTCATTGGAATAACCCAGAAAAAAGAAGCAGCAGGCTAAATCTGAAATAGAAGTGAATAACCCAGCATTTAAGGGGATACAGGACAAAAATTAGCAGAGATTAGAAATAGTGCTTTGTCCACAGGGGGCTAACTCAAACTGAAGCGGTATTGTACGGTGGCCAAGAACCGCCACTGCTGCAAAGAAAAAAAAAAGAAAGAAAGAAATAAAAGAAACCAAAGCCCGCTGCAAATGAAAAAAGATACGGTGCAGATTTTAAAAAAGAAAACAAATAACACAACAAAATGTAGTGACGCAAAAAAAGTGGTGATGGAAAAAAAAAGTTACTTACTGAGAAAATAAGAGGAAAGTAAAATAATTTTAAAAAAGCCACAACGGAAGTGAGCTGCCAGTGACCAGTAATGATGATGCACCTGTGTTTTATGATTTAGGCACAGAAGATAACGGTGACAAGATGAGCAAAGAAGTTAGTGGAGAGGTTATTGTTTAATTTTACTTCGTAAACTTTTCAGTTTGTCATTTGGTCAGGCCATGTAGCGTCTGAGTTGATATGAAGTTGATCTGGAGGATGCCGGTGTACTGTTAGCTTACCGACTCAGGCACAACATGGTCTAACCAAATGACACATTGAAAAGTTTACAAAGCAAAATTAAACAATAATATTTCAACTAATTTCTTTGCTCATCTTCTGTGCCTAGACTGTAAAACAGCGGTGCATCATCATTATTGATCCCTGGCAGCTCACTACCATTGTGGCTTTTTTATTTGCATCCTTTCATTTTCGCTGTTAGTAGCTTTTTTTTTTCTTTGTTAACTTCCTTTGTGTCTTTTTTATCTGCACTGTTTCTTTTCTTTTTTTTTTTTATTTGCAGAAGGCTTCAGTTTCTTTTTTTTTTCATTAGTAACTTCCGTTGTGACTTCTTTTTGTTGCATTCTTTTTTTATTTGCAGCTGTTGCGGTTTCTTGGCCACCGCAGTATTGAGTGATTTTTTTGTGTTGCAGACAGCATGCCAACAGAGCCAAACCTACCAGGTCCGGACGGGGTGAGCAGTAACTGTGCCATCTGTGGGGACAAAGCCACAGGGAAACACTACGGGGCCTCCAGCTGTGACGGCTGTAAAGGCTTCTTCAGGCGCTCAATACGCAAGAGCCATGTCTACACCTGCAGGTGCAAACACATTTAATGAGCAAACAGAACACCTAAAAACCAACACCAGGCTTAAACTGTGATTAAAACTAAAGTGCAAATAACTGTGCTTCCACACCTATTCAATCATGTTTGTGTACCATTCAGTGATTTATAAGTTACTTTCCAGCATTGTCATCATTTCATGGAATGTCACCAATTTGCGTTGTGTTTCAGTACACTTTGTCATCATGTTTTTTTTCTTCTGTAAAGATACTTCTAACCCTGTATGTGCATTGTATACAGGTTCAGCAGACAGTGCATTGTGGACAAAGATAAGAGGAACCAGTGTCGATTCTGCCGACTCAACAAATGCTTCAGGGCTGGCATGAAGAAAGAAGGTAGAGAAAAAACTTTCCTCCTACACCCTGCAAATCAGAGAGAAAGCTTGGAATTGTTTCTCCATTAATATTGCACTATTTTCTCAATTTTTAACTCAACTTGTGGATATCAAGTTATTTAAAACCCCAAACCTCATTCTCAGTATTTTCCTCTTTGCTTGTGATCATTCTAATGTGTCATGTTTCCCATCAAAATGAATTAAGGGCTAAAACTACAGCAGTGACACTAAAAGAAAGCTGTTGAAAATCTGCGACCTCCTACAAGATGGTTGAAATTGTCTTGGCCATAAAATTTGTGATTACTTAGGGAGTGAGAGAGAGTGAGTGTGTATTTATGAGGGGTATAACCTTGGCACACTGCTTTATGACACATAATCATGTGTTATTCAAACATGTTTTTCAGGATTGTTACTGGTTAAAGTTTGACTCGACTTGCTGATGGCAGCCTGTATGACTATTTTCCTAAATATTAACTGCCATAGTGTCTGCTGCTGTAGTTTCCTTTCGCTGTTATTTTCCACAGTTGTGATCGCCAACTTGAATGACAGACACTCATTTGAAACTTGGTTAATTTAAACAACAAGTTCTGCCGTTGTTTTCTTTCATTGCTTTTTGTGTTTCACACACATGGTAACTTTGGCTGTCTGCTATATTTAAGCCGTACAGAATGAAAGAGACAGGATCAGCTCCCGAAGAAGCATTCCTGACTCCCAAGACCTGCCGACCATCACGATTTTGGCCCAGGCAGAATCCCTCTCCCTACAGGTAAAACATCAAATAAAAGTTCTTTAACAGATGTATGCAAGCTGATCTTAGCAATGAAGAAACATGTATTTTACGTCTCCTCTTAGATCACTGCTCCTGTTGGAATCCCCGACATATCAGAGCAGAAGTCTGCCACTGTCGGAGATGTCTGTGATTCAATGAGACAGCAGTTATTGGTGTTGGTAGAATGGGCCAAATACATACCTGCCTTTGGAGAGCTGCCTCTGGATGACCAGGTAACAAGACTGTGATGCATATTGGGATTTTTTTTTTAAAATTTAGTGTTTAAGGAACTATGTAGGAAACAAAACATTAAAGCTACACTTCCTTTGTTGCAAACTGCGGGGAAATGTTTTTGTCTGTAGGGTGTGACTTTGCTTGCTGATCCATAAATAGAGCAAAATTTAGGGTTTGGATCAAGAAAGAGCCTCTTTTACTTTCAATAATCAAATAAATGAGTGTTCAAAGTTTTAGCTCTCAAAGCAGACAGACTGCTCTTTTTTGTTCGGACTCAAGAGGGAAACACCGCTGCATTGTTTGTCTTGTGTGTTTGTCTCCAGGTTAGCTTGCTCAGGGCTCATGCAGGTGAACACCTCTTGCTCGGGGTTGCCAAAAGGTCAATGCCTTTTAAAGACTTCCTGCTTTTAGGTGAGAACTGACCACAGAAAGGCTTTCTTATTTCTCTGTGTTGCAATCTTTGTGCTTCAGCACTGAATTGTGAAGACTGATCAAATGTTGTGTTAGCTGAGAATGATTAACTCGAAGTTTCTGTTGCTTTGTGACTTCAAAAGTGTCTCATAATTGTAAACAGCATTACTCATTAGGAGCAGCAACAACACACTGTAGGCTGATCTTTTCAACTATACACACACAAAACTTGTATTTACATAGGTCAAAATGATTACTCCCACGCTTTACTTCATACACACCCACATACCTTTCACTCTTGTCAGCTTTGCTCAACCACAACACTGACCGACACTTCCTGTGTCTGCAGGTAATGGCTGCGTGATACACAGGAACTCAGCAGAACAAGAAATCTGTCGAGTAGCCAACAGAGTGCTGGACGAGCTGGTTCAGCCCTTTCAGGATATTCAGATAGACGAGAATGAGTATGCTGCGCTCAAGGCCATTGTCTTCTTTGACCCAGGTAATAAACAAATAACTTAATGATGGACAAAGAGAGAAAACTAGTTGACTGGAAATGTGTGTTTACTTTGCTTTCCTTTCAAACTGTTTCCTTGACCTCTTCAGCAAGGAATAAGTGTCTTCAAGTTGTGTTAAGTGAAGTACCAACTACAGAGTAGGGTCATTTCCCCCTCAGGTCTAATATATGTATCACCCCCTAATGGCCATTTTTAAGAATGCAGGTTTAATCTACTCATACATAGGCTTTACTTTCCAAACAAAGACTTTATTTTAACCTCTTTTTTCGATCTAAGGAAGTGGTCAAATATTGTAGGTCTTTTTCCACACTTTACATGATAATCAAGGACAAATATAAATATAAGAATAGAGGGAATAAAAGCAAGAAAAAAGATTGTATGATATGAAATAAAATGTTGGAAAACAATTTTCTGAATTATAAAGATTGAAAGACAAGAATTTATTATTTTTTATGTCATATCTGTTGCCAGTCTGCCAAAATCCCACTCTTCCCACCCAATCCCATCCATCTGGTTGCCTCTCCCATAATACTAAGATCCAAATCAATCCCTTTGGCCTAGTGTGACCACCAAGCCCACCACGCCCTATTTTACCTCTCGCTCTTCTCCGTCCCCCCTTCTAAATCCCCTCATTTTGCCGTCATGCCCCAGTTTGACCATAATCATTCCACTCATATCCTCAATTCCATTCCTGATCTTTCTCCTCTTTTCCTCATCCCTTTCTCCTTCAATCTCCTCCTCCTCCTCTCCCTGTCATCCATCCCCCACCTCTGGTTTTTGCCCGATGTGTAGATGCAAAGTCGTTGCGGGACCCGTCCAAGATCAAGGCCATGCGTCTCCAGGTAGGTGAATCATTTGACTCCTGTAGATTTTTGCAGTCCAGCACTTCATTCATAGTCTTATTATAGCTGCTAATAAACAGCGGTGATGCATTTGAATTTATTTAGAGGTGAGCTTTGTGAGGCAGTTTGCTTACCCTGATGGATTCTGGCCTTTCTGTGTGTTTCCAGGTCCAGATGAGTCTGGAAGACTACATTAATGACCGCCAGTACGACTCCAGGGGTCGTTTCGGAGAGCTGTTACTCCTGCTGCCCACCCTGCAGAGCATCACCTGGCAGATGATCGAACAGCTCCAGTTCATTAAGCTCTGTGGGCTGGCCAAGATAGACAACCTGCTGCATGAGATGCTGCTGGGAGGTGAGACTGAACCCGTGTCTGTGCTTGTAAACCTGCAGGAGATAAAATAAGTTGACCTATAGCAAAACCACCATGTGTTTGGGTGATGCTGCTCAGTGTTAAATGTGCTAGAAGCAGTGTAGAAAGAAAAAGTACACATTCAGCAAAGTTTCCTGGAAAATACATCAAATACGAAGTTAGGGATTTTGCAGGAGGATTGTAAAACTTGGTATAAACAACACACGAGCCAAAATAGACAATGTTCTACATAAGATGTCGCTTGGTGACATCTGCAAACAAACCTTAATGTGTTTGAAAAAAAGAGAAAACCTTTAGTTAAAGGTAGAGTGCATCAAACATATTCTAAGCAGGGCCATGACAGACAGCACAAGCACAGAATGAGGCGTGGAAATAAAGCACCGAGTCATCTCCAAAAGCATCTTCCATTTTTCGCCATATAAGCTAAAAACAACCCAAGACTATGACAACCCAACTTAGAAGAGCGCGTACAGAAAGCTCTGTGTGTGTTTGCGTCTTCTTGCATCCTGAGAAATAAAAACACATAACAAAAAGCTTGCTATTTCAACATTGTTGAGATATTATATTTAGCAACTTGAGTGTGTGAATGCTGAAAAACAGCTTTGCAGATATACACAGATACTTGTATGCTTAAAGCTAAACAAACAACTAGGAGAACAGCTTCAAAGATGATTTTCTACATCTTAAAGAAACCAAAGTTAATTCATTATCAAACTAACTGTCTGTGATGCATTCAGGCCTGACGTCAGACCCCACACACCTGCACCACTCGGCGCACACCCAGCTGGCCCAGGACCCTCTGACTGGACACACACTGGTCATCAGCACCATGCCTGTCACCCACACTCCACTCATCGGTAAGAGTGCCGTCTTAATGCGCACAAAATCACAAGAAATGTCATTAATCCAGATAGTCGCAAACACTTTGGCTCATGCACACATGAGAAGTAGATGCACAGTTTCCATTAACTCGGAGAATACTTACAGAAAGGCATTCTGAATGTAAAAAACCCATAACAATATAACCTTTACAGGAACTGATGTGTATAGCTGCATCGCATGCTTTAATTTAAAATAAAAAATGCATTTGGCAGTATTACACTCTCTAATGACCACAGCAGATTTACAGGAACTCGGCCCATAAACAAGAGTTATAGATGCTACATCATAGAGACGAAAGTGGATGCATTTTACAGAAAATATATGTCCCATTTGCCTTTTTCACAATTTTCCTTAAATGAAACGTCTCTCTTATTCTGCTTTTCGTCTTACAGCCTCTCCAGACACTCCCATACCATCGCCTCCTCAGGGTCCTGCCCCAGAGAAGTACAAACCTTTTCCCCAGCCTCTCTGTCCTCCAGCCAGCCCCCCACCCTCCACACAGACAGACCCCTGAAATCCCCTCGCTCTCCACCAAAGAAGCTGACAGAAGGATCAGTTTCCATGACTCTGTTCAGTGTCTGTGGTTAGTCTTTACCCCGGTTGCTGCAATAACTGAGGCGTAATTAAAGCTGCTGCGTGCAGCACTTTCGAACTTCAATATGTCACTTTTTAAATTCAGTGAGCTAATGAAACACCACACTTCACTTCGACAGAACGTTCTGTGCATTTTTTATGTTTTTGCGGTCTTTAAAGCTCCTCGCTGTTCTCCAACTTAACTTTTTGGTTGTTAAAACACTTAAATGACAGTCAGGCATAAACTTGGAAAGACAAGTTTAACAGTAAGATAAGATATTGATTTGCCCAATAGGTACTGCAATCCATCTGCATTATCTGGAATTAATATTTCATTGCCTTTAGAGAGCTAGATTGTTCATTTATTAACAATCTATCACAAAGGAACATTAAACAGAGAGTCCTGATATTGTGTAAATGTATAAAATTATATTCAGTAATAGATTAAAACACATTCATGGCTTATTTTTAATAAACTGCAGCTTGACATCAAATTGAAAATATACTTTATAGAGAGTTATGCACAATAGAATCCTGAGGGAGTGATTCCCTGTTGGGATTACATTTCTACTTTACTGACAGATTAGTGAATGTTTGCTGAATTGCTTTTACTAAGTCTTTAATGTGTAAACTTCCAAAATGATGCTCAGATATTTGAGATGTAGCAGCCAAAACACAAGATAAATGTGTGAAAGCCCAGAGTCATTCAAATCACAATGTCATTTATGAATAGTTTGTACAGAGCTCATGTAAAATGCAATAAGGAATGTGGAATTGTTGTATATTTTAATAACTTCCTGTATATAGCAAAATGATGAAAGGAAATACCTGGATTTTTATATAGTCATGCTTTACTACATTTTGAATCAGCTGTGTGACAGTTTTTGTTTTGTTTTTATACTTTGCAAAAGTGTAAATCCATCAAATTTATGATTATATAATTAAAATATTACATTGAATAACTTTTTTAGTGTTTTTCTCATGAATAGATCTGGATTGTATCATAAAAAAATGCCAAAAATTGACAGAATCTCAGTCACAGGAAAGCATTTTACAATAGCATCCTCCTGTGGTGAAGAAAGGAACTACCAGAATAAATGTTCTTGTACAAAGAGTCTGTTTTTGAACATCGTTAGATGTTTTTTTCCCTGTTTATTTATTTGTTTTTAAAGTATGAGATGGAGAAAAAAATATTCCCCTCAAATCAAAATGCGTTTGTGGGTACAGCCACTGCAACTCATTTCAGCTGAAATTGCTTAAAAAAAAAGAAATGTAAATTGTCATTTTTCATATTTGATCCAGAAAGGAAAACAATATGACAAAGAGATGATGGTAAATTGACAGACTGCATTTCAATATGGCTTCCCCTCATGCAAGAACACACAGTGTGGTTTGTCCATTACTTCTTTTATGGAAGTCATCATGTCCTCCCACAGTCCCATTGGTCAGGGGTATACAGTTTGTATCCAAAGCTTTATTGGCAACCTATTGAGACTGCACCGCCAGACGATGCTGCTCATCTAAAATCAAACTAGTTTCCTCTACGGCCACCTCAGAAAGCATACATCCCAAAGCCAAACCAAAACATAAAATGATAATTTGAAGTAAAACTGAGCTATACGGGGGCAAACTGTACTTTAAAATCTCCTGTTTTGTTTGTGTGCAAGCACATACGATAATTTCCTTGGGGTTTCTGTGCGTGTGTGTGTGTGTGTGTGTGTGAGGGAGAGAAAGAAAGAGAGAGAGAGAGAGAGAGAGCATTTGTGTGCAGTGGATGAAACCGGGGGATAAAGCTGAGAGCTCTTATCCTCTGTATATTGTTGTGTGACTCAGAGAAAACACTCAGGTTATTTATGGCAGAGGAGATGATGCGGTCTAGAATCAACATGGCCAAATCCTCCTATCAACTCCATAATGGACAAGCTACCTCGCTCAGGTCAAAACAACACCACCCACAAAGGAAGGATGTGTGTATGCATATATACTGTATGTGTGTGCAGGCTCCTACCTACTATTTATTTATAATCTTGTGCGGGTGCATGTGTGTACACTTCTATACGTGCTATTTTTTTTGGAGGTGTGTGCATGTGTGTACCCAGAGAGCTTTAATCAAAGGCCTATAGAGGGGAGATGGTGGGGCCCGGTCTCTTTTTTTTTTTCCTCAGATAAAACTGTGTGTTAGCATGCCAGTCACATATCTCATCTGAGACGCACCACTCTGCTCCCTGCACCTCGCCGCTGCCCACACTGACAGCACCCTATTACACAGCAGTGTGACGCTCACTGCACCTGAGGAGGACGATGAGGGCGAGAAATAGAGGGATGAAGAGAAAGATGATTGAGGAAACAAGGATGGACAGGAGTATGATTTAGTTTTTTGGCCTTTAATATATAATTACAACTCAGAGCAGATCGTATTTATTACAAGATTAAAACTAAGCTGAATCTTTTCTCAGCTTACCTGTTATATAAAATCACTTAAGTGTGTGTTGTAACACAACTGAGTCATCAGGGATGTGGTTAACTTCTATTTGCATATTTTTAGTCTATTAAAATAAAGAATGGTTTAGATAATTTCTTTAAAAGTAAACTTGATTTGAAGAAAACTCTTCACCATCTTGTTTTGATCTGTGCCCAAAATACCTGATCCTCCAGTTCATCCGTTTATCTCTGCACCTCATGCTCCATCAGCCCTTTTTTTCCTCTAATAACCACTAGATGGCAGTGCAAGTCTGTGCTTTCATAATACACAAATTGGCCCTTTGTGGCTGTTGTCAGTGTAAGTTGACCCTTTACTGTCATTAGACATCAAAATGATAAAAATCAAAACAAAATTTAATCAGATTTGTGAGCATAACTTATTTGTTGATTCGCAGAATTAAGGGTTTCCTTGTGTGGGCTTTGTATTTTATTATTATTTTTTAGATTCAATTATTCTTATTCTTCTTATTTTGCCAACACTGTCAATGAAAGTTGAAAAAACTCAAATCGATGGGAGTGGTTGGCCCAAAGTGTGAGTCCACCCACACAGGGGAGAAAAGTCAGGCCAATTCTCAGGGCCCACAACTGGCAGGGGCCCGGAATAATATCTGAACATTTACATTATTCAAGTTATCAATGTGGTATTTTTCCATGAGGCCCAAAACCCCTGACCTCATGAACTTAGGCTTCAGTCCTCGTTGCTACAGTCGCTGGTTCGCCTCCAGACCACATCACTTTGCTGCACTTTCTACTCTCTACATATCAATCCCTCTTAAATTGTCCTTCCGATCTGACCACGGCAAAAAAAAAGCTCGAAAAATACTTAGAAAATACATCTCAAGTGCAATTTTTGAGAATTTCACTCAACAAATTTGGATCTGCAGTTTCTCACACCCACAAGAAGTTTAAATATGATCCTAATGAAGATGGGTCTAAGTGTATTCTTGTAGATTTACATATATCTGTTTGTCAAAGTTCCCAAACAATATGAACAGATTTTTGTTACAGAAATAAGTCGAAACCATCTCAAAGCAACGCACGTATGTGTTGCAAACCGCACAGGGAGGCATATTGGTACAGTCTGAAATGAATGGCATGTGTCAGCGATCCCAGATTAAAGCCGGAGATTGCAGACTATCATTCCTCACCAGTGCGTTTACCCATAATTCCCCTCTGTCTCCAACATATCCGATGATTCCTCCTCTAGGAGACAAGGTGAGGCCGTACGAATCTCTGCCTCCAACTCTGGAATGAATTTAAAACCCCTCCTGAGTGATTTTCTGTGTCCTGCGACTCTGTGGGTGTGTGTGTGTGTGTGTGTGGGTTGCATGCATGTGTGGTTTCTGATTATACCCCAGCATTGGGTAAAAGCAAGGAAAATACAGTGACAGCTTCATTTCCAAAGCTGAGTTCACATAAATGAGGGATTAAAGCGAGCAAGCAAGAGTGTTAGGACTCACCTCGGCCTTCGATGACAGCTTTCCCTCCTCGAGATCACTCCTTTTCTCTCTCTGTGTCTCCGTCCTTATTTTTCCTCTCATCTTTTCCTCCTTTACCTGCTGTTTAGGTTATCTGTTTTGTCTTACCACTGCTCATTTTGCCTGCAGAGATAACGCACACACAGATAAAATTTTCAAAAACGCATACTGCACTCTAAACACACAGTGATTTACACAATCCCAGGGAGCTGGGTCGCCCTCCACATAATGATGATGGGGAACAGGTTAGGGCAATGAAAATAGGGGTTAGGGCCAGGGTAGAGAGAGTGAGAGTGAGAGAGTGTGCATGCATGTGTGAGTGTGTGTGTGTTTGGGGGTACATTAGGGAAATGAAAAAGGGGGTGGACCCCTGATGGCTTCTGAGATGCAGACTTGTTAGAATAAAGGAATATAAAGAAGACAGGAGACAGAGGAGATGGCAGGGTGGGTGATAAGATGAGTAGTGCAGTAATGAAAACGGTCCTCTGTACCCCGAGATTACGTTTGGAATGAGATTGAAGAGAGAGAGAGAGAGAGAGAGAGAGAGAGAAAGAGAATGAGAGAGAGACAGAGAGGAGATGAGGAAATGGGGGAGCAGGGGGTGAATGAATGGAGAAAGATGGAGGCTAATTTATGATGAACTATGGCGACAATCAGCTGGAACAGGCGTAGGACTGGTGTGGAAGAAAAACACGTGGAAGACGAAGAAGAAGAAGAAGAGGAGGAAGAGAAGAGGTATTACGACTCAGGACGAAGCAGCCCTACTCTGAATGATAAGTGTCTCACGCGCTGCGGGTTATGGGAAGTTCACACAAACAAATGACTCCCATTTGCCGGAGGCGAGGGACACAATTGAGAAAGAAGGGGGCGAGAGAGAAAAGGAGGAGAAAGACGAGAGAGAGAGGGAGAGAAGGGAGAGGACTAAATACTAGAGCTATGATTTCAAATAACTCCATCTGCATTGAGGAAATGCTTACCTTTTTACCCCTCTAATGTCTTCACGGGTAAACAGAAGCACCTTCAATCCAAAGAATATTAGGAACCCTGTAGTGAAGTGCAGTAAAATCTGTGCTTGGTGCCTTAAATTACAGGGCAGCCATGGACCTTGGTCAATAACACTAAATGTATTGCAAATTGTGGCGTGTAGGTGGGCTATGTTTTGCACCATAAGAGGTAATATCAAACAGTAATAAGGGTGCACGAATGCTGCCCTTATTTATACAATAAGCAGCATGGTATCAGAATAAAGTATGGTTAGATTTGTCTCTTTGAAAATGCCTTTACTAAAGTTATGTTTACCATGTGACCCTCATTTGATCCAAACAAGCGGCTGATTTTGCGATCACGCCCACTCTCCTGGTTGAAGGTGCATTTTATAGTCATATTAAGTGCTTTGGTGTCTGGATTAAATGACAACCTTCACACTAAAGGAGAGCCCTGCTTAAGAGCGCTGGGCAGCAGGCCTGAGACTTTGATAGGATTGGATACAACGGCTGATGCAAGGGTCCAACCTGTGACCTTCAGTTTGTGAGACTGTTAGCTGAATGACATTGTTAAGTCTTAGTACATATGAGTTACACTGTGTTGTCTTTTTTTGTATTCAAAATATTTGCTTTTTGTCTTCACAATCAAGCCTGAATTTGTCATGAAGAAAATACAGTGTCTACCTGGGAGCGAAAGTAGGAAGACTGTAATCCAATGTAGTGGTATCCATTGTCCCATGCATAATAACTACTACCAATGAAACAGAGACTCAGGAGAAACAGGTAAACAGACATAAGACCTCCACAGAAACTGTGAGAAATCGGTTTCTTTTTCCAGTTTATGACACCGTAATGAGCTCTGTGTTATTTATTTCTACTCAGGAGAAACAAATGAACAGGCCCTGGAAAAACCTAAGACATGCAATATATATATGTAAATCAGAAGAAATGGGTTCCTTTTTCCAGTTCATGTAAAGCCAATGAGAAGCCACTGTCATTACAGCGAAACTGAGACTCAGGTGAAACAGATGACGGTGCACTTACAAACCTCACACCCATTATCTCCGAGCAAATCACAAGAAATTGTTCCTTTTCCTGTTTATGCCACTGCTATAAACCAGATTAAAGCATCTGTGTGACTTACTATTTACAGTGAAACTGTCACATCACAGT